TCCACAACGTTCAGGTCGACGCATACATCACCGTATAAATGCACCAGCGGAAATCGCATCCCACGAAACTACCCAAGCCAACAGGTCAGGGTCATCGTTCCTATCGTATTTTATAAAGCGAGACCAATACTGTTTGCAGTCTCTCTCTCACAGAGCATGTCAGTATATACTTAAGATACTGCATTGAGATTGAAGTTGGACTGGGTGTCAAGTCAGAAGCGTGATCTGCAATCTGGTGGCGCGCCACAGTAGATTAGGTCAAGGTACAATTTAGCTTACACTTCTCTAAGTCCGGGGAAGAGGAGCCCGTGTAACTGGACCCATTACTTTCATAAAGCGTATTGCCTGATGCTTGCCTGGAGACGGGTGACTTACCATGGCGCAGCCTGCACGTTGGATTGCCCACCGTGCAGCTGAACATAAAACAACAACAACAAGAGGGGGGGAGAAGAAAAAAAAAGCCGAATTGCAGCGGGTCAGCAGCACTCAACACAAACCCCCCTGCGGAACTCCGAGCATTGATTCGAAACTCCATGGCCAATAACAGAAGGGATGCGAAGTGCGTTCATCCCATCTCGCCAGAGCGCGTATCCCTGGTCTCGAAGGCAGATCATTGTGGCCACCATTGGACGAAGGAGACGACAAGCCTCGTCTCTTGTTCCACGGCACGTCGACAACGAGATCTCGAGCGACTTGATGGGGATGCTGCAGTCATCTCCCCCCCCCCCCTTCTCCCCCAGATGTGGAGCTTGGTGAAGATTCAAAAGAAAAAGCCTGGGGTTGCTAAGACGTTGGGCCTAGCAAGCCTGCTATCATTGTAGTAAAGTGCCGCGATGATCCCCTTCAAGGGACATGGCTGCCGGTTCTCGCTCCAAAAACTGCTATTGGTCCCTTGGGCCTGCTGCGGGCTCTGGTGTACATAGTAGTGCTTCTGAAGGGCGAGTCGTCAGCCGAAGTTTTAGCGGTCTGGCAAGCAAGGCCCTGAGAAGGGCCCTGGACGGAGGTGCTGACACCCCGCTTGGCGCATTGCTTGGCAGAGTATAGGCGCTATCGTGTTCGGTAAAGGTGAGCCCGCAGTGACCTGTTTGGGGGTGGATATGCCGGCCGAAGGTGGGCCTCGATGTTCAGGCGTGTAAAATCTGCTGAACCTTCTGTGCGATGAAGTGCTCCTGTTGGGAAGAATTAGGGCTGTCATGTTTGTTGTGTGTGTGTGTGTGTGTGTGTGTGTGTGTGTGTGTGTGTGTGTGTGCATTGTCAATGCATCAAAGGTATTCCTTGCGACAGGATAGAGTCTCGCCCAGACCAATAACACCGGGATCCGACCTGGGTACCTGGAAACGGCCACATGCCGTGGCACAATCGCGTCCCGTCATCCGTCTGTCTCACCACACAGGAAACCAGAAGAGCTAATGGAAGGCGGCTCGAGAACCAAGTCGTACAAGAAGAAGAATCTGTGGGGCCCCGCGCGCAGATCTCATTCGAGCCCTAGGATGGAGCTTCCTCGCACCCCCGGTCTTTTTGAAGTTGTGACAAGCTGTGACGAGACAAGACGCTTGGATTAAAGCCGTGGTTCTGTGCTCTAGCTAATCTTCAAGATCAGGGACAACGTCAATGCAATGCCTGACCCGAGTGGGGGAAGGGGAACAATGGTATACTTCGCCTGAGAATTCGCAGCTGGTGCGGGAAGGAGGTTTGGTGTGGCGGCGGGGGGAGGGGGCCGGTGCGATTTGGATGGGGTAAGAGAATCTGACGAACCGAGGCTGATGAAGGTTGAGGCTGAAGGCATAAGGGCGGTCGATCCAAGGCTGGCTTGGCAGGCGCGAACAGCAGTGGCAAGGCCACAGAGAGAAGGGCCGGGTACTGAGGTACAAGGACATACAGAGGTATACTCTAGCCACGAGGTACTTTGGTATGTACTATCATAATGAGAATGCCTCTTCTGTACAATGAGAGACTGGTTGGCATCACAATTGATTGCTCTTGTTACTTTGACTACCAGCTGGGAGTTGAGCCATTCCCAATCTTCTCTTCTCTTTCTTGCCACCGTGCTGCCATAACAAGGCCTACATGCTTTCAATACATGCGCCGTATTTTCACGGCACTGCTCTCAACATGCGACGTGACGTCGCGGTTTCTCGCCCAATCGCCCCAGTCACCGAGGTCTGCATGGCTTGCATGGCTCTGACCACAAACCATCTTCCCACTGCGTACTAGTAGTGACTGTACTATGGTACTCACCATGGTGCTGCTGTAGGTACTATAGCACCTGGCAACCGTGCAGCAGCAGTTTTGTCCGACCCACAGAAACCAGTTGCGGGGAGCCCTGGTCTGCAATCCGTGCCGCGTCCACCAGTATTGCAACCTCATCTCCTCACCAAGCCTGGCATTAACCTGGCCACTCCCTCACTTTCTTCTTCCCCAACCCCGCGGGGACGACTCCGAACATGGACTGGTCGCAAGCCGAATGCCCCCCTCCTGACCACCATCTCCACCTTTCGTGGCTGGGGCCTAAGTCGACCACCGTTCGTTCGTGTGTCGTGACCGTCAGGCGCTGCCGCCCCGCCCTTTCGTTCCTCTCGGAGTTCTCAGAGTAGGAGAGGAGCGGAGGTCTTGACAGAAGGGATGGATCCCATCCCCAGCGCCATACCCTCGCCCTTGAGCTGCCGGGCCGGTATTAGCAAACGCGGGGCGGGGGAAAAAGGGGTTTTTTTTCTTCTTCTCCATCTTCTTGTCTTATTTTCTTTCAAGGTCAGTTTACTATGAATTTACCTCTGCTGTGCTTTGTACCGGTGCATGTGCTATTGGAGTCCCGAGTACGGAGCACCCAAGCACACACAGATGATTTGCTTGTTGGGCCGGACAGAGTTCAAGGTCGTCCACAATGCTGCAGCATCTTTTCTCCACCCCCAAATTCTCGAATTTGTCTCGTCAAAACATCCCAGTCTACTGCAGTGACTGCTGACGGGGAAACCTGTGAGCATGGGCTTTTCCCAACCTTGCAGCAGTAGCCACCTGCAGGATGCAGAACCTGCTCGCAGTTGTACATCGGGCACGGTTAGATGGGTGGAGGGGCGCTCTTTCCTTCTGTCCACATCGGCAGAGGAAGGGACGAAACAGGAAGAATAAGAAGAAGGGAAGGAGGGGGTGTGGGCACACTACTATGCGGTGGCTAGTATTTCCCAGCATGATCTGCCTCCCAGGCCCGTTAATCTAGACGAACCCTGCTTGGGTCTTGGCTCAGGCTCAGGCCGGAGCTTCGAGCGAGGAGGAGAATTGGTCTCTATGCCCTTCTGGATCCTCCTTCGTCCGTGGTATCGACTATCCTGGCTAGTCTCTCGGCCCCTTGACGGCGATGAACCATACTTTTCTCTTGGTTGTTCTCCAGGCTTCTTCTTCCTTATGTAGTCTTAATGCTTCCATCCCACCATCTTTCCACTGCTATAGCTTATTTGCCTCCCCTGTCCACACACATCATCACTCTCTCTCTCTGGATCTACTACTAATTACCAGATACCTTCGATCTCACTCACGCACTCACTCACACGACCAACCAACCAAAACCCACCTTGTTCTGGCGTGACGCCAGTTTCTCGCCCTCGCCGTCTCTCTCGCCCACACCCGGCCGCCCGTCATAGAGCCCTGCCCTTCCCGTCGCCCGGCAGACTTATATTGCCCCCTGCCAATATATCTCATCGTCTCGACACACACACACACACATCCATTCCCGTGCTGTGGGGTCCGTCCCCATGTCACCCCGTCTTTGGGCCTCTGAGCCATCACTTCCGCTGCTGACCTCCACCTCGCCTGTCACAGCGGAATACGCTGCATGACGTTCTTTCTCCGTGCCTGTCGCAGAGACGTGTGCTAAAAGGATAACCGCCGCGACTACTAACACGCTCCACTGCCAATCTGTGGCCATCCTCGAAGTCGCTCACCCGTTCACTCTTACACACTCGCCCGTCTGCCCCCCCCCCCACAACCCTGGATTGAACTGTCCATACCATTGATAGAGACACACAATCTCTCTCGACCTGGTCCTGCGTGCACAGTTCGTTCCGGTTTCTTCTGAAGCCGGAGCCCAATTGCGTCCCGGGCGAACGCCACGAAAAGCTTGGGGGGAGGAGGAGGAAGAGGAGGAGGAGGAGAGGAAGCCGAAGAAGTGTACTTACTGACCAGCCACACGAGTACACAAGATCGAATCAGACTTCTACTCTTCTCAAGTCCGGTACGGCAAATTCCTTCTTCAGATTTGTGTCCACAGCTGCCCCGTTTTCTCAGGTCGGTAGGCCCCAAAGAAAGAGTCTCGCCTCTCACGCGGCATGTCGTATGCTCTTCTGTATTATGCAAGGCCCTGTAGTACCGGGTGCACCACCCCCCGCATGCCTTCTCCCCCGGATTCACATTTTTCTTCATGCCGGTAGGCTTCGTCCGAACCTGATGATCATCTAGGATCGTTCGATGAGCCGGTAGAGGAATAACAAGGGAAGGCAAAAAGAAAAAAATTTGTCTGGTGCTTTTGTGGATGCTGTTGGTTGCCTCGAAGTCGGGTCGGTCAGCTCTGCATGCTTCCCACACACCTACTCTTAGTCTCAGACACCCTGCCTCACGCTACCAAACTTCCTGTAGCTTCCATACAACTGCAGAGAGGTTGCTAACATCAAATCTTACGAGGAACCCAGCCAGGCCTCTGGGGCTGGTATTATATATGAGGCCAATCTACTTGATCTTAGCATCGAAAGCGTGATCCTCTGTTGTCAGAAGAGACAAGACAGACACTGAGGCGGCCTCAGTTGCGATAACGACGACGACCACCACCACCACCCCCTCCAGACACGCTCACACGGTTCACGATCTACGCAAAATCATGCACAAGCACCATCGAGGGTTCTCGATTCTAACTCAAGGTCTTACCTAGCTCGCTCGTGTGATCTTGAGCGAAGGAGCACACACTCTCGTCTAGTCACCCAATCACCAAGGTTCTTATCTTTATCATCTTCATCATGTTGTCCAATCCTCTCCACCGGTTCTCACCGTACCACGCCCTACCCTCGTCGGGTCTTCTGTCCAACCCCCAGGCTCATATTCAACACGCCAGCCTCGAGGGTCTGCCACAGGGGCCGCATTATGCCTTGCAGCACCTACAACAGCATGTCGGAGCTCACAATTCACACCTCCAGCGCTCTGGTCCACAGGGAAAGCACAGACAGCACCCATATAGAACAGGCGGTGGGAGATCGGCAAGCGTCAGTGGCCCGGTGCGGCGGCGGATATCGCGAGCCTGTGATCAGTGCAACCAACTTCGGACAAAGTGCGACGGACAGCATCCTTGTGCTCACTGCATAGGTAAGCTCTGCTTTACTTGCCCGTCATTACAGTCCGAAAGTCGAAGCTAGGCTCGAAGGCTAAGCAGCAGCAGAATTTGGTCTCGGATGCGAGTACCAGAGGGAGAGGAAGAAAAGAGGCAAGGCATCTCGGAAAGACCTCGCCCAGCAGGCTGCTGCTCGAGCTGCGGCTGCGCAAGGGGATCGCAAGTCCTCGAGTCCTGGACCAGAGACCAGCAAGCCCAACGATCGTCCAGAGGTCAAGACCGCCTCTTCAGCTGTCGCAAATGAGAGACGAGCAAGCGAGACAAGAGGCGAGGACGGCCTGCAAGATGGAGAGCGCTCATCAAGTATGGACAGCGCACCAGAACTGGCCACGCATGCAACACAGATGGCCGGTCATCCTGGCATCCTGGACGGCAATGAGCTCGATGAGCAGGCGACATTCGACCCGAATAACTACGCCGGTGTCCATCACGCATACGACGGCCAGGCCATGGAGGCACACATGATGAACCCAGGAGGCCATCATGTCTATGGTCCGAACCAAAGTGCAATGCCAACTTATCCCGATTTGGCGTATGGAATGCAACCACCGCCAGCATCAGGCTTCACACCAAGCCCGAGTACCTTTCGAATGACAACGAGTCCCCTGAGTGCCTACCCCATCGCTGGGGATGGTGCCTCTCCTGGCTGGATGAACATACCCTCTCCACCTCGACAATACGCTACACATATCCCAGCGCCCAACTTCCATAATTCACAACTACGATATCCCGTCTTGGAACCTTTGGTTCCCCACTTGGGAAATATTCTGCCGTTGCCGCTTGCCTGCGATCTGATCGACGTTTATTTCTCGAGTTCCTCCTCCGCGCAGATGCACCCCATGTCGCCCTACGTTCTAGGCTGTGTCTTTCGCAAGCGCTCCTTTTTACACCCCTCCAGACCGCGGAGATGCCAGCCTGCACTACTGGCAAGCATGCTCTGGGTAGCGGCCCAGACTAGTGATGCCTCCCTGCTGACTAGCATTCCTTCTGCACGGGGCAAGATCTGCCAGAAGTTGCTGGAGTTGACCGTCAACCTCCTCAGGCCACTGATTCACACACCTGCAGAAGATGCATCAGCCATCTCTAGCCCGGGAGCCATCGACGGTGTTGCGCTCGGCGGCCTGGGCGTCGCGCTGCCCGGCACGATCACCCTGGAGGCACTGACCAGTGAGACGGGTCCGTTCGGTGCCGCAGGTACCGTAGACGACGTAGTCACATACATTCATCTGGCGACAGTGGTTTCGGCAAGTGAATACAAAGGAGCCAGTCTTCGTTGGTGGAATGCTGCATGGTCTCTGGCGCGTGAACTCAGGCTCGGCAGAGAGCTGCCACGATCCATGAGCGCGCCCGATCCAGAGAGCGAGGGTGCCGATGGCCAGCCCGACATCCCGGGGCTTGTGACCGAGGAAGAGCGTGAAGAGAGGCGGAGGGTCTGGTGGCTCGTCTACATTGTAGATCGCCACCTGGCGCTCTGCTATAACCGCCCGCTGTTCCTGCTCGACATTGAGTGCGATGGGCTTCTGCAGCCATTGGACGACACGGCCTACCAAAACGCCGAGTTCAACCCGCAGGCGCAGATGACAGATCCCAACGTGATGGCCTCGGATCCTTCTGCCCAGGCGCAAAGCCGGGCAAGAGGTCCTACGTTTGAGTGCAGTGGCCACAGCATCTACGGCTACTTCTTACCGCTGATGGCGATCCTGGGTGAGATTGTCGACCTCAACCATGCACGCAACCATCCCCGATTCGGGGTCGGGTTCAGATCCGCGCGAGAGTTCGATGAGCAGGCGATGGAGATCCGACGGCATCTGGAAATCTATGAAAAAAGCCTGAAGAAATTTGCCCAGCGCAACCTGAGCGCAAATAGTAACAATAATAACAGGCAGACATCGGAGGACCAGGAAGACAGCAGCCTCAACAACGAGGGCCACGGCCCGACTGATATGGGCACGCCATCAGTCCAGTCTGTCCACAGCGTCCTCACGAGCGTCAGCCGGCTGAGCGAGTCTGAAATCCAGACGCGCATTGTCATGGCCTACGGCACGCATGTCATGCACGTGCTACACATTCTCCTGACGGGCAAATGGGATCCTATCAACCTCCTCGACGACATTGACCTGTGGATCAGCTCCCAGGGCTTTATCACCGCCACTGGGCACGCCGTCTCCGCTGCAGAGGCCATCGGCCACATCCTCGAGTATGACCCAGGCTTGGAATTCATGCCTTTCTTCTTCGGCATCTATCTTCTCCAGGGATCCTTCTTGTTGTTGTTGATCGCCGACAAGTTGCAGAGCGAGGCCTCCCCGAGTGTTGTCAAGGCTTGCGAGACCATCATTAGGGCTCACGAGGCTTGTGTAGTGACGCTCAATACTGAGTATCAGGTCAGCCAGCAACCTTTTCCCCTCCCTCCTTCTTTCTCTTTGTCGTTTCTTTGATGACATCTTTTGAATCCCGAGTATAATTATACTGACGTATGTATTTTCGCCTTTCCAACAGCGAAACTTCAGCAGGGTCATGCGAAGTGCCCTCGCTCAAGTCCGCGGCCGCGTACCAGAGGACCTTGGCGAGCAACACCAGCGTCGTCGCGAGCTGCTTGCACTATACCGATGGACCGGCGACGGGACTGGCCTGGCTCTCTGAGAATGTGTCTTCGTGTAGCCTACCACACGCACAACATTCCACCCAGTCTTGCAACATCCGTCTGACTTAGTTGTGTACTTCAAATACAACACGTTCAGGGGAAACAAAATTTCAGGAGGGAAACTCCAAGGCCGGGGGGGGGGGGGGTTTAATGGAGTGTATTCGGACAAAGGGACAGGGACACAGAAGAAGAAGATGACGACGACGAAAAATATTGTTGATTTTTGAGCTACGTAGGAGGTTGTTTGGGTAGTGGTCTGTTGACGCCAACTGATGCATTGAGTCTACAGGTTGGCTTACCAAGAGTACAGCACATACCCCATTTTTTCTAACCCTCTTTACTTTTATTCTCTTTCTTTTTTCCTCTTTGCTTCTGTTCCTTTTTTTCTTTGTGTTTGTCTATGGTTTTTCTTTCCTTCTATGGAGTGTAGGAGGGGAACATGGGCCAGCGGTCGTTGGGCTGCGAGACAATACCACTGACGCAATAGCCTTTCCTGTTTTTCTCTTTTTCTGTTTCCAATCTTGAACATTTCAAACTTGGCCAAAATACTAGTTATATTTGAGTTTTCTACACGTGCTCGGAATTATTATGCAGATGTTGTGAGTCTGATGAGATGCCCAACATGCAGAAGACATCTACATAGCTGCCATGGATCTGTCCATTCTCAAAAGCCACAGACGGCTCAGGCAATCGCTCGGCTATGTTACAGTATTTGGACTGTATTGGGGACCTCGTCATGTTGGGGTGGGAAATCGCGCTCTCTCAGCTGGAAGCTACACTCCCCCTACCCCCACTTCCACACAAACCCCCTCCCCCACCCTCTCAGAATCAAAATCGAATCCGCTGTCTTGTTCCTCCCAAGACGTATCGATGAATACTCCCAAGAAACGCAATTCATAGCCTTCAGGATCATAAGTCAATATTCATCATGTCACTCAGCAAGTGATTCTCATCCCCTTTGCACAAAAACGCCATGGTCCATCCTCTCTCACACCCACACCCTGACTAGGCCTGGGACGCAGGGCTGTAGGAACCACTTGCCAACTCCACAGGCTTGGCCTGAGAGCTCATCAGCTCTGCCCTCGTCCCAAAGCTACCCGGCATCTCCGAGGCGGTCCCGTCGCTATAGCCTGCCATTGCCCATCTATTGTTGTCCTCCTTGGTGGTGCTGCTGTTGCCTCCTCCGCCGCCCGAGAGTCCTGGGAGATGACGCCTGCGCCTCCTGCGGAAGAACCAGCAACTCAAAAGGCCCAGCACACTGATGGCGAGCACCGTGGCGGCGATGCTGATTCCTGCTGTGGCTGCAGTGGATAGGCCGGGGGAGGGGGAGGGAGAGTGAGTGGTGGGAGGTGTTGCTGAGGACGAGGCTGTCGCCGTGCTGGTTGGGTATGGCTGTGGCGGCACAGTCAGATGCAAAGCTCACACCTCTCTCTCTCTCTCTCTCTCTCTTTTCACTACTTGAAGATAGACAAGATCAAGAGATGGCGAGGGGTTTCAACTCACATAATACGTCGAAAAGTCATAATTATTAATAGGCCCCATCTCTTGAAAGGTAAACTGCTGCCCGGTCTGCGGCGCGGTGATGTTCGAGTCCATGTCCATATCAGATGTAGACTCCACATTCAGCCGCCAGTCCGACCCATTGAGCAGGTTGTAAAGATAATAGGACCCGTCTCCCCACGGCTCGATCTGCCAGAAGATGGACTCGTCCGCGACGGGATATTTCGCCACGATGGGCGTGGTGTGCCCGGTCGTGGCATCTGCGCCAACCTCGCCATCATTCAACGACGTAGTCGCCAGGTATGAGTGCGGCCCGCTGTCCAGGCACCGCAAGACGTAGGTCATGGTTGTGGCGTTGTAGATGTAGAACTGCCATGACTCTCCCACCACGGTGGAGTTGGTGTCCTTGAAGGAGACGGAACCCTTGGTATCGTTGTCTAGGTAGAGGGGGGTCCCGGCCAGAGACTGGCCGCTTTGCCTTGTCACGTTGACCCGGTACCAGGCGTTCTGGTTGAAGTTGAGAGATCCCATGGTCTTGTGCTTCCCCTTCTTTCCCTTCTCCTCCTTCTTTCTTATGTTCTTCTTTTTTCTTTTGAGGCAAGCAATAAATGAATTCAGGGAGAGGAATGGGTGAATGGTCTTTGGTGGCTCCTGGCCGTAGTTTGGGGGGGGGGGGGGGATTGTTAATAACTTTGCTTTTTCCAAATGAACAGTCCAGAGACAGAGCCTGTGAAAGGGAAAAGTAGGAGGGAAAAGGAAGGGAGGGGGGGGAGAAAGAGAGAAAGAAGAAAAAAAAGAGGATGAGTGCACCAGGGAATGCCGCCCGTGAGGCAGCGGAAACGCCTTCGGTGGGGTAATACATCAGATTCAGCTGGCCACCATATATGTTTCCAGGGGGCCAACTTCTTTTTCAATGTACTGTAAGTATGCAGGTCAGCATCATGTTCCTCCGGTCTCAGAATGCGCGTCTACCGCGCCTCTGTGAGATTGGTCTGGCTTCTCGTGTAACTCAGCCATGCCTAATTTGAAGTTCCTTTTGCCTCCCCCTGACAGCCTTGTCATCGATGGGAGCCTATTCTCGCGAGGGCACCTTGTCGGGCTCTGTTCTATCTGTGACTTTTTGTGGTCGAGTCTAGGCATCTGGAGTCCGTCCCAATATTTTTGCCACCAAGAAGAAGCCTTCATGGTTGCTTATGACTGGATCTCGAGACCACCCACGAGGCTTCACACAACAAGAATGGCAGGCTGTCCATAAAATTTCGCTGCAAGTTTTCATTGGCCGCTGGCTTGTACATGGTGGCCACCTCGGCTGCTTTCCCAGGCCAGCTGCGCGGACAGCAAAGTGTCCTGAGGAGGCGAAGTTGAGAAATTACAGTTCCGCTGCAGGTCTGACATCGCATGAAGTGCACACGCAATTAAACTCAAGAGACCTACGAGGAGCGTTGGGTTGCGTGTCGGAACCGGAATTGGTATCGTATGATGAGGTCGAGCCAATGGAGCTGACTTTCTTACACTGCGAGACTCAATTCGGCAACTCGCACTTTGGTGGAGCTGAGTAGATCCGATGGTACGCTGCAATAGCAGAACTGTGCGTTTATGTTCTCAAGACCGAGTGAGAGTGGTTTTGTTCTGCTCAAATCGACCCGTACATGCTCTGATGAATTGTTTATAAGAAATTGAGTCGACCTGCACCTCGAGTGAGTAACATGGACCACCCCCACCCCCTTTTCTTTCGTTGTTCTTTGATTAAATCGAGGATGACCTGGTTGCAAAATATGTCGGATGCTTCGTAAGCGAATGTCGTGAGACCAGCATATGAAAAGACTTTGTGGCACAGTACCCACCACAGCAGCATAATGAGCAGGACACAAAAGATGGTGAGAGTAGCCTAGTGCCTGCGCATTTACTCGTCGTCGTCAAAGGTGCTCAGTGGAATCGAGCACGAGACAGCAAAGTTGGGCATGTCCACCACCTCGGTCATTCGCAAGCTCGCGGCCACACTCGCCAGCATATAGCCCTCTTCCCTGGCCAGCCCCTTCTCCTTCTCCAGCCAGTCTATCAAGCCCCTGAGGGCCATCCTCGCGGCTTCCCTCGGGTCTGAGTGGATGCCCAGCGCAGCATAGGTGCCCCTGAGGTCATCTTCGGCGATCTCGCCCGACCGCGGCGGCGTGATGTAGTGCGGACACTTGAGCTCCATCCAGCCCTCGCCGCCGTCCTTCTTGACGACGCTCAGCCGCAGGCGGGCCCTCATCGGCGTCTCGATGGCGGTGCCGCATACCTCGCCGTCTCCCTGCGCGGCATGTCCGTCGCCGCAGCTGAAGAGGGCGCCAGGCACCTGAATGGGGAGGTAGACTGTGGTTCCTACACCCAGGTACCGGGTGTCGATGTTCCCGCCCGATAACGCATACGGCGGGATGGTGCTGAGCTCGTCGGGCCCCGCGGGGGCGATGCCGATAACGCCCAGAAAGGGTCTGACAGGCACAGAGATGCCGGGCTTGAATACGGCCCTGCGTGGACCACTGTTGGCCCCGCCGGCAGCAGCACTGGTGATCGAAGGTCGGAGTGAAGCCTCGCGCAGATCCCAGACCCTGACGTGCTGCTCTGGGAACTCATCAGCGAGGAGGCCAAAGCCCGAGAAGATGGCGGTCCAGCCGTAGTCTGCAGTGTCCAGGGCGTTGATCTCGACCTTGAGGATGTCGCCTGGCTCAGCGCCCTCGATGAAGACAGGACCAAATGCCGGGTCGACCTGGGCCAAATCGAAGTCGGCGAGGGCGGTGGTCTCGTTGTCGGGGCGGATTTGGTTGTTGCCGCCGTCGTGTAGGTCGAATGTGATTTCGGATCCCGAGGGGACGGTGAGGGCTGGTGAGATAGCGTTGCTCCATTTGAAGTGGCCCTCGGAGGGAGAGATATGAAAGGAGTGGGCCATCTTTGTTGTTCTGGTTTGTGGCTCGTTCAGAAGAATTTGGTCTGTAAAGAAGAAGGGAAGTGAAGAGGGGGGGGGTTAAGAGGCCATTTTAGGCTGGTGGTTCAAATCGATCTTCGATCGTCTTTCGATCATTCAAGATCTGTCAGTCACACTATCTCTGGTGGGCTCAGTGAGAGCCCAGATTTTCACTAATAGAGATCTGACCCTTATAGTGAAATACATATTTCCTCACTGATTAGATTCCAGATCATTAACTTGAAAGAGTTGGATGATGGAATCATGGATTAACTTGAAGGCAATCCGCGGACGCCGGTTACTAAGTTGGGGTATGTATTTACTATAGGCCAAGAAAAGTTTACAGCGCCTTTCAGAGCCTTTCAGAGCCTTTCCAGCGCTGCACGTGGGCGCGCCGGGGCCTCCCAGGGCCTAATCTGCCAGGGGTTGATGGGGGGTGAGGGCCACCAGATAGGGAGCCAAGTGCACTATCAACTTCCATCACTGGTCATCGTCACACATCAAAGTTCAAGATAGAGAAAAAAACACGAACATGATGCAGTCATTCCCTCAGCACGCACATAATTTTCTTTCCAAGACTTTTATGTCTCAGGTGGCCTGATAAGCAAAGTTCTACTTTGCCATCTCATCTCACCATTTTGAAGGGGCTGAATCCTGCTATTTTGACACCTTCCTCTGCAAAACCTGAGCCCCAAACCTGAGCAGACGTCGTCTCTTGCTCACCACCAACGACGACAACAACCCCCCCCCCCCCGGCTTCCAATTCCTCTCTCAAAATGGCTTTCACGATGCACTCCCACTCGGGCCAGTTTTGCCCTGGCCACGCCAAAGACCAGCTCGAAGATGTCATAAAACACGCCATCAGTATAGGCTACAAAACCATGGGCCTAACAGAGCACATGCCGCGCACCGGCCTGGAAGACCTCTATCCCGAGGAGATGGACGACCCACAAGGCTCCCTTGCCGTGCTCATGCCCCGCCACGACGACTACCTGCTCGAGGCCCAGAGGCTGCAGGCCAAGTACGCAGACCAGCTCCACATCCTCATCGGCTTCGAGGGCGAGTTCATCCGCCCCGAAGTGTACGCCCCGCTGGTCCGCCAGCTCGCCGCGCACCCTTGCGTCGACTACTTCATCGGTTCCCTGCACCACACCTGCGGCGTGCCCATCGACTTCGACAAGCCCTTGTACACCAAGGCGCAGGATGCTGCGGGGGGTAGCGAGGAGAAGCTGTACGCGCGGTATTACGACGAGCAGCACGCCATGCTGACGGCGCTGCGGCCGCGGGTCGTGGGGCATTTCGACCTGATCCGGCTTCTGAGCGAGGAACCTGGCCGGAACGCCAAGACGGCCTGGGATGGGCGCGTCTGGGACAGGATTGTGCGGAACCTCGAGGCTGTCCGGGCCTGGGGCGGCTGGCTGGAGTGCAACAGCAGCGCGCTGCGGAAGGGCTTGGCCGAGCCGTACCCTGCGCGGCCCATCGCCGAGGAGTGGCTCCGCATGGGCGGCAGATTCACGCTGTCGGATGATAGTCACGGCATCGCGCAGGTCGCTACCAATTACAGGAGGGCGCTGGACTATCTCGAGTCCCTGGGCGTGAAGGAGGTGTGGACGTTGCAGAGGACGGAGGGGGAAGATGAGGAGCAGCAACAGCAGCAGCAGGAGGAGGAGGAGCCTGCTAATGCCCGGAAGAAGAACAAGGCTGTGCTAAAAGAGGTCAGTGTCTCTTTGGACGAGGTTCGCAGGAGCTTGGCATAGGTAGGGGAGGATGTTTGACTACAGGAGATAAGATGTTCGCGACCCATAAGGACTTAGATCAATAGAACAAGACAGAATTAGGTATTTGCTACCCTGCAGAGTAACATCAAGAGCACTGTGTCACATTGGCGACACAGAGATTATTGTCGTTGTTGTATGGTGTTGTTTTGTATGGTATGCATTGTTAGCTACCACCTAAACATGCGCCTTCAGACAGTAACTTGCCTGACCAATTGACCCACGTCTCGTTCATGATATATTAATACATCATATAGCTATACCTATGGAATCGTTTTTTCCCTTTTTCCCCTTTTTTCCCCATAAAGATTGGAATTGATTGGCTTACAGTCAACACATTGCCATTGGTGACGACCAACTTTCTACCTGCCAAGGCAATTATATGCATGCCCTGCACCACGAGAAAAGCCCAGCCTAGGATTTCGTCGTGCCGTAGCGAAGGAAGGAGACGGTGTGGGCGTACGGCGGAGACCGGCGCCGGAGACCAGTTCCTCACTAGGCCAGAACAGGAAACAAGTGTCAACGGAAAGGCGTGTTTCTACACCAAAGGAACCACAGGACGTTCGTCCCTTCCTAATCCAAACCCACCCAGACCACTCACCCAGACCATAGCATGCACCCCATTGTCCCTCGTGCCTACCCCTCGGACCCTCGTTTCCCCTTCTGCTGCAACTGCAACAGGGCCCTATACCTAGCACTCGCTGCGAAGATGACTTTTCTTGTCAGCTGGGGCGCATCTCGACAACGACGTCGGACGGTCTGGCCACTTTCACAACACCTACACTAAGCAAGTGATTGGTTCCTCATCCTTGAGGCCCTTTGGCTCAAATCTATCTTGTTATCGGCGTTGCGTAAGCAAAGCACGTCTCGTCTCATTGCAACTACACCAAACTCTCCTCTCTCTCTATATACACATTAATCCTCAGAGAGTTGTCTTACAACTCACTCTTCTTCCTTTTTTTTTTTCCCCCTCTCACACATAATCCAAATCTTTACCCTTCCAGGTGCGGAAGAGAGAGAGAGAGAGAGTGTGTGTGTGTGTGTGCGCGTGTGTGACACGACAAGATCAGGGCGAAGGAAGGGAGTCTCAAGAGGGCCGAGTTTGTTCTTCCTCGGGCTCACTCATTGTCTCATTGTCTTCGTCCAAGGTCGAGCACAGAAAGACGTAAGAGTCGTGGAACTTGGTGGTTGCTTTCCGTCCTGTGATCTGGTCTCTGTTCCAGGACACGCACGTCTACATATCAGACGTATGGCCTTGGTTGGAAGGCCCACCCTCCTACAAATACATACACCGCACGCCTGGTCCAACTGAAGGGCGCGCCTGTGCCTAAAGGGCGTCCCGATTAGTGAGCCAGTCACTCCCACAGCGGGGCACTCTACTGTGTGCGCCCACACCTGCCAGCAGCCGTCTTCGATTACACCTTTGATACGGTCTGATACGGCGCCCTTTCTGGGGGTTGTATAGCACGCCCTACGACCCTGACAGCCCAACGAGCGCACACACCTCGCAGTCATGGCCGAATTTGTCAACTGGGACCACGCCGAGCAGGTCCCATCCGGATCTGCGAACCAGCCTCCCGGCTCTGGGACCAATCTCGATTTTGAGCCAGTGCCTGCTGACCATAATTTCGATCTGGCCTTGGCAAACATCGATGGGGATGACTTTTCCTTCTGGGCCCTGGAGCACTTCGAGACCAGCCATCTCATCCCTGGGCTGGATGAGATGGACGTCCAGAGCTCAGAGCCGTCGTGCGATGCGTGTCGGGCTAGTGGATCCGAATGCAGGCGAGTTGACGAAGGCAGGTCCATGATCTGCTGCACGAGCTGCGCCGCCCTGGACATCAGCTGCAGCTTCTCCCACTCTCCCGGCCGAGACAGTACTGGGTCGGGGGTTTCCCCTCCGAAACATGCGTCCGGCGACCACATTCACACCCTCCTTGAAGATGTGCAACAGAGCGATCTTCGCAGCAGTTCGTCTCCGGATTTAAACAATGCTGCCACCGGCAACGACTCTGGAAACGACAACAGCCCGAAACCCCCGGCCGTACCCAAGATAGGCGCCAGGTTCTCTCGAGACTCCGTGCGGATCCTCAAGACCTGGCTGTCCACTCACTCCCACCGTCCTTACCCTAACGATGAAGAACGAGAGCGCCTCCAGAAGCAGACCGGCCTCAACAAGACCCAGATCGCTAACTGGCTGGCTAACGCCCGCCGGCGGTCCAAGGGCAAGTTCCAGCGCACTCGCTCGACCTCGCCTAGCGTGCGGGGCTGGACAGGTGCCGTCGAGATCCCTCGGAGGCGTGGCACGCCTGCTTTTGAGTCCGAATACCTGAGTCCTCTCCAGAGATGGGAGAACTCCCCTCCCGGTACTATCTGCCCTTCCTCCTTGACTTGCCATAGTGCTGACAGTCCCTTAGAAAATGAACCAGCCAGCGTTACTGCCATTGCTTCTGCTATTTTGCATTCCAATCCAGACGATTCCGGTATCAATAGTCCTTTTAATCTGACCGACGATGATGCCGGCCGGTCGTGCAAGGGCTCATCGGCCAGCAGCTTCGGTACCTCACCATCGTCTGCCTCGTTTGCTTCTGCTTATTCTCGCGGCTCTCGAGGTTCCTTCCAGTCTTTCGACCAGAGGGGACGGAGGAGACGGCGGAGGCGGACGGTTCCAAAGCAATCGGGTGAGAAGCCAGGCCTGAACGCTCCTCCCAAGACGTTTCAGTGCACGTTTTGTACGGTACGTTGTGGTATTTTTGGCCGGAAGGATAGCTACCGGCGCTCTTGTGACCTGCTGTCTTTATTCTTCTCAAAGTTTCTAGGGAGACAATGTTACTAACCTACGCACAGGAGTCCTTCCGCACGAAGCACGACTGGCAGAGACACGAAAAGTCTCTACACCTATCTCTAGAAAGATGGGTCTGCAGCCCAAACGGGCCCAGGGCCCTCAATCCAGACGTCAACAAAATGTGCTGCGTCTTCTGTGCTCAAGCTGATCCTGACGACGCACATATCGAGAGTCACAATCATACCGCTTGCCAGGAGAAGCCACTCAACGAACGCACATTCTACCGCAAGGATCACCTGCGCCAGCATCTGAAGCTTGTCCACAACACAAAATACCTAAATTGGAATATGGATTCTTGGAAGGCTCCAACTCCCGATATACGCAGCCGCTGCGGGTTCTGTGGTTCAGTCCTGGGCACCTGGCCGGCTCGAGTTGATCACCTGGCTGAGCACTTCAAGACGGGCTCTGATATGAAGAGCTGGAAAGGAGATTGGGGCTTCGAACCAGCAGTCCTCTCCATGGTCGAAAACTCGATCCCACCATGTATGTACTCTCCAATCGTTCTTACGATGTTCGCAACCTCGTAAATACTAACACTACTACTCCGCTAGTCATGATTCACGACGAACGGACGACTCCGTTACCATTTCAGGCAGGCCAACATTCTTCGGAGTCTCCACGAAATGCGTACGAACTGCTCAAATTTGAGCTGGTTTCCATGCTCCAGGACCGACGAGATGCCAACGGAGCTACACTTACAGACGATGAGTTGCAACATGAAGCGTGCCGGATCATTTATGCCTCGGACGCCCTCTCTAAAGGCGAGATTGCCTCACATTTTAGCTGGCTCCGGGACCTATTGATGTCTCGAGATGAGCTGAGGCTGCGGGCTCAGCTGGGCCTGTTACGTGGCCATGCCGAAAACTATCTCGGCCAGCTGAGAGTCAATGGCAAGGACAACATTTTCGAAGGGTGTGCTTTCGAGAAACATCTCAGCGATTTCGTCCGCGCGAGAACGCTTCTCGGCCTGAGCGCGACAAATGAAGAACTGCAGGTTGAAGCCTGCAATATCGTCGGGAGGATGGAAGACGCCACCGTTGTGCCGTCCGAGGATTATGCGAATTTCCTCCTGCGTCTGATCCTGAGAAGTCCAACATGGCTGTCAAGCTTTCGTCAAAGGGCAGGCTTGCATCCTGCAGATGAGTCTTTTGACTCCAGCAACCAGAGTTTTCTCGCCCCCACGGTACAAAATTATTCACAGCTTGAAAGAGAGCTTGCTGAATTTGTCAAGAACCAGCGGGCAACAGATGCCAAGGATCCGTCAGACGATGAGCTTCAGAAGCAGGCTCGCTGCATCGTGTACAAGTGTCAAAACAGCTGGCAGCCTACGGCTGCTGACAACCCGGCATGGCTGACCGCTTTCAAACAACGATGTTCACAAGATCAAAGCCCTCAGCCGGTTTCAAGCAGCAACAACTCGCCGCCGGCTGGCACCGTCCAGTTCAACAACTCGAGTATGAGTGATATTGCCGACATCACAAATGCGGCGGCTGCTTTCAACAGCTTCGGATCAGTCCCTCCAGCAAGCCCAGCTACACAAGACACTAACATCTTAAGGCAAGGTGGTCACCTCTTCCTCAACGGGTCCGGCTGCTATCGCCGCCTGGCGAGAGAGCTAGCTAGATTTGTGGGCGCTTCGATGTCGCCGAATAATCCGAATCAGCATGTGCCAACAGATCAGGAGATACAACATCAGGCTCGATGGATAATATATGACGAGTAAGTCTTGGTTGGCATCTTGAGTCTCTGCCACTATCACAATATTGACGTATGCTTTCAGTGACGACCCTTTCAACCACACACCAGCCGACAACGCAGAGTGGCTTCAGCATTTCAAACGCTCGGTGGGTATTATTCCTGCGGATGTAGAGGGCAGCGACTTGTCACAGCCATGGGGCAGTGAGACTGGGGGGCCTTCTGGTCCAAAGCAATGGCAACAGCAGAACATGACTTCCACCGCATTCCAGAATCCAGTCTCTGCGGCAATTCCTTCCTTGGCGTCCACGCAGATTATGCAGATGAATAATGGAGGTCTCTGTGACCTTGCTATGAGCTCATCAGTCGGCGCGATGGAGCTACCGCTGATACCGGACCCCGGGGCGGTGTTTGCAAGTCGCGAGTTCGAAAACAAGCTCGTGCAGTTTGCGGTGGCAGAGGTGGCTAGCTCGGGCCGCATGCCACCAGATGAGGCCATCCAGGCGCGGGCGAAGGAGATCTTGGGGATGGAGGTCTGGCAGGCGCAGACTACACCTGCGGATGACGCTGTTCTGCTGGTCAAGTTCAAAGAGCTGGTAGTAAACAAAGTGAAGGCGGTTTTGGGTGGTCACAATGAAGTATCGAGCGGCCACAACGCACATCACCCAACGACGATGGCTCCGGCAATCCATGCGCCGGAGAGAGGACTAGACGCGATAGACCCGGGCTTGCTGCCTGCTCTGCAGCCGGGTAATGATCTGAAGAGGAGCGGGTCATCCCCTTTACCTGCTGATGTGCAGATTGCGATATCAGAGGAGAAATTGGACGAGATCATCAAGGAGATCGGCGCAGAAATATGAGCGCAGAGATAGTAAGGCATCACGAGGTCGAGCACGAGATTTAGTTTTTTCGCGCGGTAATATTGAAGAGGTGCGATGATACCAGAAACATACTGCAACGGGGAGGAATGTAAACCTCAAAGACGTCTATAGAAATGAGCAAATTTCGGTCTACGCCCCCCCATTGAAGGTTCTCGACACGCCGTGCACCTGCACGGACGACATCCAAGGATCTGTTCATGAGAGGGACGGGGAGCTTACGGAAGAAGGTTCCTCAATCCTCCAAGAACTACACACCCTGCAGAAAGTCGTTGAGAAGCGACTCTACAGACTTGGAATCACCTTGTCCCAACGGATGCTCAACCGCAAGCTCCCTCACAAGCTCGGCATGCGCTTCACTCCTCGGCGCAATACTCACTGAAAAAGGCAGCGCATGCGCAACAATGCCCGACGACTGGTGTCCAAAGACAGGTTCGATCTCCTTGCCCTCTTCGTCGAGGGCCTTGGATACATCCAACACTGCCAGCGCCTTGGCGATAACAAGAAAGATACCCTCGTCGGCCAGCCTCTTCCCGGGACAGATCCTCCTGCCGAAACCAAAGACGAAGCTCGACGGGTCCGGCTCACTGTGGGGGGCCAGGTACCGCTCGGGCTTGAAGGTTTCTGGGTCGTGGTAGACGTCTGGGTCGCGGGAGAACCAATGCACGGCGGGGAGCAGGATGGCGTTCTTGGGGATGCGGTAGCCGCGGTACTCGTCCTCGGCATCGGCCAGGTGTGGCACGCCCAACGGCGCGACGGGGAACCAGCGCAGGACCTCTTTGACCAGGCTGGAGACGTAGGGAAGCTTGCTACGGTCCTGTAGGCCGGGCAACCTCTTCTTCTCGCCGCCGTCGGCACCCGAAGTCCGCAACAGCTCGTCCACCTCTTGCTGGGCCCGCACCTGCACCTCGGGATACATGGACATGGCGAGGAAAAAGATCTGCAGCATCTGGGTCGTGGTCTCGACGCCTCCGGCGTGCAGCGAGGTAGCCGAGTACTTGATATCGTGCTCGCTGACATCGGAACCGGCATCTCGGGCGCGCAGGAGATCGCCCACCATCGAGGGTCCAGGACGCGTCGCTGCCGTCTGCTTGACGAAGCGGAAGGGAACCTCGGCGCTGGCGCGGTTGTTCAGCAGGGCGGCACCGGCGTAGTCCTTGAAGCCGGTCCCTGGGAACCACTTGGGTACGTGCTTGACCCAGGGGATCATGTCGACGAGCCAGCGTCCTGGAAGGCTCGCCTCGGAAAAGCTTGCCATGACCTGGTCGTTGAGCCGGGTGAGGGGGTCGCCGTTGTTGTCATGCTCCTGGTGGTAGTGGTAATCGATACTGTAGTTGAATAGGATCCTCAACACGATGGCGCTCGTTGACCTTTTCAACGTACGTTGTTTTTGTTTTTTTGGTTAGAATCAGCCAAAATAAACCCCCATTCAGATATACATCTTTCCCTCCCTCCCTCCCTCCCTCCCTCTCTCTCTCTTTGCTCTCAAAGAGAGAGGAGGGGAAGAGGGAGGAAATCCTTTCATGAACTCACATGTGAAGTGCATGCTCCAGACCATCAGGCTCCCGCAGCATCTTCCCGTCCACCAAGTTCACGAGAAGCCTACCAACCTCCACGTCCATCAAGCCGCTGAACCTCTCGAGGGCCTTTGACGTGCCGATATGCGTCTGCGCCAGCCTTCGGAATGACTGAAATCTCGGACCAGGCTGTTGTGATACGAGAAACATGTCAAAGCCACACCTGTTTTTGGTTTTCCCAGTCAGCACCCATCTCCACTGTCTTCAGCCCCATTGTGCTCTTCTTTCGTTCTTTGCACACCTCTTCATTACTCACATTTCGTTCGCAAATGTCCCAGTCGGCCGTGCAGAGTACTTGACCGCCCTCTTCTCCATGAGCTCCGAGGCGGCCTCCCTGTCGTGGATGATGATGAGGGTCTGGCCCAGGACGGTCACGGAGCTGATGGGGCCATAGAGGGACTTGTGTTTGAGCCAGTGGCGCCAGGGGATTTGGCCTTCGGGAGGCAGGTCAGTGATGTTGCCGAGGAGAGGCCATGGCTTGGGGCCTGGTGGGAGGGGAAGGTTGGAGCGCTGGGAGGAGAGTCTTTGGCGGAGCAGATAGACGAGGCCTGAGAGGAGGAGGGCCCCCAAGGTGAGGCGTAGACCGAATTCTCCGCTCATGGTGGGCTCTGGCTAGAAGAGAGTATGATGCCTTCTTTTTCCCCCTTCCTTCTTTTTTTTTTTGATATCTATTGGTAGTAGCTTGGTCCCCTGGCTGGCTGCTACTCTTGCTGCTGGGCAAATTCCCCTCAGAAAGGCATGTATGGGAGAACAGCACTCCAGTTCAGAACGCTCCCTCGCCCTTAACATATATAATCATCCTTCAAGGGTAGATCCCTTTTCCTCCCCTCTTCTCTGTCTCAAGGAAGAAACCCTACCAACCAACCAATCTCGCCGTAAGAAACTTAGATACATAATTGAGTGGTAGCCTAGAGGGGAGAGAGGGGCCGGCGGGCTTGGTATTGCCACTCGTACATAACACTTATCAATGCATGGGTGTAATCAAGCATGCCGTCATGTTCATTGGTGCGGCAATATTTCTTATATACAGATACGCAAGCAAACTTATTTTGGCTATTACTCATCCGCCTTGATCAGTTTGTTATCATCATTTCAAGCATTAGGACTGGCCAGCTACTTTGAGATATAGCTTAATGACCAGGAAGAAGGCAGAGGCGAGAAAGAAAGAAAAAAAATAGATGGGGAAAATCAAGAAGGCAAGACGGACCTCACAGGACTTATACACTTCTCCCTCAAGACATGAGATGGGAAAGTCTTGTCCTCAGATACAGCTTCAGCATCGAACGTCTGAGCTCGGCATGTACACCAGCCTCGGCACCAATCACAGTCCACCCACACAAGGCCTGAATGCGAGGGCGACGAGTCCGATGTCCAGAACGGGACATTGAGGACGAGAGAAGGTTCAGAGGTGGTGGAGATCTGCTCCCGCGCGTCTGCTCGCGCGCCCAGAGTTCAAGCTATTTTTCCCTTTCAACTCAGCACTCAGTCGATGCAAGGAGACCTGACCCTTCACTGATACCTGAGCCTGAGCCCTCGTCCGCCAAGATTGGGAAACTCATCCTCCTCAGGTGCCAATCTCCCTTTCATTATCGGCCTCATCCCTCAAGCCCGTGGCTCCCCACCACCTCAGTGGACTCGATGAATACCGCTGCTCGTGTAGCTAACCCTACACCCAGTAATGTTGTTCACAATCTCCCTCGTTCAGGCAGAGCCGGAGGAGATCAGCTCCCAGGTCTGGGAGACGACTAGGGAACTGGCCGCAGGGTTGATCGTCGCGCGATTTTGGCCGGGATGGGGGGAGGAAGGAAAAGAGAGGGGCGGCTGGTCCTGCCGTAGAGCGTTGGCGCCTTGGCTGGGACTTGTGGTAGACTCTCGGCCTGAATGGGCCTCAGGGTCTTGAGAAGTCTTGCCTCGGAGACATCAAAGTAGGCCACACTAGCACCCGAGGCCGTTGCACCGGGACAAGGAGGAGGAGGAGGACGACGAGGAGTCGTTAGCTGCCGAGTAGCTGTCACATCGTACCAGAGTTAAGAACATGTGATCTACGGCCGCAGCATGCTGACAGCTTTGTGGGGTGGTGGCTGGGCTGCACACCCTCTCCCAACACAGCAGAAGCACATGTATTCTTACATGTGCCTTGGAGAGCGTGGCGAGAGAGACACTAAGAACAAGGCCGTATGTGTGCAACTACATCTGGATGTGACTTACTAATCCTTGTGCAACGGCCAGGAAGTTTCTGCCCTGCCGACAGCAGAGGCGTGCTTGCTACCGCTCCGGGAAGGGTGGCCGGCCATTCTTGTGTTTAGCCGGGAGAGCGAGTCATACTCGTTGAACCTCGAACCAAAAAGACACAGTTCCCACTTGGTAGTATGTGAGAGGTGCTCTCGTTCATGCAGAAAGGCAGTTTGTGTAAAAGTTCTAGCGTGAGCCAGGACGGAAACTTCCCCGCAGCCCGGGCGTGATGGCCTTGACCTTTGCTTGACCTTCAGATTTGGAGCCAGGCAGTTTGAGTGAAGTGACAACTCTAGGGAGGAGTTAGCACCAAGCTTGGAGAATGATGGGCCTGGGATGGGCCTGCGGAGAGCAAGAAAATACCCGCGGCGGGCCGCCAGAGCTATCTCTCAACACAGTCCTGAGCCTTTTCCGAAGTGCTAACTGTGGGATGTGGGTGGGGTGGACATTGGGAAGTATTCCGAGGTACCCAGCCTGCCAGCTTAGAAAAGAGATAGGCGTTGAAGAACAGATAGTCGACAACCCAGGCCACATCGCAATGCCAAAGTAAACACAATACAGCCTCAGAAAAAGGAGAGAAAGACTTTCTTCTCCTTCACAGACTCTGTGCTAGCCCCAAATGCCCGCAGTTTACAATGAATATATAGTAAAAGCACATGCTCTTTAAATCCAAAAGAGGAAATGAATAGAAGCGTACTTGGTTGTAGGGACAAATGATAGGGCCACTAGCAACTAGCTGGCGCTCATTGGGCCTCATATGTAGCTTTTTTTTTTTTTTTTTTTTTTTTTTTTTTTTTTTTGGTGGTATCAGTATAATAGTGCTGCAGACGGTGCATGGCACACGGCACACGCAGTTCAAGAGGGGCAGCACTCCGAGAGACGTAATGACATTGCCGGCGAAAAGGACGTCAAGATTGCGACATTACGACTCTGCCGACCAAATGAACAAGAAGAAAAAGTGTCTGTCCCTTCGCTTGAGAAAGTACAAGCCTGTAGGCAAGTTTTGGCTATCAGGCATCTGATCTGCTTGAGTATGCAGAGGGTCAGTGAGGTCTGGAGAGCCTCCCCCTCCCCATAGTCGCAGGGGTAGAATGAGGGCTGGCTGGCCATGAGTCCCCGACCCGATGTCGCCCTCCAGCCTCGCTTCTTGCCTGGCAAGCCGAGAAGGGCTGTTCGTTGCGAGCACTACCATGGATCAGATCCATATCGGATTGAAGGAAGGGAAGTCTTGTATTTAGCCGGACAGGCTCTCCTTGCCTGATAGACCGTTTCCTACGGGAGAGGCCCATGGCCTTGTGGACGATAGTGTGCTCACTATACCGAGCGGATGGCACTTGACCACGCCGCTCGTGCATAAGTATCACCGACGTACCTCCATGGACCCTTGTTCCAGCACTCAGCTTTTGATGATCGATTTGCCTCGATTTGACAGTAGAGTGCGGGGAACTGGTTAGCCCGGGGCTGTGGAGTGTGAAGGGCAGACAGGAAGTGACTTATACTCCCATGGCAGCCCGTTCGTAGTTAGGGGGTCGGGGGAGGTGGAGTACAACAACATGGCAGCGGTAGGTACCTATGAAGGCGGCAGGAGTGGTTGATTAGCAGCTTTGTAACCATGGTAATTCGTGGTTTGTGAGTCGGCCAAAAATAGCCGGCTGGGAGACTCGTCCGCCTGGAAGTGCTGCTCAGAAAGGTTATTAGGGACTGCCCCCCCTCCAAAAAAAAAAAAAAAAAACCAAAAAAAAAAAAAACCCAGGGCCGATGAGTACGAGTAAGCATTTAAAAAGGAAGTGGAAATTTTGCATTCAATCATGAAAGCCAAGCTGTAACAGGGATGAGAATCTCATAGGCCAATTAGGCTGATGAAGCCTTTTGGAGGGGGAGGCCGCATTCTATTACTGGGGCGGACGCGATGCAGCGCAAAGCCAGGAATGCCACTGCTAGCCTTTCCGGCTCAGGAAGGATATTGAAGATCTCCGCGGGCGACCGAGGTAATGTATGTGTTCCTGGTATTGACCTGCTCGGGCTGCGGTTCGACACAGCGTCGCCGTGTCGCCAACAACGCTGTTTGGCTTATTGGTAGGTAGGCCGTTGCCTTTTGTAATACACCATAATTTGGCAGTGGAGGAGTTGATCAGTCAAGTTGATTTATTGTGAGCTCTGACTGTCTATGAAGACGTAGTTGTGCATATTATATCGCCATGAGCATGAAGCACAAGCTATTGGCCGTTGCTCTTAGCGCTATACAGGGCAGCTCGTGATGGAGTATAAATCTGCTGCTGCATACATGCCGCGGTCAGGATAGTTTGCAGCCGACCAGACAAACTGCTGCAACGCTTCGTCCAGCCTGCGCCTACAGTGCAGGCGTTACACCAGTGGAGAACGTCACATCCACTGGTCAAGTTCAGTTGGTGACTTGCAATCAGCTTGGTGTTGTTCCTGCAGCCCCCAGTGTGGTAGCACACGGCGGATGATACCAGGAAATCGCTGCGCCAACATCAGCAATTTTCAATGGTTCTGTTGGTCCACGTGGACGGTGACAAGTTAGACGAGACGGTATTCGGCAACGCCAGACGCAAGAATTCCTTGGTATCGAGATTATGTCCACGTCACAATATTGAAACCTTGACACGAGATGGAGGCCTGCGAGACAGGCTTGATCAGCCGCAAAGTCAACGGTCTGATGTACACTGTATATAACATTGAGGAAAATCTGCAATGGGAACGGCGTTTTTTGCCTTTGGGGGGGGGGGGGGCCAAGAGTTGCAACCTGCAAGGTCTGACAGAGGGCCCCAAGGAGTTTCAATCATACCTAAGCTGGCTGTGGTACTTCGAGACGTTCATGGGTATGGTCCTAGCTGATTCGATGAGTACAATGTGTTGGGGAAATACGGGACAGGTGACAAGTTCCTTATTGCTCGCGCCAGTCGATCATATGTTTCCCAACGCAAGGACGAGTGGGCCGCTGTCTTGGTCTACAACGGTAAGCGAAAGACGACACTTAGAGGGAGGGGGGCCCGTCAATTCAGGCACTACTGATGCTAGATTATGCCTGTTTCAACAGACTGAAGCGCAAGCATAACCATGCACAGTGGTGCCCCAAAATCATGTCTGCCAAACATCCTCAAGAGCCCTGTGGATAGTAACAATGTCGGACGAAAGGCAAAAGCAGCTGACTAGGTTGGTCTTTCGGGGGCATAATTATGCCCCGAATCGCCAAGATGAAGGATTTATGGGACACAGCCATATACTCCATTCCAAGGCGGATAGTCACCAGTATGAGTAACCAGCATATATGTGGGACCACACAACACCTAGACTCCCAGATTTGGTTCAGCGAAGAAGCCTGCAGCCGTCAGGAGGACCATGTTGCCATCCACTATTTTCATCGAATATGTGGATGAGGTACAGGTTGGGCAGTGTATCCTGCTTGATGCTAGCAAAACTAGAGCTCGAATAAAGCAATGCCGAAGGAAGAGAAAAAAGAAAGGGAGAGAAAGAAAGAAAGAAATCACGAAAATGTAGTTAAATCAGGGTAAAAACATAAGTAAGAGCCTCAGAAGCAAATCCTCCACCCATATCATTGACATGGAGCCGTGCAAGGGGATCTTCTCTGCGGTGCTTTTTTGTCCGGTTTCGGGTGTGCAGTAGGACAATTCGATAGTAGGCGGGTGGTTGCAGAGAACAATGAAAGATGTGTACAACCAAAGAGAAGAACTGTAATCGCCATTGGCAAGCATGGTAGATGAAGGACGGCCGCTGTCGAGGGTGTGGTTGTTGTGCGCAGAGGTCCTGAAATTTGGACCAAGTCCAGACTGAAGCTGACTGGTGGAAGGGGGAAGGACAAGGTCGCGGCGTGTCTGATGAGCCAGAATGCTCTTGGCAGCCAGGGATGCCCTTGCTGTGCTCCGGCCTATCACTGTGTCTCTGGGGTGCGCTATTCTGTACTATGGTAGTTCCTGATTTACCCCACTGGCTTTGGAGTAGGAGCGACGTTGTATGTACATTGTACTATGGTACCACACCATACGGGATTGTCTCGGAGCACATGCGACCCCATATATGGTGTACATAGTACTGTAAAGTATCGGTGGTGAGTGTCCACACCCGTCGGCGCTGCCTCGCCGGGCTTCAAACTCGCTGCTTTTTCTTTCTGCACGTGGTGCTTTTTCCTGGGCTGGTTCGGTTGAGTCTCGGCTGCTGAGGATGAGAAGTCTCTGTCTAGAAGTGCCTCTTGTGGGTGGTGTGAGGGTGAGTGTGGGTGAAATATGTGTGGGTGTGTATGCGCAGGTGCGTGCGTCTGTAGGTGCGTGCTGAAGGAAGTACTTAAAGGCTTGGTCCCATAGCCGCCAGCTTACTAGAACCGAGGGCCTGAATGGTGTCGGCACAATCCCGAAACGAAGCATGAATATCGTATCATAAATAAAGATGAGACCCACCAGGATGACTTGTCGTATGAGGTATCATGAGGTGGTCCAAAAAAAAAAAGAAATACAGAAACATGTAGAGTCCAATTTCAGTTTGCAGTTGTAATTTGGTAGTAGGTATCCAGGCACGCACGGGAAAAATGGAAGGCACAGATAGGCATCGAGCTACCAAGGACACTAATAGCAAGCAGCTGGGAGCAGGAACGACAGGCACTGTTAGTGACGTTGTTTCCTCATGTCTCGTGAGAGGTACCCCTGTTCCTTCCAGACCCAAACTAGAAGGCCTCATAAACCTTTGATTCACCATGCACTTGATTTATGAGGCGTCGATGTGAGTGAGCCTGGGAGGATCAGCCCAACAACCCCACGCAAGCCAGGTTCCTCTTTCAAGCCAGAGTCAGGACGAGGCGTTACTTATCTAGAACACTGAACATCAAGATGATGCTCGAGTCTGTTTGTGGGAATAAACACAATCTTTCTTTGCCGTCCGGCCCCCTTCCCTTCTTCTTACTTTCCGGCAACCACAGAATCCCTTTTCCCGAGTTTCATACCTCGAGAGCCAATTTCCCATGTTCAATGCTCGTGAACAGGGCATAGGACTTTCTTCCGGGCTCTCAGAACAAATATTGAGTGAGGGGAAGCAGCAATCAGGGGACGATCCACGAACCGACACCAACAACCCTAGAACATCCATCCATCTTCACTCGTCTGACACCCTCCCCCCCTGCCGGCTTGGCTTCAGTAGCTGACATAGGCTGCTCCAGGTCAACTCATTCTTCTTGATATCGACGTTATTTCCCACGCCTGCTCTTCTCGAATCCCAAAGACGTGACCCCTTGTCTCTTCTCTCTACTCCGCGAAAGACTTCCTTATTCCATCACCCCAGATTCATTTCTCTACGGTCCGGGATCTCCACACCACCCGCACTTGGGATGAAGTGGGTAGTATTTTACTACCCAAAGCTAACCCTGCAAGCCCTTCACGAATCTGGAATGGCGGAGTGACCCCGGATTTTTGGCTCCAACATAAGACCCGCGGAGAGCCCCATTCAGTGGTGTCTTCCTCTGGCTCGTCCCGGCTGGGCTGGCCTTGTCTCTACCTCCTCCCGTGTGTAAACGCCACTCATTCGACGACCCTCACTTACTCCTCTCCTTTCGCCAGTCAGCCCACTGACTTGTCTATCTGCGGACTGCGATAACCTTTGCTTAAAATAACCCCAGGCCTGTCTGGACTGGCAGAAGACGTAGTAGTCCAGACGAGGCCAAGTCGGCTGGAGCTTTTCCTGGGGGGGTGGAGAGCCCAGGCCTTACACGCACGTTTCTTCTCCTGCGACATTCTGGCGGCCACGAGCCCTCGTTGTACGAAGCGATGGCGCCTTCGTCCACCGGGGACTCCCCCCTTTCTGTCACGACGACCGCGGTGGCAAGCACCGTGAGGCCTTTCTCTGTACCAACCAGGGACGATTTCTCAATCGACATCGCGGTTCCTGCCCTCCCCACCACCAATGGCCATGGCTCTTTGAAGTCCCCTCTCAAGTCGCCGACAGCCCTGAAGACCCAGCGCCAAGCCAGCTTCAGCCGGGAAGGCATTCTCGGCTCTGCACAGAAAACGAGAAACATGTCGCAGTCATCAGACAACCGCCAGGAGGCTGTCAGCATGCAGAAAGAAGGCAGCGAGGAGGGGACCAACCCTCTAAAGCGGAGGAATACCGACGCCGGTGTCGACTATCCGCGGAGGCGTGCTACTATTGCAGTATGTCAAGGAACCATGACAAGCTATCATGTCTTTCTTTTCTTTTGCCATCCTCCTCCTTCTTTTACTGACCATCTCAAACAGTGCGAGGTCTGTAGATCTCGCAAAAGCCGCTGTGATGGCACGAAACCGAAATGCAAGCTCTGCACCGTAAGTGAGCTCCATGGATGGCCTGGCTACCTCTGTGTATTAGCTATACACACTGGAGTGTATTCAAGTATAGCCTTTACTGACCACTTGTCTAGGAACTTGGCGCTGAGTGTATCTACCGGGAGCCGGGCATCAAGCTCGATGCGGGAGACAAACTCATCCTTGAACGGTTGAATCGCATTGAAAGCCTCCTCCAGCTGAACATGGTAAACCAGTCAAACGGCGTCAACATCACCCAGGACTCACCCAGCCTGAGCAACGGCACTGCGCTCAACGGAGAAAGCCTCTTGGTGCCAAACGCCAACGGCAGCTTTCTGTCTGTCATTCCTAGCAGCGGGATAGGCACTTGGGCTCCCAACGGGACCAACATCTCCACGATGCCCAAGATCCACACGAATGCTGCTCTTCATCTTCTGCAGTGGCCATTGATCCGTGATCTCGTCTCGCGCCCCTACGATCCGCAGATCCTGCTTCAGCTCGAAATGGCCAGAGAACCGCTGCACTCCCTAACCAAAACACCGTGTGTTGATCTTTCCAATACAACAGCCTACATCGAGGCATACTTCGAGCGAGTTAATATCTGGTACGCCTGTGTGAATCCGTACACATGGAGGAGTCATTATCGGAGTGCGCTGTCGAATGGTTTTCGTGAGGGCGCCGAAAGCTGCATCGTCCTCCTGGTCCTTGCGCTCGGCCAGGCTAGCCTGCGTGGCAGTATCTCCAGGGTCGTGCCACAAGAGGACCCTCCTGGGCTCCAATACTTCACGGCGGCTTGGGCCCTGCTTCCTGGTATGATGACATCAAACAACGTACTTGCGGCCCAGTGTCACCTCCTCGCATCCGCCTATCTTTTCTATCTTGTTCGACCCCTCGAGGCATGGAACCTGTTGTGTACTACCAGCACCAAGCTCCAATTGCTCCTGATGTCACCCAACCGAATTCCTTCCGAGCAGAGAGAGCTGACCGAGCGTATCTACTGGAATGCCCTGCTGTGCGAGAGTGATCTGTTGGCAGAGCTCGACCTCCCGCACTCCGGCGTCGTCCAGTTTGAAGAAAACGTCGGCCTACCGGGCGGATTTGAAGGAGATGAGAATGAGGCAGTTGGGCGCGATGATCTCTGGTACTTTCTTGCGGAGATTGCACTGCGGCGGCTGCTGAACAGAGTCAGCCAGCTTCTCTACTCCAGAGACTCCATGGCAACCACGACGAGTCTGGAACCCGTCGTCGCGGAACTCGACTTTCAACTGACGCAGTGGTATGAGAGTCTACCGTTGCCACTACAATTTCCCTTCTCGAGGACGATGCTACCGGATCCGATCCAGACCGTCTTACGCCTACGATTCTTCGCGTGTCGGACCATCATCTACAGGCCATATATCCTTGTTGTTCTGGATAACGAACAAGCAGTCTTGGACCCTGCTGTGCGTGATAGCTGTCACAAATGTCTGGAGGCTTCTATTCGGCAGTTGGAACACATCGCTGCTCAGTAAGCTGCCCCTTAACCCTCACCAACTAGAGGAAGGTACAAGCTAAGGCTAACAATGAATTGTAGTCATGCTGGCCATATGCCTTATCTGTGGCAAGGGGCGCTGTCTATTGTTTCGCAGACATTGTTGGTGATGGGCGCTACGATGTCACCATCTCTCGCAAATATTCTCTTGACGCTAGTTCCCCACAGGGATACCATTGATCAGATCATAAACGACGTCGTCATGGAGATTGAGCGATATGCCGTTCTTGCCCCAAGCCTCAGCCTAGCCGCCGAGATCATTAAGGAGGCCGAGGTTCGGAGGAGGGCTTACCTGAACGGATGAGGGAGCAAGTTGCCTTTCTCCCTATCTGAATCGACATCTACGATACATGAGAAACGAGAGACGTGTCCGCGACCCATTTGCATCAAAGGATTCTGCGAGCTCGGACGGTGCCGGGGGCGGTAACGCGCATCAGACCAAGAACGAGACTGACTACTACTTCTTTATTTGGAAATGAGGACCACAAATTCTCAACGCAATCTACGTCCAATTTGGCAGAACCCTGGCCTGGGCCTTGGACCTTGGACCTTACAACAATGCGGTGTGTAGACGATGCATGTCGTCACCGGCAGCCGGGGCAACGGGATCACAATTTGTCTGTACGGAGAGGCAAGCTCAGTCACAGTGGTAACACCTATACTCCTAACGACTACTTTTCCTTTTTTTTTTTTAGCCTCCCTGGAACCAGATCTCGGATACCTCTCGAAGCTGGCCAAGAAACTGGTAAGGGCGGCTACGTCGCCACGCGACCACTGCAGATTTGAGCCAACTTCGAAATTGCCTTGTCGCCACCACTTGGCAATCGAGCTAGAGCAGACCTGTCGGCCTTTCAAGAAACCCCGGGACCAGAATCCGAGAAGTAAAGTCGTCTGCATCTTCAATTTAGGGGCTGCAGCATCATATGGGTGAAGCATGATGGTTGGCGGGCAATTTCGGATGGCGGGCCGACATGCCGCCACCAAAGCCTCTTCAGGTAACTCAAGCCTTTTCAGTCCACCAAACACAAAAGGGCTCCAATACTTGCTCTAATATGTCGACTGTCTGAGCATTAGCATCATCACCACCGCCGCCACCACCGCCGCCACCACCACCACGACGCTGAGTGGTGCTTGGAAAACTTGTCGTTAAACAGAGCCTTTCCGTATGTTTTGGGAGGGAACCGGACCCAATGTGCTCCGTCAACCTGACATGACCAAGGTCGACGTCAGAAACGACGTAGGAGAGGTCAATCACTCTGGCTGTTTGAAGGTCTCGGGGCGAAAAGGATGATCTTCTCTTTATTTTCTGTTCACCTACTGCAACGGGACAACCCTGTGTCACATCCAGTTTGGAGAGGCCAGGGTTTCGAGATGAGAGCATAAGCATGTGTGCTTACGGCTGCAAGTCGGCGTGCTCGGGCCCAGAAGGAACACTTGTATACGAATCTGACATTTGGGGGAGGCAGATGCTGGTCGTTCAGGATGGCAGCCTTGATTTTTTTCCTTCTTTTTTTTTTCTCCTTTTCTCCCCCCGAAAACCCAGCCTGGACGATCCGACAAAGAACATGTCACAACAGGACGTGTTCTTCACGAAGGGAGGTGGCTTTTGACCACAGGGAGGGAGCCTCCTGCATAGACATGGTGTTCAACGCAAATTCTCCGAGGGGCGGGACGGCAAAAGATTGACTGGTGGATATATGATCATGAACGTAGGGAAAGAAGGCTTACTTGCCCCCCCCCCCCACCACCCTGTGTTTTTTGTATTTACCTCATCTTCCTTTTGAGCATGCAAAGAGGACATGTCCTCTACCAAGATCGGTCTCAATCCGGGTCATCAACGAGGCGTGCTGGTTCCACGCCGAGTCGACCGGAGGCCGCGTCTATCATCCTCTCAGCTTTCTACCTTCCTATCTGAGCAGCCTCGCTAGGAGAGATCAAGAATGATCAATGCTGAAATCTGATTATGAGAAAATTGAATCCAGCTTACCGGCTGCTTGTTTCTGACGATTCGCATCGGCCCAAAATAAGTGGCACGTTTACAGAGAAAATCCATGTAAGCCTTCTTGTAATCATGTCAAGGGACTACCTCAACTCATACTGTCAAACAAGACATGGCCTGTTCCCAGGGATCTCGCACCCTATCACCACCCCTTTGTCCCATCAGGTACCGCACCACTCGGTAGAGACTCCCCGCGCCGTGTCGGCACTCAAGAGAGTTATCAGATCCGGAACGCCAGACGCACATTTCCTCTTTTACCAAGGGTCCAGAGAGATGCACCCCTATCTCGTTAGCGTCCCAGATTGCGGAAGTCTCTTGGCTTTTCTATCTGTCCCGTACACACACAGTGAGTGCTTTAGTTTCTCCAACTTGCCCTCTCCACCCCCGCCGAGACAAGGAAAGGGCAAGGAAATGAGGAGAAAGAAGGCCGTGGGAGTTTTGGTTTGGCCTGCCTTTGTCTTGTGACAAAGGTTCCTTTCCCCGTCTCCCAGCTGCGTGCACGCATCTCGTTCCCAATCTACAAGGGCCAATTAGGAGATGCATAAGTTTGGGGGATGGAGGATGGGAAATGGGGGGGGGGGGGTGATCAACTCGAAATTCTACTGCGATCCTTTTTTTTTTTCCGTATGCATGTACTTTAGGTAATTTATGTATGCATGGGGCCATGTCATACCATGCCGCCGCCTCATCTCACTCGCTTGACCTGCGCGCCCCTGCAGCAGACCTACCCACCCACACCTCCTCTCCCCGCTTCGCTTTCCCTTCCTTTTCTTCCGCTTCGCTTCTTCGCGTAGCCCTTAGCTCGCTGAAGGAGGAGGAGGAGGAGGAGGAGGAGGAGGAAAGGAGGAAGAAGAAGCGAGGAGAGGGGGACTTTGGTAGCCGTGACAGCGCGGGGTAGAGTAAGCGAGAGAGAGGGGGGGGGTGGGGTTGGTATGTGGTAGTGGTGCTACTAGGTGTGTGGAGTGATCTGATGGGGAACAGGGAACTTGAGGTTAGGTTGTGTAATGTACTTACTCACTCGGCTGAACGGGCGGCTGTCTTTGTTGTTGATTTCTTGGGGGCGGTAAAATTGAGAAGAAAAGAGAAAAAAGAAGGAGGGGGGGGAGAGGGAGACGGGGAGGTGTCCCTTGGGGGCACGCTGGCAGATCTTGGAAAACGTAGTGTCAGCTTCCACTGGGTCTATTGCTAAGCGTTCCTCGTTACATAACCTTGAAAATCCGGCCAACTCTTCTAAGAAACATGGTTATTAGAGGCGCCCAACAAGGCTGGAAACAAAATGAACAAGAAACGAGAGGCTGAAAACCGCCATGTTCATCAAAGTCGGGTCCTGATCCTCGAAATCACATGCTGGGACTTGGTATCAGCGCATAAGAAGCCTTTTTTTTTTTTTTTTTTTTTTTTTTTGGCGAGTATACAACCCGCTCCCTGCAACCTATCTACAGAGACTTGGTCTAGTAGCTAGCCAACCATTCCAGTCCAGCTTCTGCCGCTTCTACTTTTCAAATTGCAGCAGCAGAACCCCTTTCTCTTCGATCCTTAAATTCATAATCCTCGAGAAGTCATTTCCTCAGTTGACTTGGTTCTCGAGAAGAACCTCCTGAGTGTTCCCCTGCCTGGTGATTTCGGCGGCCTGGGGGTTGCAGGATTCTTCTGTCCTGATGAGGACGCCGCCGCCTCCTCAGGCGGTAACTTCACATCGGGAGGTTTGGGTCGCCTCTCTAGTCTTCTGTCCAGTAATTTGTCCACGCCCCCTTCGTCGTATCCCAATTCCCGCCTCAGCTGCTCCCGTCTAATTTCCAGATCCCTATCCTCCTCCTCGAAGATCGACTCCTGGTGCGCGGACTGAGCATGATGGACGGCCGACGTCTTGAATTCAGGCTGTGCCGACGAAGAGCCGGGCCCCTCGCCGGCGGGCCAGGGCCTGTCCTCATCCCCATTGACGACGACATACCACCTGATCTCCTCACCCCGCTGCAGCTGATCCCTCAGCTGCTCGAACCAGCCAGCCCCCTTGCCAAGCTTGGTGGTGTCACGCTTTGGATTTAGCATCTCGTCGGAGCTCGGGCCTGTGATGGCAGGGGCACCGCCGGTGCTCCGAACGCGGGTTTCGTACCGCTGGATCTCTTCCACGATGCTGCACGAGGCATCGATACGCGTGACATAGTCGGCAACATAGGCATAGGGCCGGGACACCTCGTGCAGGTTAGCAGGATCGTGCTCTTCCAGCAGCTTCACGGGGGACCAGCTCTGGGAGAGGATGGGATCGGACGCGGCGCCGGCATCCGAGATCTGGGAGGAGGAGGGGCGACACGGCTGGGAGTTAGGAGGAGATGGTGGTGCCTCCTCGTGGTGGTGATGGTAGACAGTCGACGGCTTCAGAGTATGGGGGAGCGGGATGGCATCAGCACCACTACCGTTCGTAGTCCCGCTACCTTGACGCCTGTGACTGCTGCTGCTGGCTTGTCTGCGGTGGGCGGGTGCGTCCTTGTCACGGAGCCCAGGTTGTGCAGACTGCTGCTGCTGGTGGTGGCTGCCGTGGTGGAGTGTCGCGGCGGCTCGGTTCTGGCTACGACTCCTGCTGCTGCTCCTTGTCGTCCTGGTCGCCCCGCTGGATGGGGTGGTGTAATGGCTAGTGGCATCATCGTCCTCTGCGTTCCGGCCCTCCGAGATGCTCACCTGCTCTGAAGACGGGGCCACTGAATTGGACGGGGGAGCGGCACTGCTGGAGCGGGTTGTGGGCAGGGCACACTCTGGGAGGAAGTCAAAGAGATCGTAGAAAGACTCGATGAGGTTGCGGGGAGAGCCACGCTTGATGATCCACTCGGGGGCAGCATCGTCGAGGTTCTGGACAACCACGTAGACCCTGATGCTGCGCCTCTTCCAACGGAAGCCGTGGCAGAGATAGGTAGGCATGGCAGAGACGGCAGGCTAGCTTCGCCAGCGGGCCTGACAGGTCATGTCATGATATACATGAATAAAAATTGCCGTGTGATCTGATGTTGAGCTTCGTGCTCAACGTTTGTCTGTATTTTTCTGTGTGGGTGTGTAATGGAGAGCGAGAGTGAGTGTGAGAGTGTGAGAGACAAACATACACACACACGCACCCCTCGAAACACGGAAAGAGACAATGAAAAGAGGAAAAGAGTGGGATTAATTATATGAGCAAGATGGGCGGGTGAGAATCATAAGATGGTAAGAGGTCGTTAACTGATGTTTGGTTGTTGGATCAACAAAGACGAGCTGTGATTGCGGTGCGGTGGGGTAAGTCGCAGCGCATTGTTCCTTCCCCAAAGCTAAATTAAATAGTCACTGCAGGTTCGCAAACGGGCGCAGCCTCGCACGCCTCGTTATGGCGTTGGCGTTGGGTTGGCGTTGGCGTTGAAATAAGTTGGAGCTAAGGAAGAGACGATGGCACATTCCAGCTCCTCACAAAAGCAAAAAAATTCAAGGCCTCCCCTCCCATCATAAGTTCGCAACCCCAGGTCTGATGTGGTCAAACCACTCATTTACTTTGCATGACGGCAGGCTCAGAATAAGATCGACAAGTTTTTCTGACATGACCATTCCTGTGGGATGTGTCCAAGGTGACCCTACGCCGGAGAAAATTGCCTCGTGTTACAATGACCAGCCTGATGTGTATGTGTGTATATATGGGTGTGTGTGTGTATGTATGGCTGGTTGCAAGATCGACGTACCAGGGTAAAATTCCCCAGCTTCATCTTATCTCAGCGTTGTCGTAGTCGTCGTCGTCGTCGTCGTCGTCTACGGTTCACAGTATCAAATAGAACTTCTGCCCGTTCAAAGAGCCAGATCTGGCCACGAGAGAAACCAGCCCAGATGATCCAACTGGGGGTCAGAGCGAGGCGTATTACTTCTCGTAGTCTAAATATCGACAGAAGTACTGTAGTACCGTGCACATGCAGCCTTGTACCGGGGAGAGAGCCAACATTTTCTCATGGAATCTCACCTACCAAAGTACTGACTATTTCCTGTGATGAGGCCAGTCCAGCAGTCCCAGGTCGCTACAATATCAACAGTGCTGATTACCACCATGGCGGGGAGGGGATGCTATGCTGTAGGTATAGGCTCGGCCCGTCACCGGTCAAGACCCACCTATATTTTATGGTACAAGGCGTATCTATTGTACCTGTGTAGTGGGAATTCGTCTTTCAGCGAAGCGGGGAAGAGGGAAGGGTAGGGGTATGGAAGGAAGGGGGCTGGCACAGCTGGGGGTGGCTAGGGTCGGCGGAAGGACACCGGCAGACAGAAAGACCCCTGAAAGCCTTAGTGCTACGGAGTTGTACTAGGTGGTGCTATGGCATGTGCTACTAAGTACGGTACTAACGAGAGCTGCAAGGGCCCGATGGCCCTAGAAATGAAAGTGCATTCATCCTCTGAACCAAAGTGCAATACATTCAAACCCGTCAGCCTGCTGAAGAGAATAGGCCAAAAACTTGTGAAAACACCATACCATTAACAGCGCCCATCAACCTCACCGCCTCGATGGGATGTTTCTCTCCTTTTCATTTTTGTGTGTGTTTGTTTGGAAATCCTTTCCACAGCATTCAAAAATCCTACTCAACAAAAGGACAAACAGTAGTAGTACTAGGTAACTATGGTACAAGCGTCAGGGTGTGGGCCAGATAACGCCCCCAGCTAAGTACCCAGCCACCGTGCATTTACTTGATTGTACCGTAATACATAGTACAGTACTATAGCGTGTAGTAAGGCGTGCAGAAAGAGGTGGTCATCGGTCAGCGGTCAGCAGTGGTTCATCGGATAGGCACTGGACCTTTTAGTTCGCTGGGTCGGAGACAGCTAGACAGGATACACAGTACATCTTTCGAGGGGGCGGGTTTTCATGCCAGCATTGGAGGTGTTGGTTGGTAGTGCCTTCCCTGGATGGGGCGGCCGGCGGGCTGTCTCTCTCAAGGAAGGAGCAGAGGACTCGGTTTTATGGTACAGTAATTACTTGTACCTCCAAGCAAAGCTGACTACATTTCTTACACGCCTCGATCAATCCCCCCCCCCCCCCAATCACCCTCTCTCCGTGTCCTTTTTCCCTTCTTGGTGGCGATAGATGACAAGGCAGAGAGAGAAGCGACAGGACCTAAATTCTTGAATCAACTACTCACCACAAATTTGAAGGAGGTTCTCAGACCTGCGTTACAAGACCCCTGAAGTTTTGCCCTTCATCATGGTCGCACACCCTCCGTCTCAGCAGCAACAATAAACCCGTCTCGTTCCCAAATGAGGGGGCCAAGTGATCTACCTGATAACTACCATACATGGTACCTAGCTTGGCGTCTTTTTGTCTTTTGCTCATACCAAGTCAAGGTCGAAGGCAGAAAAAGGAAAGGGGATTAAAGTTACAGTCACAGTCACACCCAAACTCAGCAGCTATCCACAACCACAATCGCATCCACCTTGGGTCTATTCTTGCCGTGGAGTCATCTGCTGGCTGAATGAACGAACAAACGAACGAGCCCAAGAACCGTCCCCGCCTCGACACAGGGACTGATGCCCAGCCCCTTGTCCTGTGTTGCCCTGTCCTGCAGCTCTGAGCTCTGTCTCTCAATGGTTTGCCGGCAGGGCGGACTAGGCCTGCAAAGTTCCTCGTCACTGCAGCACCTGAGTCGGCGATATCACCAATCACGCTGTCAGGAACAGCTCTCCACCTTACTACTGCAACCACCTGCGTTGCAGCTTAGCCAGTCCGGTGCCACCATCTGGCTGCCTCCTCGTGCTGCTGCGTGCGACTTGCAGTCTGCAGCATCGTCGTCGTCACCTTAACACCAATACATCCATACATACACCTACATTCATACATACATACTTCACCTGGAGGGTTCCTCCTCCTCCTTACCGTCCTTCTCCCTCCTCCTTCTCCCATTGTCTTCCCAGCGGGACCACGACGGGCCTCGCTCACGGACCCCCCCGTCCCCTTTCTGTGGACCCACCCACCACCACCCCTCTCTGAACACCCTCCCTTCTGGCTCACGCTGTATGAGGGCCAGAAATTCCCTCCTCCAGTGGACCGATGGCCGGGTCAGATTACGAGGAGAGCCCGCGCAGCTCCATACAGAGGAGGAGGAAGAACTCACGCGCCATACCGCCAGCCGCACCGATACCCCCAGCCGCGCCCGATGTACCTTGGTCGCACCCCGTGCCGAGCTCGCCGCCTCGCCGGAGGAGGGATCGGGGAAGAGAGGAGGAGAGCAGGCATCGCGATAGCGACTGGGACCGGCGACAGGATGAGGAAAGACTCCTGAGGACCCCCGAGTCCCGGGCCTCCTCGTCTTCGTATCACCAATCCCACCGCCGCTACTACGATTCCGAGTACCAACGAGATCGCTCCACCACCCCCTCTCACTCAGTTGCCTCCTCCATGACAAGTGCGCGGACTCCGCATCCCCCTCGATCCTCCGTCACCCGCCAGTCCAATGTTTCCTACCGCCAGCCCTCTGTCTCCGTGCGGGCTGCTTCATCGGCCGGCTACGAGGACGACTATGCGCGTGAGAGCCGCATGAGCCGCTCCCAGCAGCCTCCTCGTTCCATCCCGCCCCTAACGCCCTCCGCCCAGCTTTCCCGAAGGTCATCGAGGATCCTCAGGTCTACTTCCGTCTCCTCTATGGGATTGTCCCAGGAGGATGAGGTGGAGGAGGATGACGACGACGACGATGTGCCGTATGATAGTCACGAAGACAGCCGCCGGCCAAGGCCAGGCTATAGGGAAACCAGGCTTGTACGCGTGAATCGTCATGATGATGATGATGATGACGATGATGATATGGGGTTAGACCGTGGGTTGAGGAGTCATAGCCGAGCAGATACCGAAAGACGGAGCGTGTACCGTCGGCAGGTTCGACATGAAGAAGAGTCATTCAGCCCCGACGACGACGAAGACCCTGACGAGACAGACCTCGAGTACCACCGTCCTCACCACCACCACCTCCCTCCAGCCAACCAGAGACCACGAGACTGTACCCCCTCTCGACAGCGACCACGGTCACCTTCACGAACCGCCTCTGTTAGACATGTCCACGCCCCAGAGAATGACGTTGTGAACGATACAGACTCAGATGACGAGCCGCCCGCCCGCGACCTTCGAGACCGCTTTGAGCGTCGTGAAAGTCGCAAGCATCACAGACATGATCCTCCCACGTCGCGAGAGCACAGGCGAAATCGGAGCGAGAGCCAAGCCAAACGTTCACCACCTTCTGCGCGGTACGTACTATCAGCTGCCCTGACTCGGGTCGATCCTGGCTCTGGCTCATCACGTCGGGTCAGGTCATCATCAAAGCGATATTACGAGAGTGAGGCTCCGCTGGTGGAGAGGCGTGATCGATACCATCCGCCGTCCACAACGCTCCGGAGGCCGAGCACCGTCAGTGGTTCTGGGTCTGTGGCTGCTGCATCGCAACATCAAAGTGTAAGCTCCTCTACCAAACGCTCATCCTTTCTCGGGAGTTTCTTTGGTTCACCACGCTACGGCCATTCCCATCATCACCATGCTTCAGGGAAACCTGTCAAGACGTAAGTACCTACATACCCTACCCATCAATTCTGAGCGCGTGAGCTTATCATAATGAGATATAGGGTCGAATGTGTCATCTGTATGGATGATCTACCTCCCCACAAGGCGACCAAGCTCAAGTGCGGCCATCGGATGTGCAACTCATGCCTCAAGCGAAGCTTCAAATTGTCCATCACAGACCCCCAGCACATGCCGCCCAAATGCTGCACCGCAGACCTTATTCCCCTCAAACACGTTGACCGCCTTTTTGACATCAACTTCAAAAAGACATGGAACAAGAAATTCGTCGAGTACTCGGCCCGCAACCGTATCTACTGCCCCAAGCGCAGCTGCGGCGAGTTCATCCGCCCAGAAGACCTCCGCCACACCAGCGACGGCAAGAAGTATGGGAAATGTTCAAAGTGTGGAACCAGAGCCTGTGTGCAGTGTAGCGGGAAATGGCACCGCGATCGGGACTGCCCCAAGGACGAGGAGACGACGAGGCTCTTGGCCCAGGCGAAAGAGGAAGGCTGGCAGCGGTGCATCAAATGTAAAGTCCTGGTCGAGCTCAAGGAGGGCTGCAATCACATTACTTGGTATGTTGTTGTTTATTTCTGGGTGAGGTTCTTTATTCACTCGATCTCCCTCGCTGACGTCGCTCCTTTCCTTTTCTTTTTTTCCCATCCATCTTAGCCTCTGTGGGGCCGAGTTCTGCTATATATGCGGTGCCAAGTGGAAGACGTGCACATGCCCCTGGTTTAACTACGACGCCGTCGAAAATGATCGGCTGCAGCACATGCAGGTCCCCATGCCTGTCCGGGACCGATTTGCCCCTCGTCCCACGGTCGAACTCCCGCCCTCCCCACAGCGAGACAGCCGGGCGAGGCTTCGGCCGCGGCCCCAAACCTACGAAGAGGAGATGCTCCTGCGACAGCAGCAAGAAGAGCGAGACGAGGCACTCGCGAGACGTCTACATAATTATCGAGACTACGACGATGAACATGATGAGGACTTCCTGGCCGGATTTGGCGACGTCACGGGGCTGGGCAATGCAGCAGGCCATTTCATGAACGAGGATTTCCGCCCTAGGCCGCGCAATATAGTTATGCCACAGGTCCCGCCCCCTCCCCACAACACAATGCCGCTCGAGCCAGCGCCCATGTTTGAGAGGGGCCCCGCTGGTGGCTATGTCCAGGACGTGAGTCGAGCACGACGCCCCCGGGCTAACTCACTCACGCGGCTCGCGGAGAGATTCAACGCGGACCGTCCGACCCAGCGTCCGCCGCCTCCGCTGCCGACTGCTGCGACGATGCCTCTGCCAACGATGGCGCCTGCCCTTGCACCAGAGCCTCCAGGCAGGAGGGGCACGGTTAAGGTCCCCAGCGCCGGGAGGGTCCTCAGGGCGGCCGCGCCTGTCTACGAGGAACCCGAAGAACTAAGCAAGCCTAGGGGCGGTGTGCCGGTGAAGAAGCAACATGCCCGTGATTCGCCAAGGGACGTCAAACAGTCAGCCCTGGCGGGGCTGACGGGGGACGGGCGGTACAGAAACAGAGTCGACGAGTGGCGGATGTACATCGGGCAAGGTCCCGGTGAGCCCGCTGCAGAGTTGACCACCTAGGGCCTTCCTTGGCGCGGTCGCACAGCAGGATGACTGCATCTGCAGGTGGTCACACGGGCGTGATTGGATGAAGCGGTCTTGGGGTGAGAAGGTACTTGAGTGGTCAGATGCAATGATCACGCTACGGATATGAAATTATGACATTCAAACGACACGAAAGGTCAGCATTTAGGTTGGATTTGGGCTCATTCATACTACTACTACAGTAAGTGCTACTACTATCACGTTGTGGGACTCACGGAACAAACACACACACACAAGCGCCCATGCGCGCATATACGCACACACGCACACAACACAGATGCATGGTAAAGGGACATAAGCAGCATTTGCGGAGCAGTCAGCAGGCGATCTATCATACGCACAATCATTTTTGGAGGGGACTTTCAATGTCTTATGTTGCATAGGACTCACTATTTCTTTGCCCTCACTGTGTGGTAATTGGCGTTGGGGTTGGGCGGGGTTCAACGTTGTCATTTGGCTATTTCAAGGTGCTTCCATCTATCTATCAATCATCTGTGTGTATGAATATTCTATCACCAGTCAGAACTCACGATTTATGACCACCACTATATCACGAATCAACCAATTGCTTCTTCTTCTCGAGGTATATGTGGCTCCAGCGCGAGGCCAGACCTCTCTAGTTGCAGGTTACTGTTTACGTCCGGCCTTCCGCATAACCCGACCCTTTTTCTTTCCTTTTCCCTTTTTCCCCTTCTTTTTTCTCGCCCGTCTCCTTTCTTTCGTCTTTGATTTTCTTGGCCTGCAGGTCTCACAGTGTTCTCGAACGTCCTCCCACATTCCTAGATTGCGATGATAGGCGCCTAGTCTCACTCATTGTCTTGGAGTTTGGAGGGACAAGAAAGTGTTAATATTAATACTTGTTGTAGCACTGCACAAAAAAGCCGGCCATGACTCCACACCCACACAAACCTGCAGGAAAGGCAGGATCTTTATGAATAACGGGGAAGAGGAAGAAATACAGGGTAGCATCATCCCACACCTACTGCAGCTCCGCGCACAGCATAACCCAGTCTTGTCTCGCTTGAACTGGAGGTAGTAGTCGGGCCCGCCTCCGAAGTGAACACGGCGAAACTTCTGTTATGCGAGGGCCAGTGACTCACTGGCCCAGGGCCGTGCACGGCCCCTCCAGCCAGCCAACAGCCAGACCTGTTGATAGCCTCAGATAGCTGGCCTCGTGGCGTTTCTCTTCCTTTCTCTTTTCTCTTCAGCGCTCAGCAATGCAATCTTTTTGCCCACACACATCTGTCGTCCCCAAAGGCTTTGTGTCACCTCGGGCTGTGCCGCTTTCAGAGAGCCATCTTCCATTTCCTATTTGCCAGGCCCAGAGGGGAGCAACGTGGATTCGTGACCCGTTTTTGATGGCAGGTTGCCATCAGCACAGAAAGACGGGGGCCTTTCCCGCCTTCAAAACCACAAAACCGTTACTGAGGAGCTCTCTCACTTCTAGTCAGATTGGCCGAGTAGATAAGGGCATATAACACACACGGAGAGAAACCAGAACCCACAGACTACTGCAGTCAGAGTAGCCATGAGCCCTCCGCGGTTTGCAGGGCCTGCGTCTTTCCTTGTCTCTCCCGGCGCATCCCATGCACCAGATTCAAGGACCCAATCTTCACCGCTCCAGAAGAAAAAGGAAAAGGGAAGCGGGACCATCAAAGGTAAATTCGTGACACTGAGTTACATGGATGCTGGTGCTTATGTTAACAAACGGTGCGGTCGGTGTCGGTAAGTATATACAGAAAATCCTGGAGGAAGGAAGACGTTCCATGCCATCAGACAGATAGAAGAAGGAGCCCAGTATGGTAAATTATTCAAGCATATATTTGTAGTATTATTGTAATCTAAAAGCAATTCTTAAAAGTTGGTTGTTGTGAAGAGACTTGAGGACCCACGCGGGAGGAGAGATGCCATAGTCGTTGTTGCCTCGAGTACGGTACTGGATATCTGACGCTATACTGAAATGGGAAGTACTTCATCACTTACGTACAGGACCAGGACCTCAGCGCGCTATCCTTTTTTACTGACGCGATTGCCAGTGCCGGATGACTGACTGACGGCTACGCCCTTTTCTTTTTGCGAGACGGGACCACCAGTTGCCTTTTTCCTTGAACCTCACCCCCTCACTTGGGGGATTATGTGGATTGCTAGGAGGATGGCATCCACGACATCCAAGTCTGCGACCCATGGCGCCCTGACCTTTGAGCTCGTGGCTAAGTGCTCCGTAAGGCTCACACCCTCCTCCTCCTGACTTGTTCTGCGCCGCCATCGACGAGCTCTCTTCGACTGACAGTTGCACCTTCACCAGGGATAGACCACACGAGCTCGCGCCTCCCTCCTTACCCTTCCTCATGGCCCAGTCAACCTTCCCATGTTCATGCCCGTGGCGACCCAGGCTTCCCTGAAGGGCATCACTCCCGAGCAGTTAGAGCAGACGGGGTGCCGGTTATGTCTGAACAATACCTATCACCTGGGCCTCAAGCCAGGCCAGGAGGTTCTCGATGCCATTGGTGGTGCACACAAGCTTCAGGGCTGGAAACACAACATCCTGACAGATAGCGGAGGGTAAAGAAAAACTAAGCATTCCCTCCAGCCATGCATTGCCCAGCAGCGCACGTCGCCAAAGAAGGGCACACGCACACACACATGCTCACGATAGCATTCTAGCTTCCAGATGGTATCCCTCCTCAAGCTAGCCACCATAACCGAAGAGGGCGTCCGCTTCCTCTCCCCACACGATGGGACGCCCATGCTCCTCACCCCAGAACACTCCATGTCCCTCCAAAACTCCATCGGCTCCGACATCATGATGCAGCTCGACGACGTGCTCGTCACCACCTCACCAGACAAGGTCCGCATGCGCGAGGCCATGGAGCGCTCCGTGCGCTGGCTCGATCGCTGCATCGCCGCCCACCGCAGGCCCGACACCCAGAACCTCTTCTGCATCATCCAGGGCGGCCTCGACCTCGACATGCGCCGCGAGTGCACGAAGGCCATGGTCAAGCGCGACACCCCCGGCATCGCCATCGGCGGCCTGAGCGGCGGCGAAGCCAAGGCGGATTACTGCGCGGTCGTCGGTGCCTGCACGGCTTTGCTGCCCGACCTGAAGCCCAGATACGTCATGGGCATCGGCTACCCAGAGGATCTGGTGGTCAGCGTGGCCCTCGGCGCAGACATGTTCGACTGCGTGTGGCCCACGCGGACGGCAAGGTTCGGGAACGCCATCACCAAGCACGGGATGCTGAAGCTGAAGAACTCAGAGTTCGCCAACGACTTTGGGGTGATCGAGGAGGGCTGTGGGTGCGTCTGCTGTCGGCCAAAGGTGGACGGCCGGGAGAGCCAAGGTCTGGGCATTTCGAGGGCCATGATTCATCATAATGTCGCCAAGGAGACGGTCGCGGCGCATCTGCTTACTATGCACAATGTCTGGTATCAACTGAATCTCATGCGAGAGGTCAGGGAGGCGATTACTGCGGACAGGTATCCGGCGTTTCTGAGGGAGTTCTTTGGCAGGTTATACCCAAAAAAAAGTGGCTACCCAGACTGGGCAGTGAGCACCCTTAGAGGTGTTGGTGTAGATTTAATGCAGGATTAATGAAAGAGGAAAAATAAAAATCAATAAAAGAATCAATGTAAAAAAAGAGTCTTGGCCTTTGGTCTTCACATAACATGCAGTGGTCAGTCAGTGGTCTCTGGAGTATAGTATGCATTCTCTCATGGCGGCTTCGTTGCTTTCCGAATTGCTAATCGAAGTGGGTATCTCTCATGATTATTTCCCCCTAAATCCTCCTTGTGTCCCCTGTAGCGCCTCAAGTGCAAGAATGAAGGATTCTGACTGCAATTTCAGACATCCTGAACGACCTCTTTGAACTCCTTGACCTCTTCATCAGCATCGCGCCGCGTGCGATCGATAACCTTTGCGCCGTCCTGCATCCAGAAGTCAACCTCATCCACGATATCGTACACAACATCCTCCACGATCTGTTCATCGTAGCGCTCGACCATGGGCCGTGGCACCTCCTGCTGGACTGTCACTGTGGATGGCTCCTCAGTGCCGGTCATGGCGACGTCACCTCCCGTGTCCTCTTGCTCGTATCCTGGGGGCGGGTACCAGAACTTGGGCCCAAAGTTCACCTCCGCAGCGCCACCTCGAAACACGCTCACGGCCGGGTAGTATCCTAGCATGCCGTCGTCAAGACCTTCCCGCGCATCAGGCTGCTTAGCCGTGGCTGGCTTCGAGGCGAGAGGCAAAAAAGCAAGTAGATTATTGAACGCCGTGCCCATGTCCACTCCGTTCTTGTATACCTTGATCCAGGATTTCGGTAGCGTTCTCATGCATGGGATTGGGTGGTTTGGGTTTGGGCCCTCGGACGAGCCTGCCCCTGAGCCAGATGCAGACATTGGTGACGGGTTCATCAGGTCGTCAAGCTCTGGTGTGGTGTGGTAGTCGGGGGTTTCGAAATAGATGTGCGCCTTGAATCGAATGGGAAGACGATCTCTCACGATATTCGGCACTTCTGCTGTGCCGTGGTCCGCTTCTTCAAGCAGGTCGACGGCTGGGTTGTAATGACCCGATACCACCTTTCGATGCAGCTGCTCGGAAGGCAGACCAATCTCCAAGCCGATGACATCGCCTTCTCGGATGTCCTCGCCAGGAGGGAAAAAATCCTTGGGCCGTGACATGTAGACCTTCTGTCCTTCCTTGTCACGGATCCCGTAACTGTAGGCATCAAAGCCAGCTGGCGCATCTATGGCGGCCTCTCTCCTTGCAAATCCAACGCGCACATGGCCACGAGAGTCGGGCTGCTCCGAGTCGAGCGCTGGAGGATCTTTTAATATCCCTCGCGTAATCTTGCACTCCCAATACCACGTGCCCTCGCGTATGGCAACATTTGCCCGCGACATCCTCCATCCTTTATCCGTCGTAATGTGTTTGCCTGATCTGTCAAAGAACAAATGTGTTGCCGCGTCCTCAAAACTCATGTGCGGGCCGAACGGCTCAGGTTCTGTCTGGCGGTAGTAGAAGGAGGAGGGGAACTTGGGATCCGCAATGCAGTGGGTGTAGTAGTACTGCTTCTTATTATAGACACTAGCATGGAATTAGAATACCGATACGTAGAGACGCGGTCTGCGGAATACTCACTGCTCCTGGGTTTCGAAGAACTCGATCTGCTCGCCACTGGGACCTGTCACGGTGTGGTGACTTGCCAGCTGCGGACCTCGGGCGGGTTCGAAATCGCCAGCTTTGGGCAGGGGAAGTATGTAGCGGGCAGGGCCCATCTCTGCAGGGGGCACATTTTTGGAGTTTTTCTTGGACTGCCTCGGGTCTGGAGTGGCACGAGAGGGCTCGACGCCGCCTGGGGTGGTGGCAGCCTTGGACTCCCGTTTCTTGAGAGACTCTTTCTTGGTGCGCTTTTCCCGCGCCATGACCCCCCCATCCTCTGCTGCTTGTGACTTTTTCGCACCGTGTTCTGATTTGAGCGGAGAGGAGATAGCCGGCGAGTGGTGGTCTTCTAGAGCTCGTTTTTGCGGTAGAGAGGCAACAGCTGGTGGCAGTGGCGCTGGAGAGCTCCTCGGTGGTAAGGGAGATGGACTGGCAGTCGTTGCCTCTCCATTTGGGAGGGTCTCTGCTGGATTGTCACCAGACATGATGACAGCACCAGACTGGATCAAGGCAGGCCGTAACAAAGTAACTGGTCAATGAATTATTTTCAAGACCTGGGAAGCAAACAACACCCCCCGTGGTGCTTGTTCATGCACAGAGAGCTGTGCAGCAAGTGAAGCGCAACGCTAATACCTACCAGAAAACGAGAAGACGCGCTGCTGCTAGCTGCGGCCTAGGCAAGCTAGGATAAGACATACGCTATCTATTGGTGGCTCCTGGGTAAGGCGGACCCACCCTGCAACTTCGTACCTATTGCCTGCTTCTCATTGACTTACCTCTTTGACCTCTTCAATCTTTACCGAGAACTTTCGAAGGCGCACGCGACGTCTCGTCAGCCAACACCCACGCCTCAACGCGAGCCTCACACAGCCGAACTGCCATCATGCCTGTCGTCAAGGGTGGCGTCTGGACGAACATTGAGGATGAAGTCCTCAAGGCTGCCGTGTCCAAGTACGGGTTGAACCAGTGGGCACGCGTCTCGTCGCTGCTTGCCAGGAAGACGCCCAAGCAGTGCAAGGCAAGATGGCAAGAATGGCTCGACCCCAGCATCAAGAAGGTCGAGTTCACGAAAGAGGAGGACGAGAAGCTGCTGCACCTGGCCAAGTTGATGCCCACACAGTGGCGGACCATCGCCCCGATCGTCGGCCGAACCGCCAATCAATGTATCGAGCGGTACCAGAAGCTTCTGGACGAGGCAGAACAGCGAGAGGCTTCCGAGCTTGGGATGACTGGAGGCGACGAGGCATCTGCACCCACAGCTGATGACGTGCGACGACTGCGACCGGGCGAGGTGGACCCCGACCCGGAGACGAAGCCCGCCCGGCCGGATACCATTGATCTCGACGAGGACGAGAAAGAGATGCTCAGCGAGGCCCGTGCCCGTCTCGCCAATACACAGGGAAAGAAGGCTAAGCGCAAGGCGCGCGAGCGACAGCAAGAGGAGTCGAGACGGCTGGCAGCTCTGCAGAAGCGGCGCGAGCTGAAGACCGCAGGCATCAACATCACAGTGACGACGCGAAAGAAGGGCCAGATGGACTACAATGCAGATATTCCCTTCGAGAAGAAAGCTGCTCCCGGTTTCTACGACACAACTGAGGAGCTCACACTGAACGAGAGGCAGCGGGCCAACTTCGACCCCAGGAAACAACAACTGGCACAGGCAAAGCGGAAACAGGACGAGGAGGATGAGGCAGGACGAAAGAGACGCAAGGCTGATAAAGACGCGCCGTCTGCATCGTACCGAGAGGCTCTGAAGGCCGGCCAGATGCAACGCATCAGGGAGGCCGAGCAGAGCAGTAAGCGACGTGCGCTGGCTCTTCCGGCGCCACAGGTCGGCGAGGGCGAGCTCGAGGAGATTGTGAAGATGGGCATGATCGGGGAGAGGGCGAACACGATGGCACAAAACGGCGACAATGACGCAACACGCGGCCTTGTCAACTCCTATACGGCATTGAACAGTGGTGCGCCAATTCGGACGCCAAGAGCACCTGCTTCTGAGGATCATATTGCAAATGAGATCAAGAACATCCGAGCCCTGACAGAGACACAATCGTCACTGCTTGGTGGGGAGAACACGCCACTTCACGAGGGAGCCGGCTCGACGGGATTTGAGTCTGCTGCTCCGAGAAAGCAGGATATCTTTACCCCGAACCCCATGGCCACGCCGTTGCGACAAGGTGTGAACGGCGTAGGCGCGACCACCCTACGGCCCGGGCAGACTCCCATGCGGACGCCACGTGACAACTTTGCATTGAATGCCCAAGGCAGCGAGTTGGTCATGAGACAGCAGCTCAAGCGAGGCCTGGCCTCCTTGCCCAAGCCCAAACAACAATCGTGGGAGCTCGAACTTCCAGATGAGCAGGAAGACATCGCAGCCACATCGAGTCGGCTACCCGAGGATGCCTCGGAGCGGGATCGAAGGGAACGTGAGCTTCAGGCGGCGCAGGAGCTGCTCGAGAGGAAGCGGCGGACACAGGTCATGCAACGGGATCTTCCTCGACCGGTCTCTGTTGATTACACGGTGCTGCAACGGATGGCAGACGACCTGGAAGACCCAGCCGAGAAAGCCATTGCGCAGGAGGCGGCGTTGCTTATTGTGTATGATTCGTTGAAATATCCTCTGGCCGCCAAAAAACCGTCTGCCCAGCAGCCGACCTTGGATCAAATCGATGATGATGCACTGGCAGAGGCACGAAGGCAGATCTTGGTAGAAGCCAAGGGCAGCCTGGCGCCGGAGGAAGTCGAGGCTGCGTGGGCCAAGTCGAACAACAACTCATTGTTGCTGGGCCTTGGCTGCTACGACGATGACGAGGAAGATCAGCTCAACACCATGAAGGCAGCCTTGGACGAGGTGCTGGACACCATGATCAGTTCCGCCGAAAAGGGGGCGAAGATGGAGAAAAAGTTGAACCTCCATCTGGGTGGTTACAAGCAGCGCGCAGATATGTTGCGAAAGAAGATTGGCGACTCTGCTGGCGAGCTGGAGAAGGCTACCAACGCGTTGAATGCCTTCAGGATTCTGGCCAATTCGGAGGAGATTGCCGTCAGAAACAGGCTGGCTAGCCTGCACGAGGAGGTTGGCTTCATCAGTAAGAGGGAGAGAGAAGCGCAGGAGCTTTACAGGCAGAACAAGGAGGAGCTTGATGCCCTCACGACCGCGGCCACAAACGGACATCACTGAGAATGCAGACTTGATGGCGATGACAGTTGGTCACAATCGAGGTACAAGCAGCATAGACCACAAAAATGTTGAAATTAATGAAAAGGGTATATTCGATTGTATTCTTGAATCTAGTCCCAGCGCAGACAACAGCCCGCATCAAAGAAGAAACATTAAAGGTCATATGATAACATATGGTCCAACTAACGCTGATTGCCACAAACACAACGCAGCACTCCAATTTTTCCCTTCCCTTCCAGATTGCAAAAGTCATAACTCATAAGATGCTGTCTCAAAAACATTCCCGCATCTCCACCTCGAGGGGCTCGCAGCAAATTTAAGCCAGGGTATATAGTATAGGTGGTAAGATCACAACTTGCTTGAGGTGGCAACAGGGCTCTCAACGAGCGCAGGCGACCCGCGTGACTCCATGGCAATGGGCAAGGGTCCAGAGCCAAAGCCAGAGTCAGCATCCGAGAGCTCCTCGACACGGCCCTCCATCTCCGCAGCGGCGGACTTCTCCTTCTCGAGCCGGGTCTCGCGGCCTCTCTTGTGGCAATACCACAAGACAAACATCAACACTGTGTTTTTCTCTTTGTTAGTCAAAGTCTTATTCTTTTGGATGGGAGAGGAGTCCAGACTACTCTCGCAAAGCAGAGACAGAGGCACAGAAACAGAGAGTGTGTGATTGACTTACAGAACAACGCAACGCTCCAGATCACATTTGTCCCGATAAAGGCTGGCCACCTCACCTTGAGCGCGTTCATGATGGCCTTCAACATGCCGACAATGGCACTCGGCTTCGTCACCAACTCGCTGATATTCTTGGGGGTCAACAGCTTCATGGCCTGGCCCTTGATGGAGCCAGCAGGCGCGCCCTGGGTCTTGAGCCCCTGGGTCTCGGCCGCAACGGCCAGCAGCTCGGGCGCGAGGCTGCTCGTCAGCTTGTTGGGGAGGCTCGTGACCAGCTTCTTCATGCTTCCAGGGAGCTTGTCGAAGTTCCTGGCCAGGGTGCCGTCGTGGTCCTCAAACAGGTGCTGCAGATCGCGGCCCGCGGTGGGGACGCCGTTGACGAGGTCCTTGAGCACCAGGGTGAACTTGGACACGAGCTCCTGGCTGTCCTTGGACAGAGAGAAGGTCTTGTTGTTGCGGGCCGAGAGGTTCAGGTCCTCGAGGACACGGCTGATGTCATTCTTCTCGCGCTCCTCCTCGTCGGGCGCGATGACCGCCACGGCGGGCTCGAGAGCGCCAGCGGCACCGCCCTCGTTCTTCGCCGTCGGCCGCCGAACCCAAAAGGAGAAGCGGCTCTTGTTGTTGGTGGGGGTAGTGGTAGAGGTAGAGGTGCTGTTGCTGTTGTCGTTCTTCTTCTTCTTCTTCTTCTTCTCGCCGTCGGGCAAATTGTTCTTCTTCTTTTCCTCGCCGCTCTCCTTGCGGCCCACGACTGTCTTTCCCTTGCCGCCAGCAGCCACAGCTGGACTCTCCGAGTCGCTCTCCCAGTCACTCTCCCAGGTGTACACGGGCGTGTTGCTGCGCGGAGGCAGGGGAGGCCGCTTGCCGTCCTCGTCGGAGAAGGCGTCCTCGCCCGTCAGGCGCTCGAAGAACAGTTCGTCATCGTCTGTAAGAACGGGCCCCTGTGGGCCGGGCGTGGGCGATTGTGAAGCTGCGCGCGAGGCTCCGTCTTTGGCTTCTTCTCTGGCTTTGACTTTTTGGTCACGGTTCTTTTTGAACTTCTTGTAGGTGATGAACTCCAACATGGTGTCTTCTTGTTCAGACACAACGCTTTTTTGGGTCGTGATGGTCAAGTGGTCGAGGAGGAGCAATCAAAGATGATCAGACGTTGGGAACAGTAAGATCGAAAGGGCCTGCCAGTGAATGCCAGCTCGACTAATAAAGGACGTAATTATACATGCGGTTGCAATGAACCTGTTTTGCGGCTCGACGTTGTAATTGGGTGGCGTGTGGCAAGTAACGGCTTTGTGGTACTGAACTATGGCAAGAGGCCGCCGGAGCTACTACGCACTTTACTGTAAAGCACGGTTTCAGGTGCAGGACACAGCCACTGGAATCGTCTGGCCAGACACACAACGGACATGCTTCATTCGCCTAAAAAATATGGAATTTATAACCAGGCTTTGGCAGAGTTACCCCACTGGACAGTTGTACAGACCAAACAAGGTCGCGTGCGTGTTCGCCCGTTTCAAGAGAGGCCTCTTCTCCTTGAGAAAATCGGGATGACGCAGCGTCAGTCGTCAATAGACCGTTCACTAACACAGATTAGATAAGAGACAGAGGCCTTCGCAGCAGCGGATGAATTTCATGTGAAAATGCCAATTGATTTTGGCAATGGGGTATCTTAATTATTCTGTCACTATGATTCCTCGAGCCTAGCCTTTTGTAATAATGATACAAAGACATAACAGTCGGGCAATCCATCCTCTCTGGAGAAGTCGTAAGTCTCCTTTTCGTCAATCGTCAGAATCCGACATCAGAAATAGCTGCCATAAAGAGAGAGGTCTCCCATGCTCGAGATGCAGGAAGCCTCAACTGCAGGATCTCTCTTAAGCTTACAGGACTGTGTTCAGCCATCACCTTTGTCCTATTGGCCGCCATCGTCGCCTTCCCCGAGGTCCATGGACGCATCTTGATCTCTCTACGAGCCACTGGCCCTGCCGACCTGACGATGCGCTGCAGGCGTCTCCGTGACCGACCTCTCGCCCACAAAATTCCCGCCCGTCCAGGCCGTCTCGCATCTCGGGCAGGTCTTGTGTCCACCTCTTCTGGTGCGCCAGAAAACGTCTGCGCAGATATCGTGTAGTCGCGCGTTGCAGTCACGCTCCGGGCATCTCTGGCCCATCGTGACAATCTCCTTGCATGCCTCGCAGAACTTGATGCGCTGCCATTCCCCTGGCGCGGCCTCTGGGTCATTGTATGTATCCTGCAACCATGTCTTCAGCTCCATCAGCGACCTCGCGCTCAGGCTGTAGAAGCCCGCGGGGCTCCACTCGAACCAGCCCTCCCCCACCATGCTCGGCAGCAGCTTCTCGATCTCGCTGTGCTTCAGTCCCCTGGGGGCTGTGCGTTGCGGCTGCGAGGCCTCTCCTTCTGCGTCACTGCCTTGGCCCTCCCTGGGAGGCGGCGGTGGTGGTCTGGCGACCTTTCTTGCCTGTGCTGCCGTAACGGCCATGACCTCCTGCCTCGGGGTGTTGTAGGTATCGAACATGGCATCGAGCACCCTCTTGATGAACGCGAGCTCGTCAGCAGTGCGCGTCGTCGCCATCTGGGTGGCAGGGTCGCTGTGGGCGTTGACAAAGGCCCATATCCGCTCACGTGTGGTCTGGTGCAGTGTGCTGCGGATGTCATAGTCGAGCGGCGCAACGGCCTCGCGGGCCTTGCTGATGTAGTGCCGGACCAGGTCTTCGTTGACGTCGCTCGGCTTGACCGCCTCCTCCTGTGCCACATCGCCTGCGGAGAGAATGGCGGCAATAATGCGCTGGGCCTCTTGAAAGGTCAGCGCGCCGCGGCCCAATAGCGCCTGAAGGAAGGCTCGGTTGCTGTCGTCCCACCCACTGAGCATAGAGGGTTCGACGTCCATGGGTTCTCCCCCTGTCGCATCTCGGGCGGGCGGGGAAGGCATGCTGTCTTGTGGAAGAGAGGCCCGGTAAAGGGGGCGGGGGTGAATGTGCTAGAAGTTGGTCGGTCGATCGAGAAAAGACGCGTTCGATATTCGCAGACGCGTCTAGGCGTGCACAGGGTTTGGAGGGGGAGAGCATGGCCAATGCGGCGGCAGCAGCCCAAATCGGCCCCCCAAAATGGGCGAGGCGCACCGGCTGTTGCAGACACAGCACAGGGTTTAGTGTCAGGGCTCCCCCCTGCAGCACAGCGCTCCGACGTACAGCAGCGCACTGACATTACACAGTACTGTGCCCCGCCACCAGGTTTATGCCTTGCGCCACTAAGGTCAAAGCTCTCGATGTGAAGAAAACCCCACTACCGGAATCGGTACTGCAACTCCCAATGCCCTGCAAGCATCCACAGCGCCTGGCCACAAAGCTTCTTTTCTTCTCTTTCACTCGCAGAGCCACAACCAACGCGTGGCAACTCCGCCGTCGGGGCTTCGTGTTGATTTTCACGCCAGCTGATGGATACATACAGCAATCTTTGTGGCACAAGGTATGTAAAGAGATGTGCACAGCGGTTACTTTGAAATGCCTTGTCCGTCAAGTTGTTTGACAACCCAAAGCTGGTTTTCACATTCGCGCGGAGATTCACGCAAGCCAGCACCGTACCTCAAGTAGTGCTCGACCTTGACATGCACAGAAGACACCAGACGGTCTCTTTTTGGTGCCGCGTCTCCATCCAGACTTAGATTGTTTTTACCAGATTGCCTCCTGAGGGAGCAAAGAACGAGACCATCCTCGAAGAACCAGGCATGTTCCCATCAGATCGGGACTCGGATCCCTTCAAGTGGAACTACGCAGCCCGGCAATAATGCCGATTGAGCCAGCGCGCGCCGCATCTAAATTGCAACCTCGTCTCCCGGCACTCGGATTGGGTTACCCTGCACAACATGGCGGAGCAGTACCCGATTAGAACATCGTCTCAGATCTTGCTCCAACTCTGTGGCTATCAGATCTTGGGAGTGGACCAACTGCGGGCTGCCTTTCTAAGAATATGTATTATGGTACTTGAGGCAGATCTCGGCAAGTCGGTCGTCCATCCCGACTGTCATCCGATTGAGAAGTTACATCGACACATTCTTTTGACAGGAAAAGAGAAGACAGCAAGAGGTGGTGAGAGAGAGGGAGGGAGGTGGGGGTTTCGATGTTTCCGTCAAGTGAGATCATCATTCCAAATCGATGGCTGCACCGATCATCCCATAGGATAGCGCATGCGATCGAGTGCTTCTAGCCCAACGAGGCCCTCTGGTCTGGCAAGCGTCCAGCTCTCTCTAGCTTCGGAAGCACCCGCTCAGATTCGTATTCAACAAAATACTCGTTGGCGCTGCGCGGCCCAAGCGCACGACGGTGAGTCAAACTCCTCCAGCTCGAGGAGATCGAGGCACGCGAGGATGGTGTCGACAAGAGCGAATGGTCGAATTGCAACCCAAAGCCCCAAGGTTAATCCTCGCCTGTTCCCTCAGATCGTCTTCTTTACGGGCCTTTTTTGTGGTGTTGTGTGCTAATACAGGTGAAACCCAATGCCCACTTGTCACCAGACACCGACGGTCGAGTCTTGAAACGCTCTCGGCAGTGCTTGGGATATCCCTGACATGCCTCGTGCAGGGCCACCAAACCATTATACATAGTGCATTCCTGACCCCTGGGATGCTTCTGTTTCCATCCTAGATGTTCTAGATCCTCTTATTTTCCTTCCTGTCTTTCGCTCTTTTGAGACCTCGCAGTTGGACTTTTCTATTAGTGTCAAGCCCCGAATTATCATTTCCCCTTCCGACCCTCGTTTGATCTATTCTCCTTCTCTCCTCACACACACCATATCTCTAGCTACTATCAAACCCATCAACAAGTCGCTCATTTTCCCCCTTCCTTTTCTTTACTGGACTTCTCTCACATACAACCATTCCTAATCTTCGGAGCTCATGGCTCATATTCTTCTTGTCCTACTTCCATAATAATCCACAACCTACTACTAGTACGGCTTCTTCTTTCTAAGGCCGCCGTCTTACTTTCATCGTCGGGGCCAATGTATTACCATTCTAGAATATCCAGCCTCCCGTCATGTTCGGTGACACCGGACAACAGTTCCCACCTGGAGCCATAGGTGCAGCGGCTGGTGTCTTCACTTATGCCTTCATATGCTTCGCATTGAGTGCTGCCCTCCTGTGGGCAGCAATAGCTCACCGGGAATGGAAGAGTTGTGAGTCCAGCCTCTGTCTTTCTATCCCTTTCTTGGCTTGTATCCACACATGATTAACCCTCAGACTGACGCCCTGTCCTGCTCTTCAGACGTGGCCCTCGTGGCTTTCTTCACCTCGCTCAGCGCGCTGGTCAGCATGAGCCAGCAGCTTCATACCTACCTCCGATGGGCAAGCATCAAGGCCGCCCAGTCCGAATACGTGAAGGCCAACCTTGGCAACCCTGAGCTGTCCGTCGCCGGGCCTTCGGTCGGAGTCGATCTCACACTATTTTATATCCGTAGGTCTCAACTACAAGAGCGTGCCTAGCTGGCTTCCCTCCGTCTTGGGAACGGTGACTGACCTTTCTCAAACAGAATACTACTGCTATAATGTCGAGGCCCTTCTTGTGCTCGTGTGGTAAGTAGTTCCACTACTAGGCCCAAATACATATACACTCGTCGGTGTTTATAGCGTGTACCAGTCGTGTCACTTACACACGGTTACAGGAGTTACCAATTAGCACACTCAGTGTTCCAAATGAAAGCATCTCCGTCGGCCAGTCGCCATGGGCCCAACATTGCCAAACTCACAGCCATCCTGCTCCCAATCCCACAAGTCGCCTTGATGCGGACCAGCGCACTGCAACATACAACCATCGGCTTCTATTTTGTGGCCAACGTCCTCAGTGAGTGCTCGCCAGCTCTCAAGAAATGTTTTTCTTCTTGTGAGCGCAAGTGCTGACTGTTTATTGCACGTCCAGTGTGTACCTCTCTGGCGGTCGGCTCGATCCTCCTCATTGCAATACTTGTCAGATACATTACCACACGGACGGAAGCATCTTGGCAGGTAAACTATGCGATACGATCGTCTGTCGACTCAGAGGCCCAGGACGACAATAGTCTTGCAACTTTCAATACTGCCAGTGGTGGGCCGCCACTCAGCCAGCGGAGCATCTACGACAACTGGCTAGTGGTGCGTTTTGCCCTCGCCTTCGCAGGTCTAGCGTAATTTTTCCCCGACCCCTACGTGCTGGACGAGTTCGTTTGTAACACTAGCGAAGGAAACTAACATGAGGAACCTCTCTTTTCCAGTGCCTACGAGCTTGTGGTCATCCTAGCTGAGGTTTCCTTCGCGGTCGGAACGGATGAAATCGCCTCGGACGAGAATGTTGACCTAACAGTCAGCGACGCTATCACGGATTGCAAATCATTCCTCCCAGGAGTAACGGCCAGTATTCTCGCCTTTCTCGTCTTCGGCACGACCAAGACGTTCAGCGAGTTCTTCTACCGCAAGCTGGTCCCGCGAACCATCCGCCGCAAGCTTCACCGGCGCTCCAGGGACATGCCCCCTACCGCGAGCCCACGGTCAGAGGGGCTACAGCCACGCCAGTTATCCCGAGCATCAGATGTGCCTATAGGCTCGGCGCTCTCGACGCCCGGCATGGAGTGTTTCGAGCTGGACGGACGGGAAAGGGGGAGGAGCCTGTGCCTGCAGGCTGGCGGCCTTGGGACCAGCTTACACGAGCTCACGCTGCCGACACCGACGTCGAGCACGTCTGAGCAGCAAAAGGTAGATCATGGCGCGGAAGGCGAAGGGAAGGAGGAGGACGAGTGGCCCATCTTGAACGTCAAGCCGACAAGATAAGCGGCGTACAAGAACATGTGGAAACGGGGAGAGGGGCCTTTGCAACGACTGATGATTATTGATACCCAACCTTTCTTTATTTAGTCCTTCTTCTTTTTCTTCATCTACGGTAAATTTTGCACATACGAATTCTACCAGTCTCTGTTAAGTCTAAGCTTCATCGGCAACACGGTGCACCTCGCAGTAAGTCGCTGTATCCAGGCGAGTGGCAAAACTGACCTTCGATGGCTGTCTCCCTCCGTCTTTTCTTCTCTCACACGCTCTCCAACAATTACTCCAAGGCAGTTGGCGTCCCGAATCGAGTTAGGTCTGCTGTGGTGACCCCATGGCCGGTTGCGGTCAGGTATAGAAAAAACAGAAGACAAAAGTGAGGCTGATGACGAATTTGGTCAGGCCCGAAACATTCTTACGGGACTTCAACTGAGACATGCCGTGGGTGTTGCCCGGGAATCCGGGAGTGTTTTTCTCGCCAACCTCTCACGGAACTAGATTCCCGTTACGCCAATTAAAGCACAGCAGAGGACGGAATAAGAGGGAGGGAGTCCCCCTCAGGTATTGGCCCCGTGGAAGAAAGCCTTTGACTAGTTTGCTTAGCTGGTTCAAGCTTGCGAGGCTCGAGGGGACATCCCTTCTTCTTCTCTCATGGTGCTCGCGTGGGAATGTGGGAGGCCGGGTGTGGAGTGATCTAGCCGTCAGGGATGATGCCCGGTCTGGTGACGGTGGTGATACTGTGCTTGCTTTGGTTGAGTGGCGCCCGAGAGGGGGACCGGCGTTGCCCCTTGAGATTGAGTGTGCATGTTGTTGGGCTGGAAGAAGGTCGGTGCGTTTCTTCCCGGATGATGTGTAGATGGAGAAATTATCCCTCATATACCTAATAAAAGTCCCATGGCATTAGTACAGTCATGATTATTTTGGACTTTATTATTATTTATATATCAAGACAATAATATTGACCATGTGATTAGAAGAAAGAGGGCTCGGGCATACATCGTGAAGGGAGGATCCGAGCAGGGAGAAAAAGCGATAAATCGATGGTTTTAGTGGGATTATTTTCTCCGTGTTTTGGTATTGACTCTCGCTGCCTGCTCTCCGGCGTACACATACTCTCTCTCTCCCTCCCTCTCTCCTTCCCTCTCTTACACCACTCGCTGTCTCCTTCTCAACTGTGTTTATCACCAATCAGAAAGATTGAGAGAGACATCATTTTGTGACACCAGAAAAGGGCGACCAGTCTATTATTAGGAACAAAAGTGATGAATACTTTTGCATCATCCGAGACATAAATCACTTACCACGTTCTTGTCCCTGGAAAAGAGTCTCTTGTCTCGGCCATTTCTTCTTATACCCTCTCCATTTCCAACTGATCACTGTTGTCTGAATTCCAGTATCGTGCTCATTGATCCTGTGATTTCAACATCAAGCAAACAAGTCATTATCCTCCCAAATCAGTACCGAACGCCAATCTTCTCAAAGCACCACAAAGAAACGTCATGCCTTCCATCGTCACTCGTTCTCAGTCGGTCGTGAAAGCTTCGAGACGCAACAACAAGTATCATACAAACACAATATTGGTCCTCCCTCGGACCAACAACGGTGCATGACCGGAGCTCTCGTGCCCAGGAAAGAAACCATAGAGATCACTCAAGGAGAGGAAGAAGAAAGAAAGAAAAGAAAGAAGAAAATGTGCAACGGCACCGCAACCCAGCTCCTCTGTTCCCACTACCTCATCCACTGGTCCGGCCCCCGCTGTCCCAAGAAATGCATCCTTCCGGCCCACAGGACCTGGCTCAACTGCACCTGCGCCGACTGCGACCCAGACCACAGCCGCACCCGGATCCTCCTCAGGTACGCCGCCGAGCGCGAGGTCCTGGCGGCGAGGATCCTCCAGGCGACGGCCGAGGGGCGCTCTACCGACGCACGGGTCCTCGAGAGACAGCTGCGCACCTCCGCGTGCCTGCAGATGGAGGACCTGAGCCGGACGAGGTTTTCAGGGCTGGACCCGGCGGTGGGCTGTCGCTGGCCGGGGTGTTATGAGCAGTGGGTCGAGGAGAACCTGGGGCGGCCAGTGGACTGGGACTTGTTGTTGAACATGTGAAAAGGGGGAAACAAAAGGGAGAAGAAGCGGAAGGTCTCCTTATTGCTGCCATGGCCCGGCCAGCCCGTTCGTGAGCGTAGACGGGAGACCGAGCGGGGCCATCGTGTTGGCCATCTCGAGCACACCTGGCAGGAGGGGCCTATCCTGCGTTGCATGCGGCGCCTGCTTGGTATGAAGCTGGCCCTCACAGCTCTGTGGTGGTCGTGAGAGGCAGGCCTGGATTGGGACTGTGGCTGTTGCTGCTGCTGTCGTCGTAGATTTTGTGGGAGTCGTCGTCGTCTTCGTCGCTGAAGGACTATTCGCAGCCTCCACGTCCTTCTTCGCCTTGGTGTACTCCCGGAGCCTGCTAGTGGCGAGCTTCCCGTGTCGCTTTTTGTCGGTCGTGCAGCGGAGGAGGGGCAGCTGGATGACGGCGGCGAAGGTGTCGACGACCTTGACGCGGGACACACCGTGTCTCTTTGCTACCTCGTCCCAGGGGAATATCTCCTCGCAAGTCTCGGCAATATCGACGATGAGGTTGGGGGATGGTTTGCGTGGCTCGGCGGCTGTTGCGGCGGTTGTTGCTGCTGGTTGAGGGGCTTGGGATGTTGGAGAGGGCCCTGAAGATTGAGCGGTTGCTGGCAAAGCAGGCGACGCTAGTACTGCTGGAACTGGAGCGTGTGGGGAAGCCAAGACAGGTTTCAGCGTTTGGATGGCCTGCTGAGGAGGTTGGATTTGGTTCTGGTAGAACTCAGGACGTAGAAACTGAGTGACGCCGGTGTAGGTCTGAGGGAGTACCTGGTTTGTGGAGGCTTGCTGGGCTTGGTTCTGGTTGCCCTGAATTGGGAAGATGCCGCCGCCGCCCTGCAGTTGCTCACCTGCACTCATGTTGGAGGCTACGCCTACCCTCTGCATCGACATCGGAACGTGGCCTGGAACCTGTGGTATGGCATATCCCATGGGGAGCTGGGCAGGTAGCAAGGGTTGAAACCTGAGCTGAAAGTTCTGCATGCCCACATTGGTACCCATCGCAGCCTGGTGTGCCAGGTGTAGCTGTTGTTGAAACGCATTTAGACCGTGCCAGCCGTGCTGCTGTAGATGAGGAGTACCATTTCCAACGGGAATGTTGTTGGCCTGGTTGATGAGGGCCTGCTGCTGGCGCATCTGCTCGCATATCAGGCAGGGAGGTTTTATGGCTTGTGGCTGCTGTGCGCTCGTCGGCATATCACTGTTGCAGGCAGTAGCAGCAGCAGCAGCAGTCGTTGTGGGCACCTCCTGGTGAGTTTGGGTTGTCGTTGGTGGGCTGGTGGAAAATGGTGCCTGGGCCAGATGTTGAGGCTGCGCACTGGTCTCGGCTTGTGGAAGAGGAGGAAGAGGAGAAAAAGGAGGAGCCGGCGAGGCTGGTCGAGCTGATACGTCTACTGCCTGGTCTGCAGGAGGCCTATCGGCCGAACGCTGTGGCTCTGGTGTCTTCCGAGTACGATTCGATTCGGCTTCGTGGACATGTTGGCTGGATACATCCTCTCGACGTTGGGAAAGGCAGGCAGGTGGTGAAACTGGCCAAGAGTCCTTGTTAGGCGCAAGAGAACGTCTTGGCGAAAGCTCTGGGCTCTGTTTCTCAGCAGGCTTCCCAGAATGTTGAGGCTCAACAGGAGGCAGCGGGGCCAGGGGGTTCCAGTTCGGGTTTGGCTCCACTGGCGCAGGTTGAGGATAGAGACCGGCCATGCCCCAGGGTACATGCAGTCCACGCTGGTGCATAGGAGGTGGCAGTCCAGTAGTCGTAGCAGCGATGCTTGGATGCGCTGGGAAGTGGTCAGCAGCCGGCCGTCGAAGCATCGTTTGAGGGAGCTGCTTCGGTGAGAGCATGGGAGAACTGCGCAAGATCTGGCTCGGAGTTGTTACGGGAGGGGGAGGGAAGACATAGTCTCCCATGTTCATTGGCACCGACACGACACGATGGATCGCTGGTTGTGGCTTGCCTGGTGACGGCCCTCTGGCTGCTGGACTGCATGGAGAATCCCTATTGTCCTCAGCCCCGCTCATGAGGCCCTGGGTTTGATGTACGCTGTTGCTCTGTTCTGCTGCCGCCTGTTGGTCCTGGGCGGGGGTTGACTCTCTGCTGCCACGGCACTTCTTCACACTGTGAGCAGAGACAAATTGGACCTCGTCCTCTGGTCCTCTCTTGACCGGAAGGGCACTCAGCATCTCCATGTTGGGGCCTGGTGCCATCAGATGGTGGTTAGTTGTGAAGGGATAGAGAGGAAGGCTGGGCATTTCTCTCTGTTGTGTAGGAGGCAGAGAAGAAGCCATGTTCGACAGCAGTTCTTGGATATGTACAGTCACCTCTCGGGCCTTGGATTAGGATGATGATGTAGTAAGAATCTGATTTCTCAAAAATAGGACTGCATCTTTGCCTATTCTTATGTTGTTGGGCATACAAACTTGGAACTAAAGGCAGGACTGATGATGAAGAGAAGCAGCTCTATGATACCATTGACAACATGCTCTTTGCTCTCTAGCATATGAATTCAGTACTTTTCACCCTGCAGCCTTGCCGGTCTCTTTCAGAGGAGCTGTTACCTACAAACCCTCTACTTGCCTGGCCAACAAAGGAGTGCGGCAGTGGAGAAGACGCATATATTGTGGGATATTTCTTCCTTGATGGTTATTGAGCCTCTGCGGATAAGCCAATGGCTTGTGAGACCACTTGTATTGAAAGCCCAAATTGGATTATTGATGTGTCATGCATACACATCCACAGTATTTGCTTCACATGGAAAATAGTTCATCAACTCTGCAATCCACTTGAGACATGGAAGCTTCCTACTTATTTTCTGCATTTCTTATTGGGCGCCCCGGGGGGGGGGGGTTGATTTCATCAAGCAGGCACAATCTGGATATTCCACGATGCTGACAGAAACATGCACATGGCGATGGAATATTGCTGGAGGCTTTTCTGTTTGCACACACAAGTCTGTTGATTAATACATGCTTGGGGGTTTCCTTTTTCAGATGAATAGAACAAGCCTCTTACGCCATGGCCCAGTAATCAAGAAACTCACAATTCAGAACCAGTTGCAATATTCAGATTATGAGACTAGAGAATGAGCAATGCACCAAGACTGTTCCTCTCAAACTGACACTTACTATAAAGTACTTAAGTAGGTAGCCTACTAGGAGTAGGTGGATGGTGTGAGCATGGCATAATGAATACTTAGTGAAAATCAGAAACATTATGAAAGAGAGCTAGTTTTAATATTGAATAAACAGAAGAAACCCCTATAGATATTCCTCATCTGTCATTATGTTATCTGACTTCAGTATACAGCACTAACTGCAAGAACCTTTGTCTGAAAGAGAGCCAAAGGAGGGTGATGGGAACCCACACCTCACTGTTTAAGTCAGGGAGTGAGGCCACTGAACCAGCCCCTCCCTCCCTTCCTTTTTGCTCCTTTTCTCTTCACATCACATTTTGCTTAGACCAGGCTGATTTACTTTTGTTAAATATATTGGGCTGAGTTGCATTGTGACCTTTAGTCTGCTTCCATGATTATGAAAATTAGTAATTATTTTTCTATTGTTGGAAAGGGTAGGTATTCAACCGTTCAAGTTCGAATAAACCCAACTGGATGACGAAAATAGTTATGAAACAGGCTGACAATCGTAAGTTAGTAAGGCTGAAGCAATTAATATAGAGAATACAAAGGGAAAGTTACTGAGCATGCCTCGAATAACCCCCACATTTGAGGCCTAGACACATGTATTCAGGATGCTCTAGGCCAATGTAACAACTGGACTCAGCCATGTAAAGCCATCTCATGATCTATGGCTGAAAACTTCATGACCGCCTCAGTGTTATAATGTGCGTGGAAACAGGAGTCCTCTTAGTCCACTGCTCCCGCCAGCACCACACAAGACTCCGAAAGGCGTCATAGAGGAGGGTCCAATGTCAATGCTGTAACGTACAGTTTATTAGGCGATTCCACAAACCATAGATTCCAGAATGAAAGGTTCCATAGCCATTCATTGTGGTAGAAGCTCTGGAGAGACAAAAATAACGTCTTGAATGAAATAGTTTATAGACAACACAGAATCAAGCTTTGATTATGCAAGAAAGACAAAGGTAATCGGAAATTTGTCTGTTTGCAATTCGCATCACAGTTACCAAGACGAACGCTGCATGTTTGCAGGTAATCGGCTTGCTCTCTGATATTGGCTTACTTGCGCCCTGTAAAAAGGATCCACCCGAGACCTTTGTAATAGTGGGCCTAGGTTGAGCAGCTAAGCACAAGGGTCCCTCCCCCACCATACCCCACTACTACATGCCTCCCATCCCGGGCAGCTCAAAGACGCACGAACCTTTAGCTGGCACGTGCTACCACCACCCGCCCATGTGTGCTTCCTGGAGCTATTGTGCCGTGCCTGCTTTTATGTGCTTGTACAGCCCACCAAGAGACAACTCCATAGCTCTGTCCTACGAGCTTACAAAGATCCCCTCAAAAAGATCCGCCACATACCATCCCAGCTCCAGCTCCTCCTTCTCAGGCCATTGTCAGTGTAATTTGTGAGGTCCAGTCAGCTCAACGGACTGCCCATCCTTCTTCGGCTGATCACCAGGCCAATTTCCGTTTCTTTCCCTGCTGCCAGCGTTGCTGCCAGCGACGACCGACACGACGACCCGATCCCTCAGAAATAATCGAGGCCTCGAACGAACGACGCGGAAACGAGGTGGAGAAGAACGACAGCGACAAATCGAGACACGAGTCGGCACCCGCCTAACCTCTACAGCCTTGAGATTCCCGCGCGTGACCTATTAACATCCAAACCCGGGCTCCGCCGCTGCCTTTGCCTACACTCCCTCCTCCTGACGATACACACGAACCCAACAGCAACAATCCGCCCCTTGGCTCCTCTTGAGCTGCCGTCAGCCGGTTCAACATGGAGCACGTCATCCTTCACCCTTTGCCTCTAATCGCAATCTCCGATTACGTGGTGAGACACACCTTGCGGGCGCAACCAGGTCCAATTGTTGGCGCTTTGTTTGGCCAGCAGAATGGTCGTGAGATCAGCATCGAGTTCGCATACGAGGTCAAGACGGTGCCTGGAGATCGTAATGATGACTTCAAACTAGACTTGCACTGGTTTGACACTCGCCTAGAACAGAGTCAGCACCCCCACACACATCCTCTCCAGACTGTGTCTGTTTCTAACCCGAGTCTGTAGTGAGAGCTGTTCACAAGGATCGCGAGCTCGACTTGGTGGGTTGGTACACTCTGCTGCCTCGAAGCGGCCCCGGCCCCAATGTGTTACCCATTCACAACCAAATTCTCGAGCGTAACGAGTCTGCCATTTTGCTTGGTTTCCACACCGAAGAGCTTACTGAGGAGTCTGCCGGTGGGACGCTTCCCGTAACGCTGTATGAGACGAATTACGAGGTTGAGGGCGGCAACAAGGAAGCCCAAGATGATGGCGAGGACAAGGAGATGAAGGACGGCGATGCGCAGCCCAGGCTCAAGTTTCGGGAAATCCCTTTTGTGGTGGAGACCGGCGAGGACGAGATGATCAGTATGAGCTCGGTTGCAGGAGGTGCAACAAATGCTGCATCTGCCCAGACCCGCGACCAGAAAAAGGAGGTTGATGTCAAGGGCAAGGGCAAGCAGCCTTCCGCAGAGACCGAGAAGGTCGACCCCAACACCGTGGCTTTGTCAAAAGAAGACGAGGATATGATCGCCGCTTTGATGACCAAGGGCAACGCGATCAAGATGCTCAAGTCCCGAATCGACCTCATCATCAAGTACCTGCAAAAGCTCCCGCCTCCTTACATGGCCGAAGTTGAGGCGGAAGCCAATGCAAGCGGCGGCGGCTCCACTGAGCCCTCACAGACGCTTTTGAGGCTCATTCAAGCTCTGGTCCACCGCCTCAGCCTCGTTGAGCCCGCCGATGCCGAGGAATTCAAGACAGAAATGCTACGTGAGGAGAACGATGTCGCCACCGTCAAACTTCTCAACGAGCTTATGGGCCGGGTTGGCGAAACACGCGATATTGGTAAGAAATTCTCGGCTATCGAGACTGGCAAGACTTCTCAGAAGCACAACACTATTTCTTCTCAGCAGTTCTCTGCCAAATCTGCAGCCGGCGACCTGTTTTAGATGGCGTTTTCTTTTTCACAAAGCCCGTTACATTTTGTTGTTCCTTTTATTGAGGAGCATTCCCTGACTTCTGCACTGGTGTTCGGGAGTCTTGGAGCATGGAGGCATTTACATGCGTGAAAGAGCATGGCATGGCATGGCGTTCATCTGGTCCCAAGAAATGGGAGGTCATATAGACCAGGATAAATGAATGAATGGAAAATGGATACACTTGTTATGATGTTCGATTGTAGTAAGTCAAGGTGTATGATAATATCACGGCAAAAGCGAATAGCCGGCATTGTTATGAGTTGTCATTAATCATGTAATATTTCTGAAGGGGGCCCTATGGTTCTAAATCATGCTCTACCAGAGGACCGCCAAACCGGATGACCCAGTGGTCATAAGCCAAGTGAAAGAAACAAGGACAGAAATCATGTTCAAATCAGAGCCACCCTCCTGCCGTTTCGAAACACGCAAAAGAACGCCAAAGAAAACAAAGACAAAAGAGACCTCTTTGCTTTCCCCCTTTAGTTTTACGCCTCAATAACCACCTTCAATACCAGCCTGCCCTCGTCATCAGCCGTCCGGCCTGCCAGCTCAAACGCCTCCCGCGAACGGTGCAGTCCCTTGAACCGGTGCGTGACCATGTTGTCCAGGCTCGGCAGGCCACCAGCTTTGCCACTTTTGTTGCCGCTGCCATGTTTCGAGGCACACAGCAACCGGATTCCCGTAGCGTACGTGTTTGCGTAGCGGAAGATGCCAAGGATGTCGACCTCGCGGAGGTGGGCGACGGACATGGGCAGCGTCTGGATAGGCGTGCCCATTCCGACCATAATGAGCTTGCCGCCTGGCTTGGTCGCGTACAGGGCGGTGTGCATGCACTCTTCTTTCCCCGTGCACTCGAAGGTGATGTCGACGCCGTCATCTTCCTCGTCCTCGTCATCGTTGGGAGCGACGAGGGGAGAGGTCTTCGACACGGCAAGAATGTCCTGGGCCAGCGACCGGGCCCCCTCGAGCCTGGTGTCCAGTGTCGAGAAGATGCTACTCGCAGGAGTTATGGCACCACCATTACCGCCACGGCCGCGGTCCATCCCACCAGCCATTGAGATCTCCGACGAGACGGAGGAGCTGGAGGACGAGGCGCGGAGAGGGCGGGGCACGACGTAGCCATATGTCGCGAAGCCGTGCTCGAGTGCGTATTCGACGCGGCCCTGATCGACGTCGCAGATGGTGACGACCGAGCAGCCGGACTGTTGCGCCATGGCGGCTGTGAGGAGGCCGACGGTGCCGGCGCCTATGACCAGGGCTGTGGCGCCGGGCTCAGGCTTTGCGCGGTTAACAGCATGAATAGCTACCGAGAGGGGTTCGAGGAGGGCCGCGGCGTCGAAGGAGATGTGGTCAGGCAATCTGGTGAGAACACGTGTGAGCAAAAAAGAGGAAGCTCTTGCTTTTTCCTTGTTTCTTTCTTTTACTGCCCCTTTTTTCCTTCTCCCCCCTCCCCTCCCCTTTTCTTCCTCCCTGATGCCCCTCTCCTCTCCTTCCAAATTCAAAAGAAAACTCACTTGTGGCACCACACAGCCGGATGGTTAATCTGCTCCTGCAGCGTCCCCTGAAAGTGCGGGAAGCTCTTCGCACTGCTTCTGAATCGCATCTTTCTGCAGAGATTATACCGCCCCTTCCTGCAAATGCCGCATTGCCCACACGGCACGCCGACCTCGAGGGCCACGCGGTCGCCGATGGAGAAGCCACCCACCTGGGCGCCAATAGCAGTCACCACACCCGAGGACTCATGGCCTAGGGATATGGGCTGGCACGCACACAAGTCACCATTGGCAAATTTTTTGAAGTAGGACACGTCGGAACCACAGATGCCCGTGGAGCGGATGGCGATCTGAAGCTCTCCTGCCGCTGGAGGGTCGATCGACCTGTGCTCCTGTGTGGGTTTAAGAGGATGTGGTCAGAAAAAAAAGTGTACATGGTAGAAAGGCTTTCCAGGGTTTGCTTATGCGGGTCATCTTTCTTTCAGTCTCTCACACACAAAAAGGTGATTTTTCCCCTCCCCCTCTCCCCTCTTTTGCCGGAAACAGCAGGCGGTTTACCGACTGGCTGGGTCCCGGCCGGGAAGAAGAGGACGCGAGATCTTGTGTTACAGTGAGACCTAAAACAGTAGTGATGACTGCCATGAAGAACTCTTCTCCGTCTCTTTTTGATTGAGAGAAAGAAAATGAAAAATTATAAACTCACCAATCGCAGGTCTCGAGCGCCATGCAAGACGGATGCCACAACTGTAGACGGCTTCGTATACGAAGAGCCCGTATGCATAGGCTCCATCTTGTCCTCCATCATGGCAGAAGGCGCCATCGTCCAGGTGATGTCGTGGGCGTGGGGTGAAACGTGGGGATAAAGCCCAGGGGGATTTGCCGTGGTGGTCCTCGTTAGGGCTGGGAGCCGACACACTTACAGCACAGCCGTCAGGAACGGGGCAGGGCAGGGCAAAGCTGGACGCAACGTTGTGTTGCTTGACGAGGGTGCCGCCTTTTGGTGGGGGAGAACTGGTAAGGCCCTGCTGTCTCAAACAGCGGCGTCCTCCTGCCCTCTACAAAGGGTTCACGGGGTTGGACGACGGGGGCAAGAGTCTGCTTCAGGAAGGTTAACTGAGCCTAGTTGATAGCGGCGTGGGATGTGTGGGCAAGAAGCAGGTGGCTAGATATTGGGACAAGTGGGAGGAGAGGGTGGACGAAGGCGGAGCGGGATAGATTGACGAAGGAAGAAGGCCATTTATCTCCTCCCTCTCCCCCTCCCTCTCCCACTTTCCTTCCCTTCTTCTCTCTTCCACTTCTCTCCCCCCGTATACAAAAAGGCACATCGACAAAAAAATCCGCCCCGCCCCTCGATACCATTTCCAAGACCAGGAAGCTCGGTTCCGTCAAGACGCCCACCCCTTTCCGGCCTGGCATGATCTTGATTCGGGGGGTGTTACTCAATGGTAGCTAACCCAGGGATGATCAATGCAAGAGGGCGATAGCAAGTCGACCGGGGGACCCAAGCATGTTTGTGGGTATGACAAGATAGAAGGCCGCAAGAACGAAAGAGGAGGAGCAGGAGGAGTTCCCCAGAAAGCGGAGTAGTAGTATAAGGCTCGCACATGAAGAGTAAGGAACTAGAGGGAAAAGTTGTGTATGTGTGTGTGTGACTTGAGGCAGGGATCGGACATTTCAGGATGAGAGACATCTAGAAAGTGCTCCCTCTTGGGCTCGCCCCCCTCTTTCCACCCCTCTTCATTGATTCCTGCCAGTTATCTTGCAATGAGTTATCTGGACCCTCCTTCCGATGAAGCCCAACTCTGCGAAAGGTGGAGAGAGCACTCGCTCACCAGTTGAAAGAGAGAGAAAAAGAGGGAGGTTATGTTTCCCAAATATCAGATACAAAAGGTCCTGCAGTAGCATCACAACAAGCTCCAGCCGACTTGCATTAGCCTGAAGTCAACCGAGGGCTGGTATTTATGGTACCGGGTGACATGAGGCAACCTTGCCCTCTGGCTTGTTCACACAATGTCCTCATTCAGAGGGGTTGGGGAGGGGGCCACCACATGTAACTTGCATGCAACCCGCTGTGACATCCGCTGCCTGTGGCTTCACATGCCCGTCAGCAAGTGACCGACCCAAAGGTCCAAACTGCTGCCGCTTGAAGAAGAAGAGAAAGCTCATGTGTGTGGGGGTTTCAGCACTGAAGGAGGGAATAGAAGGGTAATAGAGAGCCTGCGGGAAGAAGGTTCTGCCCCCTCCTCTTAGCCGACCTTGAAGGATGCGCCATAGGACGAGCAGGCATTATCGCGAGACGCCAAGAGGGGAACAAGATTCAGATCTTCTCCCCAAGCAGTCCATTTCCTGCACAGAATGGGGGTCTCTTCTGCATCGAATACAGTGGCCATGAGAGGGGACTTCTTCCTAAGGCGAATTCAAGAAGGATGGGACGATACCAATCGGTTTGTGTAGTCGTCATATTAGCCGGTCCAGTCTCTAGCCCCAGATGTGCGGTCTGACAGACACATAAGGGTCCCATCAGAAAATCCTCTAGGTGCGTAACAGGTGGCCATGTGATTCGCTGCATTGCAAACCGTTAGAAACAGATTGTGGTGGAGGGGCGGGAGTGTAGCTCGTTCTTGGGGCCCATGGGGACAAGGGCTAGACCCCAAAAGAAGAACTGCATGATGCATGGTGATGAAGCCTGCTGTATCCAGCACATGCAAACGTCGTCTCGTTGCTACCTTGCCTGCGCAGCCTGTCTGGCTGCTCGACAGCCCTTATCTTTGACTGTAACGCTGTTCAACTAAGGAGAGGGGGGAGGGGACGAGACCTCGGAACTTCCGATCCAGCGAGAGAGGAGAAAGCTCGAGAGGTGGTCACTCACGGAAATAGGGTTTGTCGTTGTGAAGAATAGGGCAGCTGGCCCAAGATGAGAAGAACATGTGCTTGCGTCTTGGGACGTGGCAACATATCGACTACAGCACATAGGCTACCATCCTCCAAATTAGTGTTGTTGCTGCGTATAGCGAGTAAGGTGGCAGGTGCGAGCCAGAAAATTTTGACGATGACGACGGGGCCTGCCAAAACAGCACTGACAGGTTTGGCACTAGGACTGGACTCCTGCGCGAGGGCCTCTCGGGTGTATGGAAGGAAAAAGTTAGTCTAGACTCGAAAAAAAATCGACACATCAGCAGCATCCTGCACGCCCGCCTCGCCGATTGTTTGAGTGAAGTCGCGGACCTGCTCCGGCGCTATTCAGGCGCGAGTATCATCCATCACAAAATCACCGAAGTTGCTTGCGGCAGGCCTTCTCTCTCTTTCTCTCTCTCATGTTGCGTTGAGGAAGAGAAGCCCCCCTCCCCCACCCCCTCATGCGAATGAGGCGAGAAGAGACGGCAAAGACGGCAAAGACGGACTGGAATCTTCGGCTGAAATCAAGCAGGTTTGACCTCCTCTAACGCTCGGTGTGTTGACCGATCGTCGACGGCGGCAAAGTCGTTGCGACTCCAAATAAGTGTAGTGTTGCGAGGTTGAGATACTAACGGTGATCCCAGATCTTCCATGGCAGTAAAGTCGTAACAGTCCTCCATCTTTGCCCAAAGCGGGACCCTTTCCGAACGACGGGACGAAGGATTCACACATGGCCGTGGCAAGGGTTTGGACATGGTGTGTGGGTGAGCCCTGTTCGCTCCTTGTAGCCGAGATGTACTGTGCCTACGGTACTGTAGCTTTCAACGGTCGGTGAGCAAGTATCGGTCCCTTTCTCTGTGGTCGGAAGACGTATACCACACCGTTCTCTGCTGTTCACCTGGGGGTGTTTTCGTACACACACACACACACACACACACACAACCACAGGGGAGTCTGCAAGTCAGGTTCGGCCTGCTGTTCCGAGCAGTTTCATGCTTACTGGAAATCTTGATTCCTGCTGTCGGAACGGGTCCCGCTCTCCTCAGAAAGTGAGAGAGATCGTCGTCAGAAATGATATGGCTCTACTCATAAATCAGCCATGGTTACTCTCACCACAAATGAGCCCCCATCACCATGACCACGTCTCAGTGCCACACTCCCTGCCAAGAAATTGAGCGGGAGCGGCTTGAAGTTGGGTGTGATGCGTCGCGCCAGTCAAGAGGCTGAGGCATATCTCCTTGAAAAAGCGCCCGCTGCGACCTGCACATGGTAGCGGTGATCGATGGCCTCCCACTTTTTGGATGAAAGGACGGCTTGGATTTGCGAAAATCTGTGGAGGAAGACGCCGTCGATTGATATTGTCGACATTCACCCCCCCAATATATTCATCACAAGACGCGCGTCGTCTACATCGCAGTCACAGGAAAGCGGCGCGACATGCCGGCGGGAGATGTACATCGCCTGGGGTTGTTGTGTGAGAGAGAGTGTGTGCACATGGGTCTCGCCCTCCCTCACGACACACACACAAGTACACACGGTCTGCCAGGATTTTGGAAAAGAAAAAAAAAGGATAGGAAAAACAGAGACTCTGTTGCGCCTGGGAAATTGTTGGAGGACGTTGATGCCTTGCTGCAACCCATCGTTGCTGGGGTTTGATATGCAGGTCTGACCGGTAGATGCCCAATCAGGAGCTCCTGCGCGAGGAGCAAACATACACCCAGGGCCTGCCACTGCTGGGCCAGGTTCAGGATTTACAGCATGAAACTAGAAATGTTCACCAGCTCATCACCAGAGTTAGAGATGACTGGTGCGATCTGTCTTCCCAGGGTTGGCTGATCGCTTCAGGGTAGCAGTTGCAGCACTGCCCTTACCCGCCCTGCTTTGACTGATCGCGAGGCCGGCTCAACAAATACCCCTTCCCCATTCCCTCCTTATTCAGAGGATTTTCGGTGCTCTCGGCTTTTGAAGAAGAGGCATGAGCATCAACTGCTCGAGCCAGCCCTCCGAGCCAGCCACCCCCTCAAATACGTGATAGCTAGGTCTAGTGGACGCATCTTTAGCTTCGGCTCAGGTTCCGAAATGGTGTGATGATGTTCCTGCTATGCCTCGGTGCCGCATCTCAAAAGTCCTCAAGCTGACGAGCAATATACCGTAAGTGGGTGAACTTGGACCAGGGTGGGTTAAGCCTCGGTTGTCTCATGGGAAACAATGCAGATAAATTACCTGTGGTGAGTGCCACACGCCCACTTAGCGTTTGGCTCAATTCAAACGTAGACGGCGTCCATAATAGTACAAAGTACATATGTGTCTGCCTTCGGTTCGGGCCAAGCCTACCAGCTGGGCCGTACCGAATTTTGGAATCATACCATCTCAGGCGGTGAAGTAGAACAGTTAATCCCCTGGAACATAAACATACAATCTGGTTGAGATAAGCAAATCCAAAGGACAATAGGATTGGCGCGTCTTCCCGTGGTATGATTCCTTATGCTAGCTGCCGGCAATATTGGATTCCGACTTATTCACACATGACTAAAGGGCGCATTCAACCTGACATAGTATAAAGCTTAAAGCGTAAAAAACAACGGCGGAAGATCCACGGCTAAGGATTTAGTCCGCGTTGATATTACCATCGTCAGAGGCACGTGTGTGTGTGTATGAGAGGAAGATAGAGAGAGAGAGAGAGACAGCGAGAGCGAGAGCGAGAGCCGGCATTGCATTGCTGCACAGCCGGCTGACCACTGCGCGTCCTACAATAAACGATGACCAGCTAAGAGAATCGGCAGGTATTAGCAGCACATACAATGATACAATTCATAATTTAATGGAGTTGATCTCTGAAGATCGAGCTCGGGAGTACTCCTGCTGATCGAGAAAATACACATCTCAAAAGCTCAGAAAGTGCTGGTGGCCAGCCGGCTCGCTGCGTTCCTGGCATCCACCCTGTCCTCGTCATCTTCCTCGCTGAGGCCGGGCAGTCCGGTCGGAGGTCGAGCGCTCTCCTCTTCGGCTTCTGCCTCCTCGCCGACGTTGGGCATGAAGCTGCCAGACATGCTTCTTCCCATGGGGTCTGCAGACCGCCTGGGAACACCGCTCCACGCGTCTCCCTTGGGCCCCTGGCTCGAGGCCATGCTCGTCCGTCGTACTGCGGGATGTGCCTCACGACCTAGACGGCTGAGGCCACCGGAAGCATCGATCGCCCGTACGTCGGGCCGCACGTTCTCCAGCAGCGCCAGGGTCCTCCTCTCGGCCTCGATCTCTTTGCACACAAACTCTCGAATGCTTGCTCTGAGGTCTGCTGTAGTTCTTGCGAACCATTTGCGACGGTCCTGCACCAGATTTTGGGTTACTCTTGTAGTCTTCTGATAGAGGTACTCCTGGTTCTGTTTCGCGTCGTCCAATGCAGTAATAGCCTCGTCAACCTTCTCCCGGCGCACGTTGGAGCTACCCCTCAGACGGTCTGCCGCATTCAGCTTGCTACGAGTATTTTCCTGGGCCTGTATGAATTCGCGAATGAGAAGTTGGCGGTTGGTCAGGGTCTCCTTGACAATGAAGGCATCGTTAGAATGATATTGGAATGGATCTCCGATGGAAAAGGCCTCAGCCGTTGCCTGCGCTTGTTGAGAGTCCCCAACGGTTTGAATAATCTTGCCGAGTTTGCGGTAGGCGTTTGCGAGCCCTTGATGAGGTTCTTGGACATGCATGCCACCAAGTCTCACGCCGAAATCGGACTGAGAAAGGCCCAGGCCTAGAATCCATGTTAGCAACGGGAAGACCAGGTGCTTGAGAGGCACATGGAGGGTGAGGACTTGCCTCGACGGGCCTTGACCAGCTTGTCGACCTTGTGGCCTGCGTCCATCGAGCCCAAGTAGAAGAGCTTCACGATGGGTCGCGCCTCTGACAGCTCCGGGGTGTCATCCGGGGGAGGAGCAAACTGCTTCAGAAGTTTGCGTCTGACACCCGTAGCAGGCTGTTTCTTCTTCATCATGGGGCTGTAGCCGAAGTCACTCTCAACGAACAGGACCATCTCATCATCTCTCATCAAGACCTCGTTGCTACAGACATAGTTGAACCAGCGCTGCATCAGTGCCTTCACCCTGATCTCATCCTCATCGGTTCCAGCTCCGGCAGATGTCAGAGGCGGTGGAACGGCAGGCACCATCGCTTCAGGATTCGCCGAGATCAGATGCTCAGCTAGCTTGACGAATTCGGAGTGCAGACGCCGGACATCTCGGAACTGGGTTGTTCGAAACTTGGGAAGATTTGTCTGTCATAGTTAGCGCGCGCGAAGGGAAACAAAGCTGCTTCTCGATCTGCGGTCAGCAACTCACGTGCACGTCGAATCTCAAGATTGGGTCTTTGCGAGCAGCACGCTCCAGACCAGTAATCTTGGCCTGAAGCTTGTATACTGGCCCTGCGGGCCTCCGAGCCTGGGGTTGGGCCTGAGCCTGTTCACGACTGGCGCGCGCCGTGTCTCCAGACAGCCGGTTGGGATCATCATGACCCTGTGATGGGGACACGTTCTCGTCGTGGTACGCATCAGATTCTCCAGCGGCTTCTTGTGCTAGTGTCTGCCCATCGTCCTCGGACTCCGTACTGGCAGTACCAGGCCTCCTATAATCGCCGCCGGGCGAACGAAAGCCCTCCTCATCAGGTTCAGATCCGAAGCCGTTGCCAGAGATCTGCGACCCAAACGCAGGAGATGCGGGAGAATCACCTCCTATTGTGCCGAACGTCGTTCGGGTTGCCTGTGGCGAGGAGACAGGCGAGTTACCCCAGGGCGATGCGCCTGCCGGATGGTCGGACTCATGAATGGAGGTGCTATAATCCATTGTAGAAGAATGCGCTCAGAGAGAGCAGAGAAGCTGTCAGGTTTGGAGGCTACCGAGTGTGGAGAACGTTGTTCGTAGCTCTCGTAGCTCGTCAATGCCGTGTGCGTTGGCGGGACAGGATATGATCGTGTGGCAGTGGTTGATGCTCGTGAGGATTAGAATCGGCGTTCTAGAGTTCGTCAAGCCTAAAAGGGCAGACAAGAGAGCAAGGACTGCAAAAGCCCCCCTTGGGTTGCCTGTAATTCGGAGGGGGGATGACGATGGTGAGAAAGCTGATGGAGTCCTAAAGTGCGAACGGTTTGGAAGTGGGGCCAGGGCAGCTGCAGCGCGAGTAAGCCACAGAGGGGGGGTGAGCGTAAGGGGGTTCTGGAGAGGGAGTGTCGTTAGAGAGGGATCTGTACGCCCACTTTGACATCATTTTGGCAGGAGCACATCGCGGACACAATTCTTCATACACACGCAAAACAGAAAAACAGCTGACAAATCATTTCCATTTTATGTGGTGAAAGACCAATTGACTTTATTTTCTGCGCTGCGGGCTGCCAGATGAGTCGAAATGACCTTGTCAGTGTGTCTCCTTCGAGGTCACGGACACCATCAGCCCAGCAAGCTCGTCCGTCTATGCAATGAAGTGGCTCTGTGTGGTTATGGCTATAAACGGGATGGCAACCTCTTGAGACATGCTACCCGGCGCTGGAATCAGACGACAACGGCACAGCGAGCTCACCATGAAGCTCAAGTCGAGAACATCCGCAACATTGGCATCATTGCCCACGTTGATGCTGTATGTGGCCTGGTCTTGGTCCAGATTCTATCAAAACTGGCTGCTGAAATAAATCGAACCTATTCAGGGCAAAACTACTACGACAGAGAGGATGCTTTATTACAGTGGTTCAACCAGGCACCTAGGAAGTATGAATTAACGCCCTCGTGTCCTTGTATGCGGCAACAATGCCTCAAGCTAACCTGCGTTCATCCCAGACGTCGATCATGGTGATACAGTCACTGACTTCCTCCCCATGGAAAGGGAGAGAGGCATCACTATCCAGTCAGCCGCAGCATCCTTCAACTGGCCTCGAGCTGAGGACTGCAGTCCAGGCGAGGAAGCCAAGACCATCAACCTGATCGACACCCCAGGCCATCAGGATTTCCAGTACGAAGTGCTACGGTGTATGCCCGTGCTCGATGGTGCGGTTTGTGTCATGGACTCGGTGAAGGGTGTGGAGGCACACACAGAGCGAGTATGGGCTGCCGCCCAGCAGTTCAAGATCCCGCGGATCATCTTTGTGAACAAGCTTGACCGCGAGGGTGCGTCATTCAGAAAGTCTGTGCTCGACATTGCCACGAGGTTGAAGGCATGGCCTCTGGTCTGCCAGATCCCTTGGTGGGCTGGCGATCATTTTGTTGGGGTTATCGATGTCATCAAGCGGGTAGGTCACAAGTGGTCGTCTAGCGGCACCAGAAAAACCTACAATAAGGACGGTCTAAGGAGTGCTCTCGAGTCGGAGAACCCTTCGCTTATGGAGGAAGTTGAGCTTGCACGGGAACAACTCATCGAGAGACTATGCGAGGTCGACGACGAGATCGCCACCAAGTTCGCGGATCAAGGAGCGAACCTGTCCGACGAGACCATCAAGCTGAGCATCCGCCGAGCCATCAGCGATGGCAATGGCGTTGTTGCTCCAGTATTCGCTGGGGCTAGCTTGAGGAACATTGGTGTGGAGCCTCTTTTGGATGGCGTTGTGGAGTATTTACCCAGCCCTCAGGAGCGTCCGCCTGTGGAGGTCAAGACTTCACAGGGAACCCAAAAAATGGAGGAGCTCATCGCCAAGGAAGCAGTAAAGCTGAAGCAGAAGGGGGCAAACATCGCGGTTGCATCTGTTTTCAAGGTCATCAGTGACCATCACAGGGGTATGCTGAGCTTCGTCCGCGTATACCACGGCACCTTGCAACGGAACGCACATATGTGGAACTCGACACAGCGCCTCGAAGAGAAGCCGCTCGTCATGATGCAGATTCTGGCCAACAAGCACATCGACATTCCTCACCTCAAGGTTGGTGGCATCGGCGCTCTGGCAGGTCTGAAACATGCACGTACCGGAGACACCCTCGTCATATCTCCCGAAAAAGCAACAGACACTCTCATGAAGAGCATACAAATTCGCCCCGCCGTGATTCCGCCTGCTGTCACGTTCATCTCGATTGAGCCTTTCTCCCAGACCCATGAGGAGAAGCTGGAAAAGGTGCTTACCGATGCGTCAAGAGAAGATCCCAGCCTCCGGTGGTCAAAGGATGAGAAGGCTGGCCACTACATCCTGTCGGGGATGGGCCTGCTGCATCTCGAGGTTGCCATTGACAACTTAAAGAAGCACAAAATTGATGCATTGTTCGGCACCATCCAGGTGGACTACAAAGAGTGCATCTCATCACAGACGCCGCCCGAGAACTATGCGCTCGATCGCCCGGTGGCTGGCAAGCAAGGAAAGACATCGTGCACGGCTACAATTGAGCCCATAGACGCGGAGCATCAACCGGTCAATGAGTCGTGGAGAGACAGAGCCGCTCGTCTCGGCTACACAGACCTGGAGAGCAGCAAAGACTTTCATCTGTCGAGTCTCGAGAAGGATGGCAACGCAATCCATGTCAACATAATCCATCCAGTCCATGACCCGAAACAATTCGACATTGACACCATCTGTCATAATCTCCAGAACGGGGCTATTTCAGCCTTGTATAGAGGACCAAGAAAGGGGTATCCACTCCATGGCTGCAACATCGAGATTATCTTGGACTGCCAGAAGGACTACTTTGGTCTCGCATCACCTGCGCACTATCAACAAGCAGGATATCACGTTGTCCGTAATTCGCTGAAGAATGCCCACGACAGGCAGATGATTGGCCTTCTTGAGCCACTAATGAAGGTTGACATCGTGTGTCCCGAGTCGGTGGCTGCGCAGGTTAGGCACGATCTCGCCTCGAGGCATGGTGGGCATGTCCTTGAAACAGAAGACCTGAACGAACGGGCATCTGGTGAAGGCGAGATCAACCTTGAGGAGGTGTATGCACCACCGGACCCGTACGAGAGCATCTCTACATTGCGCGAGGATAAGAAGGGCGCGACGCGGATGCTCAAGCTTAAGGCCAAGGTGCCGCTGAAGGACATGCTGGATTATGACCAACACTTGAGAAGCTTGACGGAAGGAAGACACTCCATCCAAATGGAACTGGACACATTTGAGAGGGTCACAGGAAATCGAGAAAAGCTACTCTGACCTGTTCTCAAGATGTGAGGCGAACAGAAAGGAAGAAGAAAAAGAAAGAAAAAATGAGGGGGGGGGGGGGGCAAGTTACAGCCATATTAAAAGTCTTGAATCAGATAGATATCTTATTTTACTCTTTCGCTATGGAGAGAAAGTCTGAATCAAAGCCCGAAAGCGTGAATAAGCATTGCGGTGGTCTGGAAGTCAAGTCGCCCGTTGACTTTGCTCTCAGTGCCTCAAAAACCCTGTTTTACCCGCCCCCTCCTGTACTGTAGTAGAATGTGGGGCCACTCTCACTAACCAACTCTCACTCTCAGCACTGCAGGCGTCCCGCTCGGAACTTCTCAAACCTGTCCACACAACAATACATGACGGACTTGATTAGAGACAAGATCAATTGACACTTCAATCAGCTGCAAGGTAAGCTCATGGCGACTCACTGAATTTTCAAGTACGAGTCACTGTAACTGATGAGCCTGTAGGCAACTGTCAGCCTTTAGCTGCGAGAAAAAAGGAGCTGGTGTGCATGTCGAAAAGATCAAAAGTCATCGCGAAGATTACGCGCAGACATGGCGCACATGACGAACCCCTTGGCGAGCGTCGAGCAGCTCTACATGAGGAACGGCTTTAGCTCACTACCAAATGATCTCCAAGATGTCATCTTCTACGCGACGCAATGCCTGACCCAGGCTGCCGGCGTCCTCCTCCAGCTGCCACAATCTGTCACAGCGCAGGCGAACGTTATCCTCATGAGATACTGGCTGGCAGAGTCTCGACCTCTCCTGACAAGCGAATTTAGCGTGAGTGTTACAGGAATCGGTCCCGGTGAACTCGAAGAAGTTGTATTAACGTCTCGCTCGCTCAAAAGGATGTCTCGGCGGCTTGTATCTTTCTCATCGCGAAACTCGGACCTCGGCCGCGCTCAGCACGGGACATCGCTAACGTCTACGCGTATCTCCTCTCTACCAACTCTTCCTTTATGCGCGACAAGGGCGCGCAGCCTCCCACCACAAATGATCCTGCATCTTATTACCTCGGCGAGTCAGACTACTTTGCTTTCCACAATCGTGTCCTCGCGCTCGAAGCACGCATCTTGTATGCCCTCTCCTTTGACACACACGTCGCCCTTCCCCATCCCTTGGCCATCACCTACCTCCAGACCCTAGAGTTCTGTAACCACCAGCCCAGGGAGGCGCTATCGAAGAGGGCAATCGAGTACTTGAATACGGCGCTGCTGTCACCGCAATTGTTGTACCTGACACACCAACCCAACATGCTGGCAGTCGCGGCTATCTACAACGCAGCCAAGGACCTGGGTGCTAAGATGCCTGAATGTGAGTGGTGGGAAGTCTTTGACGTGGAGAGAGAGGAGCTGGGCTTTTTGGTGGTCGCGATGAGGAGTCTGGAGGGGTGGGTGAGGAAGCAGAGGGAGGAGTTTCCATGGATGGCGAAAGGGATGATAATACGCAAGATGATACAAGAGGAGCTGAAGAGGAGAGGCGTGCATAATGGGAATGGTGCTGAAAATGAAGACGAGGAGGCGGCTATGATGAGGCAGATGGATGAGAGGGCGGCGCAGGTCGAAGCCTAGTCTTGATCACGCCAGGGCTCTATGGTATACTTCACTATCAATCCAAAGGCCAAAAACAAACAAGGCAGATATTTGATTCTACCCCGTCCTCGAGCACTTCGTCAAATTTCTTTATTGTTTCGGAAAATGTTTTTTGAGCAGGATCTCGTAGGGATGTCACGTTAGAGCTTCCAGAAAGTGACGGGTGACTGGGTAAGCATTTGCAGCATTTATAATACCATAATAGTGAATCCAGACGGTGCAAAGTGACGCCGTCTTACTGCCCTCTAGCGCAGTTACTCTGGTCATCCGAAAATCTGATAGTAATCATCGACTTCATCGCCTATTTACTCGCTTTTTGATCGATAGCTTATCCGTTATGCGTACACAGTGCCATTTCCAGGGCTCACACTACGCGTTATGCTGCTCGATGTTTTAACAAGGACACCCGCCGCTGCGAACGTACCCAGCGTTATGCCTGCTTTTTCTGTTTCCATAGGTCGTTATCTTTCATGGTTACTCTTGCAGATGAGTCGGATCTCGGACGCGTTCCCCCTCAGGTATAGCAGCGAAGTCCCCTTTTGCGAAAACCTAAAATGGACCCAGCACTACAGACGACCAACAAGCCTAGGACAAGGCAACGAAAACACAAGACGCCTCCTTCACTGGACGTTCCAGATATCAACGAGAATGCGGCGGAGAGGAAGCGGATTCTAAACGTATTGGCCCAGCGGCGATATCGTAAGCGGGAAGCCCATGCGTGCATTGTTGTGCTGTAAGTTACTGACGCAAGTACCAGGAGAGCGGAAACGAGGAGGTAGGACTGCCAAATCGTTGCGAAACATAGAAACAACACCACAGGAAGCAGGCGTACTCGCAGCAGACAAGGAGGCTTCTCTCGATGCTGCGAACGAAGGTAGTCATCAAGCCCAGATAAGCGACCAGGCTGGGCTCGCCGTTGCCACTACAAGAGCAAAGGCTCTTGAGGTTATGAGGAGGAATGAGCCCGAGACCACTGTCAATTGGGATCCGGCCGCCTTCAGTACACCAGACGACAATGCAACGCTTGGCAACTTCAGCGACCTGGCTGGCAGTGCAACCGAATGTGGAGCAGTACGACCATCATTTCGGGAGGACATGCCATCCCCAAGCCTCTCCAGCATCCAGTCCATAGATACCATTGACCCGATGGCACTCTTCGGATCCCTAATAGGATCGCCATCCTCCACATCCAAGAGTGACGTTTCCTTCCCGGACACGTACCTCTTGCCCGTCATCGAGCTCACACTCCTCCGTGCCTTCATGCGCATAGCCAGCCGACTGGGTTGCACGTCCAGCGTCTGGGACATCCACGCGACCTCCCCTTTCACGGACCCCTCGTCGCCCACGCAACACCTGCCACAGACGTGGCAGCCCACCACAGCCCAGCTGCTGGTCCCCCACCACCCTCTCCTCGACTTCCTGCCATGGCCGTCGGTGCGCGAGAAGATCATCTCCGTCTTCACCCTACCGGAGGAGATGCGCCCTGCGGCCGCCAAGTCGCCCACCGCGCTGGTCCAGTTTGCCTACGACCTCGAGGACGGCGCCGAGGGCATCCGGATCTGGGGCGAAGATCCATACGACCCGCTGAGCTGGGAGGTTGGACAGCTGTTGTTTGAGAGGTGGTGGTTCATCTTTGACGGGGCCGTCATCGAGCAGAGCAACTCTTGGAGGGTCATGCGTGGTGCGGCAAGGCTGAGGATCACTGCTGCCGAGGACACAAGATAAGGAGAGAGAGAGAGAGAGAGAGAGAGAAAGCCGCAGCTGGGCGCACGTGTCGATACATTTGGAACCAACAAGTGGCCCTGCAATATCATGTTACCCCTGCTAGAGAGGAGGCGGACAAGTAGCAGGAGGAGAAGGGATCAGAGAAAATATGCGATAACGTTGAACTTGATATTTCACTCTGCAAGCACTCGCTGGCCCGATCCACCCCCCCATTACACTTAACCCCCATCACACTTAACGAGACGAGGTACTGTGTAAATCGTCATTTCCAAAAACAAACATAAAAGGGGAGTCTTACTTGTCTGTATAACAAATCTACCGAGATATAGCTATCGCAGGGTACAATCGATATCCAATACATACACACGGTATATTGAAAGGAATGGAGTTCATCTTGCTGAAGAAAGTCGGCGCCGTTACCATCCGCGACTAGCACACCGTTGCAGGACATTCCAGAATAGGGGGGGGGGGTGTCCTGCGTGCCGGGGTATTCGGAGCTGCTATAGAGCATGCATAGCCCTGAACAGCTCAGCAGGTGGGGCCAAATCTGGCAGGCGATGAGCTCATACCGCGATTAGGATGACAGACTAGGATTCTTTGGGGGCAATGCATGTCATTCTGTCAACACCATCTGATATAGTTCTCCGCCAAGGTACCCCCATCCTTTTTAAGTAACCTCTTCCCAACCCTCAACAACCTTTTCAGCCTTCTTTCAAACCCCAACCTTTCCGAAATCCTCAGAATGTCAACCAACCATAGCACAAGATGAACTGACTGCTGCATCAATACATGGGTCTGATCCGGCGTGGCACAACTCTGCTCTGTGCACGCGACCTTTGACCCACCTAATTTTCGAGTCCACCATTTTTCTCTTCGTGCCATTCTATCTGTTCCCAACCTGGTCCCAAGAGACTGTGCCCCTCGACAATGTGGATAGCTGGGCACAACCAGACAACAACCAAAACCTGTGGCTGGCCTTGATTCTCTTGCGCGCGAGCAGCCCACCCCTCCCTCCCCCCCCTTAGCCAGCATGTTGCTCCTCCACCAGACCGGCAGCAGTCTCAAGATAGGCGAGGTCGTGCGCTACACCGTGACGTACACTCCGTCACAGGACCGCATACTGCCTTCCCCCGAGTGTTTATACCTACGCATCAAGAATAGCTCTGGCATCGCGCTCCGAGCCGCCTTTGTCCACGGCCCCTACAACCTCTCCGTAGCTGCCTGGCCCGCGACCTTCAACCCCAACGAGACTTTCGTCGAAGATGCCCATGTCTACGGCGTGCCCGAGTTCGAGCCCATGCTCAAGGCGGGTGGCTCGTGGACATGTCGCCTGGTCGTCCCCGAGCATATCAGGCAGAGCGCCGGCACCGGGCGCTCCGGCGCATACTTTGGGAATGGGCCAGAACACGACGAGGAGAAGGTGTCGTGGGTCGTAGAAGTTGCCTCCCAGGTCATCTTCTCGACCTCGGCTGCCGTACACTACGACCTGCTGCTGGCAAGGGACGAGAAGTCCCTGAGCCTCTCCACAAGCATACCAGTGGTTGGCAACCAGGCCCAGGTCCCTCAGCCCGGTCGGGTCAGCGACTTCCAGCAGAGCAAGGGCGCCAAGGAGGGCAAGCACGCCGCGCCGAGCAAGGGTGTCTTTTCGCGAGCCATTCATCTGAAGGTGGAAGACACTGCCAGCATGTGGAATACGCCTGAGCTACCTGGGATGGAACAGTCGGCAGAGAATAGTGACGCTGCGACAGGCCCAGACGCAGATGCTGTGCAGACAACCCAGAAATCGGAAGATCCCGCGCCAGAAGACCAGAGATCAAACAAAAAGAAGAAGAAGATACATCTGGTTATTCTCACCCATGGCCTGCATAGCAACCTTGGGTCAGATATGCTCTACATGAAGGAAAGCATCGACGCTGCCGCCAAGCAAGCCAAGATTGACGCCAGAGCAAGGCGGAAGAAGGAGAGGGAGAGTCGTAATAAGGAATCTAAGGGGTCAGACGAGCCATCTCATGCCCGTGCGGTTGAAAAGGGCGATGACGTTGAGGATGAGGATGAGGGCGACGGGGAAGTCATCGTCCGAGGCTTTTCTGGAAATGCTACACGCACAGAGAGGGGCATCAAGTATCTCGGCAAGCGGCTGGCTAGATACGTTTTGTCTCTTACGTATCCAGACCAACCATTCCTGCCAGCTGGAAAGGCAGCCCAAGAAGTGCTCTCCCATGCTCTCAAGGGTGAGGCAGCTGTTCAAAAGGATGCAGCCGGAAACCCATCTCACAAGCACAGCACAATTCACAAGGCTACGGCCAGCGAGTCGCGCGCATATCGAATCGCTAGCATCAGCTTTATTGGGCACTCGCTGGGTGGTCTTGTGCAAACCTACGCCGTTGCCTATATCCAGAAACACTCGCCACACTTCTTCGACTTGATCAAGCCAATCAACTTCATCGCACTCGCCTCCCCTTTCTTGGGCCTCAATCACGAGAACCCAATGTATGTCAAGTTTGCCCTCGATTTTGGTCTCGTCGGCAGGACAGGACAGGACCTGGGCTTGACCTGGAGAGCACCAACAATCGCTAGGAACGGCTGGGGCGCGATTGTCAGCAATCTCGGCGAAAATGCACACAAGAAGGTCATGGGGGAGCCACAACCAGAGTCGAAGCCGCTGCTTCGCATACTCCCCACTGGTCCGGCTCACGTGGCCCTGAAAAAGTTTCGGAACAGGACGGTGTACTCCAACGTTGTGAATGACGGAATCGTACCGCTGCGAACTAGCTGTCTGCTGTTCCTCGACTGGCAGGGCCTGGGCCGCGTCGACAAGGCACGTCGTGAGGCTGGCCTTGTCGAGACCGTGGTCGGGTTCGGGTGGGCTGAGCTCACTGGCACAAATGTGACCTCTCCACGGAACGGACCGTGGACCCCGAAAACCGACAGCGAGAACAAAAATCCCTCTACAGGCACGACCACGCCTGTGGACGGAGGCGACGTTCATGCTGTTCCTCAACCGCCCACGGACGCAGTTATGGAAGATGACAGAGCGAGCCTGAGACCCGTAACGAGTCCTATTGGGGACGATGACCCCTCTTATCCGCAAAATACAGCTACCACTAACAACAACCCTTTCTCGGGCTTCTTCTCATTCTTCAAACCAAACACTGATCCTACCTCCCCGAAACCTGCTCCGCCACCTTCTGCGAAGCAACAGAAGATCTACCAGCGCAGCCAGACCTTGCCCCTCGACGCCAATGAGTCAGAAACCTCACAACCACCACAGAAGTCGAAGGTCACCTCTGGCCATGAGCTGGGTGAGGACTCCGACAGTGGTGTCTCGGCGCCTCCGACGACAAGTTTCTTTGAGTCTGCAGGAGATCTGCTCAACCCAAAGCTGCCGTCGGTCGAGTATCTGATTGATCCAGAGTCGCGGCCAAGAACTATTTTCCACGACCGCGTCTACCACCCGCAAGACATTCCACCGCCGCCTCTGAAGAAGCGGCCCACGGGCTCTTTAGCTACGCGTAGGACGACATTTAAAAGATTGGGGTCTTCGTCTAGCATCCGTGCTGAGAGCAGCGGTTCCTCGCCGCATCCTGGTCCTCCCCCCTCTCATCAAGACTCCATGGCTTCCACCAAGGACTACGACGACACCGCCAACACAAATCCAGACAAGGAACCTGATGAGGTTGTTGACGGATCGAACATGAAGGTGGAAGAGAAGATTGCTCGCGCCTACCATCGTGACCTGTCCTGGCGCAAGGTCCTGGTCAAATTGGAGCCCGACGCGCACAACAATATGATCTGCCGCCGCATGTTTGCAAATGCCTTCGGGTGGCCGGTGGTGAAGCATCTTGTCGATGCACACTTCAGCGACTCCGCAGTGGCTCGCCGGCGTGACGAGGACGAGCAGGGTACCGAGAGAGCCAAGGCGGCCGATGAAGCACCAGACAAGCACGGCAGCGAAACGACGGATCGCAGTGACGCCAACCCGGCCGCTCCGAGCCAGATACAAGGCGAGCTGAAGTCGCACACGCAGGCGGTGAAACTCCATGAGCACCGGCGCACGGAGAGTGAGGATCGCGAGGCCGCGGACAGTGTCCCTGACCTCCCTTCCAACCCATATGGCAGGCCGGACGTGGCCCTGCCTTCGCCTGGCCGAGCCCCCGACAGGCCCGACAGCATGTGCTGGAGTGATCGCGATTGGGCGGACAGCGCAGACGAGAGCGATACGGACGTGTTGGCTTCGATCGGTGGCGACGAAGGGAAGAAGGTCCCCGAACGCAGCACGAGCCCTCTGAGCGGTGCGTACTGGACAGAGAAAATTGTTGGAAAGGGTGCAACGAAGAAGAGGCGGAGCAAGTCACCAGGCGACAAGCAGGAGGAAGGTCAGGCCGCGGCGACGGCAGCATCGCTCTCCCAGCCATTGACGTCTTCCGGTCATGTGTCGGGCACTCCGGACGCTGCAATTACTCAGCCGGACGATGTAGATTGATTCATAATGCACTCGAGCAAGCATGTATTGTAGTGGCTCTGGTGGTGGGCATGTGGTAGGACGGAAATGTTGCGTGGTATTGCATTGCATTTCAAGGGGGTGTGGAGGGGCGGGTTGCATATTCAGCATGGCGTGGTATTGGTCATTATAAACGAGCACTGACATCCAGAAATGCACTATACATTTGATAAATCGGATAAACGAATACAGTTACCAATCCCAATTTTACAAAGAATTTACATGTGATCTCTTGCATGTGATATGGAAAAAAAAAAGAGTTGATTTTTTTTTAGTCAGCCGTGGAGAAGTGAATACAAAAAATGATTATATATTGTGCCGCGAGAGGATGGCCGTCCACCTCGGAGCTACACGGACGAAGACTTTGCGGATTTCATAGTGTTGAAAGCTGCACACGTTATTCCGTATTACCGATATTGGATGTGTAACGAAAATTGGGTGCGGTTCTACTTGCTTACCACTCACGGCACTTGTAGTCATGCTGTATGACGTGCCTTTTTTGGGGGGGGTCCCTGTCGGCCTCGCGCTGCTCCCACGCCCGGCCTGGAAGGGATCTAAGACAAGGTGTGGTGGCACCGCCCTTTCCGTCCGGAGCGCCGGGACACACTATGCATGCGAGTTTGATCTTCAAACAAAACATCTTGGATCTTGCCCAAAACAAGCATGTCCAACCTGCAGTATCATACATCGACTACCTTGCACAGCAGAACGTGACATGCAGGTTTTTCCTTCTTCTTCTCTTCTCTCTCTCTTCATGCGAGCTGCATAGACTCAATGGTTTCTTGTATATCCCACGAACTGCGGAGGGGGAGACGCTCCGCGGTGCTGCCCTAACATTCCAAAATACTTTCATTGTGTAGTGAATGTGTGGCGGCACTGCCTTGTGTTGAAGAAAAAGAAAAAAGAAAAAAAGTTAATGTGTATGTATGTATGTATGCATACCTGAAGTACCACACATGTTTTGCCAATCTAGGGCCTTCTGTCTAGATTAGATGCGCACATGGGGGCGAACCCGACCCGAGAGTATGGGCACTGGCCCATCCGGCTTGGGGCTAGCTATTTATCTCTATACTTGAAGAGTGTTAGCCGCCCCGGTCTCGCGTTCGTGAAATCGTCGAGGAGGCAGCTGACCGGTTCTGAAGCGGATTCTTACTGGTCGTGATGCAACTGTGGTGTGAGCGGTGGCGACGACCCTTCTGCGTTTCTGTCAATGCCGGCAGGGACAACGAAGACGTGGAAATTGCGGGGCTTTCACCCTGAACCGTCGCCATCCTGTATATACCAAATGCGTCAGTTCCCCCGAGAGACTACCAGTCAGCTGGGGAAACAATGTGCAGATTGTTTGGATCAGGGCCCAGAAACAGACGCCGGATGATCCGTGGCTTAAGGCTCCTATCACTGAATATGGGTTGTATTGTTTGGAATCGAAGTTGGTGGTGTGTTGATCTGACCCTAGATGGTGAAGATGTACTGCTGGAAGTACTATGCACGTGGGTGGATGGATACATGGACGATGCAGAGGATAGGAAACGTTGTAGGGCTTATACGGTAGGGCTTAGGAGCTGAAGATTAAGTAGGTGATATCTAAGCAGAACATCCGGTGGGGGCCACAGGGGGGTACGTCAAAGTTACAGGGGGCGACAAACCACTAACGCTAACAGACCCTATGGGACATACAGTGGGTAGTAGTAGTGCTATAGTGCTTTCTAGCTCGGGGATTCCCGAAGCTTGTGGTCGCCTCGTGAGGAAGCCGCGACAAGCCTCCGGAACAGCGACGAGGTCAGCATGAATCAAGGTGACTCAAACGATACAATGTACTTACTTGCATACTTACACAAGTATGGGACCGAAGGCCCAAGGAACTCGAAAATACCTCAGCATACATCAATGCTGCAGAACGTCCAAGAACATCGACACCACTTATGCAGTCATGGGCATCGACAAATCCCACCCTGGCCTCACAGCCATTGAGGAGGAGGAAGAGGCAGGGCGGCGCAACGTACCCTCGACACCATTCGCGTATGAGTGTGTGAGTGAGAGAGATAGAGAGTGAGAGAGTGATCGAGAACCTCCTCTCATACACCATCTTACCTTATATAAGCCCAGCTTCTGGCACACCTCCTCCACAGTGGTCATACGACGATATTATCACCTGTCATCCCGTCCTGGTCTTCCCAAAATCAAGACGGTCCCCCTGCCAGATCTTACGATATGAACTACACGAGGAAACGTGAGTATTAAACACGCCCTTTCTTCCTCTTACCTTTTATGCCCTGGTTCCTTACTGACGTCCCCTCCAAGGTGCCCTGCTGGCCTGCGACTTTTGCAGACATAGAAAACGGCGTTGTGATGGAAGGCAGCCGTGTTCGACCTGTCGAGATGCTCAGGCCGACTGCGTGTACAAGGAGCTGCCTACAGATCGGTATGCTGCTGTCGCATATCCACCTTCCATCATCTACCACGAGCTTCCTCCCTCCCCCCCCCTCTCCCCACCAAAAGCTCGCCACCCTCCTTCGCCACCACTGCTGACCATCGTATCTTCACAGCATCGAACCTTCGTCTTCTTCTCAGGGTGCAGTGGCTGAGCGCCTAAGCCGGATCGAAGCGTGAGTCCTCATCACTCTCACGGACACGAGGTAGATGCAGGGTCGTATCTGCTGCCCCTGGTTCCGTACCAATCTCATCTACACCGACTTCTTGTTTTGACTTTCCCGCTTTAGAAAGGTGGGCTTTAGCTGACATCGCAAGGACAGGCTGCTAGAGGAGCAGGGACACAAGCTGAGCGAGGCCTTGACGAGCCCCTCAGCTGTTTCATGGCCGTCTTTCCGCTCTTCCCCACGAGCGTCTGCGGCCTCGCCAGCCTCTGCGTCCAATCGGTCGACCGAAGGGGGGGACTCTGGTCTTGAAACACAATTCCTTATCCCCACTGGCCACTCAGCGACCCTGACCTGGCTTCTATCCATCCCACCTATCCGATCTGTTCTCGGAGACCTACCCAAGTCGTACTTTTACGAGCTCGAGCAGGACACCGCTCTTCCACCGCCCCTGGACATCACCCAGTCAGGTCAGATCGACTGGCCAGCTCTCGAGCCGGACCGACTCCGAGGGCTTGCTGACGCCTACTTCGAGCATGTCGCGGCTCATCTTCCCCTTCTGGGCAGAGATAATTACGAGAGGCTGCAGGACGAAGTGCTCCGCAACGGACCCTCGCAGGATATTGATACAGCCATATGCCTGTCTGTATGGGCTCTTGGTTGTATCGCATCCAACTCTGGCGTGGCCGCCGTACCAGAGTCGTCATCCACTGACCCGAACCAGGATCTGGGTCTCAGCTACTTTGCTATCGCTCTGAGGATCACCTTATCAAAATCAGTATGGGGGTTCACTGCAAACCTGCATACCTGTCAGGCTCTGGTTCTGGCAGGTGTATATTTTTGTTATCTCGGGCGACCTTTACATGCCTGGAAGATGATCCATAATGCTGGGCAGAAACTACTGGAAAGGATCAACAAGTAGGTGTTCTCCCCCTCCCCTCGCGTCTTACATCAAGCTAATACGAGTTTATTCTTGAAGCCGATCAAACTCTGGTGACACCTTACAATTTGACGAAGACCATACCCGATTATTCTGGTGTTGTTTCATCAAGGACTGGTAAGCCGAGCCCTTGTGCACCTCCATCATTTTCCATTGGGAACCCCTACGCCCTGACATACAAGTCATCTCTCTTACCTCCCTATCCTGACTGACAATGTCCCTTCCTATCTGACAAGTTTCCCCTCCTCTTGGCCTCATGCTCCTAGCATTGTACACAATCAAGTTCGAATATGCTTTATTGTCTTCTCTACTAACACATCGATTGCAGTGACTCTGCAGCCGAGTTTGACGTGACAAGGACCGGTCTTGAGCCGTTTGGTGACAAGATGCGGCTTCCTCGAAACACTGATATCAGCGATTCCGAGAACCTCATATATTGGACAGCAGAGATGGCCATCTTGCGCCTAGTAAACAGAATCATCGGATCCCTCTACTCCCCGGATAATGTTGATATCACCCTTCTCGCAGAGCTCGGCCCGGTGCCGAACAATACAAGTCTCAACCAGCTCATCACCTTAAGCTCGGAACTGAACAGACAACTAGAGCAATACTACAGCACCATCCCAGTCCAGCCGCCGTTGACAGTGGATCCTATATCGAACGACAAGAGGCGGAGACTCAATCTGCGAGCATTGTACGCTCGCCATCTTATACACAGGCCGTTTATCCTCTACGTCGCCCTACAACCAGCCCTCCAGGCATCGCCTAACCCGCAGGCCTCATCATCCGGATCGCCGACACCCCAGCACTCCCCCTACGCGATGCCACGAGTGATCATGGAGAAGTGCACCGTCTGCATCCAGTCGAGCGAGACCTACATTCGCAACGCGGTCGAGCTCCTCGACAAGCGAAACCCCTACCTCTGGTCTGTCGCTCAGGCCAGCGTGGCATGTTTCGTGGTGCTGCTGATGGCTTCTCGATCCCCTCACCTCCGGCCCTTCGCGCCTGAGCTGGACACCTTGGCCTCGGTGCTGGTGCCCAAGATCACCAAATGGGCTACCCCGGGCTCGTTGTTTGAGGCATTGGTACGGCTTGTGGATGCGCTACTCGCAAGTCGGCTTCGCTGATTAAGGCACAGCGACTTCGATGGAAGTGAAAGGAAAAAAAGGAAGGAAAGAAAGAAAGAAAGAAAGAGCAAAAAGAAGAAATGCGCTATGCTGGTCATACTAGCGCATCAAGTCCCGTCAATGTATCACATATGTACCCGTCTGTATACTTCTTTTCACATCCACATAGCTCGACCATGTTGTTCCATTACATTCTCCTCTTTTCGATACGACTCGAAGGGACTACAACTGTGTAAAAACGTGAAAAGATGTGAATGGACCCAGAATGTATCATAGACGTATGCATGTGTCAGGTAGCCCCACCTATCTCACTTTTAGGTCTATGTATGTGGTTGCATTGCATATATCGCCGCCACCACTACCAAGCTCGCGCCCTTCACCATAAAGGACATGCCGCCCCCTCCGAAGGCAGAAGCCTGAACGCGTGTCACGTATGTGGGCTGTGTTGGTGAATTTTTTATCTATCAGGAATCATTATGGTACTGAGATAGGGGTCTCAAGAGCGTAAGTTCTCTCAATAGTGTTACACTCAGAACAATTAGGTACCATTCGAGACATCTCCGTTAAGCCCTGACGATGTAGTGTCATCTTCATGATTAGTCGTCGAAATAGGCGTTAGTGATGCCAAAATCGGCATGGCTCGTATGCGTCCATCCATTCAAGTATGACTGTGAACATTGAAGTTGAAATCGAGCGCAAATTATGCATAGTTGCTATAATTTACTCAGCGACAGATAAAAACAGTCATGAAAAACATCATAGTCGTTCGGTGAAACTTGTCACCCACGGACGGTCTGTACGTTTGGGTTATCATATGTGCTGACAAATTCCCAAGGGCGTGGTGCTGTTCCAAGGTTCTATTCGAAGTATTATAATTATAACCGGATAAAGAAGGCTGTATTGAGAAAAGGGAGGGGAGCGGGGGAGGGCTATGATGGGTTACATGTAGATCTTCGGGAAATCAAAATAGGTATGTATGTACTTAAAGGAGCATGCAGCGCGTCTTATAGACTTACATAATACGGGTTCGGGCTCGCAGTAGTCAATTGGTGTTGTCAAAGAAGAAGACACTGTTATGCATGAAAAGATTGATTGTGGGCGAAGTCTGACTCCTGTGCTATGCTTAAACTGTTGCAGAGAGAAATTGGATGATCCAGACTTCTGGTGGATCTGACTTTGTCACACGTTGAATATAGATGCTGGTTAAGCGTGAGTACATGCCATTGAAGGCATGTATATTGGGGAACTGGTGTACTGTGATTCTCAAACCTCAAAGACTGGTTGAATATTGGCATTCAAGATAGTCAGCTGGCCTCCTCTATCTAACCCTCCGTACTGGCTGGCTAATTTGAGGCTCTGGCATAAAGCATGATTCTCAGGAGGGCCTGAAGCAGGATGAAAGTCGAGACGAAGCAGAGTAGAGGAGGTGAAGTCGTCCAAAGACTTGTGCTTATATAATGTGGTGTTGGCTACATTGTGGTGAGCAGGGAGCCCATGGCCTTTTCCCTGTTTTTTAAGTTCCTGCGGCTCGGGTAGAGTGCAGCTCCCGCACTGCTGGGAAGTGGAGTCCCCACTGCCAGCCGCCGGGTCTCGGGACTTGGGGGGTCTGGGGGGCTTGACACGCTTGATTACCCCTGTAGCTTGGGCATGCTGGGCGAGGGTGGGCACTGGGCACCGACCTTCCCCCCTTCAATCCGTCCCTGGTGGGGCATCGTCATGCAGTTCCCCCAGTGTCCTTGTCGCATCTGCCATCTGCCATCTACCTCTCCCCTCTGGCCTCAGCAGCCTTTCTTGAGCACTCTCCAACACCTGCTCCGTTGAACTGTATGTATTTTTTTGGCTGCTCAAGTGCGCAATACAGCCCATGACCTGTGCGCTCCCTGGACTCCTTGGCACTGACATTTGCTCTAGGACTCCATAAACTTTCCTGCTTCTATCTCAGGGGCCACAGAGTCTGACGACATCTTCACCCTTTCCCAGAAGAGGCGCTCCCCGACATTTGTTTCTACCTGACCTACTACTGCTTCGATTTCGATACCGATCTCAATACCGATACCTATCTTCCGTTACGAGAACACACACCTCCAGAAACACTGCTTGGCCAGGTGGCCAACAGAAGAGAGTAGTCGACTTTGCCCTCTCTTATATACAAACAAAGCCCTGTGGTGTCGACATTGGCCTGGATTCCCAGACACATTGAGCGCCCCCTTCTTTCTTCACCTGTGACATTTAGTCGCCAAGATGGGGGTCTCTGCTTTCCAGATACAAGAAGACAGTGAGCACTGCGAATAAGCTCTATCTTCAAGAACAGCTGCTGATTCCAACATTGCCAGTCATCATCTCCAAAATCAAGGAGGTAACCAATGGCGAGGTAAGGAGAAGAAACAAACCATGTCCCCAGACCACGGGAGAAGGGCCAGGGTTTCAAGTAGCTAATGTTCTCTATTGCTCCTTAGTGGATGATCCTTGTGACCGACACAGAGTCCAAGAGGCTTCTGGACAACACTGTCAAGGAAGATGACATCCTCAACATCAACATCGCTAGTATGTGCTAGTTGCTGGCCGGCCCCGTTTCATACTCAAGTTCCCAACACTCACATACATGGAATAGATATTGAGCGTCTTGAGGAGAAGAGAGACGCAAATCCTGGCATGTCGGCTATATACCTGCTCTCCCCGCAACAACACATTGTTGAGACACTTGTGGCGGACCTCGAAAAACAACGGTACCAGCGGGCCCACCTGTTATGGATCAACACTCTGAGTCGACGACTGCGAGACCGCATCGCCTCAAGCCGCGCAAGCAGGTCGATCGCTGGCGAACACGAGCTCAACATTGACTTCTTTCCCCGAGAGTCGCACTTGATCACCTTCCGCGACCCATACAGCTTTCCCACGCTGTACAACCCGAAATGCAACGATCTGGTCAAGGAACATATGGAAACGCTGGCCCGCAAGGTGATGAGGACCCCCCTCGATCCCATCTCCTAGTCGAAATTGAAGCTAACTCTGTACGTACCACAGATCACGGATGTCTGCGTGTCCCTGGGCGAGTACCCCAAGATTCGGTACTACAGGCCCAATGCAGCCCTACACGACGCACAGGTTCTCTGCTACCACTTTGCCAACCTCCTCCAGCAAGAGCTTGACAACTATGCGCGGAGACACCAGGAATACCCGCCACCGTCGTCGCGGCCACAGAGCGTCCTCTTCATAACGGACAGGTCTATGGACTTGATGGCACCTTTGCTACACGAGTTCACTTACCAGGCCATGGCGCACGACCTTCTGCCCATCAAGGAGGGGGAGAAGGTGACGTACCGCATCAAGATCAACGACGGAGAAGAAGAGCAGGACATGGAGCTGCAGGAGAAGGACGAGACATGGGTGGAGAACAGGCATCGGCACATGAAAGACACAATTGACACGCTCATGTCAAAATTTCAGAAATTTGTAGCCGAAAACCCAGGTGCCACAGACGACGGAAACCCGGCCAACTTAAACATGATCAAGGACATGTTGGCCAACATGCCGAAATACCAGCAGTTGAAGGACGCTTACACCCTGCACCTGGCCATGGCCGAGGACTGCATGAATGCGTTCCAGGCACGCAAACTTCCAGAAATCCAGTCGGTCGAGCAGTCGTTGGCAACCGGGCTGGACGAGGATCTTCGCAAAGCAAAGAACCTCTTACCAACAATTGTGAGGCTGCTCGATGACGAATCTGTCCTGCCCATCGACAGGGAGCGACTGATCATCGCATGGTTGATTTACCGGTACGGTGTGGTCGAGGAGGACATCAAGAGGCTTTTGGCTCACGCGCAGCTTTATGGGGGCGAGCCGAAGAGCGAGAAGCTGGATATCATTCATAACCTACAGCTCCTCGGAGCTCGGATACTTGCACCCCTCAAGGACGAAAGAAAAGCGCCAGAGCCCTTGTTTCCTGTCGACACCAAACAAGAACTAAACGAAGAGTATGGCCTGGTTCGGTATCATCCAAACGTGAAGCACATGCTGGAATACTTCTGCGAAGGCAGGCTACAGCACGACGTATTCCCGTACACGAAGCAAGAGGACCAGGAGGCCATGGAGGTAGGACAGGTTCAGAGCTCGCTACGGGCCGCCAAGCCGAGCTGGGCGAGTCGCACCGGTGCCGGAGCTACGCGACGGCAGGACAACCGCCAGCGACTCATCGTCTTCATGGCGGGTGGTGCGACCTTTTCCGAATCCAGGGCATGCTATGAGGTCGCGGAGAAACACAACCGCGAGGTCTTTCTGATCACCAGCCACATGGTCTCGCCCAAGTTGTTCCTTCGCCAGGTCCAAGACCTCGACCTCGACAGGAACAGGCTGGACCTGCCGATGCTCCGCAAACCAGGGCTTCCCAAGTGGGTGACGGAACCCGAGCGACCCACGCCACCTCCTGTGATGTACTCCCAAGGCGCGCCGGCACCGCCCCCTAAGGGAGGGCCTGGTGGCGGTCTGCCTCCGGGTCCACGGGGAGGCCTTCCTGGACGACCAGGGCCTATGATGGCGCCGACACAACAGATGTCAGCCATGTCCATAGCCAGCGCACCGCCCCGTCCCTCGCCCGTTCCGCCGCCGGCCAACGGCGGGGCGAGTAGTGCCAGCTACCACTCGCCGACGGCGAGCTCCGACAGCAACAAGCTGGAGAAGGAGAAGAAGAAGAAGCGCAACATTTTTGGCATCAAGAAATAGAGATTCTGAGATGCGTGGATCTGTCGAAGCAGCTTCGTCCTGTAATCATTGTTGTTGTTCACTGGAGAGCGGCCTCAAGGAGATGATGGGAGGGGAGTTGGACATAGATCGGACGTTAGGCTGTGGCTTTTGGATGGGGAATTTGGATTTTAGGTGGATAGGGTGGATGGGTAGGTGGGTGTTCTTCTCCTTCTCTTGGGATTATGTCTCCTTTCGAAGCAACAACGGCATCGACCAAGCATTATCAGCATGGCGTTTCTTGAGGGGAGAACACGAAAGAGAGAGAAAGAGAGGCAGACAGACGCCTTACTGTAGATACTGTACTGTCACTTCTGAAAATCTCCTATAACGATTGTGCATCGAGGAGAAGGGGGGGGGGGCAGATTGTCTTCTCTAGAACAGGTTGTCTAGGGTGATTTAATATCGATAGCTTTCATGGCCCTGTGAATGATTCTCATCTCTCTCTCACGACACGTATCCCCCGATGGGCAGGGCGCTTGATGCACTCTCGGGCAGCAAAATGTGTCTCATTCGTACACTCATCACTATCTCTTGTAGACACGCGCCTAGAATGTGGGTAGTTACAGTCGTCCATTGCTCGTCTCTCCCACCCCCCAATTTCAAAGATTTTCAAAGACCGCTTAGAAGAAGAAAAGCCCGCGATCAACCAACCCAAAGTCAAAGCCCAAAGGCTCCAGGCGCCAACCACTTCCATCGTCATCATCATCACCACCTGGTGAAGATTGGTGGTAGGTCCTTTTCTGGGCCCGTGTAATGTGAAAAAGAAAGAATAGCAAGACCTGCGGTTTTCTCACTGTCTTTCGGAGCTCGGGGGGCTGCTGTTCCGCGCGCGTGCGCGAGAGAGAGAGAAGAAGAAGAAAAGAAAAGGGGGGGGGGGGGGGTTGGCCCGATATCGCCTTGATGATTTTCCTTTGATAGGCCCCCAAAAAAGACAACAACTAGATCGGAGAATAAGCTCACTTTTGCCTTCACAGCTTACCCTCGCTCTTTATGGGCCCCGTGTCATCCCGGCTGTTGAAACTGACCAAAAAAAATACCATCTTCAATTTGTTTCTATCTGCGGAAAGGCGCGGCGCCAGGTGGTGGCATGCCGCCACGGCCATCAAAAGGCCCAGGGAACAGCATACCATCGGGCCCGGGAAAAGCACCTCCCATACCCGGGGGTCCAGGCATGAAGGCTGGTCCAGGAGGTGGACCACCGGGGAAGAAGCCTGGAGGCGGCTGCACCCGTTGACCGCCTGGCATGTTTTCAGGGGGGGAGAACATCGCTGGAGGCATGGCGGCCGGGTTGAACATGCCAGGAGGCATGGGGCCGTTGGGAGGCCGACCGCCCTGGAATCCTGGTGGCAATATCATCGGCGGTTGACGCTGCGCACCTGGAGGTCCCTGCTGGCCAGCCCATAGCGGCTGCTGTCCTGGCATGCCTTCCAGACCCGGTGGTGCCATGGCCTGACGTTGGAGGATCTGAGGGGGCTGCATCAGCCGGCCGGGGTCGTCGGCACGGCGGAACTGCTCCTCAGTGAAGCCAGCTGGAGGTTGCGGTGGACGCATCGCCCGCTGCTGCTGCTGCTGCTGCTGCTGCTGCTGTTGCTGTTGCTGCTGAGGAGGAATGCGATCGCGCAGGAAATCTGGCTCGCGCTCTTGGAAGTGAGGAATTGCAGCCTGTCTCTGAGGCTGCGGGTGGCGCATAATCTGTTCGATCGGCCGTGGGTCTTGAGGGATTCGGTTCTGCATGAGCTGCATGAGGAAGGCCGCTTGAGGCTCAGGGGCGTACTCTGCTCGGCCGCTGCCTTGACTCTGGGCATTATGACGCTGGCTGACAAGGTCTTGTAACATCTGATCAGGTCGAGCTGACGGCGGCTGGCTCGGCGGGGGAACGGGACGTGGAGCCAATATCTCTGGTCCATTTGGCGGCACGGAGCGCAGACGAGGTTCCTCAACAACACGGCCCATCCCGTAGGAGCCTGCGGGCTCGGGTGACCCGAGTTGTATCTTCTGTGCCAGGGTCTGTTCCAGCTCTCGAAGAGGATCATGAGGTGTCTTTTGTGCCGGAGGCGGCGGCTGGGAGTATGCGTTGACGTTGGGCGGTGTGGGTGTGCTCTGTTCAGCTGCGCGTGGGAGCTGAAGCTTAGAGAGGAGCGCCTGGAACGCCTGCTTGTCTGCATCGGACTGCTGGCCATCCACGAGCCCACCGCCCAGCATGGGAGGCATGGCAGCAGCAGAAGCAGCAGCAGCAGGAGTAGGTGGTTCAGTTTGCCCACGAGGCTCGACAGTCTGGGCCGAGAACAGATTGGCGAACCTCGACGATTTCGCAGCTGGCACCTTGGCCGGTTCTGGCTTATCGCCTGCAGCAGGAGAGGCCGCGGCCAGCTGCGTCTCGCCAAAGGCAGCAAAGAACCGGTCTGGTCCCTTCTCCACAGCTGGCGCCGACTTGACAGCGGGAGGGTCAGCAGCGAAAAAAGCGGGCAGGCCAGGTGCCCCCCCCTCGAAGCCATCACCTGCAAGCCCCTCGCCGGCCTTGGGGCCGGCCCTCGCCTTCATGCTCTCCATGAACTTCTTGAGGTCTGCCTCAGTATGTCCAGCGCCCTTCTCTTCCAGAGGCTCGTCCAGCCACTCAGGCTCCCGTTCAGCCGGCCGCTGATCACGATCCCTATCCCATCGCCGCTCGTAGCGCTCAGCATTCCCGCGGTCGGTGCGCGAATTACCCGGCTTCTCATCAGCATCCTGCACACGCCAACTCTTTGCCTTCTCGATACGCTCGCGATTTGATGTTCGCTCGGTTGCGTCGATTGGCTTGGGCGGGTTCTCCTTGAACCACGGGTCTGTCCTGCCCCGGTTGAGGCCATTCCTACGGGGCGCATCGCCTTCCTCGCCGTCAGTCTCGAAGGTGCGGCGTCGATCCTTGACACCATCATGCTCATCACGCTCCTTAAGCCCGCGGTCATTGTGTCGGTTGTCGCCGCCCATGCGTCCAGTAAATCGCTCTGCGCCTTCCTGGCCAAAGCTCTTGCGGGGCTTGACCATGCTCCATCCCTCGGTATCTCGATCGTCGCCGCGCGCACGGAAGTTGGTATTTCTCGCACTGCGGAAATCGCCGTCGCCACCTCCACCGCCGATCTTGCCACGCGAGAAGCGGTCGCGGAATTCCGAGTCGCGTGGAGTCCTGTCGCTGCGGTCGGAGTCGCCAAAGGCGTTGGTTCGTGCGCTGCTGGAGGGGAAATTTGTGCGAGGTGGGCCAAGCGTGATACCATCTGCGCCTGTAAAAGGTGAACATATAAGTGTCAGTGGACTTGCACGTTTCCAGGTCACTTTTTGCGTGTTCGCCGGGATACACATACTGCTTCCGTTGCGAGACCCGTGGCGGTCGGCACCAGGACGGCGACCGCCTTGGTCGGGCAGTGAGGCTTCTGTCTTAAACCGATCTGTTGTGGCCTTGGTCTGCGCGCGGATCGAATCTGGAGGAGGGCTGGGTCATGTTTAGTTAGCATCAGGAGATCCCGAGGGCCGCAGCAATGGGGCCAGGCTCACCCCATCCAGTCCTCCCGCGGTGGGAGGTCCTTCGGCTTGAGGCATAAGGGCGACTCCTTCAGATGAAGTAGGAAATTGAGCTCGTATCGTATTGCCATGGTTGTGGCAGCATTTGCGGTTGTTGATGTGTATGTGTGGAGGGATGGGGGAAGACGTGGCCTATGATGCCCGCAGACGACACGTGCTATGACGACGGAGGTGCTGGCGAGCTAGGGACAGGACGGTGCAGTCCAGCACGATCGAGAAGATGTTGATCGCCGGTAGCTGGTACTATGGTAGGTAGCGCGAGTAGTGGAGTTGGTGGCGGTCAGTTGAAGGGCGAGGCAGTCCGTGGTCGGGGCGGGAATTGGATAAAATGGCAAGCCAGAGGTAGGTAGGCAGCTGCCACAAGCCACTTGACAGGTCGCAGAGGTATGATGAGGCGTTCCCCCCCTGATTGGGTCTGTCTATATGGCGTTTGCTAGAGGATTCTGGGCGCTGCCAGCTGGTGAGGTTGCTTTGGCAGAAGGCTTATTCGTGTGTGCGCGTGTGGGGAGGCTTTTGTGCGACAGAGCAGTTCGCAAAGACAGAGGGAGGTAGTGGGCAGACAAATACAGGTCTAGGTCTGGTCAAGTACAGGGTTGCTACAAAAATAGACCTGAAGAGGGTCTTGGAAGGATTCGGTGGCAGTTGTGGGTCCTGTTGAAGATATTCTCGCTGCTGCTGCTGCCGCTCATGACAGCTGGATTGGGTGATGGATTGTGGCCGTTTTTTTGTGTGTCGATGGTGAAGAAATTGGGAGGTTAGTTGACAGAGAGAGCCCAATGGTGGTGGTGCCAAGTGACTTTGGAGAAGGGGTCCACGGGCAGGCTAGCAACTGCGACTGCGACTACTACTGTACACTATGTTTTATCTCTCCATCTCCCCCACATTCTCAATGCAGCCAGCTGTGCAAAGTTCACTCAGCACCCACCCACAGCAACCAACTCACTAAATTAGTACCCTTAACTGGCAAGCATTATGAGCCTCGGAGCCAATTGGCCCAGCACCAGCCAGCACCTCCCATGCAGCATGCATCGAGGAGAACACAGCCTTATCATCAAATTTCTTCCCCCCTCACCCATATCACCACTTACGCATTGGCCCTTTCATCAGCAGACGATGCTTGGATGCAATCATGCCATGACAGCTTGTGTGTGAATTCTGATTACTATGAGTGTGTATCATACCCTCTCCAATAAATCAGAAATGCCTTCCTTGCTCCACTCCTCTATTCGCCCCTGATCAGCAGTCCCCCATATCCTCATGAGCAGTGCCTTGTAGACCTCGCCCCCAGAAGTTGTATCCTGGGCTGCATACTGCGCCGCAAGCCAGCTGACAATGCCGAACCTTGTGACCAGGGTTGTGCTGCCCCCTTCAATGCACGTCGCCCGGTATATGATCTTCAGAGCTGATGTTCTCAGATTTTGGCGCATGTACGGATTGCCGATTAGGGATAGCACCCGTTCAAACAAGCGCATGTTGTGATACGTCGACATATCCGCTTCGTCCTGGAGACCGTCGAGCAGGTAAGAGAAGAGCCAGCTCAGCTCTGCGTAGTACGTGTCGTCAAGCTCCGGGCCCTCCTGGAGGACATCGTGCACAAGAGGTAGTCTCTCGAGCTTCCATGTCGGTCCTCGAAGCAGGAACGAGTTGACCTTGCCGTACATACAGTGCAGCGGGTCCTTGAGCGCCGTCAGCGCGTGACGAGCAAAGGCCACGATCCCGTTTGCCACCGGACCTGCATCGACCTGGGAGCGGCATGACTCCACGAGCTCCGAGAGAAGGAGCCAGATCTGCTGCTTCTCCTCGTATGACGAGTCGTTCACCTTGGCTGCCATCTTTGAGATACTGACGAGGGCTTCTTTCCTGATGCTGGTGTGCTCGGAGGCTAGCAGTGACACGACAGAGGCAGCGTAACCCTCTTCAATAAGCTCATCCGCCTCTTTAGTCGCCCACTTCGAAAGGGCTGAGGTTTCCATGTCTGTGGAGGCAGCCGGGGCAAAGAGCAGCTCCGTGAGCGCTTCTTGTGACATAGTGTCATCGTCATCCCCCTGCGCAGAGGCTTCATCGATCTTGCCAGCGGAAAAAGAGGCGCCCCATTTTGAGAGCTCGTGCGAGACATGAGACTTTTTTGCGTGTTTCTTCAGCAGCTTGGCCGCAGAAGGCTTTGCGGAGAAGGCCGACTCGACCCTTTCCAGCAGCCGGCCGAAGACGTCGTCGTCGTCCTTGTTCTCGCCACGCGAGTAGTTCAGGTAGTCGGCGACGAAGCGTGCCAAAATAGAAAGATCGTTGTCGCTTGCCGACTGGACGGTGAACGGAAGCTGTTCAATGAACGCAAGCGTGAATGGACTTAGTGAATCACCCGAGCCATGTTGCTCCTCGCTACCCGCTTCGTCATAGAATTCTTGCATCATCTCAAGGTACTTGACCGGAGCTGTTGCACATCTTGATGCGCTGTTGTCAAGCAAGGCCCAAAGAGCATTGCAGGATGATACTTCGGCCGAGTCTTGCGTCGACTGCAGGGTGTCTAGGAGCGGCAGGGAGCTACCGCCCGCAGACTGGATGAGCTGGTGCTCTTCTGCCACTGCACCCAGAGCGCTCCTGAGCCCATCCAGTGAGACTCCTGCGGGCGCAGTGATGAGGACTTTGAGCAGAGCCACAAAGGGAGACACTAGCAGATCCTGGGACTTGGCGAACCATCTCATGCCTGGGGAGTATCCAGCGATTGCGAGTAGGTTGTCCAATTCCACCAGCCGAAGCCTGCGGTCCTCGTCGCTCTTTTGCTCCTCGTCCAGAGCTTTGATGGCTTGGATGAGCAGCGGTGACACGTCAAACTTGGCCATCAGAGCCACTTGAGGGATAACCTCGTAGTAGAGCCTCAGCAGCCGGCTCGCCGCCTCACGCTGCAGCAGATCTGAGTCGCCCACCCCTCTGTAGCACGCAATGACCTCTTTCGTACCTGGCGCCCGTTGACAGAACTCATCAATAAGTCTCCGTGCAGAGTCATCCCATATAGACCGGTTCTGGGTCTTTGCTGCTTCTCCGTGAAATCCGAGAGCTATTTGCAGCTTCTGCATGGCAGCCACCAGCAGTCGCATGACGATGAAAGGAATGAGGTCCGAACTCTGCGCCAGGCATTTGACAAGGATCTTCTGGGTCATGGGAAGTGGCAGAATATTATCAATGATGATGGATGTCGGCGGAGGAACGCGAGCATATCCATTCGCGTGACCAAAATAGTCTGGGATGGGCTGTTCGACTGCCTTGTACAGGAACGCAGAATAGCCTATCCACGTGGCGGACAGCTTGGGATCAAATGTGAAGGACTGTTTGTCGATGAAATACCGGGCCGCCAGTTCTGGGGCGGCTTGGAAGATAGCGAGGAGCAGCTCGCTCTGCTTGGTATTCGAGTGTGGCTTCAAGCACTTGACGAAGTCTGCAAGAAGAACATTGCGCACTGGGATGTCATCACGGAACTTGTTCATCCATGTGACGCTTTCCAGACCAGGCTCCACCTCATCGCCGGCAAATGGAATCGCAACGTCATCCGGGTCGACATGCCCGGGATAATACCCAGATTGCGGCCTCAATATACCTGCCGTCGGAGAAGTGCACGCCACCATAAGAAATGTGTGGACAGCGTCTTCCACTGATGTTTTCCCGTCGTCCTTAGAAGTGTTGTGCTCGTATTGGTAAAGAGATGCGAACCGGCTCAGGGCCATTGAGTTGAGCAGCTTGCCCTTGATCTGTCCGGGGAGTTTCTCGTCCCTAAGAACATGATTTTGGAGTGTGTCGAGGATCTCAATGATGAGATAAGGTGGATCATCTTTCAGAGATTTTGTCAGGGCCAGAGGAATCTCCTTCTGCGACAGCAATTCCACCTTGGCCTCTGCGTGCAGGAACTTGAGCGCACTCAGGAAGAGGCGGATGGCATTCGTACGGGCCGACGGCCTCTTCATATCTTCGAGACCCTCGCCGAGATACCGAATGCCCATATTCCGGGCCAGGGACTTAAAGGTGAAATTCCTCGCGCGGAAAATCGGTTTCGCCAGGGTGCCACCGTCAAGACAGATGACCTCCCTCAGCAGCCTTAGCGTCGGGGATATTATAAACTCCTTGCTCTTGTCCATTGATAGATTCCGGGCGATGAGATCCTGCTGCCGCTTGTGCAGGAGCGTTCGGCCAATGCCCAACCCGTGTGCCGCGAGCTCGAGTCTCTGTGATATGAACTTCAACAGCAGAGCCAGGGTCACCGCCACCGCTGACATGACGTTGTCATTGTTGGAGTGGGAAGCATAGCTCCATGTCTCCATGATATCCGGGAAGTACGTCGTCTCGAAATCGCCATCTTGTCGCTTCGCAGATTCGAGGTAGTCTCTTAAGATCTGGACTTGCTCGTCGTTGTTGGCGCCCTCTTGTGTTAGGATCCCGTCGAGGAAGACTTTGAATGATTGCAACCCTGTACATGCCAAGTGTTAATAGGGAATAATGATAGATGGACAAGAGGTCGACGGGGCTGTGACGCACCATGTCTCGCTTTCTGCAAGTCCTGCTCGAATGCCAGAAGCTGCTGAAGTTGCCGGCTGTTATGGATCTCTTCGCTTGTCGGAGCCTCATGAACAATCTTCACCCTCTTGTTGCGCGTGTTCGCATCAGCTCCCCGAGACGGTCTCTTTCCCATCTTGTCGTTGCTCAGCGTGGTATGAAATAGTTTTGTATGGTTGTGCAGAGGGCAGTATCCCTCCCACCAGTCGCAACATTCACCATGAATGGATGGAAAGTTGCGATATTCTGCCGATATTTCTTTTGTCACCGCCCAACTTTCTGGCTTATCTTATCAGCCAACAGAGGACCGCTATACTTGTTGGCGTGGTACATAGTACAGGGTACTATGATCATTCCCCTTGTTGCTTAGCTTAGTGGTAGATAGAGGCTATAGGCTACTTAGTCTCCGCTGGCTTCCCATTGTCACAGGCAGGCAACATTCATTACTTTCCAACGACCATCACCACGGTGTCGACGTTGCTTGCGCACAAGCTGTCCAAAACCACACACTACAGACGAGCTTCCATCAACAACCCTTTACCCCACAACGTACAAACCCCCATCATCGCTATGGGCTCCGTCGTCCTCCCCCATCTCGAATCCGGCTGGCACGTCGACCAAGCCATCCTGTCCGAAGACGAGCGCCTTGTCGTGATCCGCTTCGGCCGCGACCACGACCCAGACTGCATGCGCCAGGACGAAGTCCTCTACAAGATCGCTGAGCGCGTCAAGAATTTTGCCGTCATTTACGTCTGCGACATCGACCGCGTGCCCGACTTCAACACCATGTACGAGCTGTACGACCCGTGCACCGTCATGTTCTTCTTCGTCAGTTCCGCCACCCCGACCCCCACACAAACCTTTCCCTTCTTTCCGTCTTGCCAGGGCCTACTCCCTTCACGTTGTACGGCTCATAAATAAGGGATTATTTGCTGACTTGGGTTCAATTTGCACAGAGAAATAAACACATCATGTGCGATCTCGGCACCGGTAACAACAATAAGCTATCCTTCGTTCTTGAGGATAAGCAAGAGCTCATCGACATTATCGAGACCATCTACCGAGGCGCCAAGAAGGGTCGTGGTCTGGTTGTCAGTCCCAAGGACTATTCCACGAGGTATCGTTACTAGATAATGAAAGACCTTGTTGGTGCTCTGTCAGGCTGTTTCGCCGGAGTTTGCCGCCCCAGGGACGGACATTCCCGCGAGAACAGGACACTATCGCAATGGGAGAGGTTATCTCGCCTGAGCAGCTTGAGGTCACCACCTGAAAAGACTGTTTCGCGAGTGGGGAGAAGCCTATATCGCAGGAGCTTGTTACTCCAGAAGAGGGAATGATCCCACAGGAGGTCATCAGGCTTCATGAGCGATCTTGGATCAGACGAAGCAACAGGCGCAGGGTGATTGGATCTTTTCCGGTTGGTCTCACGAAATCAAAACACATACACACTACATTCATTGAATTATGCTAATGCTCCCCGCAAGAAGATGTGATAAAAATGTCCGCAACAGGTACGCCTCACTCTTGTACGTCAAAGTCGTTCATCGGACTCAAAGGAGTTCGGGAACAAGTGCATGCATGCCACTTGGTCGTGCCGTCCCCAGTGAGAACTGTTACATCCGTTGTATCCAATATCACCATGCATACAATTATCTACTCAGGCCAGCAAAAACATAGTCCGTACATCATCTGTATGCACACCCGTCTTCCCACCTGGATATCATAATGCTAGATAGAATCAAACCCATCCCGAAATAAAATTCATCTTTCACGTCGTCTTCATCTCTCGTCATCTTCAAAGCATGTCACTGTGTGGCGTGTTGGGCACGTAAGTACCGGGCATTCGAGGGACCGGGTCGCGACCACTGGGCCTTCCCCACTCCGGCAGTGCCTCCAGAGACCTTCCGCCTGTGAGGCCTCGCACGCGAGACCGACTTTGGTTCGGCGGCTGCCTGACCATATTCTCCAAAAAGAAACTGCTCTCATTGTGTCCAGGCATGCCAGCGCTGTCCTCGGCATCAGAGAAGACGTCCTCGAGGAGCTCGTCATCAGATGCGAAAGTAGGTTGATAGGAACTTGGCGCCGACGGCGAAGTGATGGACCGCGAATGAAGGCCGGGACGAGTCGGCGAGGCAAACGCCCCAGGGTTCATCGTGTTGTTCGCACCCTCGCGCACACCTAGCATCGGTCTGTTATCGGCGAAGCCGTTCTGGAAAGAGGTATTGTTCTCGTTGCCAGCCATGCTGAGGATGGGCAGGACCTGCTCATCATAGAGCGAGCGCGACTCGAAAGAGTCGGGCGCGTACTCGGTGATGGTGCGAGAGGAGCGTCCATCGCTGGGCGGACTGTGGGGGATATCGTCGAAGAAATCATCAAGACTGTCGAGTTTTGACACCAGATCACCATCCCCACGACCCTCGTCAGACATCATCGTGTCTGTCCGGTCCGAGGCAGGGAAGTACCCGTAGGGGAATTCATCTGCGTGGAACTCCACCTCTGGTGTCGGCGTCGCCTCGACGATCATGCCGCCCTCGGTCTGGCACATGTAGAACGCAGCGTGGATATTGGCACGAGTTGAATCTGTCTTCTTGGCGGGCACCGGTATCGCCCATCCAGAGTCCTCAGGTATGCCGAATAGGCTCTGAGTGCGCTCATACTCTTTGCGAACGGCCTTGGAGGTTGGCCGGGTCATGCTCATGCGCAGGTGGTGCTTGTCCATGGACGAGCCGGACATGGTCATGATGTTGTCGAGGACACTGAGGGCCTCCATACAGTATTCGCTTTGTAAGAGGCGCAGAAGGGGCGAGATGAGATCGGAGCCGTGACCAGCCATTTCGGGTTTTCGCATGTCGATCTCGGGGATGATGACGCGAAGGACATGCATGGTGTTGATCTTGACCCAGGCTAGTCTGTTGGTCAGCATGCCCATCAGAGTTGTTATCATTGCGAAGTTGAGCTGTGGCAGGAACAACTCCTGAAGGGCGGCGAGTGTCTGCATGGTGAAGTCCTTTGCTGTCTCGTGACGTCGTGACAGGTATCCGTCGAGCACCATAGCCAAGCTTGACAGGCCCTGGGCGAGAGCGACTTGTAATAAATTCTCGGCTGTTTGGACCACATCCTCCGCCGGGACACTCTGCTCCATCGCGTGGAGAAATCGAGGCAGGTTCGCTATGACAGCAAAGAAGATACGGTCGTCGCCACCCACCAGTGGGTCACTGGGCAGACAGACGATCCTGTCGATAGTCTTGAGGGTGGCATCCAGACAGACAGACGATCGGAGCCCCTTGTACAGAAGAGGTTGCAATCCGTCAAATTGGCCGTCCCACTTGGCAGGCTGGCCATCGGTAAGCAGTCGCCTCGTGGAAGCCTGCTGTAAGTCAACCTTGTCCATGTACTCGTTTAGCATCTTCACCGACTCAAGAAACTCCAGCTCGTTGATCGACTCCATGCACGCGCATGTAGTCCAGAAGAGCTGCGGGAAGTTGGTCAGCTGCTCGGCGTCCAGCTTAGCAATAAGCGTCTTCAGCGTAGTTAATATCTCCATCGCGAAAGACTGTATCTCAGCATCTTCATCAGCCACCGTGTTTGACAGCCTGGCAAGCATATCGCCCAGCATATACTGATCCAGTGAAGTCAGGATACACCGGAATATCTGGAAGGAACGGCAAGCCAGATGGCGAACAGGGCACGTCGTGGCCCAGGTAAGGGACAAGCGACCCCACTGTTCCTTGATGCCGGGAAAGGTAAGCTCGAAAGTCTCTACGACTCTGGTGGCGAGAAACTCCATGCTCGGCGGAACCTTGGTATCGTGGTCGGTGACTTTGCCATTGCTGTCTTCGTAGCTCCAGACAACCGAGCGATCATGCCGTCGGATCAACTCGATGAGATCCTCGATGGGTTTCTTGGTCTTCTCGGGAGTGTCATCATCAAGCTTCGAGATGACCAACTCGTGAATGAGGTGGACCAGCATCTCTCGTGCTTGATCCTGGACCAGAGGCGTGTAATGATCCCACAGAACAGAGACGACTTGCAGGAGGACCGGTATGCTCTCCTTCTGCAGGTTGACAGGAGACACCATGAGGTCAACGAGTAGGATCAGCGAGAGTTGACCTAACGAGAAGCCGGCTTGCTTGGTCCCAACCGGTAGAGCATCGCTCAAGTCCGCGCAGTACGGGAAATGACCGGCGTCTGACGGAGGAGCCATCGCCTCCCGTCTTTCATGTGGTACCATTGCTTTGGGATTGATCTGCAGGAGCAGGAATTCCACTACCTTGTGACCAGGGTTGCTGCTTGTGCTAGCCAGAAACACCACAATTTGCTTAGCATACTCGACGAAATTCTGCTCTCGGCGCTCGAGACACAATTGCATGATGAAATCCAACACGAGACGAACATTGCCAGGGTAAGGACCTGTTGCAAGAGCTTGCCAGAGGGCTTGCACTTCGTTGTGAAGCGCCGCACTTGACTTGATTGTGATCTCGAGCAGGTTTGCCAATAGAACGTAGGACTGTCCTGTTGGTCCGCCGTTCGGGTCGACCTTGAGCTCGACCGACTGAATCCAAGGCAAAATGACGGCAATGACGCTCCTCTGGTTGACAGGCTGCAAGTCCTTGAAATAGAACGTAAATTCGGAGAAGAGATAAAATGCCAATTCCGCATGTTGTTTCGAGAGCCTCTCGGATATCTTGAATTGGGCGAGCTTGTAGACAGCTTTGGTCTTGTCGGAGATGCTGATGTCAAAGTCTCGAATCTTGGAGGGCTTGGCCTGCAGGTGGCGTTCCTCAATGCCCTGAAGTACCTGTGCAGATCTAGTTCTGATCTCGCTTTGATCGTTACCAAGTGTGAAAAGGCAAAGGCCAAGAAGTTTCCAGTAGGGTGAGGGAAAATCTTTGTAATCCAGAAGAACCTCTGTAACCACAGCGAAGTAGCTCTCGAGTACCTTGGGAACATCAGTCAGATAGCACCGAGAGACGCAATGTTCCAAAAGGTAGGGAAACTCCTGATTGTAGACGATCACGTTTTTCAGGGCACGTCTGCCAATAAGCTTTGCCCGGTCATTGCCGTTGCTGAAAATCGTCTCGATCCAGGCCAGCATTCGCCGAACGTCAAATTGTAAGACGGCACCACTTTCGGTTGTGACGCTCACGGGGCCTGCACAGAGCGCAGCCATGGCACTCAGGGCCGCTTGCCTCAGATTGCGCTTCTCGATCTCCATCGCTGGTGACGTTGTGTTTCTCTCGCCCATGTTTTGCTGGTTCATTACGGAGCGAGCCATACTGTCTTGTCTCTGGGCGATCTGAGATTGATTGGGAGAAAACCCGCACCATTCTTCCATCAGGGCGAAGGAAGATTTACGAGCTTCAAAGGAAACCCATCTCGACGGGTCGGCTGTGGTGTTGAGACCCTCAAACAGCTCCTCCATCAAGCCACAGTAATGCCGCCGCAGCTTTTGAAAGTCCCAGTCCATCTGGACGTTTTCGTCCATGAGGAATATCTTCAATTCTTTGGCGTACGTGACGATGTTATTGACAAGCCAGTCGTCTTGGTTCGCCTCGGGCTCTTTCAAGAAGTGCGCCGTGAGCTTGTACACGTGCGTGATCTCGGTCCTCAAGAGATCCAACCTCCGGTTCCGACGAGGACTGCTAGTCGCCCGCTGGTGAATGCGAGCTCTGGCTTCATCGTTGCAGCGAGTAGTATGTCCCTGCAGTTCCTCGAGTAGCGTGCGGAAGACGTGGATATTGATCGAGCCCATTGCAGTGACCACGGCCTCCCTGACAGACACTGACGAGACAGACAGCAGGGGGTTGAGGTATTTAAACAAGGTCCGCGCCGAGAGGATCTTATCGGTTGAGACGACAAATGAGCCATTGTGCAGGTGCGAATTCCCGTAGAAGGGATCAGCCCGTGGGTTCTCAGGATCCGCCAGCGTCGTGCAGGCGAAGATCAAAAACAACTTCCACTGCTCGACCAAGACCTCAGGTTGAGTTGTAGGCGTGCGTCCAACAAAACGGGCACTGCCAGGATCGGATCCGTAGTATAAGCCCCTGGAAGGTTCCGAGAGCAGTGTGATTGCTTTGTACATCTGAAGGATGCGATTGCACACCAGATGACGCCCGATTGTGACCGTCGTCCGGCATTGCTTGTAAGCAAGACTGATGAGGTTAGGAAACAATTGAAACCATAGGGTCGTGTCGTAAGAAGCGTCACTTGTACAAAGCTCGATCAGCGCGCCCTGGTTATTGTTGTGCTGTATGCCCCTCTGTATGCGACTGCGCTCGGCTACTGACAGCTGATCATCTTTGAAGCTCATAACCTGCATGGAATCATTCTCAAGGATATCGATCAGTCTCAAAGTGTCTTTCTCTTCACTCGTCGACTTCCCGAGTGCCGTATCAAATTCTGTAATCAGTCGCAAGACGGTGATAGCGAAGTAACGGACGGTCCGAGTCTGAGAGCAGAGGAAAAACAGGCCATGCGCCTCGATCTGACTGACATCCTCCCAAATGCCAGGCCGGCCGAGCTGAAAGCCCCTCTTGTCAGCCCCATTGGTCTCGCCCGGCTCTGCAACGCCTTGCTTGTGTCGCCGCTGGATCTCCTCAATCCAGATCTGCAGCAGCTCGACGTAGAGCCTCAGGGTGTTCTCGATGTGGCCCGGCCCCAGCATCCCGCCGTCTGATATTGTGGCATATCTGTCGTCGAAATTGAAGATGAAGCGAGAGAAGCCTGTGGTCACTGCTTGTGCGTGAGACTGTCGTGCAATGGCCTTCAGAGATCGCGCTGAGGACTCAGCGATATTGTACTGCAGGTGAGCCGTACCCGTGCACAGGAGGTTGATGAGGGGATCAAAAGGTGTATCTGTTGACAGACAGCGCGGTAGAGCCTGAACGGCCACATGAAGGAGCTCGTAGAAGGCCTGTTTCATTTCATGGGGGCTCTGATGGTCATCTTTGCGGAAGTTAAAGGTATCTGACATCGGAGTCTTAGGCCCAGGGCTGCCAAACTTTTCGTCGAGTGTGGCTTGTCCGCCAAAGGTGTTATCGCAGATGATGGTGATCTTGCCCAGAATTTCACAGAATTTGTTGTAGTACTCTCGGACGGTATCACTAAGCTTGTGGCTGACAACAGGACCTGTCAAACTTCCTCTATCAGAGGGTGCCGCAGCCGGACTCGCTAGGAGACCGATCGAAGGTGATGCTATGATGGGTGAGGTCGGCATGCGGTCCGGCGGTGATGGCGGGGCAGGGTAATAGAGTGGAAACGGAGGGCAGCCTTCATCCCCCTTTTCCAGATCTGAGATGATGGCCAGGAAAGCCCTGATGCCAATTACCATCTTGTCCGGATCTAAATTGTCGACCTTTAGGTCTTTACCAGAGTTGAATTGGTCAGCGTTGACGAGGGGAAAGATGATGTTCTTGAAACAATATTCTGGCTGCTTAAAGCCAATGATCCTGATGATCTGTATGAGGGGTTCTGCCACCAGGGGATCACTGGCGAGGATGGACCGCCTTGTCGGGGGCAGAATCAGCTTGACGACCTCGTCGAGTTTCCTTGCTGTCCCGGCTGCGCTATCAACTGTGCGCATCAAATACGTCCAAACGAGCCGAGATAGCACTTGCAGGCAGATTGGCTTCGAATAACGGTCCTTGAATTTCGTCTGCAAGGGATATACCAGCTGTGGCCACTGTTGTCCAAAGGTGTCCGGATTCGAGACACAAAGCAGGGTTGCTGTCAGCGGGAACGCGAAAGTCCAGTGTCGCGGCTTGACAAATATCTGCGCAAGGCGTGGACTGACGTGTCCGAGAACTTCGGCCCACTTCGGATTGCTGAAGTCGCCATTGCTCGCCTTCGCGGCGATAGGGAGCATGAGCATCTCGAGCATCTGACAAAACGCCGCCTTGACCTTCTGCCCATGCGACCGGGCGAACAACTTGCCCAGTGCTATCATGAAATTGCACGTTCGATCCCATGCCTCGGGAGGGCTGATCTTTAGCCTCAGGTGTTTCATCCCGCCCAGCACAAGCTCGATCTTGCCCTCGGTAGCATCGCGGTTGGCAGATATCGGGCTTTTGAGAACGCCATGCTCTTGGAGGGAACGGTCCAGATCGGCAATGAAACGTTCAGCAACGCTGTCGAAATTGATCTCGCTCATGACTCCTAGCAGCTGTGCAAAAAGATTCCAATTGGCCAGTTTCAGGGGCGAAAGCATCAATTGCTCCGTGTCCGCGATCTTCAGCTGGCTGAAGATGATGCCTTCGAGTTTATCCTCCATCTCGGGTGTGATGGATGCCAATGTGCTCTGGCGTATCACTTCTAGTAGCACTCGGCACAGGATATAGATGGACACCAGGGACCGACGTTCAGCCTGAGCGACGTACTCGTGCTTTGATGCGAAAGACTGTCCGTTGATCTGGAAGTGTTCTCCCATCCCGTTGGGCTGTACGGGCTCGGTGTTCCTCCTCTGCAGGGAGGCACCTGGATGCGGCATTTGGCCTTTGGACGCCATACGGGCATCGTTCGCTGCGTCACTCTTGCTTTTCCTCCAGAGCATCATGGAGTCGATGAGTGCCTTGGGCTTGAGGCTCGCGATATGACCTAGTGCAGAAATACTCTGGTCGAAAGCAGGGTCCACACCTGGCCCACATATCTGCTCTATCTGCGGCTCGGGGTCGAAGGGCACGGTGATGGAGTCGTTCAACTTCTCCTCGGCCTGCGCAATGAACTATAGTATCCAGACTTAGCATGTTTGCCCTGTCACATCACCCAGGGCCGGACCACCACTACCTACCGAGGTGAATAGAACATGCAAAGCATACTCCCCGACAGTCTTCTGGTCTTCCTTGTGATGTCTCGAGTGGGAATGGTGATGCGAATGATCGCGCCTCCTACCACTATGTATGCGCTCCAGCTTCCGGCTATTGGTGCTCGCTTCCGTCGCAGACGATGTCCTCTCGGGGAGCTGACCTGGGCCCAACGTCGTACCTGACATGGCTGTAGGCGGGCGGGATGCCGGAGCACTATCAGGCTCGCCACGACTGTAAGGATGCATTTCAGCTCGTTCTGGGGTGAGCGCGGCCCCAGCAGCGGCAATGATCTCTGGGCTCAGCGGGTTGGACGAGGTACTGGCGTGGCTCCCATTCCTCGAATGCTGTATGCCATGCACAATCGAGGTCTGTCTGTGGTGGCCATAAGAAGAAGCAGCCTTCAGGTCGATTGTCCGCTCAAAGATAGCCCCGGCAGCCGTGCGAGGCGCTGCCGTACCTAAACGCGAAGGCGAGTGGGATTGTGACGACGAAGATTTCGCAACAAGCCCGCCGGACTGTAGTGCCTCTAACGAGGAGTCTCTCGAGTGTGCAATGCGCCGTACCGTCTGCGGGTCCACCTCTCCAATCCGTACAGTCCTGTCCCAGTCCTCTTCCTCCTCGTGAATTGGCGACCGGGGCGAGAACTTCAAGGTGTCGTAGGCATGGTCGGGCAGCGTCGAGGAGGGAGCTGCGTATGGGATGGGTTCACGTCAGCAATGCGACAAGGTTGACAGCGATTGGCTCTGGGAGGCCAGCAGATAACTTCAACGGTCAGGGGGATATACAGCCTGGGCGACTTCCTGACTGATGGAACGACTGGCAGAGAAGAAGAAAAAAACTGAAAACAGTCTGAGAAGGAGGGTGGGTAGGGTGGGTAGGAAGAGACCGGCGAGGAGCCAAACGCGACAAAGTCCCCTCCTTCCCTCGACGTTGTGAAACAGATGAGGCTCGGAGAGCACACAGACGGGTTCCACTGCCCTGGCCAAAACCACAGGATATGATGCCATGGTGGGATATGCCGACGGTTGGGTGTTTCACCCCCAGCAAAGCCAGAGAGGGAATAATTTAGGACTTACCCATGTTGTACTCTCAATTAGCAAGCAGCCCTCTGCCACACTATCGAGATCAAGCACACACAGCACCCCATGACAGGGCGTCAGGTCTATCCAAGTGGACCAGGTTGGAAAGCGATGAAGGTGGCCAAGTCGCAATGAGATGGGCGCGGATTAGCCCTATCTTGCTTGGCTCGCTCGCAATCCACGCTGCTGGTGTCGCCAAAGATGCGTGTCGTCGCGTTGGCGCTTACAGCTCAGGGAGAAGGGACGAGACACCAGAGGTAAAGTAGATGGATGGGGGTAGGTCCGTGACCGTCAGGCACTATGTCACATTGATGCCGGCCCACCCTTGACCCATGAGCAGCACTGGATTGGGGTCATCAATGAACAGACAGAACAACCTGGCAAGAATTCTCGGGGTCCTCAAGGGTCTTGGAACAGGAGCTGCGATGGCGCGCCTCGATAGCGGACGGTGGGGAATGATTGATTGTGCAGTAATGGCGATCCAAACAAAAGGCTTCTTCTCGGCGAGCAAGAGCTTCGAATGGGGTCGTGGGGGAGGTCGCCGGATGATGTCTCGAGTCGTTCGTTGGTTGGTAAAAGCTTTCTAACGGCATTATGCCTACCAACCACGCCAACCTCTTTTATTTCTAGCAAAGTACCCAAGGGCGAACCCGCCTAAACCTTTCTAGACAGGCATATGCAAGGAACCCAACCAATCGGCAATGGGACGACCCCAAGATTCTAAGAGGGTAAACCCCCGCCTTCTCAGGGCCCTAAGGTCGATATGTGTTTGAGACAAGCGAGAGAGGTTGATGGCATACTAGTACTACAGTACGTACTTACTTACAGAGCCAATGCCAGCATAGCACCAGCCAGAGAGTCAACTTTATCGCTTCAACTATCCTCACCGTGTAAAATATTTCGCCTTTCTATAAGAAAAGAAAAGTTCCAGCTATGCCTGCTAGGCCACTATGATCCCTGTGTATTTTTATATTTTTCAAACAGCCCATAGGCCGTCATAGGAGGAAGTCGACTGCCGGTCAACGGTGACATTCTCGAACCCTTTAGAGACCCGACAGGCCGGGCTCTTGGAATGGAGATGGCCGCCTCTCCACATTTCTCACAGTTGGGACTCGTGGAGCACCTGCAGCGCAGCGGCATGGAAGCACATACGCAATATCACTATAGCAGGTGTGATTGTCAGGAGGTGCAGACGCACTGCTCGCTCTCGCATTCATGAACAATACCGCAGCCCCACCGCTTGTGCGCGCAGAGCTATGAGTCGGCACCGACTTTTCGCCTTTCTCTCGCCGGATTGTAACTCGGAATCCGTCATCTCAAGCCTTACAACGCAAAGGCTGTCAACAAAATAAGGTTGAGCAACGACAAAAAAAAAACAAAAAAAAAGACTTCAAAAACGAGGCCTATCAAAGTAAGTACTTGAGGAAAAGCATGTGAATATATCACCACGCCGGGCTAGGCCGAATACATGAAAGTAGTTAGTGGGCATGTGTCCAAACCACGGCAGTTAGGAAACCATCCGCCCAGAAAAGAAAAGAAAGCAATGCTGGCCCCATCTAAGGTCCTAACAAGTCCTTCACCTCCGAGAACGGTCGGCTTGTTTTGATGCGCTATTAACTGTTACAGGGCCCTGACCAAATACAATAGACAAAGAAAGGCCCTCGAACAATCTTAGGGACTTGGGCGGGGTGCTGGTATTGTGGGCAGGATTCCCTTGACTACAGAAAGAAACGTGTTTAGATTTTTTTCTTGTTTTTTCTTTCTCGAGAGCAAAAGTCTCACCAACACACGGCTCAGATCACTGCGGCCCAGTCCCTACCCGAGCCTTTGGACCCCTAAGAGCCGCCCCCGCCAACGGACCTTTTACTACTGCGTATTCGTACCCTCGCTCGGGGACAGCACGTACTATGGGTAGGCGCAGCGGTGGTCATAGCACCCCTGATAAATAGGCACGGAATTAGCGAAAGTGGAACAAAGTTGAGCCAGCGCATCCCCGGAACGCACCCAAGACCCCGAGCCGTTATCGCTCCGGATCTTATCGTCTGATTTCAACTCCTTCGACTCGGGCGCCACGTCGTTGACTTTCTGCTTTCCAAATTAGTAGTCATCCCCTACCAACTGGTTCCCTTTTCCTACCTTCACCCTCACTCCTTTCCACGCCTTTTAAAAACCGGCTACGGCAGTCGTGCTACGGCCTGGGTGACTACTTTTTCTCCATCTGGACCAAGGCGGTTTCTTGTCAGCTGTCCGAATTTGTTCTCTCCGGAAAAGCCCGCGAACTCCGTCTTTGGAAACTTGGAAGAAAGGAGGGGGGAAAAGAAAAGAAAGAAGAAAGAAAGAAGAAAGAGGTAAACTCCCATCTACTTCTTTCGAGACTGTTCTGCCTCCCACCAATACACCCAACATTCTCGTCCCAGCTCACGACATCGCCAGAGCATGCTCTCCTTTTTATCGCACGCTAGAACACTCAAGTCATCAGTTCATCACGGCTTCTCGCAGCTCTCGCTAACCCAGAAAAGGCTTCGCAGTGTCTGACACATCTTGACGACGAATCAGTTGCACGCGCGCTCCTCCTCGGCACCCATCGCCGCCATGGCAGAACTAGACACTCTGGACATCCTCGTCCTGGGGCTGATCCTCCTCGGTACCGTTGCGTACTTTACCAAAGGCAAGCTCTGGGCTGTCGCAAAAGATCCCTACGCGACCTCCTTTGCCAATGGCAGCGCGGCCAAGGCCGGAAAGACCAGGAACATCTTGGAGAAGCTGGAAGAGAGTGGGAAGAATTGTGTCATCTTCTATGGATCGCAGACCGGAACCGCCGAGGATTACGCCTCCAGACTTGCCAAGGAGGGCAAGAGCAGGTTCGGCCTGGAGACTATGGTAGCCGACCTGGAAGACTACGACTTTGACAACCTCGACACCATCCCCAGCGATAAGATCGTTATGTTCGTTCTTGCGACCTACGGTGAGGGTGAGCCCACGGACAACGCAGTCGACTTCTATGAGTTTGTCACCGGCGAGGACGTGCAGTTCTCCGAGAGCAAAGAACCCGCCCTGGAAAACCTCAACTACGTCGCATTCGGCCTGGGCAACAACACATACGAGCACTACAACTCCATGGTCCGTAATGTGGACAAGGCCCTCAGTAAGCTTGGCGCACACAGGATCGGAGAGGCCGGCGAGGGTGACGATGGCGCCGGTACCATGGAAGAGGATTTCTTAGCCTGGAAAGAGCCCATGTGGACCGCGCTGTCCCAGAAGATGGGCTTGGAAGAACGTGAAGCTGTCTATGAGCCCATCTTCAGCATTACCGAACGCGAGGGCCTCACAAAGGACTCGCACGAGGTCTATGTCGGAGAGCCGAACAAGATGCACCTGGAGGGCACAGCCAAGGGTCCTTTCAACGCACACAACCCTTACATCGCCCCCATCGCCGAGTCCTACGAACTGTTTTCTGTCAAGAATCGCAACTGTCTGCACATGGAGGTCGACGTCAGCGGCTCCAACCTGTCCTACCAGACCGGCGATCACATCGCCGTGTGGCCTACCAACCCCGGCGCAGAGGTCGATCGCCTCTTGTCCATCCTTGGCCTTTCTGACAAACGCGACACCGTCATCAGCGTCAAAGCGCTGGAGCCTACAGCCAAGGTACCTTTTCCCACGCCCACGACATTCGATGCCATCCTCCGCTATCATATGGAAATCAACGCCCCTGTCTCGCGTCAATTCCTGGATACCCTCAAGGCCTTCGCCCCGGACGAGGAGTCCAAGGACGAAATGACAAAGCTTGGCGGTGACAAGGACTACTTCCATGACAAGGTCAGCACGCAGAATCTCAACATCGCACGCGTGCTGGAGCGTGTCGCCAAGGGCAAGCAGTGGACCGGTATTCCTTTCTCAGCTTTCATCGAAGGTATCAACAAGTTGCAGCCACGCTACTACTCCATCTCCTCGTCCTCGCTAGTCCAGCCCAAGAAGATCTCTATTACTGCCGTTGTCGAGGTGCAAGAGCTCCCCGGGCGAGAGGATCCCTTCCGCGGCATTGCCACCAACTATCTCCTGGCTCTGAAGCAGAAACAGAACGGCGATCCCAACCCGGAGCCTTTCGGACAGTCATACGAGCTCCACGGTCCCCGCAACAAGTACGATGGCATTCACGTCCCGGTCCATGTTCGCCACTCCAACTTCAAGCTCCCGTCTGATCCTTCCAAGCCCATCATCATGATCGGACCTGGTACTGGTGTCGCTCCCTTCCGTGGCTTCGTGCAGGAGAGGGCTAAGGAGGTTGAGAATGGTGCCGAAGTCGGCAAGACGATCCTTTTCTTCGGTTGCCGGAAGCGTTCTGAGGACTTTATGTATGCGTCCGAGTGGGAGGTAAGTCGTCGATCCCCTGAACCACACTCCCCAGCATCTCCTTTAATGCTAACAATTTTCACAGCAATATAAACAGACCATGGGTGACAAGTTCGAGATGCACTGCGCGTTTTCGAGAGAGGGCCCCAACAAGGTTTACGTGCAGCACCTACTCAAGCAACAGGGCAAAATCATCAACGATCTCCTGGAGCAGAAGGCCTACTTTTATGTGTGCGGTGATGCCGCCAACATGGCTCGTGAAGTAAATGCCGTCCTAGTGCAAATCATTGCCGAACACAGAGGCAAGTCAGAGGCCAAGGCAGAGGAAATTGTGAAGAACATGAGAGCTGCAAACCAGTACCAGGTACGTGCCCACCGGCATCTAATTCTAGTTTTTTTGTTTTGGTTTTTTTTGTGGGGGGGGGCAAAGGAATCACATGCTGACAGTCTCATTTCTAGGAGGACGTTTGGTCATAGAAGAGACGTTTTCGTTCCCTGATTCTTATCTGCAGCCAAGCGAATGGAATTTCGTGCAGAAACCACAGCGACACGTTTTGCGTGCATGGGAAGGGGGGGGGGGTTGTCATTTTGGAATACAGGAGTCCTGGCGGGCATCATGTGCTACTCTTGAGGTTTTCTTAGAAGGACATTCATCCAATTTTGACCCAGGGAGATGCCCAATATATTGCCGGTAAAATGTCTATACAATCAGTGGATCAGTTTGTTCTTGTGCGGTGCTGTCTACGAGCGACGGAAATCTTTTCGAGGAAATGGAGACGTTCTTTTGTAAATCATAACCCGCAGCATCTACTCCCAGCTAGCCCAAACAGCGATGACGGGGAAGAACAGTTCTGCGAGGACTGTGGCTCCATTGGTCTAGACGAAAGCACAGCATATTACCCCTGTGATGTCAAGTCCTGGTGTTCCAAATGGGGAGCCCCATTGGGATGACCTCTAGCTTGAGCTCCACAGGACAGTAGGCAGGAACTTCGGGTCAAGTGACGGGCAGCACATCTGTCTTTCGTCTCTAACTCGCCTAGTGGAAAGAATAGATTGATTTAAAACAAGCTAAAAGGGAGGAAAGAAAAGAAACGAATGCAAGAAAGGCAAAAGCCATACCCTTGTGCTCTCAACGCTCTGCTCCTTCGCTTCACTTTGCGTCTGAGACCATTATTGCTGCTCTGTCTAGTTCCTTTTTCCAACTGGGGAGTCTAGCATTCAGCCATCCATCCGCACGATTCTCCAATCCAGCTATAGGTTAAAGACGCGCATTGCCCTATGTGAGACAGCGGTTGTAGAGTGCGGAGGGCATTCCCGGGGGGGGGGGGGAGGGATGAATGAAATGATCTGTTTTCTTATTGCAGAACGAAGGCAAGGGAGGTCTCAATACTGAGCTTTCTTCATACGGTGTCTGTGTATCTATACAGCATGCTTAGGCTGCGAGCCCAATTTTCATGAGTCCGGAGCTGAAGGATTCGGGCCGGGGTTTTGTGGATAGTAAGAGCTCGCCGATTTCTTTCCGCCCGGATAATCCTGCGTGAGCACAACCATATCGTCAAGCATCTATCTGCAACACCCTCCAATGATCTCTTCTCTCCGGCTGCCTGAGAACTCGATCTGCCGCTGCATCTGCCCACGATCGCAAGGATGTACCGATTGGTGCGCCTCGGACGAATGGGGCATAGTTGCTATTTCCTCTCCCGTCCCACGAATAGGGCGTTGACCGCGGGTCTGCAAGTGCAGGTACAGAAAATGTGGTCTGAGACGTGATTGCTGTCTGCGATGTCTTCGGCGAGACGCTTGATTGCAACTGCTTGCTTGCCATATGACTAGAAAATTTGCCATCTGGTGCCAATGGTTCGGCAGTATCAAATTCGTTCCCTCATCTCATCAGCTGGGAAGCAGACCACAAAGGTCTACATACCATGCTGAGAAATTGCTTTTCAGGCTTCGAGCGGAGAGGAGCTGGGCAAGACACCTCAAGCCACTCGGAGGAGCATGTCTGAGACAGCTCCATCCCGAGATGCACGAGGAAAGATCTTGTGCATCCCTATTTCAAGCCTCACACGCAGTTTACCCATGTATGGACTTCGCCGCTGGCGCTGCGGCTCAGGGTCCCCCTTGACAGGCAGGGGCAGGATCCATCAGACCGACATGTCACCTCTTGAGTATGTGAAAGCCACACCGGACGCCGTAGGATGCTATTGGATCCTGACTGGAGCAGGTCGATGCCAGTGATGGTTGTTCCAGTGATGGTTGCTCCAGTGATGGTGGTTTCTGCCCCTCTTGGGCTGATCTCTCCTGCCGCGTTCATGTCTGGAGAGGTCCGTGAGCTTTTGTCGTGAAGCCACACGCCCCCCCCCCCCCCTTCATTCCCTTCATCCCGTCTGCAGGGCCTGGGTGGACGGACTAGAGTGTGCGAGACGGGCCTCTGCTGGATCAAGAACGCGTGCTTGTGGCTCGCCTTGCCTCGCTAGGCCGGGGATGTACGTGAGAGGCGCTCTTGACCGCTTGTGTGTGTGTGCGCGCGCGCATGTGTGTGCAAATCACCCATAAAGGCTCTGTCCTCCCCCTCGGCCCATCTGCTTCATTTATCGTCTTATCCTTGTCGACGGTCGGAGGTCCTCGACGGAAAATCCGACCGAGTATTGTTATGAGAGCACCGTCCCCGCGTTGTGGTCTTCGTTCTTCGTCCCGCTTCCCTCGGCCGCATGTTCAGGAAGAGTGCCGGAATTCGTCTATGACTTGGCGGATATATCACTTGAAGTCGACATCGACATTTTACGCAGGCGCCCGTCGTTCTGAGTGCAGGTCCAATTCGCAGGATTGTTCGATTCTCTGAAGGAGCCCAGTCCCAGGCAGCGAATAGGCTGGATAGTTGAAAGTCCTCGACCATTTTAGGGATCACCAAGAACCAGGACCACGCAGGCAACGCGACAGGAAAGAAGCACTGACTGTTCGTGGTCCCTCAAGCTCTTCTTCAGGTATGTTGTTCGTGCGAGGAAGGTTGCAACCTTGCTACACGAGTCCAAGCAGAAGCCGTATCTGACACCCTTCGTCTCCATCCAGAGCTGCAAAAGGTGGAAACCGAGTGAGATATCAGAGGTGCGGGAGTATAAATCACGTCCAATTGAGCTGAAGGGTTTCATTGGAAGAGACAAGACCAGCTTTGAGGTAAAGGGATTGTCTATCATCGGGGTGGCCATACCTTATTCGCTGTGCCAGGTCTGGAACTCGGTGGTGGTCTCGTGAATTGCAAGTGCAATCGACAGCTGCCAGCTGCCAGCGCCTTTGATTGTGGGCCAGCCAACTTCGTCCCTTCCTGTACCAATTTTGTTTTGAGCCTCCAGGTAGCCGTTCTTTCTTTCACCTGCCATCTCGAGCTTACTGGCATCCTTCAACATTCCCCTCTCGTGGAAGGAGTTACTATTAACTTGCTGGGCATCTGCATCATCGCAGCTCCCTTGATACATTCTTATGCTTGAGCATTGTTGTTGTCGATCTTGTCCAAAAGGTATTTACTTCTCTCTCCTCTTCCAAGCCATCCCCTCGTTTCCTCTCCTTTCCCCTCCTCTCTACCAAACATCACAGCCATTGTCACAATCACTTCAACAATCTTGCTCCATAGCTTGATCAGTTCAGTCCATCTTAACCCCCACTGCGCTCGCTTCATCACATCGTCTCATCGCCAGGTCCCCTTTGCCTCAGACATACAATCTTCCTTCCTCGAGGTGTGAGCACTGCTGTTCCACTTCTGCCTCCTACTCGAGCCCAGGGTCTCGAACCTTCTGTTCACATCAACAGCTCTGTACGAAGAGCAACTCGTGGCGGCAAGGTGAGCTCCATCTGATCAGTGTGCCTCACGCAAGTCACAATCCCCTCGCCTGACGACGAGAGTCAATCCACATACTTTGCACCCTTTCTCTCGCGCTGCCCAGCTTTCACTCCCACCTTGTCATCCCAAAAACCATCCACCGCCATCCACGCCCAATTACTTGACACGCGCTGCTGGCGCGTTCCCAAACAAACAACTGTCTGTCTTCCACCATCCAAACATTTGACCATCTGCCTTTCCCACTTTGCCAAAACGTACATCTTGGTCCACCGATCTACCTGCACCCCTTCTCCCTCTACCCTTCATCCTATCCCTCACCAATCTCTGGCCCAGGGACCTCCTTCGAATTTTAGCCTGTACTGGTTGCTGATCTTCATCATCGGCACTGACACATTCTCTACAGCTTTGATAATATCCACATCGATACATTCAAGGTTTGTGCTCAATTATTCCCATATCTATGGATCGCATCACACAATGCGTGTCTTCTAAGGGGCACTGGGCTTAGGCTGAGTATCCTCCACGCTTCCATCCCTGAGCTTCCAAACACCAACTGAATGCTTGATGGCGATAGCATCTTGCGCAGCCTATTACTACACTGTTGCCTCACCTGACCCCTCAGCACTCCGAGACACCATCTACTTTCAGACACTGGCCAGAAGCTAACTCTCAAATCACCTCACAGGAACTGACCATGTCTTACCACAATCCTACAGTCATGGTCTCCGACGGAAATAATCAGGGACACCCTGGTGTTGGCCCTGCCTACGTCCCTCCCCAGGGCGCTGTTGGCCAGGCTGGTGGCCAAGGTGCTGTTGACAATGGTGGTGCTTCTCGAGGCATGCACTACCAAGCTGCCAACCCCGATGCCCTTGGTGGTCTTGTCAATCACTTCAACACCCTTGGCATGGCCAACGCCAACATGCATCAGGGCCCTGCTGCCCTTGGCCTGCCTGCCAACAGCTTCCTGCCTGCTGATAATCATAATCCCCCTCTTGTCTATTCTGGCTTTGGTGGCCACAACTACAACCTGACTGTGCCCCAGCTTACTGAGACCTTCCCTCCCGGTGGCCAATTCCTGCCTCAGAGCAATGTCCCTGGTACCTATGGTCCTTTTATGGTGCCCTACACCCCTAGCCGCCCCGCCACGTACAATGACCGCGTCGACCGCGGTGGACTGCGTGATGTTCCGGGTCTCGACAACCGCCGTGCCTCCTACTCCACGACCGCGACTGAGTCCACTCCCGGTACTCCCTTCTTCGGAGCCACATCGGACCGTCACAACATTCCTCGCGTCATCTCCGCGGACCGCTCCAGCTACACCACTCCTTCCCCCCAGCAGTTTGCTGTATCTGGAGTCATTGGTCCTGTCACTACCAAGGGCAAGCGTGTCGCCGAGGCTGAGCTGCAGGCTCTTGTTGAGCAGGACCCTCCCATCCCTGCTGCCGTTCCAGCCGTCTTCACTACGCCTGAGCAGCGCAAGACTCTTGAGCAGTGCCTCGAGAACCGCATCGAGGGAAACAAAAACGTCTATATCCGCGGCCTGCACCCTACCACCGATGATGATCTGCTGTCCAAGTATGCTGCCCGTTTCGGAGAGGTTGAGCAGAGCAAAGCCATCATTGACACGGCTACGGGAGCCTGCAAGGGGTAAGTCTTTCTCTCCCCACGCCACAATGTTTCTCGTTCTCCAGCCCGCTGATATTGTATAGCTTCGGTTTTGCCAAATTCAAGGACGTCCGTGACTCGGAGAAGTGCATCCAGGGTTTCTACCTCCTCGGCTACGAGGTCGGTTTTGCTCGGGTGAGAATCAGGTGTCGAACGAATTCATGATGATTGACTGACACCAAATGGCACAGGAGAGCTTCAATGCCCGACTGAAGGCTGAGGGTGATGAGGGCTCTACCAATCTCTACATTTCCAATCTTCCAAAGTCGATCACCGAGGCTGTCAGTTCTCCGCCCTTGAAAGATTATTCTACTCAAAAATTGACTATTTTTAGCAACTGGTTGCCATCTTCGAGCCCTACCAGATCCTGTCCAGCAAGATCCTGCGCGACAGCATGGGCAATAGCCGCGGTGTCGGATTCGCTCGGTGAGTCGCCCAATCTACAGCTGTTTCGATTTCGGAGAACTAACGAGTCTTGCCAGTTTCGAGTCTCGTGACGTTTGTGAGGAGATCATCAAGCGCTTTCACGGCCAGGCCATCGGTGATGAGTGCTTCCTAATGCAGGTCCGCTATGCCGACACTCCTGCCCAGAAGGAGTTGAAGCGTATCACTGCCGAGCGCCGCCAGTACCGTACCAACGAGTACAATATCGGTGCCTACGGAACCATGGCTGTTGGTATTAGCCCCTCGATCTACAACACGCAGGGAAATTGGAACCGTTCTCCCCGCTTCTCTGAGTAAGCCAATTCACTTGAGATGCGCTTTTCATAAGCCCTCTCCTTCGTTTCCAGCTAACAATTTGTAGGCGCGCCGACCGCACCCAGTACCGCAATGTGCTTGCCACCAAGAGCGGAAATGCCCACCTGGTCCCCGGCCTTCAGCAGGAGTATGTCGCGGCAAATTCTCTGTTCCCGATGAGAGTCCAGGGTGCTGACTACCATCTTTAGGCAGGGTACGGGTCCCACTTCCTCCAATGATGGATCTGCCGATGAGGGCATGACGGTCGCTGGCACCCCCACCGACCGCAAGTCTCACTCGTCTCCCATCACCAAGAAGGAGGCTGCCTAGAAGAACACGACTCTTTCTGGCCATCATCCTTCACACTCTGTGAATCACACTCTCTCGACGACAGCACTCCAGACATAATTTTCAGCATCAACAACAGCCTTATTCTCAAAGACTTGTGGAGGTCGTTCGATGTCAGCTGGGTTCGAAATTTTGGTGTCCTCTCTTACACACACTCTGGTCTTATCGTCGGAAAGTATGTCGGTTAACACGCGCCAGAGCTGGGCTGTCCAAATGATACGGAAGAATGCTTTCTTCGGCAAATAGAGCAGGGAAGTTGAGTGCATACATCATCACCAATTTCGTCCTTTTGTACCATAGCACTTTTCTCCGTTGTTTGTACCTTGTGTGCTGCAGCAAGGATCGTCAGGCAAGGGCAATATAGATTCATGGAAGTCGTCATAGCAATCCCACTTATTTTTTCTTAAGAAAATCTTCTGATTGATGTGATCGTCAAAGGTCGCGGATGGCACGAGATGCATTGGACCAATGGAATGTATAGTTTGCAGTCTTCGTAAAGACTCGTGGTATTTCAATGAATTGATCACAGAGGTTACGGTGCAGCCGTGATCTTTAATCTCTCTAACGTATCAGCTGTCTCGATTGTGTCTCCGTGTTCACTCTCGGCCGTGGCAGCGGAATCGTTCTGAAGGCCAAGGTTACCATCAGTGCCCGCGGCATCATCATCTTCTTCTTCCGTGTCGAAACCTTCCCCATCCATATCTGACGAATCCTCGTCGCCTTCGCCGTCCTCATCTTTGGATCCTGCTTGCTCTCTGATAGCAGCCTCTAAGTCCTTCGTCATCTTCTTTGTGAAACCCGAAGCTTCTACAGCAACATCTATCCTCCTAGCACCGTCCTTGCCCACGGTCTTCTTGGCGTCCTTGTAGAATGGGCCTGGTGCCGTGTCGACGAAGTGGAACTTCCTCTCAAAGAACCTCTTCACGCAGTTGACGTCCCTGTCGAAGTACATCTCCGCATTTTGATGGTCCATTGAGACCATCTGGGGAAAATCAATAAGAATAGGCGTCAGCACTGCCGCCCCGCTTGTCTCTGCGTCTTCGGCCCCTCCCGTTTGTTCTTCTGATGCCGCAGCAGCGTTCTCCTCCTTAATCAAGATGTTGAACTCGTTGAAGTCGCCATGAATCAGCCCGTGTTTCGCAAGTCGTAATATCAGCGAGATCAGATCCGCGTACAGGTTCGCGGGGTCTGGGACTGCTGATATTTGTCGCAGAGGATACGAATCGATGAATGACATGACAACAGTATGTCTCGACTGAGCCACAGGGTCCGGCACAGGGAAGCCTTCCTCCGCCAGCGCCTGCATGAACGCATACTCCTTCATGGCCGACAGTCGTGACAGGTACATCCAGGAGCCGCCCTGCCTCCTTTTCAGGTAATCCCGATTCGTCTTGACGGTCCGGAACGAAATTCGGCCTAATCTGTGGATCTTCAGCACCTTCTGCCGCCCCTTTTCGTCTGCCACCATCATGATGTCGCTCTCCTTGCCCACGCCGATACGGCTACCGACGCTGTAGACTTCCTTGCGGGAGGAGTACGTATGTAGGGCGAGATAGTCGAGCCCGCCGTAGGTCAGGCGGTAACCGTCGTATTTGGCCTCTTTGACGCGACCTATCAGCCCATTCTTAGCCAGGTTACTAATGGACTTGTGTACGCCGCTGCTGCCCCCGCGAAGACGGGCGATCTTTTCAATGAGGGGCGTTGGGACGATCTCGTGGTTCTTGGAGCCCATTTCTACCTTTTAAAGACCGGTGGTCAGTATGGTTGATGTGGAGGTCAGAACAGTAGATACGTACTGCTGTGAGAACCCGCCAGTCCTCGGATGTGAGGTGGCGCATAGCCTTGGTGTCCAACTTCATATTGCCGGTCTTTGTGTGGTGGTCGTGAAAGGTAGTTGTCGGAAAGTTCAAGTGCAGCCTGCGCAAGACAGGCCTTCCACTGTTGAAGGGTATTTTCAGAGTACCAACTGAATTTCTATCGGGCTATTGCAGGCAGATGTGCGGTGTGTATCGATGTCTCGAAAGCTTTCAGCAATATTCGTCCACTAGCAAAGCGAACCGTGAAATGCTGATGAGGAATACCCCTCCAAAATTTCCAGACCAGAAGGCGAGTTGAACCAGGATTCTATCTTATCAAGATTAGATAGGTATAGCTGACTCAGCGAGGACATCCCTGACACCTATGACTTGCTTGCCATCGCTAGGCGGCAAGGCCTCGCGTAAACCAGTCTCGGGGGAAAGCTAAGCTGCGGCTGGTTTACAAAGCTTCTTCTACCCAGCATCAACAACACCACCGTCAAATCCAACAAACTCCCAATTTCGGTCTGTAAACTACAAACTGAACGCTCACCTCTGACGATTTCTTCTCATACTCCTCTTCGGGCTTCAGATTCCTGTCTTTTTGCTCGCTACTGAACAAGGCAGAGCGTAACTACTGCCTTCACGACCCACCACTCACGAGTGCCTTTGAGCCCGCCGCAGATCTACCATGGCTCAGGACGAACTGCCCGCCGCCGACAAGGGCAAGGGCAAGGCGATCGAGAATGGCAAGCCCGAGGAAGTCAAGAAGGACAAAGATGGCAAGCCCATAGCAAATGGAAAGAAGGAAGATGAGAAGGATGAGTGTATGCGCCGCCGTCCTCGCCGTCACGACCGCAAGCTAATGTATCGCACACTATAGCCACAGAAGAGCTCAGCGAGGAGGACCAGCAGCTCAAGAGCGAGCTTGACATGCTTGTCGAGCGGTTGACAGTACAACTTGTCCCCTGATTACATGTTCTTGGAGAAGTGTGCTGACCCGTCGCAACAGGAATCTGACTCCTCGCTCTACAAACCGGCTTTGGAGGCCATGAAGAACTTCATCAAGACGTCTACATCCTCAATGACCGCTGTGCCAAAACCATTGAAATTTCTCCGACCACACTACGAAACAATGACCAAGCTATACGAAGATTGGCCCGCGGGCGATGACAAGGTTTCATTGGCAGATGTACTGTCGGTGATTGGAATGACCTTCTCAGATGAGGACCGACAAGACACCCTGAAGTATCGACTGTTAGCACCTACACAAGACATCGGTTCTTGGGGGCACGAGTACGTCCGGCATCTCGCTTTGGAGATCGGCGAAGTCTATGCAAAGAGGATTACGGCAGAGGAGTCAACTGACGACCTCGTTGATCTTGCACTGCTTCTGGTCCCCCTCTTCCTTAAGAGCAATGCGGAGGCCGATGCTGTCGACTTGATGAGCGAGCTCGAAATCATAGAGAGGCTTCCGGAATTCGTCGACGACAACACCTATTCCCGGGTCTGCTTGTACATGGTCTCCATGGTCAACCTCCTCACATACCCTGACAACGAAGTCTTCCTGCGTGTGGCTTATGACATATATAAGGACTTTGGTCAAGCCACCCAGGCTATGGTCTTGGCTATCCGGCTCAACGATACTGAACTCATTGAGAAGCAGTTCGAGGCGACCACGGACTCCACCTTGAAGAAACAGCTTGCCTTTCTCATCTCAAGGCAGCGGATATCGCTCGAGTGCGAGGAGGATGACCCAGAGGTGCAAGAGTGCCTCAGCAATCTGCGCATGTCGGAGCATTTCAAAACTCTTGGCAAAGAGCTCAACATTCTCGACCCAAAGACCACTGATGACATCTACAAGAGCCATCTGGAGAGCAGTCGCGTGGCTGGCATGACCAATCTTGACTCGGCCCGCCACAATCTGGCTTCAGGCTTCGTCAACGCCTTTGTCAATGCTGGATTCGGCAAGGACAAGATGATGCTAACCGACAAAGACTCAAACAGCTGGGTTTGGAAAACCAAGGACGAGGGCATGACGTCGACGGTGGCATCCCTCGGGACTCTGCTCCTGTGGGATGTCGAGAACGGTTTGGACAAGATCGACAAGTACACCTATGCTGATGAGCCTCAGATTGTGGCCGGTGCTATGCTGGCTATCGGTATCATGAACGCCGGCGTCAAGATGGACTCCGAGCCGGTGATGGCCCTGCTTGCAGAATCTGAAAAATTGGAGAACCCCAACCCCTTGATCCGGGTCACCTCGATAATGGGTCTCGCTCTCACATACGCCGGTTCCAACAAGGAGGAGCTGCTTGCTGACAAGCTGTTGCCCATCATTACCGACACTACCCAGGACATGCAAGTGTCAGCCATGGCTGCCCTCGCCTGCGGTTTGATCTTTGTCGGCTCCTCACACTCAGATGTAACCGAGGCCATAATAACCACTCTGATGGACGAGGAGCGCCAGAGCCAACTAAAGGACAAGTGGACCCGTTTCATGGCTCTTGGACTTGGCCTTCTCTACTTTGGAAAGCAGGAAGAGGTGGACGTAGTTCTCGAACTTCTCAAGGTCATAGAGAACCCTGCGGCCAAGGCGACTGCTGTTCTCGTGGAGATCTGCGCCTGGGCCGGAACTGGCGCTGTGCTCAAGATCCAGGAGCTTCTGCACATGTGCAACGAGCACATGGAGGACTCCGATGAGAAGAAGGGAGATGAGCTGCTGCAGTCATATGCAGTCCTGGGTATTGGTCTGATTGCGATGGGCGAGGAAGTCGGTCAAGAGATGGTACTTCGTCAATTTGGTCATTTAATGCACTACGGCGAGGCCAACATCCGACGGGCAGTACCCCTCGCAATGGGCTTGATCAGCCCCAGCAACCCTCAGATGAAGGTCTACGATACTCTTTCACGATACAGCCACGACAACGACAATGATGTCGCGATTAACGCCATCTTCGCCATGGGCCTCCTCGGCGCCGGCACCAATAACGCACGGCTGGCACAACTGCTGCGCCAGTTGGCAAGCTACTATCATCGTGAGAAGGATTCGCTGTTCATGGTGCGAATCGCACAGGGCCTGCTGCACATGGGCAAGGGCACGATGTCCCTCAGCCCCTTCCATACTGACCGCCAGATCCTGTCACGGGTCTCCGCCGCTGGTCTGTTGGCGGTCATTGTGGCCATGATCGACGCCAAGCTCTTCATCACCAAGGACTCGCACTACTTGCTCTACTTCCTGGTCACAGCCATGCACCCGCGGTTCCTCGTCACCCTGGATGAGAACCTCAAGCCACTGACCGTAAATGTACGTGTCGGTCAGGCTGTCGATGTCGTGGGCCAGGCTGGTCGACCCAAGACCATCACTGGCTGGCAGACACAGAGCACTCCGGTCCTCTTGGGCTATGGAGAGCGTGCTGAGCTTGAGGATGAGGAGTACATCAGCGTGAGCAATGTGCTTGAGGGTCTTGTAATTCTGAAGAAGGTATGTCCGACCATTGTTGCTCTAATCTGACGTCGTAGAAGAAGATGCTAATCAGACTCACAGAACCCCGACTGGGACGACGGCAAATAGGTTCCATCATTATGAGAGGGTCGGCTGCGTATCAGGGGCAGAGGGCAGAGGAAAAGAGACAAATGTATAGTATCATGGCCCCTCCGGCCTATAGGGAAGAGAAACGTCTTGACAGACATATTCATATGAAACCCCCCCATAGACGAAATGAAAATAACCCAATCAGTGTTATGTTTCACCAGAATTTTTTTTCTTTTCTTTCGTGATTGCCCATGACTATACACAAGCTGAGACCGATAGCAAAAGTAGCTATTGATAATATGGGTCGGAGACGTAGATACGGAGCAGCCCATAGACACTACTCACGCCGATTCTACACTGTAGCAACATATTCTTCTTGCATCCCAGCCGAAACGCCATGCGGCCAACAACACCGAAACGCACTCTTCAGCATCGCTCAAACACTCTGTACAACCCCTTCAGATTCGCAACCTCTAGGACGCCACCCTTCATGAACGACCTCGTCGCTACTAGCCTGGCCTTGAACGCAGGGAAGAATACATGCTCCACCGCCCAGCGCACGTGTCTTCTCCGCGCCCTCAGCTCGTCGTCGATCTGCTCTGCTGCCGCCTCCTCCACAGTGCCCGGCGTAGGCGGGAGCATCTCGGGCACGTAGAACGTTGCCAGCTCCTTGAGGAACGTGTCCAAGCAGGGCTTTTCATCCGTCCAGTCCACGTGTGGGCCGAGCCGGAGGAGGAACTGGGGCAACTTGGCCATCGAGGGCGTGTAGCCCTTGACAAGCAGCGGAATGCTGATGAGTTCGCCCGTCGGCGAGATCTCGAGCGAGAAATACTCCAAGAGCATCTCGCGGCGCTCAATGAGCTGTGCCGAGACCATCTCGACGACCTCCTCGGCGTCGAAGTCCTCGCCCACGTCTAACGCAGCAGATTGTTTGCTCTTCTCATGTTCGGCGGCTACGCGCAGCACGGTGCGCAGATCGAGAGACGGGCTGAAGCGGATGACGCCAAAGTTGCCAAAGTCAGTCAGCCCGACTTGGTAGAAGTACTCGAAGCAAGCACGGCCGTAGTCTATTAGATATAATTTTACTCCGCCCTGAATGGACGCTAGACGCCGTCGCTCGTCGACAATGCCTACGAAAGTATGTGTTGCCAACACCTCGGTTAGCTCGTGATGCATCTCATCGCGAACGTCAGAGCGAAGCTCGCGCACGCTAGCGAGCCTGCATGGATTCTGCTCGCGGTCATTGGTCTCGTAGTCGATCATCTCTGGAGGTTGGGCATCAGGAGCTACAAGGTCCGAAATCGTCTTGTCACCCACTGTGGACGAAGTGCTTCCGCCGGTGGGCGCGAACATGCTCGTGATCTTGCGGAGGTTGGCATCTGTCCTAACAAGATTGTTCTCGTATGGGCGTGTAGTTTTCTTGCTAGAAGCTTGAGCTCTAGTTGAAGGGGCCATGCCTTCATCCGCTTGATTTGGCGAAGATTCCCAGTCAGCGCCTGGGAGGAGAGTTTGTGTCATGAAAGTGCGGCTCTGATCTACTGCAGCAAGCTTGGTACGGATGTGCTCGCAGATTGCCTGTATGATCTCGTCCTCGTTGAGGAAATTGACTTCCCGCTTCGTAGGATGGACATTGACGTCGACCCGCCGGGGGTCAATCTCGAGACTGAGATAGACGAAGGGGTGACCATTCTTGGGCAGGAAAGCTGCATATGTCTGCTCGATTGCTCTCTTGATGTTGGTAGACTCGACACAGCGGTGGTTGATGAACAATAGCAGGGTGGTCTTCTTGATGTGGTAATTGGCATTGGTCGCGTGGCCGTCTGCCTTGAAACCCCAGCGGTCGTCAGATGTAGAGTATTCCACAAGCTCGTTGGCGACACTACCTCCATAGATCTGACGAATGCGGTCGGCCACTGACGCCGTTGCAGGCACGGAGATGCTTGTGGAGGATTCTCCTTGCTTCTTGCAGGAGAAGGCAACATGACTGCAGTGAACGGCATATCTGCCGACCATGTCTATGATCTTGTTGTACTCGTCCGAAGCGGAACGGAATGCACGCCGTCTGGTTGGGACATTGTAAAACAGATCCTCGACAGTAATAGTTGTACCATTCCTGCCTGCCATGGGCTTAGGTTCAGGGCTCTGGCCGGGCTTCGATGGAGCCAGCTTGCCACCATCGTAATGAGCTCGCCAGGCACAGTGGGAGTCCTTGGTCTTGGTGGTGACGGTCAGATGGGCGATATGGCTGATACTTGCCAGGGCCTCCCCACGAAATCCATATGTAGCAATAGAGGACAGGTCCTCGAACTTCTGCAGCTTGGAGGTGGTGAACCGCTCGCACAAGATGGGCAGGTCTTCCTTCTGGAGGTATATTCAGCGGCTGCATGCCAGAAGAGAGAGGGGAGATACGGAGGAGGATATATGCCTACGTCGATGCCGCTGCCGTTGTCTGCAATCTGGAGAAGCTTCAGGCCACCGTCCTTGGCCAAAACCTCGAGAGAGGTTGAGCCGGCATCCACGGCATTCTCGATGAGCTCCTTGAGCGCATGCACGGGCGCAACGATGATCTCGCCGGCTGCAATCTTGTTCACAACGTCTGGGTCCAGTGCCTTGATTCGCCTGGTCGTATTCAAGTCTGGGTCGCCGAGATCGCCTGCCTTTCTCTTTGTCCCGCGACGACTATCGATGTCCATAATCTCAGCCATGGCGTATTGTTTCTGACATTGCGTGAGGGCAGCGTAGTCTCGCAGTCAGGGTCAGTACCAAGGGTTTTTTGTCAAGTAATGACAGTCATAAGCTAGAGGGAGTGAGTCGTCCTCATAATACGACATGACTGACCCCAGTCGTGTTTCGATGTCGCGTTCGCTTGTTCCTGCCGCGACACTTGCAAGGAAAGCGCGTTTGCAAACATGATCGGCCAAAGCAGCTTCGAGATTACGTAACACAGCACAAGACAACATATATCATCCTGTCTCGATTATTCAGTTTACAGATTATTTAACATCGTCGAGACAAGTCTGCCTGAGAGTCTTTCATTCTCGCTGTATGCTAGATAATTCATTTTGTCATGACACTGACGTCCTGTTTGGACGGTTGACAATGACACGAATACCCATTACTTAGTTTACCACAATCCCAGACGGGACTTCTCTTCTCCCCCCCCCCCCAACTCAGTACAAAATACTACTCCACCCCCAGGCCTGCATGCTGCAGCAGAGGGGGAGCCGCCTTTGGATGGCTCCGGTAGACAGATATGTCTGCAGGAGGATCTAAACTAACGTTTCTGCCAAGGCTGTGGCTGCATTTGACGTGACCATACTCCATCCCCAAGGAGTAACTTGTGCCGCCGTCAATTTCGAGGAGGTGCTCGTCTCGGGTCACACGCCCAGGCACACACCCATACAAATTCAAATTTATGCGTGGTGGAAGGGTGTTGTGTCTCATCACGAGGGTTAGCATCCAAAGGCCGTCCGCTGGTGTCCCAAGTCATGTGTCTTTCTTTTCTGTTCTCTTTGCTTTGCTTAAAACGAGGCTGCGCCAGATCTCTGTCTGCCCTGATGGTCTGCTGAAGCCAGCTCAGTCAGTCACCACTTGGCCTCTCTTCTTTCTTGGCAGTGCGTACGCAAGTCATTGGTCGTGCCCCCCCCCCCGGCAAAAAAAAAGAAAGCCCTGGAGCTGGAGAGAGCCAAAACAGACCGGCAGCTGGCCAGTGGCCCTCCAATTCCACCGTCGGGTCCCATCGAGCTCATGCATAAAGCCCATCTTACCAAAATGAAATGTGCGCGTACTCGTATCGCCTGCAGCCTGTCCGAGTCGGTGAGCCTCTGGGAATTGAGGGAAAGCGGCAACGATCAGCAGCTGAAAAGAGAGCCGGGGTGCTAGCTACGCAGGTCTAGAGGTGATGGTCGACACACAATTCTAGTACGCAATGGTTGATCCACAGGCTAGAACACCTTGTTCCCAAAACCAACCAGATATGAGACAACCAACAGCGCAAACAAAGGGCTCAAGCAAGATGACCTTGGGTGTGTGTGGGGGGGGAGGTTGTTTTCGACATCGACCGCCCGTGGCGGAAATAGTGAGCCCCAGCGAGATCTGCAGAATGCCACGACAGGCTGTGCCTTCTGGAGAAAGCCACTCATTAAATCACAGGCGAGACTATTTCCGGATCCGACCAGTCGATCGACCATTTGAGGACGTGCAATCTTATCCTCCCGGATGGCGCCATCCTCTCGAGCCCCCTCCCTCCCCAATAAAACGGGTATTCATGTGCCAGGGTCCTGTCATGTCGTTTCTTTTCCTATCAATGCCGTTCGCTCCAGCTGGCGGGCATCAATTGAAGGGCACGAGAGACGAAAGACGGACAGCGCGGGCGGCGGGCGGACAGACTTTGGCGTTTGGTTGGGGGGGGGGGTGGGTGCTTAGGCCTTTTGCTGGCTTGCCTCCGGGGCATGTTCCACCCAAGACAACCCCAAAAATGGTATCGGGACATTCTTTTGACAGATCGCCATGGGGACTTGGCCTGCCCCCTGGTGCTGCTAGTGCTCCAGACCTCTCAGCACCAGAATGTGGTGACCGGGAGCTGCCGTCGCTAAGAAGCTGATGCGGCTGGGCAGGTCGCACGCGCCTCGGAAATTTTTATGCATGCCCTACCAACCGGGCTGATCGTCAGCTGTCCCGCCGCCATCTCAGCATCGACCAGGGGGTGACCCGAACAGGCCCGCCCCCCCCCCTCCCCAATTTTGCGGCCCCCCGGGAGGCCTGCTTGTCCAAGCCGGGACACGGTGGGTGGTGATCTTCACGGGGGTTGTTTTTCTCTTGCAAGGGAAAACTTACAGGACGGCCAGTGTGGACTAGATTACCAGGCATTATTAGAACTCAGCTTAAAGTTCAAGGAGATGAGAACAAGGAGGAGGAGGAGGCCGAGCAGTAGGAGAGACAAAATTAGGAAAGCAAGAAAAGAGAAAAGAAAAAGGAAGGAAAAAGAAAAGGGGTGGGCACTCTTTTTTCTTCCCTTTCTTACTGTTGACGGGGTGATCATGGCGGGTCTGTGTGCTGATATGGGTAGGGAACAGGGCACTAATATCGCCGTATACCAAGCTCGATATTAATTCCATAGCAGCAGCAAGTTTCCAGTCCAGTCCAAGCCCAGGAAACTACCATTTTCTGCAAAAGGGCAAGCCCCCCTCCCCCTTCCCTCCTTCGAAAGAGAAGCTGCACATCTCTCCCCTTCACTCTCTCTCCTTGTCTAGCCTCTCAGAGATACCCAGGATAGACTTCCCCATCCAATGATCTGGACGAAACCTGTGCATATAGTTTATGCGCTGTCTCGCTTCCTCGGCTCATATCTTTTCTGACCCCCCTCCCCCTTCCCATCCTCCTCCCTCCTGCTTTCTTCTTTCTCTCCATTTCTTCCTTATATTCTCCCCTCCCCCTTCACCCATTTTATCCTTTTGGGTCGTCCTATCCACCACAAATTTTTCAAATGACCCTGATTCTCAACAACACCACTCATTGTGGAGGTTCGAAAGGACATGCTAACCAGGAGCCCCCCCCCCCTGTACGACACGGCTCCTCCTGTGGAAAACGCACCGTTGCCACGCTGGGTCGGGCGCCTGTCTTCTCCGCTCACAAGCGCAATGTTAGCGGAACCTGAGAAAAGGAAAATGGAATGTCGAATTGAGAATCATCACCAAGAAAAGGCAGGCGCTGGCTGCTTTAGCGAAGTCAATGAAGGGCAAGCAAGGGATTCGACCATGACCACGATCACGACCACGACGGCTGCACGGAGGGCACGAAGGAGACAAGGGGTGATTTACGGCTAAAACCTACGTCACCGCCACCACCAAGAAGACAACAAGCTGCCAACGACGCCAAGATGCAAGAGAAAGGAAAATGGACAGCAGATGTCTCAGGATCACCTTCCAGAACTTTCATCGCCCAACTCCATAGAACAACCTTGACACAAACAAAATCCGCGGCAGCAACAAGAAGAGGAGCATTCTTGTGAAATAGCCTTCCATGCTTGGCTCACATTTCAATGCCATCTAATCAAATCGCTAATGCTAGAATATACACTTGGCCAAAACTAGCCAACAAGCAGAGCAGTGGAAGCCGCCCTCCCACAGAAACCCGCCATCTACCAGGAACATCGCACAGTGGTATCTTCGCGATTGCGACCCAAAGACCATGGACGAGATGCCTCCTTAGGAAGGAAAAACAAGGAGAAAAAAATTATTCAAGCCAACCAAAATAATAACAACAATAGTAATACAAAGTCGACATCCGCACTTCCTAGTCAAGTGCGACCAGGACGGACGTTCGATGCTGAAGCGAAAGAAGAAGAAAGAAAGTCGTTGGTAGAGGTGGGGAAGAGCCTGAGAGGTGCTCGACCAGCAGATATGAGACCAACAAGTGCTGCTTGTCAGTGCTATACTCCCAACGGAGCCGAGCTGCCCGAAGCCACACGAGAAGGACGACACCATCGATCTCACTCAGCCATGGTGTCGTTGAGGAGGATCCGGCCTTTCGATCAGACCCCCGATATCGACCCTCTGCCGATCATCACGAGGCCAGTTTTGTTCGGAAGCAACACTCTGATGCTGGGTGTGCTGTTGCGGTGGTAGATACTGGGCGTGCTGCAACTGAGATGGAGGCTGAGGCGCGAATTGCGGCGGCTGCTGGCTTCGGATTGGCGGCAACTGGTACCCGGGCTGCTGAGAGGAGCGGGCCGCACTCGACAGCTCGCTCCTGGGAATGTATGCAGACGGGCCGGACGAGAAATCCGGTCGACCAGGCGACGCCGCATACGATGATGAAGAGGCCACAGGCTGTCTCGGGAGGTATGACAAGTCGCTCACTGATCTCCCCCGTCCCTCAAATGTGGCTGAGACTGGCGTCGGCTGGCCATATGTGTTTTGGTGTCCCGAAGGGTAAGAGTATCCAAGTTCACGCGAATCTCGGCTCTGCGGCGACGGCGTCGGGAAGGGTTTGAAGCTAGTGTTGAGGACCATGATGATGAAGAAGACGGAGCCGAATTTCGCGAGACCAAGTCGCACAGAATGGCTTCTGATCTGGCCGCTCGAATCCGTAAAGCGGAGGGTCTCTATGGTGTCCAGATGATATGGTGCCAACTCCTCCCTACCAAATCCAAGCGTCCGGAAGACCTTCTCTTCCTCTTGTTTCAGGAACATGGGTGGTAGGTAGTTGGGCTCCCTCCTCAACTGATCATCCTGGATCTGACGCTGCAACATCATAATCCTGGCTTGCTCTTCGACGGACAGAATCTCCGCAATTGCGAGGTTCTGTACGCCCTGCCGGCCAATAGCATCTAGGAACGTGGTGGATGCCTTGGCAATGACCATGTCCATCGTCAGAAAGGCAGCCGGCTCTGGTGGTCTCGTCGAGATCTGGAGTGGGGGAGGGAATATGTTTGCACCGCCGACGGATGCTCGTTCGAGCAGTCGAGGCGCTAAAGGCTCTGGAGGTTGTGATTTCAACACTCGATAGGGCTGCGTCCTCCGCAAGTGGTCCTCGCCATACCCAATGGGGCCATGCGGGCCGAATAGGGACATAGGTCGACGGATATTCGGATCTTGACTGTGTCCAAGTCTTGGGTCAAAGCCCGCTCCGCGGTGGTGGTCATCGCGAAGCCGTGGACGGCCGCGTTTCTTATGCGTTACGTCAATGCAAGAATCTTCCTTATTGTTCTGGACGCATCGGTTGCACGGTCTTTGGGCTGTGGTACTAGGAAGTCAGCCTTCGTTCTCGTGAATGGGCTTCTGGCTGCAAGAGCTGAATAACATAACAGAGAACAAGTGTCCTCTATCTCCTGAGCTTGCTCGATAGCACTCGCCATTCCATGAGCGACAGCCATATGGAGGTCTCTGGCATGTTCTGCTGGATGAACCTCTGAAGACGGAGAGAGAGGAAGGAAGGGGGGGAGGGGGGGATTTGCTGGGCTTCCTCGCACTCGCAGGTATCCCTCACGTGCCATCTCGAGGACGTTCACTTGCGCAACAGTCTACATCTAGCCCACCACGCCCCAACTCTATCATCATCACCCCCAAGAGTCGTTCTGCGCCGAAGGAGTCCAGAATTTCTTCAAGAAATGTTACGTACCATCACACCTGGTTTGTATTAGTACTGTCTTCGCCTGGCTTCATCAAGTGATGTGGTGTGGGTTTCCTGGAACTTACCTAAGATGCGCCTTCTTGCATGGAACACACGCCGCGGCAACATGTCCCTTTGTCTTTCTCTGCGACTTGGGAGAGGCAAAGGATTGCTGGCTTTCCTGTGTCGGTGGTCGGGATGTGACAGTGTTGTACGTTGGCACAGGTCCAGAGGTAGGTATCGTGGCTGGGGTCGGAAGGTAAGGGTTTTGAGACAGGATCTGGTTGTGTTGCGATGTATATGACGACAGCGGTCTCTGCATGGGGTCCTCTGGGCGGGGGTAAGCATATGACATGCGCTCGAGAGGCTCCGGCTGGTAGGGCCGGAAGGGAGCGGATAGCCCTGGTAACATTCTCGAATCTGCTTGTGTCGTGGTTGCCGCGCTTGCGCGATAGACATCATGGCTGGTGGCCGCCTGATAGATGGGGAGGAGTCGGTCATCGGCCTCCTGGGTTCCTTTGGGCGGAATCGGTGGAGACCCTGACATGGGCGGAGATGGGTAGTCTCCAGCTGACCCGAGAGAAGCACCCTCGCAGCCTGCTCGCGGCCACGGTAGGTCGAGAGAGAAGCGAGCCAGGTCTGAAAAGCCTCGGCGTTGGCCGAGCGAGCTGAGGGACGTGTCTAGACGATGGGATAGGGCTTGCATGGGAATGACTCTACAGACAGAGCCAAAAGACCGCGGTGCTCGAAGGCGGGCAGAGATAAAGCCTTTGCTCAGGCCCTTCTCTCTGCTGTCCACGGAGGTTTGGTCAGAAGGGGCTGCCGATGCCGTCTCACACGCGATGCACCAAGTCGTCTCCCAGGATAATGCTTCGCGGCAGGCTCGGGCCTCGATGGCCACAGAGGGCGAGGATTATGTCTGTGTCTGGTTTCTGTATGCGTACGATGATTGGGGGGGGAAGGAGGGGTTCCGGTCGTGCGTGCCGAGTTGTTGTCGATGGTTCACAGGCTCACGTGTTCCTTACGGGCTGTCGTCCTGTCGAGAGGGGGTGAGGAGGGGCTAGCTTGTCGGCTGCCGTTCAATGACAAGAGGCCGGCTTCGCGAACAAATTTCTTCGCCACAGAATGGACGGTGGCAACCAACCAACCTTGGGCAGGGCTGGAGGTGACGAGAGCTTTGATAATCAATCCCAGCACCTGGCCAGTTTGAACGTGCACCGTGATACTAAAAGGACGACAAGATCCAAGGTCTCAGTAGTACGGCATGCGGAGGTGGTCGTTGGTTGTTGCTGGGAGGTGTTGGAAGTCTGCAGGCGAGGAACCAACAGGCCCTTTTGATGTCATTGACGATGGAGAAAGGGTATTCTGAGAGAGGCTGGAGAAGGAGGGGAAAGAATACGAGCGAGCGCGAGCCGAGAGGAGACGTCGCGAGAGGCCAACTGCAGGTTTTCTGTATAAACCCTTTTTGGGTTTCCTCGGGGGCAAAAGCTCGAGTTCAAGAGGAGGGGAGAATAGAAGCCCAGAGACAAGAAATCCAAGAAAGATGTACTGGTCGTCGGAGGTTTTGTGCGACTTAAAGAGGACGGAGTGTGTTGAGATGGAGCCCAGATGAAGACAAGGATCTGGCCAGGGTAGAGCTGGCCTTGAGAATAGTGGGTGCCAGGGGTGCTCCCTGGCCCTCCATCAGTCCTGATGTGTGGCTGCTAATTCCAGGGTAGAATCAATGCCTGTATCCCACAAGCAACCCCCCCCTGCACCCTGCCCTCTCTCTCTCTCTCTCTCTCTCTCTTTTTCGCTCTTCCCCTCCCCCTCCATCCCTGGCCTCCCAAGAAGTCTTGTGGGTGTAGGTAAGTGGGAGGAGCCCCATGGTACCGGCCGGGGGGGTAAGAGAGGGACCGGGGAGGGGAAGGGGGGCCACTACCGCCAAGGGTCGGTGGACATGCTCGCTAGGGAATTCAGGCTCCTTGTGACCAGCCCTGATTATAATCGACATGCAGAGGATCAAGAACGCCTCTGGCGAGTCGTGGGGAATTTTTCCGGCTACTTGTGTCCGAAGAAGACCGCAGTGAAAAATATAAATCCACAGCGTCGAACATCTCCCCGACTCAAACCCTCGTGAGGCTGCTTGAGGGGCCCCATTGTAAAAGGAACGTCTGACAGCGCGCATGTTCTGCCTCGAGGACCCGCCGTCTCCTGGGCCTGCCCGCCTGCCTGCCAACCAACCAGTAGGGGGGATAAGGTCACCTTGGGCCCCATGAGGTAAGGCACGGCACGGCACGGCATGGCACGTTATGGCATGGCTGTGGGAATACTGCAAGTTACTTCATTCTCAAGGGGTACAGAGGGCCAGGTGTTTGGCGTCAAGCGTCGTCAAGGTATCGAACCAAGCCAAACTCGGGCGTGACAGCGAAGACAGGTATCCAGTACTATGGAGAGTGTCAACGAGGCCAAGACAAGAATCGAATAGAGAAGTCTGCTGATAGGCAGGGTAGGCCGAGAGAGCGTGGGGCCATGTCTATTACGGACTGCGTAAAATTCTCCGGCGGGTTTCGTCGTGTATTATGGACAGTCAATTGTGAAGATGAACCGACCAAAAACAGTAAGACAGGTTCTCAGCGCAATTTGCTCGGTTGAGGATGGTACAAGGACGGTGAGTGTCTCGCTTGTCGGGTGCGGTAGTAGCCCAGCGACCGGAGGGGGGGGCATGTCTCTGAACTTGTCAACGGCCACCGCCAACGCCAAAAAAAAATGTCGATTCAGGCGGGGGGTGGAGGGGCGGAGCTGGGGGAGGTCTGGTCTGAACCAAGAAGCTGAACCCCTGTCCAGGGCCATGCCCGCTGGTGCCGCTGCCACCTGCACATTTGCAGCATCGTGCGGCGTGCCCCAGTGGAGATCCTGCCGAGGGACGACATGGGCACTCGATCCACCCGCCGGCCCAAGGAGCCTCAACATAGCCTATTAGGGGGTATGCAAACCAACATAGCAACACCTTACTGCGTTCCATAGTAGCCATACGTGCCATAGCAGTAACAGACATGCCAGGGCATGAACTGCAAGTCCCGCAGCTGCTCCGAGATCGCAAACAGCGCGAGAACCGATCGGCCCGCCAGCTGCAACATATCGCCATACGAATTTAGCCAAAGACGAATAGAAGAGAGAAAGAAAGAAGCAAAGAGGCAAACGATTATAGAGTACGGTTTGCTGGATCAGCGTGTGTCGTCCGTTCCACCTGTGCGCGGTGGTGGGGGAATGAGCCCCCTAGCTCACTGTATGGTCCAGGCTGTCTTTTAGATGTGCTCTTTTTTTTTGGGGGGGGGGGGGTGGTGGGCGAGGTTCTTAGCGCCCTGCTCTCCATAAACACTGCTGTAAATTGCAGGCAAAGTGATGTGCGTTGACGGGAGGGTGGTCTGTTTAGAGCCTGAGCGTGTCGTGTAATTGATGAGTTCCCCTCCAGGGCTAGAGAGCTCAGGCGGAAACGATGAGCGAGTTCTCGAGACGAGACAAGACGAAACGAGACGAGACGATAGCTTCTGGGGAACAGCATAAAACGCCAAGACGACTGGACGCCAAAAAAAGATGTCGTGCAGAAGCTGGAGGAGGATCGACAGACTCTACTTTGGACGGAAACTGATCCTAGATTCAAGGAGGGGCGGGCAACGATCAGACGACAGCAGTTTGTCATGTCCATCTTAAGTCTTGTTGACGCTCAAGAGGGTGGGCGGTCCCCAGTTGTCTTGGAGCCAGACCACGTCGCGGTGCCCTGCCCCCTTAGTCCTGTAGAGCTATATAAGAAAAGAAGAAGAAGCGCATGACGTTTCGTCCCGTCAGGCCAATGAGGTTTGGGAGGGTTGGTCGGTAGGCTTAATGCGTCCCTGAGGAAGGTACTCAGGAGGTATTCGTTGCGACGCGGGCTCACCCTCAACCTGCGTTGTCATAAAATCCAAGAAACGAAGGAAAGATGCCACCTTTTTTTTGGTCTGGGCCGGGGGGGGGGGGCCGCCTTCCTCCTCCCTAACCCTCTACAAAATCTAAGAGACGCACGTGTCGACTGGAGGCGGCCGTGGTCGCAATTTCTTCCGTGCTAACTCACTAATTAGCACGAGGCAGCTATGTATAGTCATCCACACCAGTTCAACAGTGGGGGCTGCGAGTCATAAAGAGCTAATCAAGGAACATATACACACAGAGAGAGAGAATAGGAAGAGAGAGGAAGAGAGAAAAAGAGAGAGAGAGGAAGAGAGAAAAGGAGAGAGAGAGGAAAAGTGAAAGCCAATTGACCTGCTGACGATATCATAAAGATGAACGCCTGAATATCGTCAATGGCGGGTTGGGTAGGCACTACAGGAGGTAGCAGTGGACAAGGAACGGTCTGGCCCGTGGGGAGGCGCTTTCCGAAGAACCGAGGGGCGCCACTGCAGAGAATAGACCTGGACCGATCAGGGATGACAGACAGTACTTCGGTACTTGGCCTATAGTACCCGTGGGCTGGTACCAGTCTAGCCTGTTCAGGACAAGGAAAGGTCCGTAGATTTTTAACTCGACCGGCCAAAAGACCCAAAAGCAGACATAGTAGGTACAGTAAGTAGGAAGTAGCCATAGAGGCAGGATGAAGGCGTAAGTGAGAGGTCGCCGCTGCCGCTGGCACAGGTGCGTGTCATCAGCGGGGCCGCCAGCAAGGAGAGTAGATGGAGAGAAAGCCTCTTCTGCTGGTGTGTGCTCGTCATTCCTTGCTGGTGGCCATCGCGTACCTCGGCCAACTCGGTTATCTGAGGCTGTTTAGGCTGGGTAGGCTGGTCCATGCATGAACCCTGTCAGGGAGGACCAATGTTCGGAATACCATGGCTCTTCAGGTATAGTGGTAGCGATGCGGTACAGATCCAGTTCTGTTGGGAGGGGGGAGGGTTGGAAAGAAAGAAAGAGAAGGAGGAGAGAAAAAAAGATAATGCAAGGGCTTAAATGGCTTAGCCCACGCATCAGATGTATGCACCATCTGGTCCCAGGACCCGTCAAGTCATTAGCGCTGACGTGCGTCGTCTGAAGTTCACACGCATTCTTCGCAGATGGAGCCTGCAACCACCCCCCCCCCCTTCCCCCCTCATTCCCCCAGCCACATCTATGTGCAGGTGGTGCATGGGCCCTGTTGCATAGCGCCTCCATATTAAAGCAGGTAGGCTACACACACACAGTACGTAGTACCACGGTAGCTGGGCCAGGCGCCCTGGCATGCCCATGACGTGCACCACGCCGCAATTGTGACCAGTGCAACGATACAGTACAGCAGCCCTTCTGTGTCGTTATTCCGTTGTCGCGTCCAGACTGGGTCACGGAGCAGCTGGTTGCATGCGACGTGCAGTGTAGCGAGGGCTGCCGAAGGTAACCCCCTTTCGACGGTGCCACCACTGGGTTCCTTATTCATTAAACTTCACAAAACGTCAGGCCCTGGCTGGATGCGTGATGGGTGGTGGTGTCGTTGTTGGGGCAATGGGAGATCGTGGACGTTGCCGCCGACTGCAAAATGTGCGACAATCTGTCCCTCTCTTTCTCACTCTCTCAATTTTGGTTACCCTATCGATCTGGGTTCGACATCCGACATACACTTCTCTCCCGAGGTCCGAGCCCCGGATCCGAGACAATTGTGAGGTGGCTGTGCCGACAAGGCGGGGAGAGGGGAGTTTTGTAGTGGGGTCTGGTCGCCCTGGATCGTTCAAGCATTGTTTTGTCTTCCTGCCTGGAAATGGGCTCAAAGGACCAGAATAGGGCGTGGAAACACACAAGAGACATTGGCGGTTGGGGGAGTGGGTCCTGTCTTGCTAAACAAGTTCATCCCACAAGGACGGCAAGGGAACTCAGGGCTTTGGAGAGGGGATCGTGACTATGGTGCATGCATGAACTTGTCTGGCGTGTTGACCTTGGTACATGGTGATGCGGCTCAAACCATGTGGTCCAAAATTATAAGAAACAACCCCTACCTAAAATAATGATGTGCGACGTCCATGTCAGATGTGTATGTAAGGGGGCTGGCCCATAAGATGCCCTCTTATTAACCACCACATGGGCGCCCTGTCGATCTTTTTTTTCTTTTCTTTTTTTCTTCATCCTAACTTTTCCCCTCCAGCCGCACGCTCAGGGTACTAGGGTACAATCTTACGGCCCTTGGCCCAGAGGATCACCAACTTAGCTCCTGGAGCTTATTCATCGTTTGCGACGTCGATCCATTATGCCGCCTCACACTTTTAAGTATCCAATCTCTGGGTCACCAAGACTACCAACCCCTCGCACCCACTGCGACGCTATGCTCAGTCAGGTAACCATGCGGGATCGGGTCCCATGGAGCATTTATGCGCCTTTGATGGGCCGATGTGCATGTACTATGATATGTATGTACATAGTATGTAACGCAGACAGTCACAATTTCCAGGTCTTGGACGTGAGATCGTTGCTACCATAGCATGTGTGGGCTGTTGGGTCTGCAAGAAGAATGACTTGGTCGATACTGCAGTCAAGAGAATCGAAATGGGACGTCAGCACCAAGAGAAAGTTAAGCGTAACCATATTTTCCCGCCCGCAATTTCCAGTAGCTGTTCCGCCATCCCGCTGTGGCTTGGTTATAGAAAGACCCCCCCCCCTTTTCCCAGGCTTTACTAGGCGAAGCCTTACCCCCTCCTCTCTTTCTTATCTCCCTCCTCTTGGAAAGGGGACCCGAAGGCGTTTGAGAGGAAACGCCGACAAGCAAGGGTACTGACTAGAATGAGCAATCCACGATGGATTTGGATAGAACGCAGGAAACCGGCGTGTCAGTTGCCGCCTCAGTTTCTCTTGGATGGCCGCCATAACAGTTTGGCGCGCAGCTGACACCAGGCCGTCGATATGCGCGTCGATTCGCAAGGACAGCATTGATCAATGTCAGCTGCATTTGTCGTCTATGTTTCAGACGGAGGAGTGACTTGGTGCTGATAGGTTCCTTTCCGTCTCAACCTCCCCTCCTTCCTCCGTCTCTCTCCTCCTCTTCTCCTCTTCCTCCGGCCCAGGAGAGCCTCACCGCTTCTTGCAGTACGAATTCCTATTAAACCGCGCATCCTGTTTTTCTTTGGTTTTTGAAACTCGGGGACGGCGAAGATGGTCATGACGAGTTGCGGATGAGATCCACAATCACAAGCCATTCGTTGTTTTGAAGGAGGATTTTTGTGGTGGAGCCTAGAGAGATACCCGAGCAAAATGTACCGCTCACCGTAAAGCCCCGGCCGGTCCAGACGTCATGGTCCGTACCAGGATTTGTTTCCCCCCTGCCAGCGTGGGGTGGTGGACGACTTAGTTCTTTTCCTGTTATTTTTCCCTTTTTTTGATTAATGGCAAAATCATGAGGCGCAAAAAGAAACAAGGGACTTCCTCGCCACCTGCCAGAGGATGGCCCTTGCAGACCCTGCAGACCCTCTTGTTTTTTTTGTTTTTCCTTTTCCCCATCCCCTCCCCCCGAAACGGTGGTAGTGACTCCCGGAGATTTGATCCGGAAACTCGTGCCGCACGCGTAAACAAAGGCCCTTGAAAAAAAAAAAAAAAAAACACTGTCAGGCCAGCAGAGGTGACAGCAGGATGACAGGATCAGTAGCAACGGCAATCAATCCCGTGCGGCTAGACTGGCTAGCACACACGACCCGGAGATTCGAGGTGAACCGGTGGCCCGCTAAGCCCCCAAGCGGCCACCTGAAGCAAATGACTTCACGTCTCCATAGATCCTGACATCTCGCTGACCCACAGAACATTCCAAGGCCCACAGAAATGTTCTGCTCGACCAGAATCTCCGGGCTAAGTGCGCTTGGTACGGAGTTGCTAGCTCGTATCGTCATTGCCAACGATCTCCCTTACACCGTTTGTCCCCACCGGCCCGCCAAGCCTCCCGAACCTTACAGGCCTTTCCAGCCCATAGTGTGCGCCTGTAATGTTGCTTAGTCCCGATGCCTGTGAAGGCCAAGCATTGTCGAGATCAGCACAACCTGGGCTGTAAAGATGATTTGGTTGGAGGATAGGCCCCGAAGGACAAGGCTGGAACCTTGTCGTGTCTGGACATGTTCACGTGCCAGCACCAGGGCAACTTTCGGAGCATTTTCGTCGCATGATGTTGACAGCGGGAGAGTTAGACGCACGCAAGATGAGATGGGAGATGGCGTCAAACCCGGCGCCGGGTGCCGCGGACGCGCAGAAAAAGATAAGACAGCCACATCTGTGCCACGTGTGCCAGAGACGGGGGCTCCTCTGACAGACTCCTGTCCTTGTCCCAGGGCCAGCCACGCTGTCCACTTCGTCATCAACGAGGCATATCGGGGATGACATATAGGGGGGGGGGGCCTTGACGTGCCAGAAAGCCCTGCGAGGCCGAGGCTATCGCAAGTTGAGAGCTGTACTGCGATGCATGTACTGCGGTACTCGTGCCGCCAAAGAGGAGACCCTGGTCGCTTCGCAAGATCCCTGCCCTTCGTCCCTTCCCCATCTGGTCCCTGGGAGTACACATGGGACAATAGCACGGCAGGAGCATCCCTGTCCTCTTGATCCCTTCCCAAATTAATTCTTCCGTGGGAAGCCACCACGGGCCACCTACTGTACAGTTACTGCTGTAGAGCCAATGTGGTACTATGTTCTGATGTACCTGGACTGCTACTTCCTCTGTGCATCCATCCATATGGTTGTGTATGAATGGACCGTGCATCACTATCATGATGGTTCAGTTCACCTTCTCCCAAGTTTCTAATTTACTCCATCTCAGATCGTCGACGTGGCCAAGCAGGAATCTCGTGAGAGGATAATCGTGGTACTTGCAATACAACCCCTCCTTTTCTCACTTGCATAGCATCATCATGAGCACCATATCACACCAGGCAAGATGAAGGCCGGACGATGGAGCAGCATCGACATGTCCAGACCCATCGGAGACTTTCCCCCCTTTCCTCTCTTATTGAATCTTGCTGGTGTGTGCCACAGGCGCCACAGCAAGCGATCATCTCAGGATGACGCTGTAGCTGTTTCTCGTCCCTGTCGCCAACATAGCAACGCCGCACCTGCACCACGCCCACCTCCCACCTCGTTGGCCCACCTCCTCAGACTCGATCCGAGGATCCTGCAATGAGAGCGCTTCGTCACACCCAGCAATCTCGGGCCCTGCACAAGCTGTCCAACCGAAGCTATCCTGGCCTGGCCTGGCCTGTCTGTGTGGCGGTGGAACTTCTCCGATCCGTAAATCCTTGGGCCCATGCCGCCTACAACCTCAACAGCCCTACGGGTCACGGCTCTGCATGCCTGCTTTGGTACATACTACACGCAGTAGTACTATGTATATACTATGGTGTGCAAGTGTGTCTCTTTGCATTTCTCAGCTCGCTGGTGCTGACTCAGCGTCACCGCCGGGCAACAATGGTTGCTTCAAGCTTAATGACGAAGGGGCTGTCGACCTTGTCGACTATTAAGGAGATAGGGCCGGTCATCAATCGATCCTCCAGCCGTGAAGGGCATACACTGCGTTCCCGCCACCCCCACTTACCCGCCTTCCTTTACAAGATACAACCTGGCCGATGTTGGTGTCCTTGACGATCGTTAGGTACAGTCACTAGTAATCTCGAGAAGAAGAAAGGCATGCCCAACGGCAGCAACTTACTACCACTGTACACCATCCTCTCGTTAAGTTTCAGCAGCCTCGCCTGTGACCCCTCAGGTCCACATCGGGATTACCGCTGGATCGACCCCGTCCCCGCGTGGAGCGACGATGAAGGTGCTGGGGCAGGAGACGCGGAGTATTTTGTCGACTCAGAACATCAGACGATAGCATTTTCCCGGCCCACCCCTTCCTGCTGCTCCCGCGGCAACCATCTCGCCAGCTGAGCACCCTTGAGCAGATCCATCCTGATCCATACTGCTCTGTAGGCCCCTTGCAATCTTCTTGGACAGTTGGTGGGACAATCCTGCTCGGCACGAACTGCAGTCGACCCTGGACTGGATGATCCCCACACCCCTTCCCTGGAGGCATGACGAAGCGAACTAATGTATCTACTCATCCCACCGTGACCATAGCTACATCAGACGAGAGAGGGGAGGGGAAGGGGAGGGGAAGGGGAGGGGGGTCTTGATTGATACACATCATCGACGTCGGCCCTGTCGAGGTCGGCAACGGTAAGCACCAAGCGGAGATTTTGTCCAGTATCCCGTCTCTGTCGACTCGGCATGAGCCTGACGCGCGGACCAGCAGCAGATCAGGTCCCCTTTAATTTTCCCTCATCCTTGCTCCTGTCACGGCGCGCTCTCGCTTGTGCCGACCAGGGTGCATGCAGCTCAACTTCAGACGAAATGGTCAATGCGTTCGGCGTCTCGAGTTGCTTGAGGCCATCTTTCAGCATACTCATGGCTTGCTTGCTCAAGGCGATTATGGATATCTCTTTCTGGAGACAAGGCGGGGACCACGAATGCGCACAGATGGCGGCGCTACCGTTCAACTGGGTTCTTGGGCAGGAAGACGCACCGGTTTTCCGTCGCGACAGCACAGCCGTCAGCTGGGCGGCTGGCATAGCTTGTCTTCTGCTATCTTGCTATCCACAATTCTATCTTGACATGCTATGTATGACCTACAGAAGCAAAATCAGAAAGAAAGAAAAAGAAAAAAGGTCGTCTATCTGTCATGAGCGACAGCGCTGCGCTGGCAGGGTTCTTCCCCACAAGCATGAAGGCCTAGGACCCGGGAGCCGGAGCTTGATGAAAGGGCCTTGGAAAAGATGGGACGAATTAATTTGCTCAATTCGCGCTGGGACAAACCTTATGTCTTCTATGCTCTTTTTCTCTCTCTTCTTTCTTTTGCTTTTCGATTCCCCCCTGACCTTGCCGTTCCGCACCACCTCGCAGGAACGTCGCGTGTCTTATCCAGAGCGCAACCCGCAGAGGAGGCCCGAGATTAGTATTTCCGACATCAAGACTACCTGAACGACTGCAGAGCCCCGCAGGCGAGGTCAATCATGCTCCCGCCTTGGAATCCTGATATAGGCGCCCTGGCAATATCGCGGACAATTGTGAGATCAGAACCTTGCAGGTTCCCGCAGGCTTGACACTCTCCGACGTCTCGGTTCGTGATCTTGGAAGTTGAGCAGCCTAGATCTCCTTCTTACCACAAGAGAAAACGATGTTCTCACAGGTCCGGTTCCCCCCCCCCCCCCTCTTCTTCCATATCCTGCTAGTCAACCCTCCCAGCGTTGGCAAATCCGCTACGGCTGTTTACAACATTGAGTCAGCCGCCTTGTGGTTAAATGTGGTTAAAATCGCGAATGGACAAGAAGAAGAGATGAGATGGCCTGATAAAAACTTTGTGGCTCGCACCCGTGTTCGTGTTCATGCACGGCAGGCAATGCTTTCGTCAAAGAAGCCGTCGTCCAATCTATCTATACCGAGCGCAAAACGCAATCGACAACGTTTGACACAGCTAACCAGGTTTCCACATACGTGCCCAATCTGTGGCGGTGTACGTACAAAGCAGCACCTGGAACGTGCAAGTCTAGGCTGGGACACAAACGGTTGCATCAGCGATGCAGATTCCATGGATTCGCGCGGTTAACTAGCTGGTTGCAGATACCACTCGGCGCTGGATCCTAAATTGGAGCGCGTGAGTCTGTTCAGAACAGGGCTGCTGACAAGGTTCTCCCCGGGGCTGCGAAAGAAACGGCAGCTCCGATTATATTATCAGACCAACCAAGCGCTCGTCACATTGACGATCTTCGGAAAATCCCCCCCTAGATGATGACCGGCCAGGCTGCATGATCCAAGAGCGAGGGCCAAATCTGTTCAATTCGGATCCGGGATGATGCAATTCCAAAATTCAGATTTTGCATCTTGAATTTAGTTTGTTGTTGCGACCCCAGCCCAGCCTAAGATAATACTGCTGCTTGTGCTTTGAACGGCGCTCTCCTTGGGACCCCCAACAGGCAAAAAAAGGCATCAAGGAGGCAGTTCATCCCTGGCTGGTTGGTGACGAATCTGATCACCTCACTTGGACGCGGAGTCTTTTGCCTCGGATTTATGAGACCCCGTAGAGGTGGACCAGGGCAGGGCTGCCACACAGCCTTGCGAGGCTCTCTCTCTCTCTCTCTTTTCATCTCTTCTGTCCCCCCCCCCCTTTTTTTTTTCTCCCTTTCTTTCCTTCTTCTCTTTGTGTGGTGCTCCAGATAGCTGGGTACTTTGGCGACGGGCCGCCCCGGCTGGGGGTCTTCGGTAGCTACTAACCGAGAACGTGACCACGGCATAGACCGCCGCCAGCCTGAGCAGACAACCAGATATCCGCCCTCACACACACACACGAAGAAGCGTGTAGTATCTCCCTCCCTCCCCCCCTCCTCCTTCTTCTTACTCCTCCACACGGAACAACAGCTAAGCAGACCTCATCTTCAAATGTGTGACCTCCCGCATCCCATGCGATGAAGGACGACTTGAATATTTGTGCTGCACTCCGATGCGTGCGCATAATTCAAGGCGGTGTGACGTGACTGATCAATCTCGGCCTCACCCTTCGAGCCTTCTCGGTACTAGTCTGCTAAATTATGGAACACACTCTGAGTTTCACGATACCCGAGATCCACACCCAGGGCACACGCCTTCACTCAGGATCTACACGCCGTGCTGCTGTACCCGAAGAGGCAGGGCTTGTGGCGGTCTTGATACAGAGGCGGACGCCTCCAGCGGTCGGTCAAAACCAGAAGTGGCTTCGGCTCCCCGTTGGCCAATGTCTGGTTTCATCATCCTCGAATAGGTGCGGAAGTGGCTTTCTTGTTCGACCAGCCATCCGCCACCCGCCCCAATACAGCTCACGCCCGCGATGAATCGTTGGTCCTGAACAACGGCCCCCTTTCCCTTCTTTCCCTTCTGAGCCTGGCTGATCTTGGTACAAGTGTCACCAAGAGCAAAGACAGGATCGGCTAGGAGGGTGATCTTCGAGGGGCCAATCCTACTATGATGACACGGACATTGTTGTTCACCATTCAGCCGATCTGGTAAAAGGGCTGAATATGAGGCATAAACAGCTGTGGAGTCAAGTTGTCTGGTGCTCACCAAACTTCCCCCTCTCCCTCTCAGATGGCTTTTTGAAGATATGACATTCAGTTTGCACGTAAGGCAAAATTCTGACCCATAAGCTGGTCATGGGTTTTGCTATTAAAAAAAAGCACGCATGAAGATGATGCGGGGTCAGGATTTCACGAACGCATCCGAGAAACCGCATCAGAGTGAAAGAAGGGATGTGTGGATGAATGAGGGCATGAACAGGATGACGCCGTTACTTGTCTTTTCCCTCTTTCCCTTCCCCTTTGTCATGGCGGCGAGTGCCCGTTCCTTCTACCGGCCGGGATATTTCGGACGCACCGCAGCCGGCGTGCCTGCATTTCTTGTTCTCGTCCGAGGTCCCAGAGACATGGGCACGGGCACGGCAGCGGAAAGCTTTGTACGGGGTACATAGCAGCAACATGAGGAGGCGGCAGCGGTGGAAGAGGCGAAAACGGCACAGGAACAGCTCTGATCAAAGCATGCACAGTAAGTGGTATCCGCAGGTTGAGCCGAGACGCAGGAGTAACGGTAGACAGCCTGGAACCAAGCCACTAAGTAGGACATGCACAACGCAGGCCCACGTCGGACGGACGAATACCAGACCTGGGGGACAAGCGGCGATCTTTGGGCGCCAGTGTCACCAGTCATACGTAGTACGAGCTTGGAAAATGATGGTGGTGGTGGTGATTTCGCGAGGGTTCGCGGATCCACGACGACCGACCTCAATCATGTTACTCTCTTCTTTTCTCCCTTCCCTTTCTACTAATTACCCTTGTGCCAGGCTCATTTGAAGATCTCGCAATTAAACAATGCTGTTAAACCGGACATTTAAAATGGGGCTGACATGACATACCACATGTGAGTGGCAGTACTTACACTACAGCACAACGGGTCCAGAAACATGTACATACAGCACAAAGAAAAGGACAAGATGTACGGCGAATGCGCCTACTTGCTGCACCCGCTTCTTTCTCGTTCAAGTGTTGTGTGCCTGTTGAGCAAGACAGCGATTCAATTATCCTCCGTGGCCAGATCTCCCTTCCCTGTCCCGTCTCTCGGTCAGCGACTGGTTTTCTTCTGTTCTGTCTTGCTTTTTCTTGGGCCCCCTTTTTGCCCCTCAGAGGGATGGAAAGGAGGACCATCGTCGGTCGCCTACTGCAGGTCCCTTGATACACAAAGATCTCATCTTATAGTATTAGACGAGAAAGCACTATATCCGCGACCTGCCCGACGCAGGTAAGTGCCGACGCTGCTGCTGCGTCACCCCGCGTCCTCGCATAGCGCGCAACGTGAATTCTCGATAATCGTCCTCTGTACCCGTCACCAAGCCCCCTCTCCCCCGACGGCCAACGACATGTTAAGTGACCCATGGACCGACTAAACCAATGGGAAGGGATGCAACCGGCCTCGACACTGAGGAAGCTCTTGTCTCCCAACCCCCCCCCCCCCCTCCTTCTCCCACTTCTCCTCGAGCACTGCCCTTGGTCCTTGTCTGCGTGAACAGTGGGTGTGTGACGGTATCGTTGGTTTGTGACAGCATGCGGGAGCGACATCATTACAGGCGGCTGTGCAGACCTGGCAACTCTTGCTCACTAGGCCAATGGACATCGGGCCAGACAAAGCGGACGGCTTCCCAGATGTGACTATTTGGTTGTTGGAGAAGTCAGTATAGTAGAAGATATCATGGAAAAGAACATAGTACGGTGAAATCAGCTTCTTAAGGGCATCACGTACCTGACATGAACAATCTGTAGTCCATCCTTGACCTCTTGAGGCAAATCTTTGACGTCCTTGCGGTTCGATGAAGGTAGCATCACAGTTCGAACCCCGGCCCTCAGAGCCCCGATCAATTTCTCCTTGATCCCGCCGACAGGTAAGACTTTGCCTCGCAGTGATATTTCGCCCTGAGGAGTGGTAAGAACCTCGTATTAGTTCCCATGTGTTCCATAACGCGCGTAAGCTGTGAGGTGTGTGTGGAAAGGAGAACTCACGGTCATGGCAATGGTAGGTGGCACAACTCGGCCCGAAAATAGAGAAATCAGGGCGATCGTCTGGGCTATGCCTGAACTAGGACCGTCTTTTGGTATGGCGCCGCTAGGGCAATGAACATGCAGCGATCGATCTTTCATTATGTTCTGCGAGGGCTCATGGACCAGGCCGAGTTCGAAGGCGTGCGCTTTCACCCACTATTAGGAAAGTTAGTTTACTGGATAATCAACGACTCATACGAGGGTGGACAAGCACTTACAGTAAGAGCTACTTCAACACTCTCCTTCAAGACATTCTGAAGGTTGCCGGTGAGCTGGACCGTGCCGGCGCCGGGGAAGTCCTGGACTTCGATAAAGAGGATGCTGCCATTGCCTCCCGAACTATAAGCCACCAGGCCAGTGACGATGCCGGGTCGGCTGGTCTTCTCAGCGATCTCTTCCTCGAATTTCTCAATGCCAAGGATATTTTCGACATCCTCGACAGTAAGCTGCGGCTTGTAGGTCTCCAGTCGTCCGTTGTCTTTGGCGTCGGCATACTCGACCGCCTTAGCTCGGCAACATGAGCCAATCTCACGCTCCAGATTGCGTACGCCGGCCTCACGAGTATATGCGTCGATGATCTTCGCAACGACCTCCTCGGAAAACTTTACCTGCTCCTCTTCTAGTCCATTGACACGGATCTGCTTGGGAATCAGATGTTCGGTTGCAATGTGTCGCTTTTCGACTGTCGTATAGCCAGGCAGATAGATCATTTCCATGCGGTCCAGCAGGGGTGCTGGAATCGTATCCAGACTGTTCGCTGTCGCAATGAACAGCGCCTTGCTCAGATCCAAGGGCGTGTTGACGTAATGGTCCGTGAACGTATGGTTTTGCTCTGGATCCAGGACTTCAAGCATCGCTGCCGAAGGGTCGCCCTGGAAGTTGGCGTGGCCCAGCTTGTCGATCTCGTCAAGAAGGAACACGGGGTTCGCGACGCCGACCTTTCGCAATCCCTGGACGATTAGTCCAGGCATAGCGGCGACGTATGTTCTGCGGTGCCCACGAATTTCCGCCTCGTCCCTCACACCGCCGAGAGAAATTCGGTGGAATTTTCTGCCCAAAGCATGTGCCAGTGATCGAGCAATGCTCGTCTTGCCAACACCAGGAGGGCCCACGAGAAGTAAGATTGGCGACTTGTCCATCATGCGCTTGCTCTTCAGCAATTCGACCTTGGCGGCACTGGCCTTCACCTGCTCGTCCACGTCACCAGGACTGGGCACGCCTTCCTTGCCAGCTTGACTTGTTTCCGCGCTGGCAGCAGCTTCTTCCTGCGCCTGTTTGATCTTGGCGTCAATGTCCTCATTGATAGACTGCTTGAGCCGGAGCACCGCAAGGTACTCCAACAGTCGCTTCTTCACCTTCTCCAGGCCGTAGTGGTCGTCATCCAGCTGCTTCCTGGCAACTGTCAGAGTGGTCGGGCCGAGCCGGTCTTCGGTCACTGCAGTCCAAGGTATCTCTGCCAGGGTCTCCAGATACGTCCTGGTAACCGCGTAGTCTGCCTGGGCAGGGTTCATCTTCTTCAGTCTCTTGATCTCTTTCTCGGCGACCTTGGCTGCTTCTGGTGACAATTTAGCCGCCTCGAGCCTCTTCTGTAGCTCCTCAATCTCGTTGGGCTCATCATCACCATCATCGCCACCACCGGGCCGGCCCCGACCTCTCTGGGCTGAGAATGGTATGGCAAAGCCGCTCGAGGGGCTGGGGACCGGAGCGCGTGACCTCTTCGCACCTTGGCCATGCTCACTATCCTCCTCCTCGTCGGTTTCAATGATAATTGGGATTGAAGATGTGGTGAAGCTGGCGATCTTGACATTATTCTTGATGTTCCCGACCTGTCTGTCAAGGAGGTCGATCACGTAGCGCATTCTCTCCTTGACATCGAACAGGGACAGGATCTTGAGCTTCTCCTGAAAGTCTGTCTCGCAGACATTGGCCATGAAGTCGGAGAGGAAGCCTGCTTCAGCCAGGGTTTTTTGGTTGATGAACCAGTCCAGCCTCCTCGCAAGGATTGGTGACAAAGACGGGGAGCCGGAGGGCCGTGGTAGAAGCGCGGCCACCCTGAGTATAGCCACCAGTTCCCGGGACAACAACCTCAATGTCGTAAACAGTTCCTGCATCGAGGTGTCATTGGAAAGCACTTGGTCTTGATGGTATGTCACTTTGCCCTCGAAGTAAGGCTGTGTCTGGTAGATCTTGTCCACCTTCACTCTTGCGACACCCTTGACGAGCAACGAGAATTCTCCCGTGCCGCGGCCCTCCACACCGGTGATCTTTGCGGCCACGCCGGAGCCAAACAGGTCCGCCTTGGTCACTGCAGTAGTGTCGGGACTGTCGGAGTCACTGCCAGAGTGGTCCTTCTCCCCATTTTCGATGAGGAGCTGGCCATTGGGGCCCATCAGCGACAGAGCTCGAGCCTGGGGCACACAAGCTATAGGCACGCTCTCTATTCTGCCCTTAGAGGTCCTGGAGCCGGCACGGCTGTAGACTGTAGAGAGGAGTGCTGGTATGTCGGGCCGGGCTGACGATACGGGAATACGAATGGCAATGCCAGGCAGGAGGACCATGCCCTGCGGGAGGGGAATGATGGGCAAGGTTGCCGAATGTGACCGAGCCATGGTGATGACGATGACGGCTGTCCGTCGTATAAAGAGATGGGTCTGAGAAAGTGAAGGGTGAAACAAGTGTGCAGGTGGTCCGAGAACTGCGGATGAAATGTAGAATGGAAAAGGTGGTGTAGGTACTGGAAATTAGAATGGAATTGGGTGATGGTGGCTGATGTGGAGGAAACAGCCTGAGGTTCTCTTGATAAGCTAAGCGTACTCAGTTTAAGTACTATGCATGCATGCTGGAGAGTACTAGTACAGTGAGGGTGTGGTTGGCCGTGAGCCGAGGCTAAACTATTCCGCGGCGGCCCCCTTCTCCTCCCTGGTGTAGACGCATGTCACCTCACTGTCCTCGCCACATGCCGCATAGAATACCATCGAATCTCTCTCGTCTTAAACAACATCTCTTCCCCCCCCCCCCCCGACCCCCGGTCTCAAGACACCTTTTCAATGCCTTGGTCACCAAAAGGACTTGTGTAAACTGAGCTGAGGTGCGTGGGTGTGTGTGTGTGTCAAAATGCAATTTGCAAAGGTAAAATGATTCTCTCTGCTTTCAGCAACAACTTGAACATTCATGCATTAGAAGTACTGGCCAGCAATATTTACCCTGGTACATGTTGATGTCCGTGGTGGCCATGCCTTTCAACTGCCTGCGGGAGAGCATCGCTAGAGGCTCCGAGGCCCCCCTCAGGGTCGCTCGCTACAGTGGCAGAGTGGCAGGCGGGTGGCTCGGCTCACACACGGTGCCACTACAGTATCCTAGGCACCCCTGCCACTAAGTCTCCAAATGTAAAGTGGTCTTCCCCCAGGTCGCGTCATCCAGATTTCAAGACGCGTCTTCGGCACCCCGCCAATCTTTCTTTCTTCCCAATATCAACACCCACCAAGCATCGACACAACCACTCTTCTTGCCCCGCCCCCTTTTCTTGATATTCCTCCATCCTAGATTCATCATGAGTATGAATGAACCACTTCCATTCCCAAATTTGTATTCCTCGCACTGACAATCATAGCAGCCTCATACGGCGGTTTTAGCAAGACCTCTTACGGCGCTCAAGGCGGCGAGGACGGAGGAGGCTTTGTCTATGGCGGGTCCCAGCCAGGTAGTCAAGGTGCTCAGGGCGGACAGAAGGTACGTGCTGCTCCCCACCATCACCATCACGAGCGTCACCACAATACCAACGCCCTTTCCCCTTTCCTCGACTCTCTTGCGCATTTCTGGCATGATCAGTAAACTGACACGTTCTTTCTTGCAGGGCTTTGCCGACGAGTCTCTCCGCCCTGTGACCATCAAGCAGCTGCTCGACCTCGAGGAGGCCTACCCAGGCGCCGACTTCCAGATCGACGGCCACCAAATCACACAGGTGACCATTGTCGGGCAGGTGCGCTCCATCAACCCGCAGCCGACCAACATCACGTACCGTCTGGACGACGGCACAGGCACCATCGACGTCAAGAAGTGGGTCGACGCCGACAAGCAGGAGGATGCAGACCCCAAGTACGAGCTAGACCAATACGTTCGCGTATGGGGGCGCCTCAAGTCCTTCAACGGCAAGCGCCACATCGGTGCTCACTTCATCCGCGGCGTCGACAACTACAACGAGGTCACCTACCACCAGCTGGAGGCCACCTACGTGCATCTATACTACACCAAGGGCCCACTGGATGCCGACGGGCAAAATGGGAAGATGAATGGCGCCGACGGCAATGCAGGCGCCGGTGATGGCATGTTTGTGGACCAGTATGGCGGGCAGAACGCAAAGAGTGAGGAGACGGCCAAGTTGGGCGCCTGCGGGCCAAATTCGAGGAAGATGTATCAGTTCCTTGCCAACACCCCGGGCGGAAATGAGGGTGTGCACCTGAACCTCATCGCGAGCAGTACGGGGCTGGCGACCCGAGACATCTTGGGCGCGGCGGATGAGTTGCTTTCTCAGGGCCTGGTGTACACTACGGTCGATGACGAGACGTGGGCAATACTTGAGTATTGATCAGGAAATGCTCATCTTGGCTTTGATGTTGTCACGGGAGGTCATGGAAAGTTCACGTTCTACCAGTTCTGGCATATCTTGGTGGTCTGGACGGCGTTTTTGTTTTTGTAAAGGCAGGAAATTGCCTCTTCTTCTTTCATATTGTCATTGATAATGATTCCTGTGAGGTAAGGACTGGGACTGTTTCGTATGTGAAGGTAACGAAATCAAAACAAAATAGCCTACAAAGGCTTATTGAGTGCTATAAAAACGTTGCCGGTAATGACTGTTAGCGAAGCAAGACCTGTGATGGTTGTTGAAACCTCTCACGATGCTTGAGATGTTGCAGTAAATAGTGCAAGATCTCGCGCGCGCCCAAAACAAAATAGAATAGCTCTCCCGCTCTCTCCTCTCCCCCCCCCCCTCCTTCCTTATATCCCACGAAGGAAGGCTCATGCGATGGTTGTTGAAACCTCCGCCGACACCTGAGATTCTGCAGTAAAGTGGTGCAAAATCTCCCAGAAGCATGATCGATGTCTCACTCATTGTTGTACCACGGCGACACGACCAGAAAAGAAAAAGACGGGAATCAGACACAACACATAGACACACAAATTGCACACACGTCACACTGAGAAGCACGCATCAAGGAACAAGACGAGCTACAGCAGGCCAGGCACCGTCGGCCGATGCCCAGCCGTGCCACTCACTGTCAAGGATCCGACGGTGATCCAGCAGCCACCACACCTTTTTCTTCTTCTTCTTCCTCTGTCTGAACCACGGATTCTCCCCGCTGGCTTTTGGCGGATAGACCACCTCCCGCCGGCAAAGGGCCCAGGGTTTGACAGACGGAAGACCTCCCCGCTCCCCCTCTCTTTCCACAGGCTGCTCTCCTACACCATCTTGATGGCGGCGGTCGCCTTAGACTTGAGGCCATTGATGGGGGCGGGGGCGCTGTTAGCAAACTTGGAGGGGGCGGGCTGAGGCTCACGGACCATAATCGACAGCTGGACCGGCGCAGGTCCACGCTTGAGGAAGATCTCCTTCTTAACCACGAAGCCAAACTTTTCGTAGTAGGCGTTGTTGGCCAGGGAACTCGACTCAAGGTAAACAGGCCTGTTCTCTGCATCAGCCTGCAGAGTTGGGGAGGAAGAAGAACGTTAATAGAATAATTCCAGGTGCACAATTTGTTTGTGACAAACACGTACTCTCTCAATCATGGTCTGGAGGAGCCTGCGGGCATAGCCACGACCACGGGCATGGGGTTTAGTTCCCAGATACACGAGGTAGTAGGCATTGCTGTCTCGCTCGCCGAGGACCTCCAACTTGGTGTCGTGCAGGAGCGGCATGAGCTCATTGTAGTAGCGCGCCCTGCCCTCGGCGGAAAGCTGGAAGTAGAGGCGCCACATGCCGCTCCGAAGCGTGGTCCACCAGTCGTCCATGTCGCAGCCCGGCGGCATCCAGAGGGCAACCCCCTCATACTCGGGACCGATGACGTGGACCTCCCCGCGGAGGCAATGGGCGGCGACGAGATAATTGAAGATATCGACGTGCAGCCGCCACTTCTCCTCCTGCGACAAGTTGTCCATGTCCTCCGAGTTGAGCAGGTAGTAGGACAGGTCGTCCGCCGCAAAGGCGTGCGCCAGCGAGAGGCCGACCTCCTTGCACTCTGTCATGTTGATGACCCGAACCGCCTCGCCCCACTTCTTGGGCACGAGCGAGTGCTTCAGCTCGACGTATGTCACGGTAGAATTGCTTACGTTCGCCATGCTGGGCAGTCTGCTCGGAGGCATGGTCAGCCATCACGTTGACTTGCCTCTTGACATAGTCTTCTCCCTCCCAAAAAGGGATGACTGCTCACCTGTTCCAAATTTAAGTACTGCTGCGTTTATTTAGGTTACTGTCGCCCGTGTGGTCTTTCGAGAGTTGGGACCTCGAGACGGGCATAAAGCGAGAGGGGTGATCAAGGCAGTAAAGTGAGGTGCGTTTATCAACAGACATCAAGGCGTAGGATTGACGAAGAAATCCTCAAATGGGTCTGTAGGGTATAGAGGTGAGGTTGAAGTAACTCGGGGCTACCGGTCAAAATCGCAAGAGGCTTGTTTGTTTGCTTGTTGCTGTTCTGAATGCTAGTGATGTAGTGATGTTGTTGAACGGGATGATGATGAGTAGTTGAGCTGCTGGGAAGCCAAGGGATGTTATGCAATGCAGGATAGTCCGTGGAGGAACAGCTCCGTACAGAGGATAAGGCTCTGGGTTATTTATTTGGATGGCATGCAAGGTAAGAGTGTATACTAAGATGTCCTGAATCCCGAAGAGATGATATAAGACACACTTGGAGAAGGGAGAAAACAAATAGGCCGATGGGGAGGGGCGGGAGTGCTAGGGAGGGTTAAATAGGCGCCGTCTGCTAAGGTTTCGGTTCCACTCCGAACTACGCCATCTCGCCATGGTGCCGGGATATTGCTGAGATCACCGTGCCACGGGAGGTCCAGGATGCTCGCTTGTAACCGTCTTGAATAGGAAAGATCCATTGGAGGATGCCATCACGGTAAGCCGCAGGGGTGAGACCTTCCGAGTGAGCCGGTTTTGCCGGAGTCCATGCGGCCGCCAGCCGTATCTGCTGCATCCCAGGCCCAGACAAGAGAGAGAAAAATGGGCCTTTGGAGTAGGCCAGTGGAGCACGGTTCCAGTTGGCAGGAGATAAAGTCAAAAGGCGATGAGTGACCTCCTGGACAGGGCGACTATCTTGAGACAGTATTACCTAGCACGCCTAGGAAGTTGAATCCACAAATATGACAGAAGTGCCTGTGTGACGCTGTGCTGGCTGCTGTGCTGGGTAATTATAGGCGCAAATCGCTCGACACCACGCAAGCCATGCCCAATCAATTACATGCAGCGGAGGTCTCGTGCTCATCCTTCGGCCGGCCTGTTGCTTTTTCCCCAACCAAGATACGCCTGACAAGCCTGGGCGGTGACGGCAAGGAGACGCAACAAATGTACCACATGCAGGTCATGCCAGCTGGCACAGGCTCTTGCACAAGTGAGTGCCACAAAGTTTAGGTCTCGGGTCCATGCAGAGCGGCAGCCTCCTTTCCAATTGGTCTATTAGCGGTGACTTGAAAAGGTAGGCAATTGCCAGCTTTCCTAACTGCTTGGGGAGGGGGATATCTTGCTGGTGAACCTGAGGCACGTCTCATGCTCGAAGTGAAGAAACCAGTGCGCGCTCCCTATCGTTTGCCATTACGTCTATTTTCAGCCGGGATCAAAGCGGAACGAATTCAAATGTAGTGCGTCTACATGCGCCTGATCTGTTGTTCGTTGGTGTAAGCCTCCAGTCCCGAGTCGAGATGCGACCACCACTCGAAGAGCATGGAGTTGCAGATGAGCTTGAACCAGGGCGTGAACTTGAGCGCCGGATCCTCAAACTTCTTCTTCAGGGCGTCTGCTGTGACATATTGTGTGGCCTGGACCTCGTTCTCGTTGATGTTTAGATCCACGTTGGCCTTGATGAACAGGATGTAGTCGACTAAGGCAGGCAGTCAGCAAATGTGTTTTCCTTTTGCGTACTGGGAGCGCTTGGCACAGTCCAGTGCAGACATACTTTCATGCTCGCCCCATTTTCCATCACTCGGCGCCTTGTAGTGGATACGCGTCAGGAAGTGAAAGTCTTCCAGAGGCACCTGCTCCTTCTTGATGCCCAGCTCGTGGTCCAATTTCCTCTGCGCCGCGTTCTTGACGCCTTCGACACACTCTGCCAGGTTGTTACCAGTCTCGCCAGGAATCATGAGTGGGTGAGAGCAGCAAGTGTTCGTCCACATGTCTGGGAAGGTGATTTTTTCGCTGGCGCGCTGCTGCAGGAGCAGCTCGTTCTTGTCGTTGAAGAGGAAGACGGAGAAAGCCCGGTGGAGGAGGCCCTTATCGATGTTGGTCATAAGGTGGCCTGCGCGTGCCGCGGTCAGCCGGTCAGTCGGTCAATCGGTCAGGGTCTGCTTTGCAGGATGTCGAGCAGTAGGCGCGAGACGATTACTTACAGATCTTTTTGCTAGCTGTGCCAATCGCCTGGTCATTGTCATCAAGGACGATGCACACCTCGTCCATAAGACGGATCTGCTCCTCATCGTGGCCGTCAAGCTCCGAGGTGCTGGTCGTGTCTATGTCGGGGAATAGGCGCAGGATGGTTTCGGCAGAGATAGAGGTAGCTTGGGGCGCCTCGACCACAGTAGTTGTTGTCGACATGTTGACGCGATAGTACGAGAATGGTCACGATGCCCGAGGTCGAGGAGGTGAAAGGTGTGGAATGTAGAATGGAAATACAGCCGACTGGAATTAGATTCCTCCCGCCACTTTATTCTTATTAGGTACTACGCCCTCTATATATCAGTAAGAATAAAGTCCCTGCATGGGACCAAATTCAGCGGGGCAATTCAGGGGGCTATACTTGATTTGCCGGCGCCGGCGATGGCGACTGCCCTGTGCCGACTCGGTCCCGGCCCGAAATGCCAATGGCACTGCCCGTTGACCTCCTTTCAACTTCAGTACTGACCATGACTGCTGTACTATATACACTAATTAACGAGGCTACGAGCAAGGCACGCCTGGAATATATAGGTCCCTGACGAATAAAACGTTTCCTAAGGCTAACCTAGAGTAGCTGAGCTGATGTAGTACAGGATGCCTCGAACTTCATGTGGCAAAACTTCACACTTTCCATTGAACGCTACACATATGACAACAATTCTCGTCTGGAAGACTTGCACATGACGCTCGTGGCACGTTGGAGGAATCTCGGTTCCCTTATACTGTCTCAATTGTCCCGTCCAAGGCACAGGCAGGTCCTGCCGAGCACGGAAGGCAATAATTGAGCCAAGGATACAGAAAGGGAGGTTTTGGCCAGATCAATGAGACAAGAGACGCCGAGCCTCCAGTTACAATCAAGTCTGCTTATCTTGCTCGTGTTGGTGTTCTTGTTCCAACGTATCTGACGCTTTATGACGGATTGCTTGGCGCCTCTCGGGAAAGCAGGATCAGCAAACGGTTGCAGAAAACCTCCCTGACAATGCTCAAATGTCGGTCTTGTGTTGCCGTAAGCTGATTGCGAGTATCCGGCTCGCCCTCTACAACAACCTTCTGGCCGCAAAACACTGCGCCGCCTCGCCTTGTTAGCCAACAAGCCAAGAATCCTCCCAAGTCCGGCTCCATGGATCAGCATTGGACCCGTTTAACACCGCCACCGCTGTTTTGGCAAATGTGAAGCTCAGACTCACTTCTTCCAGGAGCAGGTGATGAATGCCTGCCAAATTCTCAGATAGCAGTCTCGGCATGACCGCGTTCAGCTTTGTTGCAACAATCTGGTTCTACTGCCCGCTGTAACTGATCCTTCTAGGCAAGATCAGTCATCATTCTCACAGTGATGGTATTATGCAGCCATTAGTTACTTTAGTACCTAGTCTGGAGGGAAGATAAGTATCTGATGGGTTCATAGTTTCATAAGCTACAATGAGAGGCTCGCTACAGTGTAGTATTACAGCATACTACAAGATTAACATTCATATACTCAAACGTTTCCAATGTCAGCCAAGAAGCATTTAGTAAACTCTAAAAAATATCAAAAATCTACTTAATAGGCGGGAAACCAAGATTTCGATTCAATTATCAATGATGAGAGAGTTAAAGCTTTCAGTGAAGACTGCCGAACCCCGACTCAGACTGAGTGTGAGTTCAAAATTCGTACACATCAGCTCCCCTGTTGTGTAATCACTTTTGGCATTCTGGCCTGAGAAAGACACCCCACATATGAAAGTAGAATCGTTACAATCTACAAAAACAAGTCTGAAGTGCTATTCTAATCCCGGCAAGGTTCGACTTAGACCAGAGATAGGATAATATCCCTAAGCCTTTGCACCTGACTCTAGATAGAAAATGCTCAGCGTTTCTTTGACGATCAAGCCAAGTTTCACATGCGACGTGCGCGTATAGTAACGCTTATTCAAACCACATGATCTACGTATTATTATTTTTTCTGATTCATCTCTGTTCACAACTCCTTGCTATTGTGCGAATGCCCTGACTGCAAAACTTTGAGAAATCGTCAATGTCCACGAGTGCAGAAGAGAATATTGAAGTGCATATTATCGAGACCCTTGCATAAGTTGACAATATGATGATCACTTCGACAATGTGACAGGTCCTACAGTCTATCAGCTAGTATCTATAGTATATCGTAACTGTTACTCTCTGTGGCTGCTCTTGTTATCACATAGGAACAGGTCTAGCCAATAAAAGAACGTTACAGACATAAGCACGTACTGGGTGCGTCTTAAGACGGCAGTGCTTGTCGTAATGTTAGAAGACCAACATTTATTATTGTCTATTAGAAAGAAGGTCGAGCAAGTGACCAGGTCCTTTGTCAGTAACGTAAGATGGCCGATTTCTGTTCAATGAGAAATAATTTCTCCACCAGACCCAGTGATTGACAACTCAACAGTGACTCCAACACACGACACGTTCCATCGCACGACCTCCGAGTCAGTTTCCAAGAACTCCGACAGAGTCGACTCATCCTTCCAAAATGTATAGGACTAAATGCTAGGAAGAGGGGAGAAGGAGGGGAAGGGGGATGTTGTGGGGAAAGAGATGGATTGAGACAGAACGTGGCCAGCTTCCTTCGTCGATACCTCCACCACGCACATCAGATGGGCCCCCAAAGGGTCCATGCCCCCACACCACGCCAAACTTGACAACTTGAGCCCATGAAAGAGCACCGGTATAACAGGGCACCGATTGGGGAAAGCGGCCAGTTCTGAAACGCGTCTCAAGGCGGAGGGAAGAGAAAAGGTTGGAGACGCGGATGCGAGCTTGTCTCCCGCAGGTGCAGCTCATGCTGCATTGCAAGGGGATGTACCAAACCTCGCCTCCATGCATTGCGACTCTTATGCAGACGAGCATCATGGGACGATTGCATCACGTGAGAACACACCACATGCTCATGCATGAACATTGCGAAGGGTATAAATGAGATTGTTGGGTTTTTCACCCTCCTCTTTCGACCAACCACACGCAGGACGCCGTGAACCTATTCGAGGAGACATAGACAAGAAAAGTCAAAAATTATGCTGGTAGTTGAAGACCAAGGTGAAGAAAGAAAATGAAAAAGGTTGCTAGAAAACCCTGGGTAGTAGTAAATAAAAGTTCTGTAAAGCGTCCATAATCCTCGGGGTTGGCAAGTCAGAGAGGCGCGGCAATCAGAACGAGGCCATGATCTGGTCATGTCCATAAAGAGTCCGAACATCCACCGCAAACTCCCCCAGAAATGCAGGCCCCTGTTGTCCGTCCTTATCATCCGGGAGAGAAAGAGTTCGACTCCCCCAATCGATGCAAATGTGTCGTATAAAATCTAGGCGTCCAAGACGGCCCGTCGAGTCGCGGAGACCTGGGGCTCTTTTTGCCTAGCTTCATCCCAAGCCATGCACTTGGCGGACTTCTTTTGAGGTCTCGCCCGTTGCGGTTCCAACACCTCTCACATTATCACGCACTTAGAGCAGCATCCGGCCTCAGTATCGTTGTCGCTGACCTCCATTGGCTTGACGGCGCCTGGTCCGCTAGACATGCCACTACCCTGTGAGTAGCCCTGCATCTCGCGGTTGTACCGTCGAATCTCGCGGACGATGTCGTAGAAAGCCTTGTCAACGTTGATTCGGGATTTCGCCGATGTCTCGATGAACTTGCATCCGAACGACCTCGCCAGGTTCTCGCCCTCTGAAAAATAGCCAGTCAGCCAACGAGCTGTGCAAACAGAGAAAAAGGAGCGTCCAAATAACCGACGTACCTTGCCTGGTGACCTCCCGCTCGCCCTCCAGATCGCACTTGTTACCCACGACGACCATGGGGAAGTAGTCCTTGTCCTTGACCCGCAGGATTTGCTGTTGGAATGTGGTGATTTCCTCGAAGCTCTGGCGAGACGTGATGGAGTATACGAGCAGGAAGCCTTCGCCTGTCCGCATGTACTGCTCCCGCATGGCGGAGTACTCTTCTTGACCGGCTGTGTCGAGAACGTCAAGCAGGGCGACCTCCTCGTCAATGACACACTGCTTCCGGTACGAGTCTGCAGGAGAGGAACGGATTAGTCTGGGGTCGCTTGCGTTTGCTGAAGCAAGCCGTTGGTAACATACCTTCAATCGTAGGATCGTACTCGTCGACGAAATGGCTTTGGATCAATTGAATCGTAAGACATGATTTACCGACACCTCCTCCACCAACCACCACCAACTTGTATTCTCTGAGGAACTGCTGGGAATGGCGGTCAGCTCGGGTTCGACGATGGTAGATATTGATAAGAGACAGATGGATAAATGCGTGCATTGGAAGAGGTTTGAGTGCACGAATGTGAGGGTAACATACCTTAGAAGCCATTGTGTTCTGGAATCACTACGACTGGGACGACCCGGGCCTGTATTGATCTGACAAACGAATTCGAAATGGGCAAGATCAGTGCTGATGAAAGGGTATCGAGGAAGATTCGATCAAAAGGGGTGTGCGCTTTGGAGTCGTGAGGTGACGAGGACGCAGTCGGGAGGGAAGAAGTCTGGATGCTTGTCTAGAGCAGAGGAGATAGCGGGACCCGGTTTGTTGTAGTTTCCCAACTCCCAGTAGCCGCCAAGCAGAGTGAAGTCGAAACACGCCCCAAGAGTCAAGTAACCACCAGAGAGAGGGAGTCGGCGCGAGATGGAACCGATCGGCCAATTGAATTAAATGCAGAAATGCCCAGGGTGCGAAGTTTCGATGACTGATTTTATCGGCGCGACGCACGAAATGATCGCAGGACTCGTTCGCTAATGGACACAAGAGCGAGTAATGGGAACTGCGATGCGCAGGAAAGAAAGAGATGGGATCTGGCCGTGTAAGGTGATAGAGAGTCGAGGTATGGGAAGGGTAAGGAGGGAGAGAAAGGAAATGGCGCGGATGGGCAAAATGGGGGTGGTAGGACGAGTAGAACTGGGCCCACCCATCACCTAAGGACTGGGGGGGCGATGGGTGGGATGCCACGCTAGACTACAAAACGCTTTGTCCACCGGGGGGGAGTGTGGTAGCTTCTTCCTGCCTGATGCCTGATCGGTGCAAGGTGAGTGAGTGTGTGGGAGTCCATAGTCGAGGAGAGCGAGAGGAGAGAAGAAGAGGTACCTAGGAACAGGGGTTGCACCTCTCAGAGGTATCTGACTGGGCCTGCTGGGGCCCACACAAGTACGATACTACCCACCTACCTTAGACTACAGTGGACAAAGGCCCTGTGGCTATAGGGTCCCAGGGCACCCGGAATGTGATAATCGGTTGATGAGGAGCTAGTAGCACAAGTATACAGTGCGCATCTGTATTAGGGTAGGGGTTTCAGTCAGTTTGCTAAGAAAAGCTGGTCTCACTTTGCATTCCGTCATGACTTCTAGACCTCCTCCTCTATACGAGTTGGTGCTGGTCAAGATTTTTATTTAGTATTGCAAACGACAATTGTCTTTGAAGCACAACCCCCAAGCTCCTCAAGAGCAAAGTGTCCAGAGGTACTCAGGCAATCAGGTAACAGGATGCTGGACCTGAAGGGTAGGGGCAGGGGTCCAAGTTTAGGGGTCTGAGGCGTGCACCAGTTTTTATTCCTTACCACAGTACATGGAAGATATCGCCTCAGCCCTTTTTGACACGGCAAATCGATAGCAAGCTATGTACAGACTATAGTACATAGAGATATCAGGTGCTAGTGAGCAGAGAGGGTGTGGAGGTGGGTCTCATGGTAGGGTTCATCGTATGTAATCATCCTGGGGCAAAAAGGGAAGAGAAGGAGTTAAGGAAGGAGGGGAGGGAGAGGGGATTGTGCCTTTGGTCTAAGGTGAACCACCTACGTGCCTACCATAATAGATCGCCAAATGTCGCCCGCAGACAGCCAGAACAGCCTTGGGCCGGCCCCCTTGAGCTATGCTGCATCGGCATCGACGTGCGTGAAAGGATCGCGATCCGTTCTCCATACTTGCATCCGGCAATGCCTGCACCTGAATGGCGTTTTTGAGCCTCAGAGGGGTGGCTGACCACAAATACATAATACTGTTCGTCGTATATGCACCCCTTCTTCACCCACCTACTCCAACATCACAGCAGCGCGCGCAGCAACGGGCGTCGCGTGGCTATTCTCGATCTCAACTTGGAGGGGAAAATCTACCACATCCACGCGCAGTCAGCAATCCTGCAAGATTCGCACCTGTGGCTGCGGCAGACACAATAGAGGCCCCCAAAACCTGCCCACCATTCACGCCCCCTCGACGCCTCCCCCCCCATCTCTAGGGCGAGAGACCAGGAATGGGAACGTTCTGGAGCCACACCCTTCTGACACATACCTGCCGCTTTTCGACAAGTCCGGTCGATGTCTTGCTCAGGAGCATAGCTCTGTACAGCTAGGTCTCGCCGCAATATAAATCACGCAGGTCAAGACTATCACCAGACACTGCCCGTACCACGATAAATGCCGACTTGCGGATGTGGATTTCCTGTTCAGCCGGCCGAATTATACTGACAGATTCTAAGCTCCCCAGCACATGGCTTCACCCTGAGTCTTGACAGTGACAAGCTCACAGGCACGGGATGCCACAATTTCATCAAAAATATTTTATACAATGGGAAAGAATTCCTTTTATTTTGGGACGGGCGAAGGGGGGGGGGGGAGGACGAAAGAGAAAGAAAGGTTGTCATAGCTTCCGCGTTGCAATTCACACTGTGCAGCATCCGAAAGATATACATATACACATGCATACTTCATACAGCACAACTATTGTGTTATGTTATAGCTGTCCGAGTTGACATCCAGTCTTAACTGCCAACCCCTCCCCACCCCGCGTGTTCAATTTCGGACGGAATATAGGTTGTCAATACCGAATCTCGATTACTCAAATTCGCAATCTAAGCGCAGTTCGCGATATTTTATCATTGTATGTCCCTTGAAAGAACTCTTGGAGAGGGATGATGACTTCCGACGGCAAGTCATATCTAACAGCGGGCCACGTAAACATCCTCCGCACTGAAGGCGGCCACAAAGGTCCAGAAAAAATATGGTCTTCAGCAAGGGTCCGGATCCGAACCTGGGGCGAAATCTGGATCGCAACCTCGTCAGAAGTTTCAAAAGTTTCGAAGACGACGTCGGTCACTGGGCTTGGCAGGCGAAGCGAGTCCTGGGGGAACAAGGCACCTGCAGCAGAGACCCAGTTCTCAGTGAATTCTTTCCTGGGCTGATTGGGGTCTCCATACGCTCGCTCTGAAGCTTTTCGAGACCTTTAATTGTTTCCGAATGTTCCTGAGCAGAGATTGTGGATGGATGGGAAGGCAAATAGATAAGTCGATTGTCGACCAACCAAACCCCTTTTTCCTTCTTCTCCCCCTTCCCCTTGGCGTGCAGGTCTTGACGCCCATGCGACGCCGCCTGGCTGGAGTTGCTGCGTGACATGGAAATGAAAGCGGGAACAAGGCAATCTTACGCGCCGGCCAATTGTGGACGATACAGTACCACACCGCTTGCGCTCGGCCTCTCTCCACGGTCCAGTGCTACGGTAGCACCCGTCAAGGGTTAGACGAGAGAACGAAAAAGAGAAAAGAAACAAAATTGAAAGGTTCCAGCTCGGGTCATTCGACGACAACGGCAGAAACCTTTGAGAAAAAGTTCGTATCGGGGGCGTTGTATGCAACGGACACCAGAGATTCCGGAAGCACACAAGCTGTGGTACATGTCATGGTACCACCACTATTGGTAAGTGGATTAGCGTCTTAAGGGTGCACGGGTCAGTGGATTTTTTAGGTCGGGCAGTGACACAATGCCAGCTTGAGGCTATCCGGAAGCCCGCTCTTGCCCTCCACCCACGTGGCCCACACCCCGTCTAAACATCTACATGGATGGCGGCACCTGCAAGAGACCATGTTCTGCATACGCTTCTTCTGGCGTGCAGGTCACTGATGGGGTTGCGCCTAAGCCATTGGAGCATCTATCATATGCACACTCTCTGTCGTAGGTCGGAGCTAAGTTGGCCAGGAAAAGTAAAAAGCCCTGCAGCAGCAGCCTTATTATGGCTTGCTGTGTACTATGGTATGGATGGATCTCAACCATCCTGTGGGCCGTACAGTGGGCAGTGAAACGTTATAGTAGTACCCAATTTACTGTATAGACTGCTTAGTTCTTATGCGGTACGCTAAGTGTGCACTAAACTCTTCTCTTCTATGCCAGATCCACGTGAGCCCTCTTCCCTGCGAGCTGACTACTAAACTCAAGAAGTATCAAGGGAAAAGAACCTCCAGAAATCATTCCAGAATCCGCGGGAGCACGGCCTGGGTCCAGGTTCCTGGGCCCCCCCGTTCGTCCCGCGACCGAGCACATCGGAGACAACCAGGAGGAGCCCGTTTCTTTTAAAACAAAAACCCCCCAAGAGGTCCGTGCCTAGCAATCTTACTTTGAGATGACCTGTTCTTCCAGCTACCAAGGCTCGCCAAGAAAAAGAGAGGCAAACATTTGATCCCATAGTATCTGTATCTTTGACTGCTGTGGTAGATCAAATGCTTGTCTCATCCGCCGAGTCAGCGAGGGCATAGGGATCGACCGAGACGGTCCCCCCCGAAGGTCTCCCTTGGAACTCTGTCCTAGATCAAGTTCGTCATCATCTACTCACTCCTTTTGTTCTATGGTGGTTTAGTTGGTCATAGTGCGCCTACCGCGATGATCAGTATCCGAACGATTACCTTAGGGGATGATATTTGGAAGCGTTGCTTCTTCACAAGGCAGGGGGGCCCGTTCCTCTACGCCTGGTCATTATGCCGTGTCTTACTTACCACACATGCACCTTTTTCCACCTGCCCCCGATTGGGCAGTGTTACTACCACGATTTCTGCGTAAGACGCCAAACGCCTGGATCGCAGAATGGCCAGCTTGCTTTGCCCCTTCCCCCCCCCCTTTCTCTTCGTGCTTGCCTTGGCCTTGTTAATTGTTCCATCCAAGAATGGGAGAGATATTTGTCATCGTGGAATACCAGAACAGCTGATACTGAGAAGTCATGATGATGTTTGCCCACCCCTAGGAGTTGTCTCTCGCTGAGAGGGGCCATGATATGCGCACCTCGGCTGAGGCACAGTGAGTTGGTTTGGTTCGAGACCCCCACTTGCTTGATACAGAATGCCTTGCTGTCTCGAGCAGAAGGCGCAGACTAAAAAGTGGCGGCAGTAGTGATCGTGTCGTGATACTAACTCATACTTGCCCTGGACCCACTCACTGGCCGTTATCTACAGTACAAGTAGGCTTCTCTACTTCCTATGATAGTAGCAGCATGCACCACGAAATTGGGCGCCTTGGAATGTGGCCCCCCTCCCCCCTTTTCCTACTCCTAGATTCCGAAGGCCTTCGGCAGCACAACCTAAAAAGTCTTACAGGCTGTCAACTGTCAGGTCTTTAGGCTCTCGGCCAGTGTTGCTCCTATAATTTCGCGTGCGGCTCGCTCTGCCGATCGTTGTGTGCCCCGCCTGCCCCAACGGAGGAGGGTGACGGGTGCATCCCATCACCAGGGAGGTAAACAAATCAGGCTTGGTTGCAATACTTACTCACACCTTAAGTTTACCTTTGCGTGGACCACGTGTGTACGTCACAGTATCTGTCCCACTCAGCCGAGAAACCTTCAGATGCAGCATAGCAGGGATCCTGGCGTGCACCCGGCCCCCAATGTACAGACGTGGACATCGGGGCGATGATGAGGCTGATATGCTCTGACGCCGGCTGAACGGGGGGTGGCTCGGCGCAGAGTATAGATCACCTGCAGGACGGACGGGCCGGTTCAAAAATCTGCACCATCGCTATCCTTGGAAATTGATCTTTCTGACATAGCAGCAGTCAGTCATTAGATCCGCCCTTGTAGTGACAGCCCGCCGGCAAGGGCTGACCGAACTTTCAAACTATTATGGAATACGTAGTACTGATTGAATGTGTATGTGGACTCTTTAGTTTATCCGTGTGGCTATTATTTTCACTTCATTCTTTTTTACCCAGCCTTTTATCAGAAAATATGTTGAATGGACACACCTTCTCAAACTGGCTCTCAAAGACATTAACGACAAAGGACTGGCCATACAATATTAAATTCCATGTGTTGCAGAGAAATGAGCAGAGTATCGAGGTATGCATTTTCAAGAGATTTGATAGCAAAAGAAAACAGAAAGTTTTCGGCGACTATAATCTGGGGATCGTGCTATATTCAGAATTACCGTCCCTTTCACCTTCTCGCCAATATCCTAAAATTCGGACTCTTCCAGGTCAATCCAACGTCTACTTCTAGTATGCAACAGTGACAAGGTACCTTATGCGGCATCTGGAAGATCGTCATCCTCTCCCTCGATTTTGACTACGCGACCCTTGACGTTCTGCGCGACATCGGGGGCAATGCTATCCAAGAAAGCCTGGTCTTTCCCGACCAAGGTGACGGTGTTCCTCGTCTTGCCCCACCGAGGGTAGCTGCCCACCTTCACACCCTGTGGCTCAACCTTGTGGGCTAGTTCGGTGAGGTACGCTGCCACGGCACTCTCACCCATGGGCGTCGAGATGAGGACGCGGCACGCACCCTTGCCTTCGGGGTCAACCAGCCGTGGCATAATATGCGCCTTCAGGCCGTTCAAGAGACCCTCGACTGTGTTGGTAGCGATTAGGAAAATGAGCGTCCTCAGCAAGGAATCCGAAGCAGGATGGACATAACAAGGACTTACAAAGGCGGGGTACGCCAGGGAGGATGTGCACATTCCCGTTCACAACAGCCACCGGCACCCAGAGATCCTCTCGCGGGAAGAGGAACTGCTTCTCTAGCGGGATGGAGTCGTCTGTCGGCAGTTCGACCATCCTGAGCCTGGCCGTCTTTGTTGGTGACTCCTCGTCCCAGTTGAAGGTCTCTTCGCCCGGGCGGGGTTTGGAGAGCTTCCTCATCCGTTGGTAGGCCTCATCGTAGAGTTTGATCTCAAGACCGAATGCCTTTGCTATGGATTGGTACGTGATATCATCGTGTCTACCCCGGAAGTCAGCCCAAAGACAGCAGAGCCATCGCCGGAGAGGTTTTTTAGGTGGTTATGTACTTACGTCGGACCAATGCCACCACTATTTGCCAAAGCACACCAGTGTATATCAGCAAGACCGTCGCCCAAGGACAATGTGGCTCTCGGCCTCACCTAGTAACGACAAAGTCATATCGATCGCTCATCCGCCGGACAGCCTCTATGATTTCGGACTCATCATCCTCGATGACCTCCACCCTCTTGAGTTGCTGCTCAAAAGGATCAGCTAATGGTTCTGTACGCTGGCACTTCCATATTCCAATCAAGGTTCTAGGATTGGCAGTTCCGGTGCAGAAATAATGCTGTGGCGCTTTTTCGCAAGCAAGAGTGTAAGGGTTTCTCAAGCCTTATTGAGATGCAACTTACAATTCCCAGAGAAAAGCAGAACTTGGCCATATAGTTTGAATTACTCTTCGCGGTGGAGTTTTCACAGTTAGACCATCAGTTTGTTCCCTTGCACAATAATACCACTCACATCCTTTGTCTATTTGATGCAAGTCAGTATTCAATTCTGGATAGCTAAGCCCTCGTAATCAAATGAAGACTTGCCTTTCCTCCAAGAACCTCATCCCCTATCACCAGACATGCTGCCGTGTGGATCGTCCTGGAAAAGTTCTGCTCTGCTGTCGAAGGCGCCATGGCTCCTGCCAGCAGACGTGATCCGGCCGACGACGAGGACGGTGCAACGTGAGAGTGTACAGAAGCCGGCTTCGACAGATGGCGTGCGATCTGGGATAAGCGGGAGAACATGAAGAGTCCGCTAGTCAGAGCTGATTATTCTGCCGGCAAGAGAGTCTGGAGTCCGATGAGAAACCTCTGGCTACCTATGAATCAATGCGTGGCACAATTGCTCGACTTCTTGTCAGTGCAGACGTGGGATGGTTTTCTCGAGCTGAGGTGAGGTCATCGAAAGTCCGGGCCCGCTCCGCCGTCACGGCACCGCTGTCGACGCTTGAGGCAGAGGGGCTTCAGGGGTTCTCTTGGGGCGCGGGGCCTAGCGGGGCTGGCAACTGCAGTGATGTGGCACCCTGGCCCTGGTGTTGGCCGGAATCGACAGCTTCCAACTGAGGCGTGGTACATCTGCGCTCCTCGCGTCACAGCACATCCGATTTGCGACTCCTTATCCCTTGAAACAGATACAACCTGCATGTAATCGCTGCAGGCATTATACCGAGAATCAGTCGTCGCATAGCCAAGATGGTACGAACGAAGTCTTCAAACTACGAGTCCCCGGCCGCCGTTGTCCCAGAGCCATCCATCCCTCGATCAGGCAGTTCAGTAGAGCTCAGCTGACTTGTGACAACACCTAGAGTTCCGAAGCGAGGCTGTACACCTTCTCCCAGGAGACCAAGGACCACCTGCGCAAGTTCCGCCTCGGGACCTCGAGGGCCAACGATCCGCAAGCCGTTATATGTATGCATGCCGTTCCTATCGCACCCAGTTAACCCCCACGCGTACCCAACCCGCCGGCCGCATCGACCTGGCACAATAGGTAGACAGGCAGTCAGGCAAGCGAGGCTGACCACGTTCGGATTCCCTACCAGACATGATCGATAAGGCGACCAAGGAGATCAGGCAGGACGAGGACAAGACCGTCTACAAGAGCCTCGAGGAGATCGGTGATGACCTGCCAGACCACTCGCCCAGATTCGTGCTTCTGAGCTACCCCATGACCTTAGTAAGAGAGCGTACTATAGCGCTGCAGTACCAAGCGTCATCGTGTCATCCCAGGCTAATGGTATATTCGTCTGTAGGACTCCGGCCGAGTATCGGTGCCCTACGTCCTGCTCTTTTACCTTCCGGTCACATGCAACAGTGAGCTTCGAATGTTGTATGCAGGTGCCAAGGAGCTCTTCCGGAATACGGCGGAGGTGAACAAGGTCATTGACATCGCGTCAGCTGATGACTTGGAAGAGATCCCGGAGAAGCTTGGCGCCTCCTGAGAAGAGGTGTTGTCATGGCGCACGCACATTCACTGAAGCTGATTTGCGCTCTGACGAGGGTGCAATGGAAGATCTCCCTTGTTTTCCTTTTCAGGTTTCTGCGGAGGCACATCTGTACGGCGCATGGATTGCTCATGGGTATCTCGCTCTATTTTGATTGGCTCGCATCTACTCCTCAGGTAAAGAATCCTGAAAATCCAGCCCTATCTGGGCTCCAACACTCCTGGCCACCCTCTTGAGAGCCTTGCATGCCGGGCTGTCAGGGAAAGAGTCGAAAAAGCTCTCGCCATAGTCGCAAGCCATTCCAATCCGAGGATCTAACGGCACACCTCCCAGGAACGGGATGCCAATCTCTTTCGCTAATGCCTCGCCTCCTCCCGTGGTGGCCTCGAAGACCTGGCTCTGATGTTTGCAACTCGGGCAGACGAAGCCACTCATGTTATCGACAAGCCCGAGAATCTTGATACCGGCTTTGCGACAGAAATCAATTTCCTTTTGTACGTCCAGCAATGACACCTCGTTCGGCGTAGTCACCACAACGGCTCCGTCAATGCCGCTTTCCTTCAGGAATGAATTTACACTCAGGTGCTCGTCGCTCGTCCCCGGCGGTGTATCGACAAGTAGCAGGTCGAGGTCACCCCAATCGACATCCTTCAAGAATTGCTTGATCAAGCCGTTCTTCTTGGGGCCTCTCCATATTATCGCGTCGTCTTTGTTGGGCAGCATGAATTGTATACTCATCACGCCGAGATTATCCATGACCCACACCGGTGACCAGCCTGAATTGCTAACATGTATTGTCTCGGTCTCAGCACCCATCATCTTGGGGATGGACGGGCCGCATATGTCCGTGTCCATGATTCCGATCGTGCTGTCGGGGTTGAGGGCGAATGCGTGGGCTAGCATGCTCGTAAATGTGGACTCTAAGCGCAAGAGTTAGCAGTAATTCCCACGGGCAGCACAGGCATAGAATTCCTAAGACATACTGCCAACACCCCCTTTGCCACTCAATACCAGCACGCGGTGTTTGACTCCTGCTAAGCGCTGGGAGATTAACGGTATATCAGGGTCAGGACCCTTGGGTGCCGATGCGCATATCTGCTGGTTTGGACAGCCGGCACATGAGTCTGCCGTCCCTGCTTTCTCAGACTCTGGGCCAGGGCAATGTTCTGGTTCGGGCGCCACCAGTTGCGGCTTCGCCTTGAGAGGGTTGCTGATGACGTCTTGTATGGACTCGGGCTCTTCTAATGAGGGTGCCATGGTGTGAGTACGGCGAGGGAAGGTCAGCTGTGGGGGATAGAAAGTCTGGTCGAGTTCCGCAGACGAAGAAATCGGGCGGTGGTGATGTCTGGCAGCGTGGGTTCACATTGATCGGATAGAAAGTTGATTGCTAATGCGCTGCAGAACCGGGTGCTTGGGAAAATGTAGCGTATCCGAGTTCGGCCCCGCCCCAGAGTAACAAAGGATCCTCTTAAGTACTTAGATACCTCTGGCACCCTAGCGGTACCTAGGCGGTGCTGGCCCCACTCTATGTACAGAGTGGAAGGCGGTTGACCCTTGCGCGTGCCTTGCGTCGTCAGGGGTCTGAGTGGTAGTATTCTCTGGACGAAGGCACGACGCGCCGCGTCGAGCTCGTACATGCATTTTTGTTACTGAAAGCCGACTGAGTAGCCCAGAATCCAAGCCTGCAAGACTCTGGACACGGTCACCTGGTCCTTGTTCCTCTACTTAACACATCCGACCGATGCGCTGAATTTCTGTGTTTCATTGTATGTGTGTGTCTCCTTTGTGGGAGGATCTTTGGCTCAGCCAAGCCTTCTCTTCTGAGGCTCTTCACTCCCAGTCCAGTCACCGGGTATCGAGGATCCGTCTCGGTCATATTTCACGATGATGGTGCCCACCGCAAAGAAGAAGTTGCAGAACTTCATTTCCCAGCATGAGAGCACGCCGGAGATCAGTACTCATGGACCAGGCAGCCCACCTCTCCCAGTCATTACCGCCGCCGCTGGTGCTGTCTCTGCACCTCCGCCTTTTGGTCCGAAGCCTGACAAAGGAGTCTTGGAGTCAATGAAGATACCTCTAAACATGTCTAAGCACGCAAGATCAGAAAATGGCGGCGTGGGCACCCCACAATTCAGGGACTCGGCCTCTCGACCCCAAGATGAGTATTTTGGAACACGTCCTGGCTGGGAGTCCGCACCTCCGACGTCGTCGGAAGCTGAAGTTGAGCGCGATGAGAATGCCGGCGGGCTACGGGAGCTCTGGGAGGAGCAATCGAATGTTCACTCCTTGTTTTCGGAGAGCCTACCCACGCGGCCAGTCTCGGTTCAGGATGATGGAGACAACGACGATACCAGGTCGGACATTCTCGTTGATCGGCCACCTCCGAGAAGACGGCGGCGATCACACCACAGAGCCTCAGAAAGCGCACCGTTCATTGGGCGATACAAGGATGGAAAGACGGACCCCGGAAGTATTCCTTACTTTACAGTCAAGAATGGATTACTCGGTGTTGGTAAACTGGACTCGAAAGGCTTGAGTACGAGCATGATCACCCACCCACCCAGAAACACCATGCCAGATACTCCTCATTTCCGACAAGACCCTTTTGCTACAACATCGGAGGAGACGAGTTCACAGCCGGAGCGGGGCGGTGACTTCTTACACTCCAGCTTCCCCTACCGCGGAAGTGAGGCGGCTAAGGGCCTTACTCACGTCGAGCGCGCAGTTTATCACATGGATGCTGCCAAGAAGCTGTCGCCGGAGAAGTACGACGGCATGACGGATGCTATCCATCCACAAATCTTTGCGAAGCCGGACAGGATTCATAGCATCAGCGACCAACGTCCAACGGTGGGACACCGCCCGAATATCTTGCAGAGCATTGAGGACGGTCCTGCGTCGGACTCAGATGCTGATGAGAGTGACGGCCCTCTCCAAGAGAACGAGTTCGGACAGCACCGGCCTACGACCAAGAAACTCAAGCAGAAGGTTGTGCCAAACGATGCAACGGTTGTCTTTAACCCTCAGAAACCTATGGTTCCACCAAAGCCTTCGAAGACAGTCGTTATGCAAGATGAGGTCTTGCAAGCCAGCCCGATGTCTCGCTTCATCGGCCAGCACTCTTCAAAAAAGAAGCGCCACCGCGACATCGACTATGACGATGCGGTTCTCGAGAAGATGAGCTTCGCGGATCTTCAGAATGAACCCTTCGACCACGATCCCACCAAGCAGGCTGTTCAGTCGCCCGCCAAACCTCCAGCAGATAACCTTGACGAAATGCTCCAGTTCTACAGAGACAAAAGTGAGGGCGCGCAGACCCAATTTTTCACTCAGATGTCGGTCCGAGACTGGGAGGACAGCGGCGATTGGTTTCTGGAGCAGTTTGGGGACATTATGAAAAGAATGAAGCAGGCGCGTCAGGACAAGCGCAAGATGGTAGAGCATTTTGAGACGGAGATTTCGAATCGCGAGGAGGCTGTGCGGTGCAAGAAGGAGAGCATCGACCGCAAGCTCTCGAAGCTCAGACATGACGGCAAGGCGATGATGGAAGGCAAAGAGCTGAATGACTAGGTGTGGACAATTCCAAATGGCCGGTAGGACCTGTGCAGCCTTATCCATTGGAATTGGGAGTGTGTCTAGAGAATCTGGTAAGAGGAGGTCTTGTGGGAGGAAGACGAGGCATCTGCAAAAGGATATCTGCTTCGATGGCGGTACCAGCAGATGCCGACGAGCGAGTGCGGCCGGGTTGATGCATGACTTTTTGTTGATTCAGACGATATACCCAAGGCGTTGCTGCGACACACAATAATTGGCACAGTTCACGAGGATTTGTACGGGAAGGGATGAATAGGAGCGATGGCGTCCAGATCAAGATGTTTCACAGATTCCAGATCTGCTTTGACTTGTACGATACAAAAGAGAAAAAACATGCTCGAGGCATTCCAGATCTGTGCCGAGATTATCAAATGACAATTTTGTCGATGACCATTCTGTCCTTGCCAACGATAAGGCGCAGCTGATGACCCTTCCGGTTGAGGAAAATCCCATCCCTCACCCCGTCTGAGAAGAGTTCGTATGCCGGATAGTAAGCGTCCACAAACTTGACGACCTGCTCGTCAGTCATGCCTGTGCCCCTCTCCATCCTCATCTGCTGCTCCTGCTGCAGCCTCCAGTCATAGACGAATTCGGTATCCTCGGCGTCGATGTGAATAAATGCATCAAAAAGATCTGTGATTATATCATAACCTCTCAGTTGGTCATTCACGAAGCACAAATCCTCCAGCTTATGAAGCGCCAATGTCCGACTTGGTGCCATCCACTTGGCCTCGATAGCCTCGTGGGAGATGCTCCTGAAGCCCACACACCAGCCCTCCAACAGGACAACCTGCACCTTTGGCTGCCCCTCTTGGTTCACAGCCGTCCATCGAGACTCCGGGAGCCGGTCACCCAGCCCATCGAAAGCCCCCTTATCGTACGAGGGGATCAAGGTGGGCTGGCCTGTGCAGAGCGACCGGAAGACATCCCGCAGCAGTGCGACATCATGCGTCCCCGGCTCGCCGCGCACCTGCACCAGCGCGTTGTCTGGGTGGGCGGTGGCGAGGGCGAGCTGATCGTTGTGCCGTAGGTAGAAGTCATCGATGCTGATGACCAGCGTCTGCAGGTGCTCACGCTCCTGCAGGGTCTCGGCGAGGGCGCGAACGAGGGTGGTCTTGCCGACGCCCTGGACGCCGTTCAGACCGATGATGAAGGGCCTTTTAGCGCCTTCGCTGGAGGCCTGGTGTGCCTTGAGGCGCTCGAGGACTGATGGACGCACGTTGTTAGAGGGTTTTACTGCGGTGGCAGTGTTTGTGTTGAGGAATAGGATTTCAGAGAAGGGGGATGGGCAAGGAGTGGGCTGGATTTACTGAAGGGAATGCATTTGGGTGACTTGTCGTCTACCATACGAGACTGCAAGGGGGCGTCAGGGGTGCTGGTCATTCTGAACAATGGGCCGAGTAGTGTTTGTGCACCTCAATACTTGAGCTGAATGGTTCTCTTGCTGGTGGCTCAATTGTAATAAAGATTCAGGTACGGCCAAAGGAAACCCCGGTACCGTAATTCATGATGACTTCATGGCCAGCAGCCCAGCGCCCTTGCATACTAACCCGCTTTTGTGGGGGACATTCCTGTAGTAGTGGAAAAGTACCTATGTACCCTTGAGTTCATTCGCTGTTTCCCAACCAAGACAACCTCATCCCATTTGAACACAATCAACCTCTTTTGTTTCTTTTTAGGATCGATGAGATGTTCGACCATACACCAGGTTCTATGTTGGCAGGATGGATTGACATTGATGGGTACATAGTTACTGTTCCACCTGGACGGAACATTGTGGCACATGACTTCACCCCCTAAGCCTGCCGCCACCGCTGTGAGGCATGTGAAAGTGAGTATTCCCAGAAGCTGCCCAGAAGAGTTAGCTGCTTAACGGGGAGTTAGTTTCCCCACAGGCCCCTCGGTAAATCTGGTCTGGGGATCGGGCCTGGTGTGCAGGGGACTTTGAGCCGAGGCTCGAGTGACAGTTTGCCGATCGCACTGACATCGTAGCTATGATTGAATTCCGGGCTCTTTCTCTCTCGACTTCCTCTGTCTCTCTTCTCTCATAAAGGATCAGAGTATCCTCTCTCACCGTGTTTGTCTAGCCAGTCCACACTTCTTGTCTGCTGATACTTGTTCCTGCTATACTACACTCTTTGACTTGATTTTGAGTGTCTGTCTTATTGAGGCATCTTCTTTCTAGCCATGGCAGGTCAGCTCAGGTTCGATGGCCAGGTTGTCGTCGTCACTGGTGCTGGTGGTGGTCTTGGAAAAGCCTACGCCACTTTCTTTGGATCAAGGGGAGCTAGCGTTGTGGTCAACGACTTGGGAGGATCGTTCAAGGGCGAAGGCAACTCCACAAAGGTTAGTAACTCATTCTTCGCTAGAATCTGTCTATGGCGGCGACAACGGAAGCAGCGGTCTCGCTTGACGGATCTCAGGGTCACTGACAAGTTTTCTCCACCGGATAGGCCGCCGACGTCGTAGTTGACGAGATCAAGAAGGCTGGCGGCAAGGCTGTTGCCAACTACAATTCCGTCGAAGATGGCGACAAGATTATCGAGACCGCCATCCAGGCATTTGGCCGAATCGATATCCTGATCAACAACGCCGGCATCCTGCGTGATGTCAGCTTCAAGAACATCAAGGACGAGGACTGGGACCTGATCTTCAAGGTACATGTCAGAGGTGCCTACAAGTGTGCCAGGGCAGCATGGCCACACTTCAGGAAACAGAAGTACGGTCGTGTTATCAACACCGCATCAGCTGCGGGTCTGTTCGGTAACTTCGGCCAAACGAACTATTCTGGTGAGTCCCCTCTGGAGCCTGCACACAGCATTCTCAGGCCATTTGGTCCGTCCTCTTCCGTTCTGACAGCGTACAGCCGCCAAACTCGCCCAGGTGGGCTTCACCGAGACCTTGGCCAAGGAGGGCATCAAATACAACATCCTCTGCAACGTGATCGCGCCCATCGCGGCGAGCCGCATGACCGAGACTGTTATGCCCCCAGATATCCTCGAGCTCATGAAGCCCGAGTGGGTCGTTCCTCTGGTGGCCGTGCTGGTCCACAAGGACAACACGACCGAGACTGGTGGTATCTTCGAGGTCGGTGGCGGCCACATCGCCAAGCTGAGGTGGGAGCGGTCCAGCGGTCAGCTGCTCAAGTGTGACGACAGCTATACCCCCGGCGCCATCCTGAAGAACTGGGACCAGATCATCGACTTCTCCAAGCCACAGCATCCGACTGGTCCTAATGATTTCGTCTCGCTCCTGGAGGAATCCCAGAAGCTGGGCCCCAACCCACCAGGCGAGAAGCTCGACTTCTCTGGCCGCGTTGCTCTTGTCACCGGCGGAGGCGCTGGGTAAGTGAGAAATTCTGAGGGAGATCCACTTGCTTGAAACCGATTCTAACTGAGAATTACACCGTAGTATCGGTCGGGCCTATGCCTTGGCATTCGCCAAGTACGGTGCTGCTATTGTAGTCAATGATCTTGCCAACCCCGATGGTGTTGTCGACGAGATCAAAAAGCTGGGTGGCAAGGCTGTGGGCGTCAAGGCCTCGGCTGAGGATGGCGATACAGTTGTCAAGGCCGCCATTGACGCCTTTGGCCGGATCGACATTGTCATCAACAATGCAGGTATCCTGAGGGACAAGTCATTCCACAACATGGATGACAACCTGTGGGACCCCGTCATGAATGTCCACGCCCGCGGCACATACAAGGTGACCAAGGCCGCCTGGCCATACATGCTCAAGCAGAAATATGGCCGCATCATCAACACTACTTCCACATCTGGTATATATGGCAATTTTGGTCAGGCAAACTACTCAGCGGCCGTAAGTTCTCCACTCCCCCAAACCAAACTCCAAAGAAAAAACATTGTGTCGTCGTAGGAACATAGAAGAAAAAAGAAGAAGAAAGCTAACGGAGTGATCTCAGAAATGTGCTATCCTCGGATTGTCGCGTGCTCTCGCACTCGAGGGTGCCAAGTACAACATCTATGTCAACACCATCGCGCCCAATGCTGGTACTGCCATGACAAGGACGATTCTTCCCGAGGAGCTTGTTCAGGCATTCAAGCCCGACTACATCGCACCTGTGGTCGTCGCTCTCTGCAGCGACAAGGTGCCCAAGAACCCAACTGGTGGCCTGTACGAGGTCGGCAGCGGCTGGGTCGGCGCCACCAGGTGGGAGCGGACTGGAGGCCACGGCTTCCCAACCGATGTTCCGCTGGTACCCGAAGAGGTGCTCAAGAACTGGAAGGACATTGTCACCTTCGATGACCGCGCCGACCACCCTGATAAGACCCAGGCGAGTTTGGAGAAGATCATGGCGAACGCAGGAAACAAGCGGGGTGGGAGTGCCAAGGTATGAGTTCTGCGCCCCCTGACTTGTGTTATCCAAAAAAAAAAAAAAAGGCTTGCCTTTTATTCCCGCGTCGTTAGTCTTTAAGAAAATAGCAATAGTCCAGACAAAAATATAGCTTCGCCACACATTGGTCTAATACTCTTCATTCTCTCTCTAGAGCGATGCTCCTGCCGGTGGAAACCAATACCTAGACGCCATTCAAGACGCCCTGAAGAAAGAAGGAAATCCCACCGAGTTCAAGTATGGCGAGCGTGATGTAACGCTCTACAATCTCGGCGTGGGCGCGAAGAGGACGGATCTGCGCTACGTCTTGTAAGTCACCCAAAATGTCTTCAAGCATCTCTTCCAAATGAGATATCAGCCACACGTACACCATGAAACTAATACTCTGCTATAGCGAGGGAGATGAGGACTTCCAAGTGCTCCCCACCTTCGGCGTCATCCCACCCTTCGATGCGGAAACGCCTTTCAGCTACGACGACATAGTCCCTAACTTCAGCCCCATGATGCTGCTCCACGGCGAGCAGTACCTCGAGGTCCGAAAGTACCCCATACCAACCTCTGGCAGGCTCCTGTCCAAGGCCAAGCTCATCGAGGTCGTCGACAAGGGCAGCGCTGCTATTGTCAAGCACGGCGTGACAACCACCAACGCCGACACGGGCGAGGAGCTGTTCTACAACGAGATGACCGTCTTCCTCAGGGGCTGCGGTGGATTTGGCGGCCAGAAGAAGCCGGCTGACAGGGGCGCCAGCACGGCTGCGAACAAGCCGCCCGGCCGCGCCCCGGATGTCATCGTCGAGGAGAAGACGACAGAGGAGCAGGCCTGTGTCTATCGGCTGAGTGGAGATTACAAGTAAGGAACTGGTGACCCATCCGGGGTTGGCAAGCGAGGTTGAGAGTGAGAAACAGAAAAAAGGAGTGTATATGCTAACGACCTCTCTCCCTACCGCCATAGCCCCCTCCACGTTGACCCTGCCTTCGCCAAGATGGGCGGCTTCAAGGTACCTATCCTCCACGGCCTCTGCTTCTTCGGCATCGCGAGCAAGGCTGTGTACGAGAAGTAAGTTCTGTCCTCTCTTTCTCTCTCTTTCTCTCTCTTTCTCTCCCCTTCCTTCTCTTCCTGGGCGCGCGCCATCATATCATCGCCGTTTGACTCCTCCTCCCCCCCCCGTACTGACCAAAATCTCTCTCTGCTTTCAAGATTCGGCGCTTTCAAGAACGTCAAGGTGCGTTTCGCCGGCACCGTGCTGCCGGGCGAGACGCTTGTGACTGAAATGTGGAAGGAGGGCAACAAAGTCCTCTTCCAGACCAAGGTCAAGGAGACGGGTAAGCTGGCCATTGGTGGCGGTGCGGCCGAGCTGCTTGACGGCTCCAAGGGCAAGCTCTGAAGAGGGCACGGAGGGGGGATCGGGGAGCCGGAGTAGAAAAGATTGATCGATGTGTAGGATTGTTTCTCGTATTTTCTCCTCTTCTTTCTTTCCCGCATTGCTGTATCATATGTGCAGCATTCCGACCTTGTTGGACTTGGTTTTCTGCTGCAAGTCGTGTATATCTGTCTCATTTATTAAGGGATTGACTCTATTGCTTCGTTCCCGTATCGACGATTAAACTTTGTAAGGAGGAGCGTATTCGCCATCTTTCACGCGATGCTCACAATGTCTTGCTTCCTGGATCTCATGCTATATGTGCCTCTTAGCCCCATGCTGTAAGAACGCTGAACAAACCTGTGCAATAACCGAGAGGCCAAACCTATTCCCACCAGCCCGCCATCCGTTACGCCGAATATCCCACCGTTGTCTGTCGTGCCTCGACGTTCTGTGCTGTTTGTCCTTTGTGTAGTCACCATCTGAAGCTTATTACTTTAAAAACCCCACCAGGAATGGAGAAGACAAGAATAAAAAGAAGAAGGAAGAAAGACAGATAAATGAAGATAAACACAAGCAAGGATGCCCCCGAAGGTCGTGTTGGGTCCAATGTCCGTCAAACCCCAACTTTCAAGCAAAGAGATTCCCGACAATCATATCGCAAATCTCGGCAATGGTTGGAAGCCTCCCATGAACCAGAGCGGCCTCGAGTCCCTGGTCTTTCCCCTTGACAGCGACGCCTGTCTCGAGGAACGCCATCTCAGCCCCGCTCAAGTCGCGATTCTCCATCTTCTTCCACTTCCGCTCCACCTCCTCCTTTGCCTTCTGCAGTACGGCGTCGGTATCCTCCTTCTCCCAGAGGTTGCACTTGTTGCAGCTCGTACATGGTCGCCCGTCGCCCTGCGGCCTGAAGTGCTGGCAGAAGTGCTGGTAGCCCGCATCTTCCCCCTCCTGCCCGCCAATGTCTCGCCGACACACGTAACACATTTTGTACCCGCACTGGCAAGTCATTTTATTGCAGCCTGCGGTCTTCACAAAGGAGGCATTGCAGCGCGGACATACCCGCTTGACGGCCATGCTCATGGCCTGTTCGACCTGTGTGCGCAGCGCGACAAGGCTGGATTCGTGGCACACGTGAATATCCGTCCAGGCCTTTCCACAGCTGAGACACGATGCCCTCCCGCACGCTGGAGACTGGCATGTGAACCGTAGCCCGCGCTGGCGGCGCCGGTGCCTTGCGACGCTGGCGTAGAGTTCCGCCATCACCCGGTCGCCGAACGTCTGCTCTGAGCTAAAGAGCAGCGCAAGGAAGAGCGAGAGCAGTGTCACAGCCAGCAGAAAGGGCGTAAAGGCAAGGACGAGACAGACAAGGACGACGTTGTGCAGGTTCTCGATCTTGAGGCGCAGGCGGCCCTCGACGTAGATGTCATCCACCTCGGCGTAGTCGCAGAAGGGGCAGCGGATGACGGGGAGCCCTGACGCAGAGAGGTTATGGTCGGCAAGCCGCTGTTCGAGCTTCAGCATGATCGAGGCACCCTTCTTGACGCCAAGCATTGCGCGGTGCATCTGGTCCGAGGGGATCCAGCCGTCGCAAGGGTCTGCGCTGGTGGTTGTGGGCACTGCTGGACACCGGAGCGTACCAGTCTGCGGGATGATAGATTTTGCCCAGCCCTGTCCAAAGATGGCCTCGTTGATGGAGAGGTGCACGCATCTGACGCATATCATGTGTCCGTCGTTGCTGCAGGCAGTGAAGTCTTCGAAAGGGCTGTCGGTGAAGCAACAACAACATTCGTGGGTCTGATTTTCCGCCTCTGCCTCCTCCATATTCATGGCTGCGGCGCACTTCAGGTCCTCTTCCTCTAACTTCTCTCGGGCAGCCTTCTTCAACGGCACCACCAGCTCCTGAAACAGCTCGCGGTCGAGCTCTGCGTTGCCAGTGGACCTAAGAGAGGGCACAATCGACCCTTGGCCGGTAGATTTCCATACGACTAGTGGATGACCTTCTGCTTCGGCCGAAGTGACGGGTTTCCTCCGATACACCAAAGAGGACAACGTGAACCTCCATGACTTCTGTGATAGATCCACGAGGGTCCGTCTCGCTTCGAGGTACGAGTAGTTGCACTCGGCCAGGACAGCGTTGATTGTTGAGCGAGGCAGGCCCCTGAACTCGTGCCAGGCCAGGCCTTTCGTCGCTGCTATGTACTCGGGGCTTTTGAATGTCTCGGCAGGAGGCACGAGAGTGATCTTCTCGCCTGCCAAAGATGACGTAAGTGTAGACTTTGTAGGGCCAGCGGTGCTCCTCCAGCGCCCTTTGACCCATCCAATCCTGTTTTTGAGCAGAGCGTCTGCGACCACAGCGAGCCTAGACTCCTGGTCGAAGCTGGAGAGCATCTCTCGAAACACCTCGATCTGCACATCGGGAAAGACGGCGGTGAGAGCCTCGAGGCTGTTGTTGAGGTCACGAAGGTCTGGAGGCTCGGGAGAAGGCGGCTGGAGTTGCGAGTCATCGTAAAGATATTCGACAGCCTGGTCGGTGTCTGGGGAGGGCGAGCTCGTCGTCCGCTTCTTGCCGGGGTGCGGTCCTGGGCTGGGGTCCCTCTTAGATCCTCCTCTCTCCGCAGAGCCATGGAACAGGGCCGAGAAGATCATGTTGGGCAAGTGCGGTGGTGCTGCTGAGGCGCTGAGAAGATCGAGCGTCACCGCAGCGGGGGGTTCATGCTGTTGTTGGGGTGGTGGTTTGTCCGCCCATTTTAGTGGAGAACCGACTTGTTGCAACGTTGGATTCGTGGACCTGCCTTGTGGTGATGGGAAGAGAATCGAGCCGCGGACAAACGGAGGAGATCAAGTCCAGTCTGCCATCTGTGGCTGATTGCTCTTGGCCAGTTGGTTGGTTCTTTGGTTGTTGAGGGGAAGAGTTACGTGTAAGTACCTTCGCACTGGGACCCGAGGACCCCGGCTAGCCCGGTAGATGGAAAATACTACAGCATGATTAAATCTTTTAGTGACTACTAAGTGGGCAAATTCCATACGCTGTCACTGGCTGTTATCGATAACCAGTCCCGGTAACCCAAGATCGTTTGTCGGATCCACTAATAAATATTTGGTCGTTTCTGCAGGATTTGATTTACTGATGCAAAACCTAGTGGTATTTCGTATGTCCTGTGGATTACTCTCAAGTAGCAGTACGTAGCTACCTCATCTCCTAAGTCTCAGAAAATCTGAGGGAGTGAAAATTGTTGGAAGAGGGGATCATAGAAAATCCAGATTCAACCCCAGAGAACCGTCTGAGAAGGAACCTCCACCAGTATCGCCATCCATGGCAGCAGCAGGTACGATTTCAGGGATTATACAGCACCACGTGTGCGCACCTGCACCCTCAAGGAATACGTGCTTCATATAGCAGATTCGGGCTCACCCAATGGCTTTCCTTGTCACCAGTTCATTCTCTCTTTCCAACCATCACCAACCAGATCCAGCATCTGAATTTAGCACTCGACGTCAACGGGAATCGTGTCAGCACAAAGTTGTTGGCCATCTGGACTGGTCAGTATGACCATCATTGGAAGGCTTCGAGGTAAGGCTCGCAACCGTTCCACCATAGTCAATAAGGCTGGTTGCAGAACGGATACCATCCAAGATCACAGGTGCTCGAGGAATGTTGGGTGATGGCACCCTGACCTGAAGCATGGCCGCGGCTGCTGGCCATCTTCACCATGAAGGCCGTTTCTATTTGTTGGGCAGTGGACCGCTTGTGTATGATCCAGCCTCGACCGATCAAGCAATGGACAAGTCAGTAAACCCCATCTTCCTCCGGACCATCCGACTCAAATGCACCACAGAAGAAGCCTGCCAATCCTCTCTGTTGCAGAGGTCGCTTATCACTTTCGCTCGCCCGGATCCACCATTCCCAACTGTCGCGTGGCGTCGGTGGCTTTCTCGCGGTGTGATGTACATACCACATCTACCTCGTCCTTCCCATCCAGCGCTGTCCACACCCTGTAGCGCTCACCGTCTGAACATCAACCTGGGTCACACGATCGCTAAGTGCTGTGTATTGGCCCACCCGTACCTGACGCTTACCGCACTCGAGTCGGTGAGGTCGTGGCCGGACCCAGCCTTACTGAGAAGATCCTCGTGGTTGTGGGGTGCCGCGTGCAGAGGAGTGGACCCGAGCTTCTCGAACCCAGGTGAGAGTTTCGGGTTGCAACATGACCTTCCGGCCCTTCTAGCTAATGCTAGTATATAGCGATTGTACTATGTACCGAATACAGGAGGACTGGGTGACCCTGTCACGCTTCTGACTGTCAGGCCAATGGACAGAAACAGAGGAGGGGGGAGAACTCGTGCTCGCACAAATCGTATCTATCCCCCCTCCCCGGGGAGAAGAAAAGAAGGGAAAAGGAACAATCCACAGGCAGGGTTTCTGACTGATCTGTCAAGGCGAAAAGGCATCCATCAGGCTGGAAGGTTCTAAGGTTGTTGGGGAAGACGTCTGGCTTTTTTCTGTTGCAGCCCGACGGACCTCTTGCCGGCCAGGAACTTTTCCTGCATCCCAGAAGGTTCTGCAGTTCCCTGGACACTGCGGGTCCAGCTTCCGGGAGCCTGCCTGCTCGCTCCCAGCGCTCGGTCCGCTGGCTCTCTGACAAGGTATATTGGCGAGGCTGCTGACAGGTCACAGCCCTACCTACCGTATGTGTACATGCGCGAGGGTAGCAGAAGCGCTTTGCTGCCGCTGCTGCTGGGTGACGATGGCTGAACCGGTTCGCAGGAACATGCAGGAATCTGGTGGACCGAATTTCGGGGCCCAGCAGAGACATTGGTATCACCATGTGTGAGAAGTCATCGCGGCTCGTGCGGAAAAGGCGTCCACACCCCCTCCCTCCTCTCTCTTTGTGTACTGGATGGGAGAGTACCTTGCACCAGTCCATTCATTGGCAAAGAGGCCTAGTCACCACAACCACACTTCTCATGCAAGATCCCTGTCCCCGCCTTTTCAGGAGTGGCCCACGGTGACTACTCCGTCGCCAAGGGGTCCCTCATGTATCGCCGGCTTCTTTCCCCGTCCTCTCTTACAAGTGAAGAAGAAGAGAGTCACCCGATATTGCCTCTGCAGAGGGCAGGGCTCGTCGCAAAGGCCGTCATGCACAGCTGGCTGGGATGGCAACAGAAGAAACTTTTTTTCTTTATGATCCTGAGCCAAGAGGCTTACCACAACCAACCAGGTAAGCCAGCACATTGGTTAAGAGAGGACCTCTGGTGTGACCTTGATGGGGCTAGGGGCCGGTGGGCGGTCGGTTGTGTCTTAGCAGGCTCACCGCCCATCTTGTGCAGAAGTTTCGGTCAACTTTTCTACACGGCAGGGGGGAGGGGGGCGGGCAACTTTCTTTTTGTTTTTTTTTGGTTTTTTTCTCTCTCTCCTCTCTCCCTCTACCTATGATTCTCTTTTGGCGGTGCCTTCCCTAGCCCGGTTGAACTGCGCAACCATGCTCCCAGCTCGGGCCGGCGGTGCACTCGCAGAGTTACTGAGCTGTTCTTCGCGCCTGCTCTAGCGCTCGACGGCTTGAGGGTCCCCTGTGACCCTGGCTGGCAAGAGGTCGATGATCTGATCCCCATCCACGTCCCGTCCTTTATGTAGGTACACTCGCCCGCGCTGGTCAAGGTCTTTACATACACACACACACACACACACACACACACACACACACAAACACACCTACCTCTCACTCACTCCTTTTTATTTATTTAATTTTTCTTTCTCAGCACTCCTGCTCCGTCTTGTATCTATCAGGATCCTGCTTATCCTCTTAACACCCCCATATCTCGATCACACCACACCTTGCGTTGCGCCGCTGGTTCCAGGTTCCTGATCGTCCCATGCGAGCTGCAGCCCGGTCAGGCATGGTCCGTCCTCCATCATGGAGTCCCTTCCTGTAGAGCTGGTGCGGCTCGTGTATGGATACTGCGACTCGGAAAGCATCAAGGCACTGCGGCTTCAGTCCCGGGTTCTTGGGGCCATCGGACTGGAGTACCTGGTCAACGAGCATGTCAATGTTCTCAGCTGGAAGATGTCGAAGCTGCATGCCATCTCGAAACATGAGCAGCTCAAGAACAGTATCACATCCGTCACGCTCAACTTCACTGAGGTCGACGAGTACACGGCCAGGCATGCTTCTATCTTCCAACATTACCTCGAGGAGCCCGCGGAGCGGAACGACCGGCTTGCTCTCTCCTGGGCAAAGTACTACGAGGCCGACAAACGTCGAAAGGTGTCGACCACGTTCGACAGCCGGCCAGAGCTGGTTTTGGAGTCGTTCAGGAACCTCCCAAACTTCACAGACCTCGAGGTCACCTTCACCAAATGCCCGTTCAATATCGATGTGCTGCAGCAGGTTTTTAACGGGCTGCCGAGCTGCAGGAAAATGGACCGGGAGCAGGCGGCCAAGAACCTTGCCCTCATTGCCTCGGCGCTCAAAGAGACGAATTTGTCCTCGCTCACGATCGACCGTTTTCCCCTCGAGATCTTACGGCTGCCGGACGAGAGACGGCGCTGGTTCGACTGCGTCTCGACGTCCTTCTCGCGGCTGTCGTCCCTCCACCTCACGGTCGACCCGTCGGCCTTGAGGCTGCCGGCCCAGCGCTTCAAGGCTATCAAGGGCCTTGGCAGCATCCTCCGCTGTGCCACTAACATCACCAGCCTCAGCCTGACGTTCCACACCTACGGCATGCCCAAGCATAAGTTTATCATCTGGTTTGACACGCTGCTGGAGGGTTTCACCTTTGAGAAGCTCAGCGACCTCAAGCTGGAAGGCATCTCGTGCGATGAAGACGACCTACGTGATTTCATCCTCCGGCACGCATCCACACTCGAACGACTTCGACTCGGCGGACGTGGCCTCGCCAAAGCCTTCGAGGGCGGGCTGGGCGGCATCCATCTCTGTCGGGGGACCTTTAGGGGCCTCTTCGCCGGGCTGCGGAACAAGCTGCCCAAGCTGGAGCGTGTCCACCTCGAGGGCGACTTCGAGTGCGTTGGCGTCGAGAGGTCAGCGAACGAGGCCTACAGCTTTCACCGGATCACCGACGACAACTGGGAGGCTATGGAGGACGAATGGCGCCTGCGACGTGCCGCTGCATCGTCGGGCAGGACGACACGGGACTGTCTCGACTTCGAGCGGTACCTTTTACAGGGAGGAAAATATCCGGGGTCGGCTACGGGCTCGCCTGCTGTTGTTGCGCCGGCGCAGTGATGAATGCTTTGGAATGATAACATGCTTTGGGAAACGAAAACGAAAAACACAAAAGAGAAAGAAGAAGCATCCTCGGACCCCCTGTTTTATAGAATGGTTTCCTACACTTCTACATTAGACCTCAGCTCGGGCTACCTAACGACTCAACCTCCTTCGGTGTACAGGAGTATGTTTACGCGGTCGTCATTGCATTGCTTCTTTTCTTTCTTCTGTTTCTTCCGTCCTTTCTTCTTCTTCTTCTTATGCTTTCTTTTTCGGTTGTTATATAGAGATGCATGCCATCATGGCGCCCAAACCCAGTATGTATTTTGAATGAATGATGATGAGAACAACAATATCTATATTGGCTCCGTGCTTGTGCTCCGTCTTTGCCTATGCGCCAGTGGCCCCAAAGTATCTCGGACAGCACGATCACACAACCGCCAAATCACAGAAGCAACCCACTACAGGACCCACGCGCACGGCTGAGCGGAAGAAGTGATTCATGCTGCTACTATTTTGAACTGACAAGTCTCCGTGTGTCGGCCGGCCAAATCGACCTCTTTGGGACAGGGGATGCGATTCTTCTCATGGGCAACCACTCGCGAGGCTTCCTTAAACCATACACACTCACTGACACTTTGTTCATACCCCCCCCCCCCCACATTGCTCGTCATTTTTTGTGGGCAGCGCTGATATAATGAAAAGTCGATATTGCAAAAGACTTGCATATACGGGCTTCGTGTCTTGTTCTTGTTCTTAGTTTATTGTCTTTATTATTCTTATTTGCCACAGCATGAATGAAAACTTGCTTTTCAGTGTGCCGGAAAGCAGGAAATTGTGATCGGGGGGCAGGGGCACTTGAGCGGAAGAGACGTCATCGCAGATTAGCACGCCCGTCCCTCCCCCACGAACCCGCGTATATATGGCGATTGGAAGAGGACATCGAAAAGAAAATCATATCGGAAAACTCTTCTTCAACCATATTTGGACACTTATAATTACCCTGTTGCTCAACGACTTGTATCCCTTACACTACCAAAAATAAAGCTTCAAGATGGAGACCACCTACCAATACCTCGTCGCTCTTCTCACTGTCGCCGTTCTCATGGCTGCATCTGTGTATGCCTACAATGAGGGTTACATGGATCCTCTGATTGAGAAATTTGGGTATGTTCTTTCGTTCTCTGTCATTTAATTCGCCCACCAGCCTGGGTTGCTGCAGAAATGCGCGCGAGGACGAGGCCAGGCCAGGGAGGAAAGTGGTGATGTGTGAACCAGTCTGCTAACCGCGGCGAAACCATTATATACAGCGTCTACTTCATGAAGGCCGAGGCTGAGGCCGAGGCTAAGAAGATGGAAGCTGAAGGCTTGAAGAGAGGAGAGGACTTTCTCGACTGTGAGTAACTTGGCATCTTTCTCGACACTTTTGCTTCTGGTCTTGTCCTATTGCTGGAGACTGTGATGAGTGCGTGAAATCCGCACCGAATTCAGCACAGCGACGCCCCCCTCCCCCCTCTTTACCCTGCCCTTGCCCATCTTCCTTCTTCTCATGGAGCAAAAGCAAAAGCAAAAGAAAAGAAGAGAAGGGGAGAAAAGCCAAAATCGAACAAGGTTCGCAAAAGCTCCAGCCGGTCTAGAATGATTGGAGGAGGGGGGGTGGGACTCGAATTTCCTGAAACTACTTTCGCACACTCCGAAGTACAGCATCATTGGTGTGCATTGACGCTGACATGAGTGAGCAGCCGAGTTGAAGGGCAACCAGCAGGCCGACGAGATCGTGGCTGGCGTTGGCTCCTTCGGCAAGTTGAAGAAGAACCTTTAAGAACCTTTCTTTTCCATGCAAAGAGGGCAGGGGGAGGCACAGACACGGCACGGCAGCCATCCCAAATTGTTCGGCAGAAGAACGGGTCGATGCACGGCTGGCAATCTTGCGGGAAGGAGGAAGGGAAGAGATGGGGGGGGGGGTGTGTGATTGTGTGGCAGTCATGCTGAACGAATCGCTTCAGCCGGCGGCGTTTTTTAGGCTTGAAAAAGGGACGTCGGCGGCTGAAACACGGATCTTGCAGGTTGCAGGTGGCAGATGCGTGTGTGTGTTTATTTTTCGTGCCGTGTTGGTCGGCGGCGCAATTCGGTTCTGCACGAGCGGGACATTTCCCGAAGGGAGGCCCCGGGGGGAGGGGGGGTGTGTGTGCTGTAATCAGCTAGACCTTGGCTTGTTTAGCTAGGAGGACATGAAATGAAATGAATGATCATGATATATGTACGCAACAAGAAAGAGAGGGGCAGAGAGAAAGAGAAGAGAGAGAGAGAGAGAGAGAGAGAGAGAGAGAGAGAGAGAGAGAGAGAGAGCGCCAGCCTGCGATAGGAAACAGTTTGCGAGAGCGTAGTGCCCTGGTGGGATGGTGTGAGATGCATGGCTGAAGACCATGACACACAGCGTGCATTCACACACTCTCTCTCACTCACACACATACACACGCACGTGCACACCACATAGTTTGTAGTTTGCTAGCCCCGCCAGCTCTTCTCTCCTCTGTTCTTCACCCTCTCTCGGTTCAAGCCTCTCTGTGCAGGCGGTCTATTTTTAGGGTGTCATTCAAGTATGTTGGCATTTATTAATACGCGGGGCGCGTGCAATCAAATGAGATTGGACCCTGTTGTCCCGCTTTGCATATGCAGATCCGTTTTTTGGGGGACTTGTCGTGCTTGTCTCGCGTTCGGAGCCTGTTCCGGGAAAATTCGACCTTCGTGAATGGTTGCTCCCCCCTTTCCCCCTCCTCTCTCCCTCCCTTCAACCTCTGTCTCAAAGAGGATAAAAAATTAGAAAGAAAAAGAAAAAAAGGCCAAGAAACGAATGAATAAAGTCGAATCATGCCAGTGTGCCATAAAAAGTATTGTGGAACATACTTACATTGTAGGGAGTGGTCAATTTCAAACTTTCCTGTGAGGGCGTCAGAAATGTCCGAGGACTTATGCGGCTGTCGACAGGAAAGGAAGAAGAGAACAGTTTGATATCCGCGTTGAGGAGACAAAACGTGAAACACATGTACCTTTCTTGTTTTCACGCCGGATCCCTGAAGCTTGGGGGAAAACCCGAGAGCTTCTTCGTCGGGACAAGCCTCTTCCTCAGCTGGTGTCGACGGGCAATTGAATGGATGGGACGACGACAAGGCGGGGGTTGGGGGCTAGCTCGTGAGGGCGCCCATGGTGACGGGTCATTAGATTGTGCCTGAGGCGTTCTGCCGGTTTGAGATACATTAATTGACTGGACGGCATACTGAATGATCTCTAGAGAGCCTCGCCATGCTAAGTGATGGGCTACCCGAGGTTATCTTGAACCCTATCTCTTTTTTCTCTCTTCCTCTCTGACTGCAACTCAATTTCCACCTAGCCAGCCGTGCCAGCCACTCGACACCACACCCAATGCACTGACTACCATAGTAAAACATTTATAGAGTACGTGATACCACTGTAGGGTATCACCAAATGGAACGGTCTGAACGGCTTGGAGAGGGGCGGAGGGGGCTGTATTGTCTCCTACCATAAGCCAAAGGGTGGCACAGAGCGCGGGATCCGAGATTTGGGTAGAACATGTGCACATGGCCCCGCACGGTCCTTTAATGTGCACAAGGTACTTTCGACTCGTATGCGTGCGTGTTATATATGTACTGTACAGCATCGAAGGTACATGTGTGAATTTGTGTGTGTCAGCTTTTCTCGGTTGTAGACCCTAGCGAAGAGAAACTTTGCTTCTGGAGCCTGACGGTAATTGCTGATGCTTGTGCACCGGGAACAGCCTATATACTCCTTGTGGTAGGCGAAGAAAATAGGGTTTGGTTCGGTTCCTTTCCTCCCTTTTTTTTCCCTTTTGTTCTTGACCCCGGCATCAGGAAATGTTTGGTTCAGGTATGGAGCTGAGACCGGCAGAGATCGTCGCTACAGCGGGAACGGGATCGTGAATCGTCGGAGATCATGAAGTGCAGTATGGAGTACATGACATAGCTTGGTACACTTGCACTGCCATGATACCATGATTTCAGTACAGTACATGATGAGTGGCAGTACCCCATCATACTGTACAGTACCGGTAGTAGCAACAAGGCAGAAAAGAAGGGGCACAGGAGGGGAAAAGAGAGCTATAGAGAGAGTGGGAGAGAGAGGAAACGGGGCGAATGCAAGGATAGGTGACGTGCATGCAGGCATGAAAGGGGGGTCCACTTCTCATATGAGATGAATGGGTGTCGGCAGACGAGGACGAGAGAGAGAGGCTGAGTTGAGGGACCCCAGCTCCTACCCATGATTTTACTTTTTACAGGTGTAAATGGGTTTTGGGGGGAGCACACGCGAGGAATGCAGAACGCGAGGGTTCTACATAGCAACGAGTTTTGAGAGGTTCCGAGGAACCCGTGTCTGGAATAGGGAATGAATTCTTTTAAACACATTGTTAGTGTTTCTTCTTTTCTTCCCCACAGTCTTTCCCTTCTTCTCTTCCTTGTTTTTCCTCCTTCCAAGACTTGGACTGGTCGTTACTGTTCCCCGTATCGTCCGTCATATCCGGGTCGGGTCCTGTTTCTCGTCTCCTCCTCCTCTTCCTTACCCTGTTCATCATCTCCCTCCTCACTATACTAACTTGCTTTTTTCCCTTTTTGTTTTCTTCTTCACCATCTCCCTCTCATTACTTCCCTCTCTTCTGCTAGTGTCTCTTTCGTGTGTTTGGCCCCCTCAATTTCCCCCACAGGCCCTCTATAACTGGTCGTCATCTCGATATACGCAGGTGCACACTGGTTCACCACATTCTCTCTCTCTCTCTCTCTCTCACAGCCCCAGGCAGAGCTGAAGGAGGGCAACAATCGATACGAAAGCGGGGGCAGGCAGACGACACAACGACACCCTCTTTCGCTCGGGTACCCGATGCATCCTGCGCGTTGCCTCCCTGTCAGGAACGCCCACTGATCCTTCCCTCACACCAACAAGCGGCGGCGGCTGCGGGTCCTAGTCAGCTAGCGCCTACCGCAGACGCTGTGCTGCCAACTACCACACCACCTACCGTACAGTACAAGCATAGCACCTGCCCACCAGCACATGCACCAGCACCAGCACCAGCAAGCAGGGGGAGACACACACTACTGTACTCTCTCGTCCCCCCTTCCTCTCCACAAAGACTTGATCGACGTCAGCCGACAGGAACACCTGGGCTGTCCGGCTGCCAGTACATCTTTTTTCTTCTTTAGTCCAGCCTGCGATGTAATATCATCATGAAGATCATGCCAACAACAGCCTGACACGAATCAAACCATCCTACTAAATAGTTTCCGGACCAGCCGATAACCACACTCCTAATTTCAAGTTTTTATTCCACCATTTCTCCTTTATCTTTTATCCTCTATCCTCGCTTCCCCTGGGGCTCGATCACAAACCACACAAGGCCAAGGGTCCTGGTCTCCACGGCTAGTCATCATCTAGACCCAACGCAACGCAAGCACCAGCCGAACCCGAACCGCTCCCGACAACCAGGAAAGAGCGAAGAGAGAGAAGCTTTTCACTGCCTCGAAAGATTTTCACGCTGGTTTCCAAGAAATACTCCCTGATCTGTTCCGGCTCTCACACTCGCTCACACCCTCTCTTTTTCATTCACTCAACTCACTCGCTTGCTCCCAACCAACCCACCTTGACCACCTCGCAATCTCCCTCTCGCGTCTTGGTGTTTCGTACGACCCGAATCCTCGACGACTCATCCTTATCCTCTGCTACTCATCCTCCCGCCCCCGGCCCCGCCAACCACCGCTCACCCCCCAAAAAGGTGGTTAACGGGCATCAACCTGCAGCTATACTACATACAAAACAAGGGCGGCGCCCCTGGTCTAATTTCCGTACCAACGCAACATTCTTTACGCCTTGGGCCTGACACCCCCGCGCTTGGCCTCGGCGGACGACTTGATTCAGACGACACTAAAGATAAACGTCCAATTCCCAGCCCCAGAGAGAGAAAAAAGCGACGAACCCAGGCACCAGAGACTAGGCCACCCATACACACAGACCCAGTGGCGTTGCGGGGGAAAACTGCTGTGTTCCTCTTAATCCTCGGCCAGCCGAGAGAGAGAGAGAGAGAGACCGCATCTCAAACTGTACGACCTGCAGCTGCAAGTGTGCAACTCCTTCCGGTGTAACCTGCATTGCTCCTGCACTGCCTTGCCTCGCCTCGCCTTCTACAACTTGGGGTCCTAGCGAAACAGGAGTGAGAGAGAGGAAAGAGAACAGAAACCAGGACAAATCACACGCCTTACCCTTATTCTTTTTCTTTTTCTTGTCTTCCTTCTCCTCCCACCACGATCACTCCACCCTTTCATGTTTCCCCCCCACCCCAACTCCTAGTTCTCCTCACATGGCCTGAGCAGCCAAGTTTGCACACGGAGACGCTCCGCAACCATGCAGCGCATTTCTGCCTTTTGGTCATCGCGGGACAAGCCCCGGAGAGGTTCAGGACCCACCATCCCCGTCCCCGCCAAGGGCGCCGACCCCGTTGCCCGTCAACATGTTCGAGAGGATTATTGGCCGGCGTCTCTGGATCGAGAGACCGAGAAGGCCGCCCGTATTTTACACTCATTTTGCAGTACGTACACCTTCTTCAGCAAGCCCTCTCCCGTCTTGTCAGTGGCTCTAGGCGGAGACCCCATTCCCTGAGACCGTCCACCAGCTGACCGAACCCGAACAGCCGAAGGTTATATAGCACATCATGACGACTTCCCTGGCTCGCCCCGGTCTTCCATATCATCGTCAGTACAGATCAAGAAGAAGATACCTCCCAGGATAGTCCAGAACGCTGTCGGTATTGCGATTTTCTCTTGTATGAGATCCGGCCTGTGGAAGAGCGGGAGTGGTGGCAGTGGTATTCTGATTGCCAGGAAGTCGGACGGGAGATGGAGTCCGCCCTCAGGTCTTCTCCTGCACACAGCTGCACTCGGCTTCGTCATCGGCGTCGATGTCTACGACTGCGTCCTGGTTATCAACACCATGTCGGACCTGGAGACGTTCACCCGGTCGAGCACCACCCTCGGCGCTGATGTCGAGCTGGCCGTTGGGCCCGTCATGGCAGCCAGCCACCTGGAGAACGACGCGCAGGGCCGGGATGCAGGGCAGATGGTTCTGACGTACGTCAAGGCCAAGGGCGAGCATCGCGCTGTTAACATCGACGGCTCGTTGGTCACCGAGCGCGTCTCTGAAAACCATCGATTTTACGGCCGGGCCGCCTCCGTCCTCGATATCCTTGCCGGACATGTACCGCACAATGATTCTGTCGAGTTGAAGACACTATACGAAGTGATCAAGTCGGCGGAGGGCAGGGTAGATTTCGACGCCCCGATGCTCGAGAAGCTAGCGTTACAACCAGCTCCAGGCGACGCCCTCATAGAGAACCCGACGGCGGCAGCATCGCCTCTGTCGCCTGGACTGCCTTTGTTTGGCGTGCCAGATGTCGAGGATCCGGATCCGTTCGGTGTCAAGGCGCTTGAGATGGCAGGACTTGAGATTAGGGAGGCTGGCTCCAGACTGAGGCCTTCCAGCAGTAACTTCGAGTACACACCGAGTCCGACGAGCCCGTTATTCGGCCAGTTCAATAAGCGGCAGAGCTCAGATACATTTGTTACCCAGAGCAACAGCAACAGAGCTAGTTACATGTCCAGCAGGTCCAACAGAACGACCTTCAGCCGCATGACGGATGCTTTTACCCAGACCACAGTCGACACCCGCGGGACGACGCCAACCTCTGACGACGGTCGCGATCGGGCCTCTGTCGAGAAGCTGCCGGTGGTGTTCGAGCCTGAGGAGGTCGATTATACCAAGGTAGACGACAGTGCCATCAAGCGCTGGAGCCAGGAGGAGCACATTACTGCTGCGCCAACCAACGCCGACCATGGAGCACAGACTGTCCAGATCGATCGAATCGAGACTCTCGAGGAGGTTCCAGAAACAATCGAGGACGACGTTCCCGCCGAGGCTGGCAGCAAAGATTTCATCGGCAGCCCCCTTGATGAGCGGGATGAGGATGCGGACGACGAGGACGACGATTCCGAAGGTGACATCGGCCTCGACACAATGGATGAGGGCGAGGACGAAATTGTCGACGCCGACGAAGAAGAAGAAGAGGATGAGCCGATTGTCTATGAGGTTTATGAGGCTAAGGCGATCCAGCCAGCTCGTACCACCATCATGCCGTCCAAGGTCACACAGATCACTCACGCCAAGGGGGCGCTTGTCAACATCCCAAAACGCATTGCGCCTCCAGTACCTCCGAGGAGCCCAGCCCGGTCCAGCAGGAGTGAGTTCGGTGATATTCCGGCTAAGAGCCCTCTGAGAGACTCGTTCCAGTCGTTCCAGTCTACGCGATCAGGCTCGAGCGCAGAAGTAACGAGTCTGGACGGAGTCGTCAGCTCGGCCAGGACAGGAGTTGCCGCCCACGTAACACCAGCAAGCCCGCTGGGACACGAGGAGGCGGAGACACCAGATTCAGAGAAGCCTCTCTCCGAAGATGGCCAGCAAGACGCCTCCATCTTGGATAGGGTCATTGACAACCGCCTGAGCATGGATGACATCCCGAAGACGCCGTCTACGATGCAGACTTCGGGGCAGACATCCTCGGGAGATGAGCGAGAGCCACAGACACCAAAGCCCGAGGACGAGGTTACTGCGGCCGAGGAAGACACAATCACCGAGAAACTGTCTCGCGAAGAGGCCAGGGAAAGCCTTATCGTGGAATCTAATTGATGAATGAGGGTCTGTGTATATTTGACATGAACTTGGCGCCGGATCTTTGGTTCAAGGAAAGTTTTGGGATGGCTGCAATCAACGGTCATCGGCACCGGTGTCTAATGCTGGCTGGCGTTGGCGTTTAATGGGGTGGTCGACCACATCGACCACGGAGTCCACCCCCTTCAAAAAGAAGAAACCCTTGTCATGGGCTCCTCCAGTGATGGAACATATGGTAAAGGGCAGCGGTTATGTGTAATGTTTTTATGTCTTTTGCATTGATACAGGGCATTACTCCCTTTTTTATTTTTGGTAGCCGGCTATTATACCCAAAGATTTGTCCACCTTCAAAAACGACTCTGGACCCAACAAATATACTATGAACCAACAAAAATGAAAACTGTAATATTATTTCACTCCATGCACGTGTGAGGAGGACCTCGAGGCCAGGCCATAATACGAAGATGGAGTACTTTCAAGTCCAGGGTCCGGGTTAGGGGCAGGGTTACGTAAGCTTGAGCTTGAGCTCTGCATCCTGCCTCCAAAATTCCCTAGCCGGATCGCGTCGCGGTATTGAATACAAGAAGCATCTGGAACGCCCTTTCCCCACCAATCCTGACAGACAACCCACGACGCTCCACCGCGACTGACAGGCCCCCAATCTCACGATGTCGTCCTCGACGAAATGGAGGGAGGAGCAGGTCCTCGTGATCTGTCCTGGGTCCTCCACCACCATGGCCCAGCTGGGCTGCAGCGAGCTCACGCCGCCGTCGCAGCGATTCCCGACGCGTATGTTCAAGGACGAGGAGACGGGGGAGTGGAGGCCGTACCATACATACAAGAGGAAGAAGAAGGCGATGGCAATGACGGCAATTGCGGGCGGCGAAGATGGGACTGATGGGCTGGCTGCTGTTGTGAATGGCGAGGCCAAGAAGGAGGAAGGGGGCGGGGAAGAGGAGGAGGAAGAGGAGGAGACTGTTGAGGACCCTGATTCTGCTGAAGGCGCGACCTACCCTATACGAGGTATGTTCTTTTTTTTTTCTCTTTGCTACATCTGGTGATACTTCAAGTCCTGCGTATGGAACCCGCCCAAGCTAACATCCGTCTCTTCCCCCCAAAAAGGCGGCTGCATAGTCCACATGGATGCCTTCCTGGCCTTCCTCGACCACGTCCACAGCATGCTCACCACCACCTACCACAACACCCCCATCGTCCTCATGGCATCGCCTCAATGGACCCGCCCCCATTGCGAGACGATCGCAAGGTACATCTTCGAAAAGACGCGTACCCCCGCGCTCTGCCTCATCCACTCCGGTGTGGCGACGCAGTACGGCCTGCGGTGGCCCAATATGACGGTGGTCGACATCGGGTACGAGAAGGTTGACGTCACGTGTCTCCACGAGAACCGGGTGGTCAGCCACAGGGATGTGCTCGACATCGCGAACGAGGGGGCGATCTCGGGCGGGGAGGTGTTCACGAGGAGGCTGCTAGAGCTGCTGAGGGAGAATGAGAAGGAATTCACGCACGAGATGGCCGAGCAGCTAAAAAGGAGCCAGATCTGTGAGGTGCTGCCGTATGCGGCGGACCAGCCCGAGCTGATGGAGCTGCCAACCGCATCCGCACCGCAGGTGGGCGCACCACCGTCGGGGTCTGCGCCTGCAGCGCCTGCGCCTGCACCTGCGGCTGCTGCTTCGGGGACCACGGTCGGCGATGCGCCCATGACGATGGACGGCGAAGATCCCGACGATAAGAACGGTGACAATGATGGTGTTCTTGACATTGCAAATATTGTCACGAGCGGCCAGACCAAGGAGTTCCTGGCGAAGAAGGAGAAGGAGAAGGCGGAGAAGGCAAAGGCTGGAAAGAAGGGCAAGGGCCCGGAGGCTGCCGACGCGAACAAGCCCACGCGACTGCCAAATTCCAAGAGGTTGAAGAACACATTCCACTACGAGGAGATCATCCAGGAGGAGCCATCTGCACCAGCGCCCAAGGCGAATGGCGCCTCGAAGGAGGAAGGGCAGCAGCAGCAGCAGCAGCAGCAACAGCAACAACAGGAGACAGGTGCTGCCGCCGCTGCCGACTCTGCCCAGCCTGCTCCTAGCGAGGCGCCGAAGCCAGACGCTGCAGCAGCCACGGGGGAGGAGAAGCCAAAGGAGCAGGAAGCAAGTCAGGATGCTGCTGTTAAGTTTGACAATTTCCTGCCACCTCCAGAAGCGACGCCTGCGGCCGCAGCCTCGTCAGAACCACTGGCTAGGCGCGTCCGTCGCGATATTGAAGTCGGCCTGGAGCGCTTCACGTTTGCGGATCGCAAGGAAATTGACCGCATCGCCGAAGCTATCTACGAAGCTGTTCAGAACATCGGCGATATGTACATGCGGCCTTCCTGCTGGGAAAACCTTGTGTTTGTGGGCAACGGTAGCCGCATCCGCGGTCTTAAGGACAACATCGTGCAGACGCTGACGGCGCGGTACCTGATCTCGCCCAGCAGTGCGACCATGTTCACGTCGGAGCTGCCGTCCAACATGGCGACGCCCTCAGGCACTGGGAGCCAGACGCCCACGGGCAGCTTCTCTGGCCCGCCGCACACGATGCCGGTGGGAGCAGGCCCGTCGTCCGGCGTTAACCCGCTGCTCCAGGCCGCCACCACGGCATCGCTGCAGCAGGCCCAGCAACACCCAGGGATGATGACACCCGGCGGCGCACCGGGCTCGCAAGCGGGCGAGCTGATGCCGTCGCACCACTTCCACAGCCAGACGCCGACGTCAATCAAGATTGCGCCCACGCCAACATACCTGGCCGAGTGGACCAAGCACGGGTTCGAGGAGGCCATGTTCCTAGGGTCGCTGGTCGCTGCGAGGCTGGCGTTCTGCGTGCATAACATTGATGCGCAAGGCTTGGAGGCTCAGAGGTTGATGAGTCTGAACCGGGTTGATTACAAGTAAGTTGCGTTCCCCCTCCCTCTCATCTACTCCTGTACAGGCAAAAGACATATGCAGAGAGAGACGAGTGAGATACCCCGATGACTAACTTGTTGTTTTCCAAGTGAACTTGGTCCCAAGGGCATCCGAACACATTCGATGCTGGGTTAGGGGGTCCAGGATAATAGCGGCTGGCTATAAAACTGGGAGGGAGTAGAGGAGGTAAGAAAAAGTCTGATGTTGATGCGCGGCTGGAGTTTATTACATCCTCGGTATACCATTCCCTGGGTTTGGGCAGGAGTTTCAGGCGGGAGAGCGGGGGTGTGCTGTTATCTTTCCTTTCTTCGTCTTTTATCTTCTCCTGAAGGGACAGATTTTCTGAAAAAGCCTGCCTCGTGGTCTACACAGCACAAGTTCTCTGTGAAGACGGCAGTATATGAGGTGGGAGGGTTCAAGGTAAAGGCGGCGGCGCTCTAGCAAGGACTGCATGTACTATATGATCAACGGGCCTCACCAGTTGAGGCACGGTAATAAAGTTTTTAGAGATGAGAGCAAGTTCAAATGCTGGTGATGTATGTCAACATTGTCGATCTATATGTGGCTGTCTTCTCTTTTAGCCCCTTCTTTCTATGCCTATGAGTCAATAGGACTATGTGGTTATTGCCGGTATCCGGGGTGATATGGGCTGGGCATGCCGCAAGCGGAGGGAAGACTTGACCGACTGCCAAAGAGATGAAAAGAGTCATCAATCAGTCCCAAGCCAATCTTTATATATATATATATATATATATATACACATATTTTTTTATAAAAAAAAATGTGCATGACCATATCCTTCTTTTTCTCTTTCTGACCATCGTCAAGTCTACAACTTTTTGGAATCCCCTGAAGGGGAAGGAAGAAGAAGAACAGAGGAAAAGAAAACAGACAAGGAAACCTACATCAAAATGTCGTCCTCCGAGACCTCGTCCCGAAGATTGATCAGTTCGGGCAGTTCCTTTGAGCAGCAGATAGGATACTCCAGGGCAGTTGTTGATGGGGACTTTATCTTTGTCTCGGGATGCACAGGGTAAGTCATGCGTAAATCCTTTGCCTTTCCTGCTTTCTCTCATCACCCACATACACACACATATACACACACACACACACATATATATATATATATATATATATACACCCTCTCCAGAGCCCTCACACGAGCAGTGAGTGGTGATAACGAGTTCCCAGAGCCCAGCACCATCCACCCCCCCCCCCAAAACTGGTGGCTGAAAAACAATTAACATGATCAAAAACAAAACTTAGCTACGACTACAAGACCCAAACAATCTCGGCCGACGTGGCAGAGCAGACAGAGCAGAGCATGCGCAACATCGCCTCGGCGCTCGAGGAGGCCGGGGCAGAGGTGAGCGATATCGTGCGGGTGCGGTACATCCTGCCGGACCGTGGGGATTTCCCCAAGACGTGGGGGGTCTTGGGGCGGTGGCTTGGGGATGTGCGGCCGGCGGCGACGATGATGGTGGCCGGGCTGATGGAGGAGGTTATGCGGATTGAGATTGAGGTTACGGCGGTGAAGAGGAGGAGGTAGGGGCGGGAGGAAGTGGGGGACGGGATGTTTCTTCTTCTTCTGCCTGTTTTCCCTCTTTTGTTTCTTTTTTTCCTTTTCTGGTGTACTGTGCATGGGAAGTGGGTAGGGGTTGGCCAGTAGTTGAGAAAGAGGAGAAGGAGGAGGAGGAGGGACAAAGGCAGAGGGAGGAGAAGGTGTCATACAGCATATAATTGCTTACTTGCAAAACAGTAGATTCGTGGTCAGGTCGCCGAATGGGAACACCTCTCTAGGCCTGGTCCTTGTTTAGATCAATGCTGGCGCAGTGGGGACGGTCGCCGAATTGCTGGGTCCAGCATGGATGGGGTGACTGCAAGTCGGCTTGGTTCTGTTGGTGGAGTCCAAAAGAGAGAAGAGAGAAGAGAAAAAAAGATCTGTTGTTGGTTGTCTGTTGTCCCCCCCCCCCCTCCCCCTCCTCTGATCTTTGTTTCCTCTACCCCTCCTCGCATCTGAGACACGGCACATTAGATAGTATATTTAGTATGATTACTTTTGGTCCCAGTGGGACGGTAACGACGTGTACTACTACTGGACGTCCATAATATGAAAAGAGTATCTTGGTCGTAGACGTGTAGACATATATTTTCACTTTTCTCCTGGGAAGAAAGAAGGCAAAGAACCAAGAAAAGTAATCAACAAAATACAAGCAAAGACTCCACAAAACAAACCCGCTTTTGACTTTTTCAACTCAAAGTCCTCGTCGGCGTTCATCAAGGCGCCCCCCTCTCTTGCCTCTTCCCACCCCACACGACAGCCGCCGGCTTTCCCTGCTGAAAAAGGCTTTAGCATGGGCCCCGTCGAAAGGGATGGTCGTCATCCCCATCGTTCACCGCAGGACCCACGCCTCTTTTCTTTGTCTATTCAATGACCGGCATACCCCCTCTCTCTCTATATATCTCCAAAAGAGAATGATAGATAATCAATCTCTCGGCATGATGAATTTGTAATCTTTCCAGCTGGGAAGCCCGGTATTTTATAAAGGAAAGTTTGGCCGTCCGTGTGCTGCTTTGGCCCCTTCCGGGTTTCTTCCCTCTCCACTCTTCACCTTCCTGCAGCAGCGACTTGTTTCCCGAGCGAGTCCTGTCTTCGTTCTCTTGCATCCATACTTCCCCTGTAAATACTTTGTTCTTTTATTTGGTTTTGTTTTGGGGATATGAGTTAAGGGAGAGAAAGAGAGAGAAAGAGAGAAGTCCTCGGGGGGGGGGGGGAATTATCCAAAAGTCAAATAAAAGAAAAGAAGGAACAGAGCAGAAGAGGAAAACAAAGGAGAGGAAGCATGGACACGATCATCACAGGCTCGGCCTTTGGGGCTAGCCTCGCCGCCTCCGGCATGTACGAACCCTACCTGATAGCCTCACAATTCACGCTCCAGAAGTGGAACATGGTCCAGACCTTTTTGACGGCCACGGGCTGTAGTGCGTAAGTTGTGGACACCCATACAACACACACACATACACACAGAGGGAGGGAGAGGGAGAGGGAGAAGAGAGACATCTCTTCTGATGATGATCGTCCTCCTGCCCTTGCACACAACCTCCTTTCCCTTCTCCCAACACACGCAGACACCCCAAATCTCTTTCTCCTTCTACCACCCATCGGCTTCCTCTCTTCAACCTTAACCCAGGCCCTGACAGAGTTGTGTGCTTGAATTCTAGCCTCACCATCGAACTCCTTCGCCGGCTGGGCCACCCAGTCCCACCGCCCCGGTCCTGGTCTCCAACCGGCATCACGGGGTCCCCTATCGACGGCAACGTACTGGGTGGCCTGCTCCTCGGCGCAGGAATGTCCCTCTCTTCGTCCTGCCCAGGCATGGTGTTCCCTCAGATCGCACTGGGCATCCCATCCGCGCCCGCCATCATAGCCGGCGCCTCCGTGGGCGGCATCTGCTGGTCTGCTGTGCTGCGGCCCTGGATCGCCGCCAGGAGGAAACAGACCACCATCACCAACACCACACCGCCACCCGAGGTGAGCCTGGCGGGGTTCCTGGGCACGCGGCACACCACCGCCCTCGTGGCCTACGGGACCGCCCTCGCAACCATCGTCGCCGTGGTAGCCCTGCGCATGCCCTCGGCATCATCACCGCTGCACCCTGTCACGGGGGGTCTGGTCATCGGGGCCGCGCAGGCCGTCTCCCTGCTCCTGAGGGGTTCGCTCTTGGGGGTGTCGACGTGCTACGAGCAGCTGGGCGACTGGATTGTGTGGCTGGCGCGCGGGCGGAGGCAGGCTCGGCCAGGCTCGTCAGCGGTGCTCTTCGCAGCGGCCATGGCGGCGGGAACGTGGCTGCTGGCTCGTCTGGGGCCGGGCTGGGTGCTCACAGAGACGGCGGCCGCGGGCGTGATGAGCCCTGCGAAGGCGTTTGCTGGGGGGTTCCTGATGGCCGTCGGGTCGAGGATGGCTGGGGGGTGCGCGTCGGGACATGGGATCAGTGGGATGGCGTTGATGTCCATGTCGAGCCTTGTGACGATGGCGTGTGTCTTTGCGGCGGCGATTGGCGTTTCCAGAGTGACGGGCGTGTGAGAGACAGGGCGAGTGTGAGTGAGGTGGACTCTTCAGAGACATGATTACATCTTAATGTTCTCACAAATAAAACCTTCGTGAAAAATTGGCCAGGATATAACAACATGATGACTTGGAATTGGCCCTCTTGAATGTGGCTTCAAGACAAGGAGAAGACATGCTGACGTGCAGCCAACAATGGGGAAAAAGGAAAGAAAGAACGATGACCGACCCCGGCTCCGGGCGGCTGCAGGTGGGAAGGCCGCTCCCGGTCCCGAGTAGTCTCCACCACATCCCGCATGCGAAGTGTTGCCTCGGCTCTTTGCTCCTCCACACAACCTCAACCGCGGGCACGGCTGTTTATGCAGTCAGTGTTGATCGATATTCATGATATTCTATTTGATGTTTTACTTTGAGGTTATGCAACAAGACAGACGTCTTCTTCATGCAAAGAATACATGCATACTCGTGGCTACATCTTCGTATCAATAAAATAGTACAACATCCTCACCCCCCTTTTCCTCCCTCTACTGCATTCGGTAGATCTGCAACAACTCACTCTTCAAAAGGTATACGGCTAGGAATCAAGACCTCGTCCAAGATGCCTGTCGCCTTAACGATCAAGAAGATCGACGGGAAGCCTGGCAAGGTGTACTATCCGTGAGCTACCTCCTTCTTTTCTTCCTGCTCCTCGACATTGGACATGACCACCACAACACAACCTTCAGGAGCTGACATACACACGCACACCTACCGTCTTGCACACTTCCAGCCTCCAGCTCAAAGAGGTGCCCAAGCCCACCCCAGGCCCAGGCGAGGTCCTCATCCGCCTCAACGCCGCCGCCCTCAACCACAGAGACCTCTTCATCCGCCAGCACCTCTACCCAGGCATCGCCTTCGGCCACCCCATGCTGGCCGACGGCCAAGGCACCATCCTCGCCCAAGGGCCCGACTGTAAACGCAGCGACCTCGCGCCCGGCGCCGCCGTCGTGCTCCTGCCCCTGCGCGGCTGGGACGCCCACCCAGACGGGCCCGAGGACCTGCGCCGCTACGCCGTCATCGGCTCGACCCAGCTGTGCGACGCCGGCACCGCGCAGGAGTACATTGTGTGCGCCGAGGCCGACGTCGAGCCCGCGCCGCCGCACCTCTCGGCCGCCGAGGCAGCGGCCCTGCCGCTCGTCGGGCTGACGGCGTGGCGCGCCCTGGTCACCAAGGCCGGCGCCCGGGCGGGCCAGAACGTCCTGGTCACGGGCGTGGGCGGCGGTGTGGCGCTGCAGGCCGTGCAGTTCGCCGTCGCCCTGGGCTGCGCCGTGTATGTCACCAGCGGGGACAAGGCCAAGGTCGCCAGGGCCGTCTCCGTGGGCGGTGCCAGGGGAGGCGTCTCGTACCGGGACAAGGACTGGGACAAGCAGCTGGCGGAGCTGCTGCCCAAGGACAGGCCGTTCCTGGACGCCGTCATTGACGGCGCTGGTGGGGATATCGTCGCCAAGACGGTGAGGCTGCTCAAGCCCGGCGGCATCATCTCGCAGTACGGCTTGACCGTGTCGCCCAAGATGGACTGGTCCATGTCCGCCGTCATGAAGAATATCGAGCTGAGGGGGAGCACCATGGGCTCGAGGCGCGAGTTCAGGGACATGATCGCCTTCGTGCGGGAGAAGCAGATCCGTCCTGTCGTGAGCCGTGTCGTGAAAGGGCTGACCAACCTGGGCGAGATCGACGGGCTTTTTGCCGACATGAAGGATGGGAAGCAGTTTGGCAAGCTGGTCATCGAGATCGCGCCCGAGACGGGACCATCCTCTAAGTTGTGAGGTCTGGTGCCTCTTCCACAGCTTTTTGTCTATTACCAATACCCTCCTGTACAAGTTATACGAGAGTCGAGCTTCGCTCTCTCTCTCTCTCTCTCTCTCTCTCTCTCTCTCAAAAACACATCTCACACATATAGTATTGAAACGCAGGTAGGACGATTACTTTTGGCCTGTACATGTTGACCGGGTATCGAAAGAGCTCATGCGAGATCGACCAAATATAGGGAGGAACAAAGAGTACATACACACACCTCTCTGTCTTTTCTTCTTCTTTCTCTCTCTCAGTTCGCGGCCTCCCCCTTGTTCTTCTTCCTCTTCTTCGTCTTATGTCCTGGCTCTTCTGGCGGCACAAACTCCTGCTCCCGCTCCCGCTTCTTCTCCTCCTTCCTCTGCCTCGCCTTGTCTTCCCGTTCCTCTCTCGCCGCCCGCTCCTTGGCCTGCTTGCCCAAAAAGTACTCGCCGCTCTCGATCTGGAGGTCCACTTTGCTCTTCTCGGGCGCCGGTGGGAACGCCGTGTACGTCTTCTTGGTCTTGTCCGTGACGTTGTGCGGCACCCGCCGCTTGCTCAGGTTCTTCTTGAAGTGCGGCAGGAACCGGTCCCAGCTCTCACCCGCCAGCTCTGGGTCCTTGGCCAGCTCCCTCTTGATCATCAGCTCCTTGATCAGGTAGATGGGGTGCACGTTGTGCATGCAGTCCTCCACCACCCTCCTGACCTCCTTGAGCGACTTGTAAGGGCCCATGACGCTGACCGTGTTGCCGTGCACCAGGATGTATGTCTCCGTCAGCAGTTCCAGCGCCTTGAGCGTCGACCCGTTCGGGCCCAGGATCCTCTGCCGCCGCTTCGCAAATTTCTCCTTGTTCCCCACCAGGTTCCGGATCTTGATGATATCGCAAGCCACTCCATCCTCGAGGATATTAACCGCCTGGGGTGCTGGCACGCTGCGGGCCAGCAGTTTTATGAGGTCACGGGCGTTCAGGATCGCCGCTGGGTCGAATGTTTTCCGCGTCGTCTTGACCGTCATCATACCTTCGACCAAGTCCAGCGTGCAGGCGATGCCCTGCTTCTCGAGAGATCGTGTCACGAGTGGCCACTGCCAAAAGATTGTGTTGTCCCGGTGTCAGTCTCTTGGTCCGTCGCGAAATCTTCTCTGTGTCCAGCAGGGGTGCAGGTGGTGGGAGTATACTGACTGCTTCTTTGAGGTAGACCTCGCGGTACTTGGGGAAGAGGACTGTGAACGTAGATTCCTCTGCAAAGGTGCCGCCAGCATTGTCCTCGCGCTTGAATACTGGGATCTCCCACTTGTTGATGTCGTCCGTGTCCCAACTGTGCAGAGTTATCGAAGTTAGCAATCAAGACTGAGAGGGGGGCTATGCGCAGCGGGGGAGGTCAGAGAAAAAGAGATGGTACGCACGGCTTGTCTTTGTCGTGTTTGGTCGACATTGTGGGAAGAAAGGATATATTTTAGGAGCAAAAGATGCAGCTAATTGATCTGAGTGTCGAGAGGTGAACTGAAAGCGCGGGTGAAGGCTCAAGAGGAAAAGCTGCTCTTGCTGCGCAGGAAAATAAATTTTGGCCGGCTCGGCAGGCAGGACGGTTAACAGTATCTGCCGGGAGGGCCTGGACCACACCGGCTTAGGTAAGGCCCCTCCCGGCCTCTTGCCTGTAGTGACCCCCTGTACTCTGGTAGCGTCCCTGTACTTGTAGTGGTAGGACCCTGGAGGGAGAGAGAGCGCCTGGCCCCCATTACAGCCAGTCGGGGTCGCTGCCGCCTACAGCGGTGGTTTCTCTCCTTCTAATGGTCTCATTTCTCTCCTGATTTCCAGATACCCAAAAATGAGGTACGTAACTAGCACAGGGAAATCCTCTCTTCAAAATTGTTTTATTCCTCGAGGCTCTCTTTTACGAATACCCTTCCAGTTCATCTTGACCTGTCCTGTGCTTGTTCAGGTAGATGAAGTTTCCCCCTTCCCCCCCAATAATCCATATATAAGTATGATAGTAATGCAGGCAGGGGCAAAGAGATTCCATGGGTCCTAAAAATAATCTAGTGGTTGAAATAAGCTTCTCGATCCGCAGATGATCTGCATCCATCGAATCTGTCCTGATATTAGCAGAGAGCAAGCCACACCCGACAAGAAGTAGTGTATCTGAATTTACCATGTATGATTTGTTGCTGTTGCGCAGTCTGTCATGGCGACATGTTGTTCACCATGGAGATGATAATCTGGAGAGGTGAGATCAAATAGCTGTAACATCTTTGTGTGTGTGTGTGTGTGTGTGCAGGTGAGTGTATTGTGCACAGAAGGAATGAGGAATACTCATACCCCGTCAGCATTTGTACAGGTAGTTTTAAAGTAACACTAAATAGTGCCTCGCATATGCACAGACGTCCTTCAAATCGCCATAATGCTCAAGCCCACCCCGTGGCTTACACCCCCTTCCCCCCCTGAGCTAGGTACTTGAGCAGGTACCATAGCACCCAGCAGAGTAACGAGGTCTCTAACAGGGAGGTGATGAGACCACGCTGTACTGTACTGCACTGTACATCCATGAGCCAGGCCCAAGCATCGAATGAGCAATAAGCCAGAGTAGAGATGTGTCCCCTCACATAGGGCTGGTCGTCTTTCGGCAATTATCAGATTGTAGATAATCCACGCGGGAGGGTCCTCGGCGGTAGATTATCGCAATATGCCAAGTTCTCCCCATAAGGTCCCGTATTCGGACGTAGGGCGTGATTGGGAAGAGGAGAGGGGGTACGCGAGGCGGGGTGAGAATCCCCTCGCTCACCAGGCCCCGTATTCAATCAGTCATCTTTGTTCTTCTTGTTCTTTTCTCTTACGTGACAAAAGTCAGGGGTACGCAGGAACTGGGGGTCCCTTTCTTTTCTCGGCAGCCTCGTCATAATTTGCCCAACGAGATCGATCGCTTCGTCTCCTGTCCCGCTACATCCGTCTTTTGGTTTTCCTGTGTCCTTTCTAATCACTACATTCTCTCGACCTCTTGTGCATCTACCGTTATCTGTTTTTTATCCAAAGCTTCGGAGTACAGGGAAGAAAAAAAAGAAAAGAGAAACAAGGTCTTGCCTGAGCGGCTGTTTGATTACTTCGTTGCTTCTGCGTTAATCTTCGAGTCACTCTTTTGGCCTCTTGTGTTTTAATATACTCTCCTCTCTTTTCTCCCTCTCTTCCCCTCGCTCAACATCCCAGAATCCCACAGACTTTCTTTGTCCACTGTTCTCTTCTTGCTTTTCTTTATTTTTTGCCGCCCTTCTGAAGGCTGCGATCAATTCTTTACCCATCTTAGAACGGTGCACGACATACAGAATTTCTCCACCAGCTACAGGCCGCCCCGTACCAGCCTCGAGCACCAACAGACACCGTTCGGATAGAGACACCACCTCTCGAATACAACTTGGGTCTCTCTTCCTCTCCCCTCCTCCAACCTCTTCCTTGCCCTCCTCGCCGGGCATCCACGCGATCATTACCTCCCCATCCTCCCCCAAACCGTCAAGCTGGCTTCTTCACGTTCTCCGCTGCTGCCACCGCCAGTGCCCTATTTGGCCTTGACGCCGCCGCCAGACCATCCGTGCCAGCTCGCGCCCCTCCACCTCCCGATCATCAAGATGGAAGACGGGCCGGCCACCCTGCCACCTCCCCCACCCCTCGAGCCGACATCGCGACCGAGTTCAGCATCGACAACTGCCTCACAAAAAGACCAGCTGCCTGGCATTTCATCGATAGCAGCTGCGGCTGCGGCTGCGGCTGCCACTGCAAGCTCAGCAACAAGCTCTCCTCAGTTAGGGTAGGTGGACAGATTCCAGTAAGGTTGGCTCAACCTGTGCATGTGAATGCTGGTGTGAGGAAAGGCTCCACTTGTCTATTGTGAATATACGGGCAGTGAATGCGGGCAGACTGCAGAATCTCCAATCGCACACCTACAAATACACCGCGTCGACTTTATCTTCTATCTCTGTTGATACCCTGCAAAATCAACAGCAGCGAAAACAAACCCCAATCTTGCTATTTGCGTGATCAATCAGCTGATACTTCTACAATCGATAGAGCAAACACAATGAGTACACCAGCAGTCATGTACTCTACACCAGCTTCAGCTCCAGCTGCGACTAGCGCTGGCCCAGGAGGCAACTTGGTAAGTCAACATTGTTTTCTCTGCCCATGAACCCATGACAGACCCCCCTTACCCTTCCCCATCCCCCCCTCAACGCGACTCAGGCACAGGCCATCCATCCTTAGCACAAGCATCTACCCCCCCCCCCCCCAGCATGGTGGCATCAATCAGCCCTGAGAGAATAAGTTCTGGTGGTGGTGGCGCCCTGTGGCCAGTCACCTTCTAGATCTGTGCTTGTCAGTCGAAAAGACCCATATGGCACTACAGGCCTCGGCAGTCAAGTCCCTGTACTTTTTCTTTAGAGAACACTACGGAAGAGGAACATCAATCAGGACTTGTCGAGATCTCGAAGCCAGGGAACAAAGAACGGGATCGGGATTGACTTCTGTTATCGCCTACCCTGCCGGGGGTGGGCACTAATAAGCGGGACTCATTGGCCTGTTGCATAAATTGCCTCGAGGTGATTGGTAGCGGGGCGCCCACCCAGCCAGCCCAAGAAAATCTCTTATCAGAGATACCATCCCTATCTAATCTTTCCCATTCCACCCCCCATTCCCATCAAATACATCGTCGCAATCCCATCTACCCGAGTCTCTTCATCTTGACAGCAAGAGTGCGGCCTGGAGGCTGCACCTCTCACAAACGCGCACACACACAAACAAGGCGACAATGGCCTCCATGGCAGCTAACAGTAGCGACCAACACCCGCAACAGCCTACCTGTCAGAATTGTGGAACCTCCACCACTCCTCTCTGGCGCCGCGATGAGTCGGGTGCCGTTCTCTGCAATGCCTGCGGCTTGTTTCTCAAGCTGCACGGCCGACCTCGTCCTATCTCCCTCAAGACAGATGTCATAAAGAGCCGCAACCGTGTCAAGACCATGCGCCCTGGCATGGAGATGAAAAAGAAGGTGAGTGCGCGCGCGCCGCAGGCAACAATTCCCTCGGCCAAGTTGGCTGGCCCGGTCTGAAGATCATAAAACAAAAGAAAACAAAAGAAAAAAAAGTCCATCGAGGCTAATAATCTTGTCTTGTTTCGGTCAGATCCAGGCCATCGCAAATGAGGCCAATGTCGCTGATATCCAGGCCCAGAATGCCGCCGCCGCCGCCCTCAGCGTTCGACGCACCGCCCAGAAACCTGGCAACGGTCACATCGACGACACCAATTCTCCCATCTCCCGAACCACGACCCCCAACATGTACGCCGGCCACATGCTGTACCACGGCATGGACGACCATCACCTACAGCAGCCTCTGGCTGGCTTCGGTCTTGGTGGTCCAGGCAACGGTCGCGCTCCCTCGCCCCTGAACGGAGAGGGCGTGCCTCAGACACAGGAGGAGCTGCTTGCTCTCAACTCGGGCCTGAAGACGCGTGTTGATGAGCTGGAAGTCATCAATGATTTAATTCAGCGCCGTCTCCAGCACTATGAAGCCTTTGGTACAGGTGCAGCTGCCGCCGCCGGTCTTGTCGACGGCAGCCACGAGAACGAGGTGCAGCTGAGAGCCCAGCTCGACGCCCTTGCTGCCTCCGAGGCCCAGCTCCGCTCTCAGCTAGACGAGAGCCACCGCCGCGAAAACAATCTGAAGCGACGTCTGGACGAGGTGGAGCTCGAGCTCAAGGACGTCAAGGAGTCCCTGGAAGCCCACGAGAACGGTCGTGCCAAGAAGATTCGACTGGATGAGGTCCAACCCGTCGACGCTGGAGAGCAGGTGCACCAGGAAGTCCCTACGGAGCTGAAGCTGGATGCTGCTCTCGAGGTCCCCACCCTCGAGGCTCCTCCTGCCACTGAGGCTCCTGTGGACCCTGCTGTTGAGCTTACCGTCGAGGCCTCCGTTGAGGTTTCCACCGAGGTCCCCACCGAGGCTCCCGCCGACGTCCCGACGATGGAGGGCCAGGCAGAGGCGCCATCGCTAGAGGATGCACTGCAGGCGACCGCATAGACTGCTGACCTGCTGTCTGGCTTTCTCTGATTAAACGAAAGCCTGCTGGGGCTTGTAGCATCTGCTCTGCATATTGCTCTGGGCCGCTGTACAAATCTGCACTGATTTGCCGCGGGACCTTCACTACACGGTCACCTCTTTTCAAGGCAGCCCGAGGAGGACCTTTCCAACCAACGTTGGAACACGGGGTTGGGCAATCATTACAGGCGGCAGCGTTTGCGCTATCATGATATAGGTTCGAAATATCATCCTGGCACGGATGGCACGAACCGGAAGAAGGGGAGACTGTGCGGAGTTTCATGGAATCACCCCCCCTCCCCTTCTTTGTCTTCTTTTCTTTTTAATACTGTTTCTTCATGTTGAGGCAGTCACTAATTTCGAGTCTCGGGAACGGGAGTCGGACGGGGAAATCCTGAAGCGACAGGACGGGTTTGTGTGGAGTTGCAGGAGTACACTCGGGAAAGCTTCGTCTTCACTTCGATTACGTTAAATGGAACAGAAAAAGTTCATGTTTTTCCACGCTGCGGCATCTCTTGTTTTTGTGAAGTTGACAGAGCACTAGGCTGTAATATTGCGCCCCTTGTCCCTCCGAACGATTGGTGAACAAGAGCAACGGTAGGGCCAGCTTGCACTTCGCGCGCCATCGTTTGTCGTCACCTCTACTAATTACAAAAGGATCACTTTCTCTCAATGACTGACCTTGTCTGTCTGTGCATATCCCGGCTAGAGTCTTACAAAGGCGGCGAGATCTAGCGCCCATGTGGATTCTATGACATCTTGACCGTTAGGTTCAACTCGCTGGGCATGTAGATGAGCAGTGATTCTATCAGTCGACCCACCCTCCCGGTTCTGTTTGTGCGGACCTAATTTTATGGCAGGAAAAAAGGCCCCACAAAGTCATGTTCAAGAGGTTCTTGAGATCAGGAGGCGCGCCCGACCGAGAGTGCGAAACTCCCCTCTCTCACCAGCGTCAACGCCGGTATAGTTTTCATAGTGCGTCTCCTTCTTATCACGGTGTGCGGAGGGCCACGATGATGTACGGGAAGTAAAAATTATTTTTTTTCTTACCTCGCGGCTGTTGAACATCTGGGCACAATCTGGACGGTAACGCCTCGTCAAAGATCAGAGCGACGGGTTTCGTGTCTGGTATGACGGTGTGGAAGGCCTTGTGCTAAGGGGCATCCACACAATCTGATCTGCCTAAACGACTTGTTACTCTTTCACAGGGATTTCCAATCTTATCCTAAATTATCTCTTGAAGCCCATGGCTCATATGTGAAATGGTAACGGTCCGGATGAAGAGACCGCTGATGTGCCAACAAGAGTTGGAATGAATTATGATGTGTATCAAGTTGCCCTGTGCCTATTTGCACCTGGGGCAGATCTAAGTAAGACTCCAAACACAACACGAAAAAGGGAGCAGACTAATTTCCTGTTGTTATAACTAGAATAACAAAGACCTAAAGCATCACTGGTGTCTTGGTTCACTAAAAAAAAAAAAAAAAAAAGGTCGAGTGCCGTGAGGAAGTTGGTGCAGTCAGCTTTGTAAATGGATGCGTTTGAGGGTCGCTGGGGTAATATTTATTTGCACAATTTCACGAGACGGATTTAGTAACTTTTAAAACCTAAATGATCCTTCAATCAAGGGAAAAAGAAAAGAAAAAAAGGACTCCGAAATGCTTCTTTAGAAATGACCAAATTTCGAGACTGCACGGGGTAATTGTTGAGTGCTTTCTCCATCCTGCCTTTATTACAGCAGTGGCACAAGCGAACTCGTCAGCCACACACGCGTGGCTGAAACAAAGCACTGTAACAGTCAATCATCACTCGGGTGTCCTTAAAAGCCAATATGCGAGCGCGAGAAAATATTAGGTTCCGAGATGAAGAATGTGCAGTACGCGGCAGGAAAAAGATTCCTCCTCCACATGACCCAACGCTGGCCGTGGCCGGGCTGTGGGAAATGAGGGATAACGCCGGACTGCGCGGCAGCTTACGGTACTTTGTTGTTATTATTATTTCTCCACGCCGGCCTGCGTTCTGGGCTGGCTCGCTGACAAGAAGCCAGGCCAGGCCAGGCCAGACATTCCCTCGAGCCCACTTTGCAAATTGAGACACACACAACAGAGCACAACTACTTTGTCAACTTTTTGTGTGTGTGAACTTGTCACCTTGTGTTGCCAGCAGGTTAACGGCCCACTCGCTCGCCGCGGATTTGTGGCGGTTTTCAAGGGTTGCGACACACTCCCGATTCTGGTTTCGTTGCCCGCCTCACAGGAGACACGCGAGGGAGGACAGCCAAGGCGGGGGAAAGGCGTTTTGATCGTGACAGACCGAGACCATAGGAAGTTGAGGGGCAGAAAAAAAGGAGGGAGGAGGGACAGAGGGCCAGTTATGCGTGGGCCGCGTGCCTGCTTTTTTAGATTCCACAGGTGCGACATGTCATCGTGGGCTGTCTCATCTCCCGCGTTGCCTTTTCTCGCCGCCCCCCATCTCAGCATCCCTCGGATCCTACCGTGCTAAACACGGTAACCTGTTCCTTTTAAACTTTTGCCTTTATGTAGCCGCACCCTCTTGCAGAGACAAAGAAAAAAGTAATCGTGTCAATGCACTTTGGTCAAGAGATGCCGTCGCAGTCACATCATCGTCGAGAAATGGAACAAATATCACACTTTAGCAGCGCAAGAGGGACGCCACAGTATGGGGTCAGCGAGAACATCTTCGCCGCCCTGCTCGCGGCAGCAGCAAAACAGCACATCCCGATTGCCTCGTCGCCACTGAACCCGGATTTACGCGAGAGCGACCTGAAATTTGGACGACAGATTCGCCGCATGAGGAAACCAAGACCAGTGACGAGAAAGGGCCCAGAGCTATCACCCGGCCTATGGCTGCTCCGTCGAAAAGCGGCACTCGCGCACCAGCGCACCAAGCAGTCCTCGCCTCCCCTCAAAGAGGATAACACAGTCGTCATCTCTGAATTGTGCGAACCATTGGCGTACATGGAGGAGGGCGACATCACCGACAATCTCAAGGATGCCATGCCGGCCTTCGTCGTGGAGTCCGGGCCTCTGACACACATTGTCTATGCACAATATGTCCAACACGATGTGACGGCCGATTTGGAGAAACAGGCACAGGGAGATCTCTTGCTGCCTGAGCCGTCACAAGGGGAGAAGCAACGCCAACGCCTCCGATTTTTCTTCATCCTGTGTGTGTTGAGCGCCTGCGCCACATTGTTCACTGTATTCGTCTTCGAAATGCTCAGGAGCGGTCACTATCTCTCGCGTTAGATACCAACGAAAGAGAGAAAAAAACCGCTGGGTCGGAACCTGCTTCATCATAAGAGAGTCGAATTCTTTTATGCGGCAGTGATCGCCCGAGTGTCTCGGGCCACTGGAGAGATCTGAGTGGAATTCTAAATCGGCTCAACTCCAACCTCATTTTTTATGTGCGCCATCTTCAGATCATGTTGCCGGGCCCCGTATCTCATACATCGTCTTTTCTCATCAACTCTGTTTCTTTGGTATTTTTTTCGTCATTGCGACTTTGGGTCGTCTTTCTTCTTGGCGGCAGCGTCGCGCTCAGCGTTCTGCTTATGGATGGCTTGTTGGACCTGCCATATTGCTCGCTCCAGCTCTACCTCCAGCTGTGGCAGGCCCAAAGCCTGAGTCATTTTCTTTCCATTGCTCTGATCCAACAACATCATTTCTCCTTTCGGTTGGGCGTCTTGGGGCATTTTTGGGTTGGCGTTCTTGGGTACTCCGGGGTCGACCGTGGGGTCTGGCGTCGATGGAAGCGGGGGATCCTGTCTCAGGTACACCTCATCAAGGATCGGGGAGGGCTTATGGATGAGTAGGCGATTTTTGAGGAGGAATTGTATGTGTTTACCACCTGACAGGGCACGCCAATGCGACCATGCCCGGTAGACGAGATAGAAGAAGGGTATGTTCGGGACTCTAATCGAACGTGATTAGCATTATTTTTCCCAAGACCAAGGTCTATCTCTATACCACTGCACTTACACTGGGACCAACGCGAACGGGGCACTGATAGGCATCCCTATGAAGCACCATAAAAGCCTCCTTCGGTGAAGACCCTCTCGCTCTGTGCTCAGCCTCTGTAGCACGTCTTCAACCTGGCTGGACTGTATCAGGGTCTTGGGAAAGTAGACCTCCACCTTGTCGCTGCCCTTGAGCTCGTCGTCTGCACGCTTCGTGGACAGCGGCGGGACAGACTTGAGCCCCCACTCCTCATATGGTATCTTCCGGAGAGCCTGGTTGCCATATTTGACAATGGTCTTTTGCCAGCCCGACTCTTTCTGTTCCCAGCCCGCCCAGGTTGCCGCGGCCTTGAGCTGGATCCTGTCCATCCATCCTGAGCTCTGGTGCGCAGCGTCGTTGAGCCGATGGGCGTACAGAAGCGTCCGACGCGTCGATACAGGAAGGAGAAAGACGCGCATCTTTGCTAGAGGTCTGCGTTATGACAGCTGGCTGGTCCTGCTGGGGTGGGCGCGATGACGACTAGGCAGTGAATGACTCGGGAGACGGATGAGAGAGGGCGAGGGGAGGAGAGCTGTGAAGGCTACTGGCGAGTGATGATAACGCCGCTTTTCAAAACCAAGACCTGATGCTGCTGTCCATGACTGTGCGCTGAGAGACAGAGCCAGGCTGGAATCCCAAGCGAAGATAGGAAGAGGAGGCAGCTGGGCAATGCCTGGAGATGCTGGTCACGATAAGCTTAAAGCAAGGTGTAGGATCTATCTTCCTAGATCGAAGTTTTCTGCGCGTTGCAGGTCCATGGCAATGACGCACTCTGGAGCTCACTGTGCCCTCTGAGTGGATATCGGCCCTGCAGGTTAGTGCACTACCTTTCCGTTCTGGCTGCAGGCACTCTACCACAGTGGGCCTGCAGCCACGTCCTGGAACGCCCTGGGAGGCCTGGGCTTCGGAGAAAATGCCCCTGAGGAAGCGGGCGCAGCTCCAGGTACCTCTCTATCACGGGGCCTCCCATGCAGTCGCTGTGGGCCACTGACTGATCTGCTCCGCTGATCCTGACAGGCATGAACCTTGAGAGACGGCCTTATTTTGGTACATCGATGACCTCTCAACAACAGGAAGGGAAAAAGATGCAAGGGAGGAAAGCAGTATGAAGAAATTTTGGTAATTCAAAATCATGTCCAATAACTAACCTCTTCTCCCGACCTAATTACCACATGTTGGTAGAAAAGAAAGAGGAAAAGGCAAACAGGGCATCATGGTCTTGAACGCTGTTGTGAACTGGTGGCTGGGAATTCAGGTGGTCAATAGGTAGTGTGTACTCCGTCTTAGCCGGTGACGTCCCTTGCTGGAAGCTTGCACCCCCCTGGTCTCCCATCATCGAGCCCGAGACAACCTTGATTCTCAATTCAACTTCGTGAAATTAAGCGTCATCTCTTTCTGTTTTCTTCTCTTCTCACCTCCACCAACCTCGTCGCGGCGCGGACCTGTGCTGCGGTCGCCAGGTCATTCACTGTTGACGAATTAATGAGGCCCGCCTTGCCTGCCCACTGCTGCTGATCGTGATTACACAAGCACCCTCTCTGCCTGCCTGCATGTCTCATGAAGAAAGGTCCGGACCAGGCACGACTTTGTCTGGCCAACATAAAGCACAGTCTGTCCTAGCGATAACTGTACACTACAGGTCGTCTACTCGTTTTGCTTTGCGCCCTTCTGCCAATTTTCTGGTAAAAGATCAATAATTGGCTTCTCTCTCGTCGCGTGGGCCCCAAATACTACCGTTGACACCCTGTTGCTCACTTTGCGGCCGCGCACCCACCTAACCGACTCGGGCCCAACAACACCGTCCCACTGCCGCCTTCATTCTTGTAGGTGTAGGCTTCGACGGCTGGAAATCTCGGAATACCCACCAGATTGACCTGGCGAAGCCTTGCGGTTCATTAGGGTGCTTTGTCGAAACATCGCTACGGTCATTCAGCTGCTCCGTGTTTCACCCGCCGCGGGCCACCCTGAGGGAGCGAGGTCTATCCATAGGGCCTCCTTGTGGGAAGCAGTCGCATTAGACTGTTTTTCCTTCTTCAGAAGAGACGAAACAGAAGAAGGACAAACAGATTTCGGGCATTAGGGGGGCTGTATCTTGACCAGTCTTCATGGAACACCCGCGCCCTAGCACCGGAAGCACTGCGGTCGAAGCAAATGCAAACCGGAAAATACGCACCATACCGCGTCAGTCCCACGTTATGTCGTTGAATGGGGCCTCCTGCTGACGTCTTTATAGCTTGGATCGCGTCTTGGGAAGACAGATATGGCCCGCCACCGCCAGAGATTCAGCAGATCGTGCCGAGCCGACCGTCGGAGACCGTACGCCCAGAGCACAACAGCACCCCTGCGCCACCGCAGCGGAGGGTGTCTAGAGACGGATACGTGAACTGGACCTCCGAAGCACCAGTCAATAATGTGTCAAAGAATTTGATCGCGAAGAAGAGGCAGAAGAGGCGAGTACAGCGGGGGCAGAAATGGGACCATCTCCGAACGAGAGAGCCGATCATCATCCCGAATTACCTGATGCGCGATCAGGACTCGCCATGGAGGAACTTTGTGCAGGCCAGCAAGTATGGACACGCCGCCGGCGAGAATGCGGAAACGGTCGATCCAGAGAAGCTGAATGAGTTGATGCCCGGCTTCAACGACAACACCCCCCTGCGCTTCACAGATGATGCAGTGCGGAGCAGGAGCAGGAGGGCGGCCTTTCATGAACATGCCTGGCGCATTCTCCTCAACCACCCCCTGGTTCCCGCAATCCTCAGATTCTCGGTCTTGCTGCTGTCTATCATCTCGCTTGCCTTGTCAGCCAATTTATGGAAGCTGTATGCGGACGCAGGAGATCGGTCCTCAAATACAGCAGGCATCTCTCTCCGCTCACAATGGCTCGTGGCCATCGTTGTTGACTGCGTCGTCACACCCTACGTGTTCTACATGACCTGGGATGAGTGGACCGGGCCGCAGTTTGGCCTGAGGTCCCCAATGCACAAAGTCTCCCTGACGCTTCTCGATCTTTTCTTCATCATCTTCAAGTCCGCTAGCGCCACGCTTGCGTTTGATTCGCTGTACCTCAGGAACAACCCGTACGGCGAGATGGCCAAGATGAAGGCCCTGGCCTCCTTCCTGCTGCTGGGTCTCATTGGTTGGATCATGAATTTTACAGTGAATGTGTTCAGGCTAGTGCAGAGGCTTGGGACGGGAGCAGGAGACGAGGATCGAAGATTAGTGTCCCACGCTTGAAAAGGTAGTCAGAGTATAGAAAAATTCAACAACAGCATAAAGTATTTACACATGTCTGAGCCCTCTGAACATAGCTGGCATAAGGGCGGTCTCTCTACCCTCAAGGGCCCAACATCATCATAGACATGCTCACTAAGTAGTGGATATAGCGAGAGTTCCGACACTCTCAGTGCTGCTGGCGTTCTGAACTTTCCATCTCTGGTCTTACATCTCTCCTTGTTTCTTCTTTTATGTTTGCCAGTAGACTTGATTTTTCGAGGAGCATGCTATGAATCACAGCCAGCCGCGTCTTACGCACCCACCGACTCCCCAAGGAACCATAAGGCTAGGATGTTGTTGACAGCAGGCGACATGTGAATGTTAAAAGTTGCAAGAATGCGAATCTCCAGTCAGTGAGTGATAGTTGTTTGGCACCTCCAGGCTAATAAAAAGTGGATCCCAAAACGGGGGCACAGACCCCGCCATTGCCGTCCATCCAAGTCAGCCGCCTGCAACCCTTGTCAGCAAGTTGGCTCACTTTCGACTTTCCCGCCGCTTCAGCAGCCTACAGCAGCAAGCCTTGACCTCCAAACAACTCCTGCCTTCTATCCAAAGCCTTGCTTCTTCCTCCCTTCACACAAACAGCGACAGTCAGGACAACAGACAGCGCAACTGGTTGTCGCTCTCACATCCCTGTGTCCTCTTTTTCCTTTTTCCTTCTCATCGTGTTAGGGCGATCCTTGGACACACCTCCAGTACCCCTCGAAGACGCGCCTGACCATCGAATAGTTAGGCCCTCATCCTCCCCCGACCCTCACTCCGCCACAGGCAACCAGTCATACCAGCTCCTATCACGCCGTCAACATCGAGTGATCCCAACTTTTTTCTGATCTGGCCCACACCCAACCATACACCAGCCGTGTCGTTCTTCGAGTGCATCTGCTGTCGCCAACAAGCGCTTTCTCAGTTTTCGTCCTCACCGTCTCCTTCGCGTCGTCCCGTCCCAGCATCCTGCAACCCTTGCCACACTCAACAGGCTTCCAGGTGGCTCGAGCACGGCCACGATGCGGTCGTCTGTGGCGATGCCCAAGGGGCCTGACCGTGATAGCATTACAGATACATGGGAGTACCTCGCTGGTGGTATCACCAAGATCATGGACGATCTTCAGAAAGGCATGACTATGGACGATGTGAGCCTTGATTCCCAGCCCTCGTGGTCTGAATGACATCTCCTTTTCCCCCTTCGATCCGAATGACACTGACGGTAGATGTTCCACGATAGTACATGGGAATTTACACTGCTGTTCACAACTTCTGCACATCGCAGAAGGCTCATCCCCTCACCTCCAGCACGCCTTCAGCTGGCATCGGCCAGGGTCATCACAGGGGCGCCCACCTGCTTGGTGAAGACCTGTATAAAAAGCTCCTGGACTACCTGGAGCAGCACCTCAAGGTACTTCTGGATAGAGCTGAGCAGCACACAGATGAGGCCCTCCTCACTTATTACATCAAGGAGTGGGAGCGATACACCAACGCCGGAAAGTACGTCCACCACCTGTTCCGATACCTGAACCGTCACTGGGTCAAACGTGAGATGGACGAGGGCAAGAAGAATATATACGATGTGTACACCATGCATCTGGTGCAATGGCGGGCGGTGTTGTTCGAGAAGATCGACAAGAAGGTCATGGCGGCGGTGCTGAAGCTGGTTGAGAAGCAACGAAACGGCGAGACTATCGAGCACGGTCAGATCAAGCAAGTCGTCGACTCCTTCGTTGCCCTTGGTCTTGACCCGTCCGACCCCAGCAAGACTACGCTTGACTGCTACAGGTATCACTTCGAGAAGCCATTCCTCGAGGCGACCAGACTGTTCTATCAGACCGAGAGCACGCAGTTCCTGGCCGAGAACAGCGTTGTCGAGTATATGAAGAAGGCTGTCGCTCGCCTAGACGAGGAGGAGGAGCGCGTCAAGCTCTATTTACATCCCGACATCGCCATCTCTTTGAAGGCATGTTGTAATGACGCTCTCATCAAGGACCACCAGAACCTGCTTCGCGATGAGTTCCAGCTCCTATTGGAGAATGATCGAGAAGAGGACATGGCTCGTATGTACGACCTGCTATCGCGAATCCCGAACGGCCTGGATCCTCTGCGCGCCCGATTCGAAGCCCACGTCCGTAAGGCGGGGTTGGCAGCGGTTGCCAAGGTTGCGCAAGATGCTGAGAAGCTCGAGCCCAAGGTCTACGTCGATGCTCTTCTGGAGATTCACTCACAGTACCAAGGTCTGGTCAAGCGGGCGTTCAATGACGAGCCTGAATTTACGAGATCACTCGACAATGCCTGCAGAGAGTTTGTCAACCGCAACGACATGTGCAAGTCTGGATCCAATAAGTCTCCCGAGCTCCTCGCCAAGTATACCGACGTGCTGTTGCGCAAGAGCGGTACTGGCGTCGAGGAGTCTCAGCTGGAGGAGACTCTGTCACAGATCATGACTGTCTTCAAGTACATTGAGGACAAGGACGTCTTCCAGAAATTCTACTCTCGCATGCTGGCCCGGCGCCTCGTTCACAGCAATTCCAGCAGTGACGATGCCGAGACATCCATGATCAGCAAGCTGAAGGAGGCCTGCGGTTTTGAGTATACCAACAAGCTGCAGCGCATGTTCCAGGACATGCAGATTTCAAAGGATCTCAACACCGGCTTCAAGGAGCACACCAATGCCCTTGACGAGGGCTCCCTGTTGGACTCCCAATACTTCATTCTAGGCACTGGCTTCTGGCCTTTGAACCCGCCCTCGACGACGTACAACCCGCCCACGGAGATCGGCGCCGATCTGGAGCGGTTCACGAGGTTCTACAAGCACAAGCACGAAGGTCGCAAACTCACGTGGCTGTGGCAGCTGTGCAAAGGTGAGCTGAAGGCCAACTACTGCAAGAACAGCAAGACGCCCTACACCTTCCAAGTCTCACTGTATCAAATGGCTGTGCTGCTTCTCTTCAACGAGACCGACAAGAACACGTACGAGGATATCGCTGAGGCCACACAAATGAACTCGGAGACACTGGACCCTGCTCTGGGCATACTCCTGAAGGCGAAGGTTCTCACTATGTCACCCGAGGGCGACAAGCCAGGCCCTGGCAAGACGTTCAGCCTCAACTATAACTTCAAGAGCAAGAAGATTCGTGTCAATCTTAACCTCGGCACGAAGACGGAGGCGAAGCAGGAGGAGGTTGAGACCAACAAGACGATCGAGGAGGACCGTAAACTCTTACTCCAGGTGAGCTGCCCTCCACCCTTCCTCTTTTTCTGGCTCTATGTGTAACTGGATAGATGCTAACAACTTTTCTTATAGTCCGCTATCGTTCGTATCATGAAGGCGCGAAAGAAGATGAAGCACCAGCAGCTGGTGAGCGAGACCATCAACCAGATCCGCCAGCGTTTTGTTCCTAAGGTGGCGGATATCAAGAAGTGCATCGAGATCCTTCTTGACAAGGAGTACCTTGAGCGTCTTGATGACGATGAGCTTGGCTACCTAGCATAGGTGGGCCAGTTCATGTCAATATTTTTTTTTGGACTTGATTGATGTGTATGAGTACATGACATGCTCTACCCCTCAGCCTCTATACTCATCATAGGCTTGACATTGCCTGCCTCCCACAGTGACTCGGGGTCTTGCCATTTGGTCAAGTGGTCATGATGGGAATGATCTAGATCTGTTTGCATGGGTTGCTTTGACTGGTTTGATGCATGAAAGGGCGCATCGTCAAGGCATACCACGTTGTTGTCAGCCTCCACGAATAAAGGCTAAGGAAATGAGTTCGCCAGGAGAGCTAGGTGCAAGAATACCAGGTGCGTTCACACGGAAGATCAAGGGCTTTTTTTAGTTTGGCCAGCAGATGGGAGTGAAAAGATGTCCAATGATGTGGACAGGCTCACTCCGCCTCACAAAGAGCCTACCAGAATAGAATGGGCCAGGTAGCATAGGTCTGATGGAAGGAATTAAAGAACATTTTTGCAGATATGGCGGTTCAGCCAGGTTGTTAAGATCTGACATATGCTATCCTAAGTTGGCGAGTGTGGTGTGGTGAGGAAGATGGTGGCTTTTGCTGCCTTGTCTTCCCCCTTTTATAAGTTGAACAGTAAGATGAAGGCAAAACTTCATCAACATACAGCTTCCTAGTCCTGCTATGGAGCTAGTAGACCAACTCCACGACACATGACCTTCCTCCGAATGAGAAGGAGAACCCAGTCTTGAACCTTTGATGACTAAGTCCAGAGCGAGTACTATGATGAATGCATAGCTCAACATTTTTCTACAGCAGAAACCAAGACCCATGACGCAGTGTGTCCTCTACATCTTTGACAAAGGGTCCTGGAGCTGCAGAAGGTCATCCCACCGGGCTATCATGATCAGCTTGGAAATGGTATGTATCCCGGTCACCAAAGGAAAAGCGCCGCGGGTCGTAAAAATAGCATGATAGTTTCGGTATACGAGGTCCATGAGAGTACTATAGTAGTAGGATTTTGATTGTGCAAGACAGGGAGGGGTATGGCTACTTGGGGCACTGTAGCACTGCACCGTAGCATCAGGCGTTTTGCCACGACAGAAGGGTTGAGAGAACGGAGCAGCGGCAGGCATAGATGTGTGTCTGTGTGTGTGTATGTGCATTGTGGATTCGGCCGAGATGATAGAGTGCGCCCTGCATGATTCCCGAGAGTCACACCATAAGATAGTTTGTTTGCTTCTCTTTTCTCGACAATGCCATATATAAATGGATGTGGACTAGACTCTATCCACAAAGTTCACCACAAGGTTCTCGGAACACCAGGTTTATTCATCTCGGTTCAAAGTTAAAACATCCGGGAGGGGGGCAGGAAAAAAGAAAGGGAGGGGGTTGGCCCTGGAGGTCAGATCGCTTTTTCCACTTTTATCATATTATTATTGTGATCCGTGTATGTGTTGGAACCTATCCTTTCCCCCCTATGAGACAGCGTCGTCCCTGGCCCGAAGCCGGGGGTGTGTTTTGCTTTCGGGAGGGTTCCTCGTCGTCGCAGAGGCATGTTTCCTTAAGGGGCTTGCTGCTTCAGAACAGAGGGCCCGTGGCTTTTATTAAACCACGTCAGACACAAACACACACACACACACACACACACACAAAAAGAATGGACTGGCTTGACATACACCATGCCTCCTCGAGCCAGCCCGGGTCTTTGGGGCCGTCTTGAGATCGAGGCCCAGCCCCCCGACGCCCCACTGATGTGTCGTAGTAGCGGGCATTGGCCCTCTTTTTCCAGGGGAAGAGCCATGCTGCGGCGTGGGTGAAGCACGTGGCTCGGGGGACCGAATCAGGTTGGGTTTCTTTTCTCTTCTTATTCTTTTCAATTAATGTTTCTGTTTTGGTTGTTCGCTGGTAGGGTAGTTCCACAGCCATAAGAGACAGAAGCCAGGGAATATAAAATTAAAAAACCGGGGTTGGGGGAGGGGGCGGGGGGCAAGGGAGATGTTCCGAGCAGGGACACGGGGGCTCCTTTCTTGGGTGCATTGGTCTTCTGGTCCAGGATGCTCGAGTGAAGTGGTGGTCAATCTTGCGAGGTTCCATGTCCTGGAGGTCAGGCCAGGGCTGTGGCAAAGAGTTGAGAGTACTGTACCTCTGAATGATTGACCATACCTGTAAGGATTGATACAGTACTATGTAGTTCGGAGATCATGGTTCGGCTACGGCATCTTATCTTGTTGGCTGCAGGCCGGGTCGGCGAGCAGGGCCAAAGGGGAAGAGGCGGGGAGGAAGGGGCGCCGGTGGCAATGTGCAGCTCGCCAGCAAGACACAATCTCGAGGGAGTCCGCGGGCTGCTGTTGGAGCAGGACTGGTGAGGAAAGAAAAGAGATGGGGGAGAAAGAAAATAGGGAAAGACAATAGAACAAACTAACCACCGCCCCTCCCCCCTTCCTTCCCATGGGTGATAGATAGATCATGTGCCTTGCGAGGGCCCTGCTCGCATTGAGGGGGGGGGGGGGGGGAGAGAGGTGAGCGATGGCGATCTGGAGATGAGGGGCCGGAGATTCGTACGTTTTCGGGCGCCGTGGCGCACCTTGGGAAATGGATGAGGATTAGAGGGCATAGACTCTCGGCCCTCTCGTGCCTCTGGATCCAGACCAAGCTGTGACAGACGACGATCAGATGCTGCTTTTGCTACTTAGTGGTGGTGCTGCTGGTGTGGCGTTATGGTGGTGGCACAGTCCAGATTGTTGTCTTTATTGTTTGACCAACAACAAAGTTCATGGTCGTGTCGTCATCTTTTTGGAAGCGTTGACTGGAGGTTGGTCCCCCCCACCCCAAAACTCATACACACAGTTGTCATACCAGGTTGTACAAGGGATATCGGTTAAACCCCCCCCCCCCCCCAAAAAAAAAAAACCACCAACCCCCTCTTCCAAGGTGAGGACCTCTAAGCGGCTATGGCACCCGCGGGAATGAGAGGCCCTTGTCTATTGCTTCGCTGCAACCTCTCATTTGTTGATAGGGCGTGGAAAGAGGTCTCGGCAGGTTCGGGGATTGATGGGATTGTGCTGGATAGCTGGGGCTGAGACTGGATTCTGGGGGGGGGCCTTGTCGCTCACAGGTCATGTCATTGGATCTCTGGCCTGATGCGATGGGGATGTTCAACCCGGCTGGCGGAGAATTAACAATGTCGGTAAGTGAGCAGGTGCAGCTGATAGCGCTGGATGAGGGAGACTAACTAGACAAGAAAAAGGATTCAAGGAAAAAGAAAAAAAAAGGACAAAACTTTTACAGTGCCGGAGAACCGTGGGAAAAAGACGGGGAGGGGGTGGATGTAGTCGCCCAGAGGGAGGGGAACATTGATGACATCTATTGCGTGATGTCTATGGTCAAAGGTTGGTGCCAGGTTTAGGATGGGCCAATACGTTATATTGCGAGCCTGTTATCAAAGCAGCTTCCATCTTCGGCGAGGGCTGCAGGCGGCGAACAGCTGTGGTGCATGAGTATGTACAGCAACGGAATTTATAGTCGCTGAAGAGGGGGGCGGGGGGAAGGAGGGGTAATGAGATTTGCTTCTGGTCTGTTGAAGCAAAGATAAAGTCTAGCTACTGTGTGGCAAGCAGTCTTGCTATCAGAGCTGGGAAGTAGATCTTGCAGTGAGGGCGCTCCTTTGTTTAATTATATATATATATTTTAGACGATGTTTTGCCCCCCACGATATGCCAACTTCCAGGATCCGGGATCCACCCTTGGGGGGGGGGACCCAGGTTCGAGAGAGAACTCAAGACGGCATATAATAAGCTTCTAATTGTATCCTACTGCTGTTTTCATACACAACAATATGTCTGCTCTTGGCTGGCCCATGTTCCTCTCTAGGGTCAGTCTGGTTGGCGCTGAAATTGGAGCGGGATGTGATGATTGATGATTTTGCGTTGCCTGCCAGCACGAAGGAAGAAATACCGTTTGCGCCTAGCAGCGGTGTGTTCAAGGCCAACAAACAGAGGTGACCGGGGGCCCCAGTACAGAGAGGTGGGGACCTGAGGCTCGTACTTCTGACATGGTCACCGCTCACCCCGTGTGGCCCATCCCCCATTCATCCACAGTGGGCGGCAGCTACCATAGTACATGGTAGGGAAGCAGTGGGACAGTTTTACCCTTTGGGGGTGGTCCCTGTGGCAGGGCACCCGCAGCTCGTAGCAACAGTGATAGTGACAGCGGCAGTGGCAGTAACAGCGACAGCCACGGGCTACCGGCTCTCACAGCAAAAGGATCTCGTCTAGTGGTTTTCTACTGCAACATACAAGAAGAAATGATAATTCAACATCCTGCATCGACTACTATGTAAGCAGCAGGTTACTACTGAAAATGCTGCATGCTTACTATGTACTATACTAGATTATGATATTTGATGTCGTCTTGTAGTGAGTGGGACCTGAAGCAGGTACCTGAGTAGCTGCGCGTACAGACCGAGACTAACAATACCCGTGAGTACTGCGCGCTTCCCCCCGCATGATGATGATCCATCTCCTCTCCCATCAATCACTACTCCTGCGTTCCCTCCACCTGCTCCCTGCTGCACCTGCAACCCACACCCACAGTACACGTATCTGTACACCTGTTCCTGCACCTGCACCTGCGGCCTGCACCTTGGCGGCTGTCACCAGATTTGACTACGTCAATGCTTGATACTCTTTTTCTTTTTTTTTCCTCTCTCTTTCTTTTTGCGATCGGTTCCCGCTCTGGAGGGTTTGGTAGTGGAAATCCTACATCTGCGCTCTGAAAAAGAGTCCTCCCCTTCTCCCCACAACAACACATTCTGTATGCACCTGAATGGGCCTGCCAGGTTCGACGACACACGCATACACCGGCTCTGACAGTAATAGTGTCGCCGCTGCTGTCAGCCAGACCTGCACAGACCATACAGAACCCGACTGATCTCTGGTTCTCTGTCTGCGGGTAGGGCCTCTCTGCGCCTCGCCTTGCCTCGCCCTGCCCTACGCTGCTGCCCTTGCCTGGCCTGGCCTGCCCTTGTCTGGCCTTGGCCTTGCCTTTTGCCTTGCCAAGCGCTTGCCACAATTCCTAACTGCCATCTGACCCAGCCGCTGCCAGCCAGCCAGCCAGCCTTCGGCAATCAGGAGCCAGGGTTGTCAATTACCAGATCCAGAAAAACACATTCAATCAGACCTGCGGTGTGGTGTCCGTCCCGTTCGGTCCGGTCCCTTTCGGCTTGGTTTTTTATCTTTTTTTTTATTTTTTTATTTTTATCCCTCCTTCTTTTCTTTCTCTTTCGAATCCCGCCCATCCAACCCACGCCAACCTAATTCAACCGACCAAGACTCCAGCCAGTCCGGGCCACTATTCACCACCCGCCTCGCTCGCTCGCTACCACGACCCGACGACGACCCGACGACCACAATCACAACCACGAGCCACCGATAAACCACACCACCCGCACACCCCCTTGGCCACTGATATCTACGTCTACTCCTCGCTCACCTCGGCCGCCCTCGTCCGTCGCTCGCTGGTCACATCTCTTGCCGCCAGGAAAGGACATGCCGTCGTACTGCTCCTGCCTGCCCAAGCCCACCAGCAGGTCCCCCCTCCCCAACCCGGCAGCTCTGAGCTATAGTTTCCTTAGAGCGAGCTCCCCATCGTTTTCGGCATAACCCCTCAGGTATGTAAGGGCACGCCACTCCCCGGACCTGGGCTTTCTTCTAACATTAGAAATCCTCGATGCGGTTCAGCTGCGCTTTTCCCTGGTATTGTGTATACAATACTTGCTCAGGATAGAGAGCAACACTCGACCAGACGCGACCGACTGGCCCCAGGGCTCAACGTTTTCCCCCTCCTCCCCTCTGAACACAAAGGAGGGAAAAAAGACCTTCCTGAGTTCTCTTGTCGTTACGACACGAACCTGCTACGTCAAAAGCCGCCTGGTTGGCTGAAGCCCGACTCCTCTCGATACGTCAGCGTAGAGTACCCACCCACCCTACTCTGCGCAGCCTGGCGTCGCGGTCAAGACCGACACGACAGGTCACTGACAGCAAGCAAGCTCCCACCCCTTTCTTCTTTGACAGTGTAAAGATCCTCGAGCTTCTACCCCTGCCCAGGCAGGCGTCGGGTTGCCTTCAATCTGGCTGTGAGCTTCCCAGACTCATAGTCTGATCACTTTAGGAGCGTCCAGCTGTCAATTGCCATAACACTCCCTCTCTGCGTCCCTGACCCGATCGGCAACCACCATCAATTGCTGCGAGAGGCGGTACAATCGAGCCGAGACACCTTGTCCGCCTGGGAAGGCCAAGCTTTCCGCCCAGTGCAAGCACCCAAGCCTCTGACGCCTTGAGCTCCCGTCACCCCTTCGCCTACCCCATCAACCGATTCACCCAGACGCACACTCCATGGGCGCCTAGCTTGCCCTGTCAAAGCGAACTCGACCTCAAATCTCCGGCCTGGGTCGCACCGTCTGAGCGTCCCTCCCGCCTTGTCCTCCGTGAGCGCGGCTCCCTCGTGGGCCAGCGGGGTCAGTCAAGATGGGTGCCTGCATGAGTTCGAGCAGTGAAGAAACGGAGCAGAAGAAGAGGAGCCAAAAGATTGACAAGGATTTGGAAGAGGACTCAAAACGATTGAGAAGAGAATGCAAGATCCTCCTGTTGGGTATGTTGCCTGTGGTGACGAGCGCTTCATGCGCGACACCCTGGAGTGCGGGGAGGAAAGTTGGTTGGACAATAACACTAACACCAGGTGTGCAGGATCCGGCGAGAGCGGCAAGTCCACGATCGTGAAGCAGATGAAGATTATCCATCTCAAGGGCTATTCGGACGAAGAGCTCTACAACTACCGCCCGACCGTGTTCAAAAACCTAATAGAATGCGCCAAAGCCGTCGTGAATGCAATGCGGCAGTTCGACATCGAACCAGAAAAGGAAGAAACAAAGACTCTTTGCGACTTTCTCCTCGAATACAGTGTCGATTCCGGGCCGCAGGTTTTGATCGACACGAGGGTTGGAGAGGCAATACAGGCAATATGGAACGACCCTGCGAGGAAGCAGCTCATGGACCGACAAACCGAATTCTACCTCATGGACTCGGCCGAATAGTGCGTCTGAGGCCTACACCGTAAGCGTTGAACCCGTGGCTGACCTGACTACCAGTTTCTTTGAGCAGGCGCAACGAATCGTGCGCCAGGACTACCTGCCGAACGAGATGGACGTCCTTCGAGCAAGAACAAAAACAACGGGGATATACGAGACACGTTTCCAAATGGGCCAGCTTAGCATACAGTAAGTATTGCCATACGCCAGCACCCTTTGGGCGAGAGTGGTCACAGGCTAACCTTGGTTCTCCTCTTTTTTCTTTTCCCCCACCACAGCATGTTTGACGTTGGAGGACAACGAAGCGAGCGGAAAAAGTGGATTCACTGTTTTGAGAACGTGACATCTATCATATTCTGTGTGGCCCTTAGCGAATATGACCAGGTGCTACTGGAGGAGAGTAGTCAGGTACAGTTGAAACGTCATTCCTACAGATTCAAACAAGACTATCGCTAACAGTTGGCAGAACCGTATGATGGAGAGCCTGCTCTTATTCGATTCCGTGGTCAATTCGAGATGGTTCGTGCGGACCAGCATAATATTGTTCCTCAATAAAGTCGACATCTTCAAGCAGAAGCTCGGCAGGTCGCCATTGAGCAACTACTTTCCCGACTACTCTGGCGGCAATGATGTGAATAAGGCTGCCAAATATCTTTTGTGGAGATTTAACCAGGTCAACCGGGCACATCTGAACCTATATCCTCAGTAAGGCTTTAACGTCCCAACTGTCTCTTATCTAGCTCTGTTCTAACACGACCCCTTAGTCTCACCCAGGCAACGGACACATCAAATATTCGGCTCGTCTTCGCCGCCGTGAAGGAGACCATCCTCAACAACGCCTTGAAAGATTCAGGCATTTTGTGATCACGAGATGGTTTTATGGAATGGTTTGCTATGTAATGGGTGTGGCGTGTTGTTTGATTCTTCTCAAAGAGCGGTCTTCACCAAACAGTGCATCAGTCTGGCGTTTGGGGCGGTGTCTCCTTGTTCTTTTTACTCTTCCCACACGGATCGGCGGCGTTGTGGAGACGGTCATGACCACAGCCAAGGGCTCAATGACATTCGCCCTATTATTATTCTGGCGGCTTCGATCTTGTTTTGACCACAGCTGGCTCGGTTCTATTCGAGCAAAGGAATGGGTTTTGATGCAGAGTCGGATAGCTATGTTATAGCCGTGTGGTTGCTCGGCATGATGATTATAACTTGACCTCCGTGGCGAGGCAAGATAAATGGGCTTCAGGGCATGGAGTTATGGTGATCGATTCTCAGGACACGGCCCGAGAAACGGAAGCGAGGAGACTACAGTGTCTAGGCAACTCTCGCTCACAATCGCCAATGCCCGGCTGAAAAAAAGAAAGGCGAAATGCAAACGGCCCTAGGGGCAGCATGCCTTTGCGGAGAAGCACAGTTCAGCCATCGTTAATTAGCGACAGCATGAAGAAAAAAGTGAAACTCATTCGCGCATTTGGGTCCTGTACATTGGCGACTTGGAAGGAGAAAAGGAAAAAGAGTCGTTGGGACTGCGGGAATTATCACGAAGGGGGGGGGGGGGGCGATTCTGAGCATGCGAATATGCTAACCGCATGGCCCAGATTTAATCTCTCAACTGTCGTATGCTTCAATTCCCCCCCCCCCTTTCCCAAAACACACGTGTTGGTAGAAGGACGGACGGACAGGCCGGTGCTTCGCTGTTGGTGTGGTCCACACCCGGCCGGCCCAGCCCCGGATCGACCTCGCCTCTCCACGTTTGGTTGTGCTCCACTCTTGTTCGACGTCTCGGTGCATAGAGGCGGCGGGCAAATTGGGGGTGACAGCCACGCGGGCTGTGGACCTCGCCGAGAGGGATATAGATGGCTGGTGTTCTGGACCGAATTTTCTTTCCTTGAAGTCTTGTAGTATTTTAGGGGGGTGGCTTTTTTTTTTTTTTTTTGGGAGGGGGGCGGGAGGAGGTGTTGACAAAAGAGTGTATTAGAAGAATACGGATCATAATAAAAAAATGAGAAAGAAAGGGAAACGAATTCCTTGAGATGCAAGCTAGGGGAAAGCCGCTATTGACCACCCCCCTGACAAGCACATCGTAAGCCTGCAGCGGCCTTTTTTGCAAATGTATTGTTGTTGGAAGCTGCAGTACGTGGGTATGTACATAAATGGTAGGAGGTGGCATCTGTACGAAGGTAATGTAGACTTGCAGGGAAGACGACCGACAACTGTCATCATGGGACGGGGAACATTGCTCAAATCTAATGGCGGGAGCAGCATCAACAGTCATGCAAGGCACGGCGAGGTGGCACTGTCGCAGCCAGAGACAAGAGTGAGGCCCCGCTCTTTATGGAGGGAGAATGGTTGAGAGAGGGGGGGGGGGGGAGGAGGAAGGTTGGATTGTTTCAATGTGTTTCTGATCCTCTTCTATGTTTATCGTTTCTTGTTTCTTCGGCCTCTGTTTGTGTATCGGCGATGATGTGCATTCGCGGTGTGGAACACGACGGTTGGCAGGATTCCTGGGTCATACGAGTGAACGAAAGTGCTGGCTGGGAAGGGCCCGGTTGTACGGCGTTGTCCGTATCGTCGATCTTTTTTTCTCTCTCTAGCGGGGTGAGCTTTTGGCTCGATTGGCCTCATCAATTGTTTCTTTCTGTTCTTCTGTTATCCCTGTGTTTTTCATGTATAACCGAAAGCAAAGCTGCCCTGCTGCTGAGTTTCTTTTCGAGCTGGTCGATGCTCCCTGGTAAGTATATGTATGCATAGCACGTTTGCCGAGCACCGGAACGCCTCTTGGGTGCAGGGTGCTACTGTTACAGCCAGCACCAGCTGTGGACAAGCTGGGGTAGTAAGTGGGGAAGCTAGGGTAGGCCTGTCGTGACAAGTCTATGTCTGTGCTCCAACCAGAGGACTGCAACATGCCAGCAATGGCATGCACACTGCTGCCAAACAACACAGGTGTACGCTGGTCAGATACCCCCCTCTTTCCTCTTCCTCTTCTTCCTCTTCTTCTTCCTGCCTCCCCTTTTTTTCTTTTCTTCTTCCTCTGGATTTTTCTCTCTCTACTATCCTTCACTCAACAATTTCTAGGGCCAGACCTAGTTGCCCATAGCACTATCCCCGCAGTTAGTTATAAAGGTTGGGATGGCTTGGTGGGGGGCAAGGGGAGGTGTGTGTTTGTGTCTGCATATGTGACGAGGCAGGCAGTCTAATTTAGGTTCAGTCCTAGGTGTGAGCTCAGACAGATCCTACGGCTCCCTGCCGCTCTATTCTCGCCCTCATGGCTGGCTGCTTGGATGGGGAGGAAGGTTCTCAAAGGATGACAACATTTGGTAGCAGTGATGCGACTATGTGCAATGCCCTCTTCCCCTCTCTACGTGGAGGAGAGCTTTCCTCTGGTGAGATAGGATCACATTGTGCGAGCAGAAACTGCTTGCCGCTGCTAGCGAGGGCTCATACATAAAAGGTTGAGCTTGCACATCCTGTTCTTTTTCTTCTTCTTCTTCTTCTTCTTCTTCTTCTTTTCTTTTTCCTTTCTCTTGTAGCTATCATCTTCTCGTTTTCAATCTACCATTCAACATCCTGGCTTGCGGGTGAGCAGTGTCAGCAGTAGTTGTACAATCACGACCACCCCGCCTTGCTGACCGCTTCCGTTTCGATCGACAGCTTCTAGTGAAGCAAGCGGAGGTTGCTGTCACCTGATAACATCGTCGTCGTTCTCGACGTGCCTGTAAGTAGTCATGCTAGGGTAGATTTATTTCCCTTCCCGTCATACGATAACACCAACCCGCGAGCATTACACCGGATCGGCCAAGCAATCCGGCCCGTTTCTCACCAACTCGCATACTCAACCCTGAAAGACGTTACGGGCTTCAGCCGCCATTTCCGAGCTAACCTTGGAATCGAGTACTCTAGACCCGGAGTCCCCTTGGCTTAACTCAAACACCACACCACAACCCACCTGCGTCCACTGTGGCCCTCTAGTTAGTGCCATAGCTTCCTTACCCCTCCTCCCCGTGCTACCCCGCCAAAACACGAACCATAATCGAGAGCTCTTTCCCCACCTCATCTGTTCCTGGCGCAAGTATAGGCGAGCTTGCCTTGCATCCTGCCAAGGTCAAGAAGAGAAAAGGTACAAAGTATGTTTCATCCATCTTACAGCTGTCTCCCGGTTCTCCTCAATCCTTCTCCTCTTTCCCAGTCCCCTTCTCCTGCTGTCTGGGATCCCATCTGATAACGATTTCCCCAGCTAATTTGTCTCAACAAAAGCTGGCAACCTACTGTACTCTTTGCCGCGATTGTGTATATCTTCGCATCACGCCACAATGGCTACTCCTCAGACCCCGCCCCAGCGGCTGGCAGTGAGGGAGCGCCGCCCCTCTATGGGCGCCCCAATCGTCGACATACAGGGCTCCGTCTCGCCCGCCGGTATCACTAGACCTAAGCACAAGCGTACCTTTACTGGTTTTGGTGCTGGCGATATCAAGAGCGTCGAAGGTGAGAATCCCTCCCCTTTCCGGCCTGGGCCAGCTGTTTTCTTTTTTCCTTCTTCTTTTCGCACTCTTGAGCGAGAAGCGTGGGCAAAGTATACCAAATATCCGCCAGCTACCTGGTGGGCTCTTGACACGTTCAGTCTTTTCTTCTTCTGTGTCAAATCGGAATTCTTCAGAGAAATAGAATGTCCAGTTCTGTCATCTAGAAGCGATTCTCTGATGAAGACTAAGAGAAGGGGTTCATTCGAAAGCTCATTTGGGTTTGGCAATATTCACTAACACTACGCATCTCGATAGCCTCCATCCCGGAGCCCCAGCGCGCGGCATGGACCAAACATCAGATCAAGACCTTCAAGGACAAGGACAGCTTCGAAACCGAGGTCGTCCGACATGTCGAAACGACCCTGGCCCGTAGCATGTTCAACTGCGACGAGTCGGCCGCCTACGCCGCCACCAGTCTGGCCTTCCGCGACCGTCTGATTCTCGACTGGAATAAGACCCAACAGCGTCAGACGTTCGCTGATAGCAAGCGTGTCTACTACCTGTCCCTCGAATTTCTCATGGGCCGCGCCCTTGACAATGCTATGCTGAATATCGGTCAGAAGGACGTTGCCAAGGCCGGCCTGGATGACCTCGGTTTCCGCATCGAAGACATCATCCAGCAGGAGCACGACGCTGCTCTTGGTAATGGTGGCCTGGGCCGCCTGGCGGCATGCTTCCTGGACAGTCTTGCGTCCCTGAACTACCCCGCGTGGGGCTATGGTCTGAGATACCGCTATGGTATCTTCAAGCAAGAGAGTGCGTTGCAAGAGATTCCCCGTTTTCTCCCAAACCTTCCTCACCACGTGGCTAACTTATATCAGTCATTGATGGCTACCAGGTCGAGGTGCCAGATTACTGGCTAGATTTTGTAGGGTCCAGATCCGTTCTCCTCATCGAGTACGTGCAACTGATGATAGTGTTAGAACCCTTGGGAGTTCCCTCGCCATGATGTGACTGTGGATGTAAGCGCAGACTCAATTCTCATCCCGCTGCATGACGCTGACTCCTACCCAGATCCAATTCTATGGTAGTGTCACCAAGACACAGGATGAGTCTGGCAAGACCCGCGCCCACTGGGAGGGAGGAGACCACGTCACGGCCATTGCTTACGATGTGCCGATTCCTGGTTATGACACCCCCTCTACAAACAACCTCAGGCTGTGGTCCAGCAAGGCAGCCAGCGGAGAGTTTGACTTCCAGAAGTTCAACTCTGGAGAATATGAGAGCTCCGTTGCTGACCAGCAGCGCGCCGAAACCATCAGCGCTGTACTGTACCCCAACGACAACTTGGAGCGTGGTAAAGAGCTCCGGCTGAAGCAGCAGTACTTCTGGGTTGCCGCATCGCTCCACGACATTGTCCGCCGCTTCAAGAAGACGAAGCGTGCCTGGAGTGAGTTCTCCGACCAGGTTGCTATCCAGCTCAACGACACCCACCCCACTCTCGCCATTGTAGAACTTCAACGTATCTTCATCGACGTTGAAGGCCTGGAGTGGGATGAGGCCTGGAACATTGTCACCCAGACCTTTGGCTACACCAACCACACCGTCCTCCCTGAGGCATTGGAGAAGTGGAGCGTGCCGCTGATCCAGAACCTGCTGCCCCGTCACCTGCAAATCATATATGACATCAACCTCTTTTTCCTGCAGACTGTCGAGAGGGCGCACCCAGGTGACCGCGAGCTGTTGAGCCGCGTCAGCATCATTGAGGAGTCACAGCCCAAGATGGTGCGCATGGCCTACCTGGCCATTGTCGGGTCCCACAAGGTCAATGGTGTCGCTGAATTGCACTCCGACCTCATCAAGACCACAATCTTCAAGGACTTTGTTGAGATCTACGGCCCAGACAAGTTTACCAACGTCACGAACGGCATCACGCCTCGCCGGTGGCTGCACCAGGCCAACCCGCGTCTTTCTGAGCTCATCGCCAGCAAGACCGGGAGCTACAACTTCCTCAAGGATCTCTCCGAGCTCAACAAGATTGAGCTTTCCGTCAATGACCAGGACTTCCGTAAGGAGTGGCAGGAGATCAAGTACGCCAACAAGGTCCGCCTCGCCAAGCACATCAAGAACAGCACGGGTGTGACCGTCAACCCTGCCTCCCTGTTCGATGTACAAGTGAAGCGGATCCACGAGTACAAGCGCCAGCAGCTCAACATCTTCGGTACCATTCACCGGTACCTCACCCTCAAGGCAATGTCGCCTGAGGAGAGGAAGAAGGCCCAGCCGCGCGTGACTATCTTCGGAGGAAAGGCGGCCCCTGGCTACTGGATGGCCAAACAAATCATTCACCTGGTCAACAATGTCGGAGCTGTGGTCAACAAGGACGAGGACATCGGCGACCTGCTCAAGGTGGTTTTCCTGGAAGACTACAACGTCAGCAAGGCCGAGATCATTACCCCTGCCTCAGACATCAGCGAGCACATTTCTACTGCCGGTACCGAAGCTTCGGGCACCAGCAACATGAAATTTGTGCTGAATGGTGGGCTCATCATCGGAACCTGCGACGGCGCAAACGTAAGTCATCCTTTCCCTTGTCCTGTCTTCTTCAATACAATAATCTTCTTACTTGACCACTGGCTAACACCTTCATAGATCGAGATCACACGCGAGATTGGCGAGGAAAACATTTTCCTCTTCGGCAACCTGGCAGAGGACGTTGAGGACCTTCGGCACGCGCACACGTACGGATCACACGCCATCGATCCTGACCTGGCCAAGGTCTTCAAGGCTATCGAGGATGGCATGTTCGGGCAGCCTCACGACTTCCTGGCCATGATCTCTGCGGTGCGCGACCACGGCGATTACTATCTGGTGTCGGACGACTTCCACAGCTACATCGAGACGCACGCGGTCATCGATGAGTCGTACAAGAACCAAGACCAGTGGCTGACCAAGTCGATCACCAGCGTGGCGCGCATGGGATTCTTCAGCTCTGATAGGTGCATCAACGAGTATGCCGAGGAGATCTGGAACATCGAGCCGCTCGCGGCGGACAAGCCCGAGGGAACCAACAACGGGGAATTGTAAGGCGTCATTCTCTGGCGACATACACGAATAAAAGAAAAGAAAAAGAGGTAGATTGAGGAGGGGCTTGGGAATAGCCAAGGTTCGTTGGTGTCTGAATATGGCTATAGACACATGGCACCTATACAGTCGTAGCAATAGCAGTATCAATTAACGTGATATGAACTTCTCACGTTTACTCGAAACTTTGCTGCTGTGTTTCTGGATTATCTACACTTTTACTTGTAAACCATAACCGGAAAAACTTGAGGCTACTAGTGTAATGCTCTTATTTTATTCGACCTCAAAACATCTTCGTGTTCTACTTCAAATCATTGGCACAGCCGGTAAAGGAATAGGCAAGAATCGCCCTAGAGGTCTTGTGCGCTTTCTTCTTACTGGTGCTTCTCTATTTATCATGTTACAACTGCCCCGCGGCAACGTCCGGTCTTTGGTGGATATGAGTGTGCACAGCCTCAACAATCGATGTCAACAACCAGCGTGGGCCCAAAGGTCGAGCCATGCTCGGCTTGAAGGGCTATTTCTGAGTGGGGACAATACCTTCAGATCAGAAAAAACTATACTCATGCCCTGTGCCTTCCTCCTCCTGACTTACTTGGGAAGAACTTTTCCTTGAAAACTTTATTTCGATCTCTACATCCGCCTATGGGGTTTTGCCTCTTTTGCGGGACTCCGCAGACAGGGACACTTCCTGCTGTCCTCCACGGACCCTAAATTTGAATAGACAGTTTATGATGATGGAATTCGCGTCGTGGAAACCGGAGAACAGCTTAACGGGTAAGGTGCCGTAAGGGGAAAAGGGAAAATAATGAAGAGAGACAAAACCCCGCTAGAGATCCAAGGGTCTCTCCTCTTGTGGGCCACCCTCTCTTTACACTACGTCCTTCCCACCTCGCTGGGTTGAAAGCTCAACCCCTCTTCCGTCCGCGCTAGCACACGCGACGAGAACCGCGAGCCGACTTGTCTGAAGGGGTGTCCCAGTTGTTGTGCCTTGCAGCTTTTCTTTCCTTCTCTCTTCGTCTCTCTGTGAGGAGGGGTCCTTGGTGATGTCATTGTCCCGCTTGCCAATACCGAGTGGTTGTGGGTCAATATGTCGTCATTTCCATTGCTCTTTCAAGGACAACGGGGAAGGAGGAGAAAAGAAGAATGAGCTTTGAGTTTTTGGCCTGGCTGAGCAGGAGACAATCTCGACTTGGCGAAGAAGAGGAGGGGAAAAAAGACTTTCCGGCCGACTCGAGGGCCAGGGACACATGTCTCGGCACAGAAAGTTAAAAGCTAGATATATAGTACATACATACTTAACTTGATAGTGAAGGAGGGGAGATCCAAAGCAATGGGACAACTGTTGGTCGTGGCGCTGTGGCGGTGATATCGGATCTGCAGTGGTCCATTTTGGCAATGATGGTCAGGGCCAAGGAGAGTAGATCTTCGGAGGGTAGTGGTGGCGGGCAAGTCCGCGCGTGCGTGGGAGTGCGTAGCCAGCCATGCCTACTACCGTGCCCGATTGGGATTGATAAGTAGCAGTTTCCTTTCTCTTTTCTTCTTTCTTTCTCCCCCCCTTGTCCATGGCATTGTCCGGTACAACAGGGTGGTTCTGTGACTGGCCCTCCAAGATTGTCAGATGTTTCCGAGGGCTCAGGTTTGGATACCGGGACAAAAGGTCCGCCCTAGGAGGTTCAGACCAATCACTCTGCAAGTGGACGAATATGCGATGTGCAGCAGGCATGCTAAGTCCTCAAGTCTGATCTCCAGCTAAATCGTCGATGGGCGGGAGGGGTCCAGAAGGTGGGGCGACTCCCGAGGGGCGGGGCTGGGGTTGGGTCTAGTTCTGTGGCGCGTGGCACACAACCTGGACGCATGTCCTGGGATTTCCGCAATTCCCTTTTCGACCAGCACCAACCATCCCACCTGCCAGCCTTGGGGTGCTTGACTTATTTACCGCTCTATTTTCTGGTCCCCCTCCAATGGTTTCAGGTCCCTGATCCCGTGAGCACGATAAATGGTTCACGATTCTGGCCAGCCCTGGCTATATCCTCAGTTTATGGTAGAAATCCGTACTCCGACTATTGAAGTCCCTTCCAGCGAGTGGAGCTGCCACATACAGTCAGACTTGTCGAGAGGAGAGGGCAGGTGGGCCACATTGACGTCATCTGCAAGCAATCCTGGTGGTGCCTTGAAAGGCCATCTTTGAAAACACGATCCTGCAGGGGGGGTTGAGGACGAGGAGAGAGCCCTTTTCCATGATAGGAAGATTCGACAGAAATGAGATAGATCACTCAAGGAGGACCATGTTGATCAGCAGCCCAGCCACCTAGCGTGTCCAGAGTTTCCTCCAAAAAGGAAAAGAAAAAAACCCCCCTACGGTGGGAATGTCCATGATCAGTTGCATGGGAAAGTGAAAGTGGGATGTCTGACCTAGATGGAGGGGTAGTGATAGTCTGGATACCATTCCCGGACCTTTAATTTGTTTTGTTTCTTTGTTCTCAGCCTATAGCTTATGTCTGGCATACAATTCCATATCACAGTCGTATAATCAGAAATTCTGGCACTTTATTTCTGATATCGGGTTTTACTGAATAGTCTGCCTCGATTGTATGTACTTATGCAGCACATAGGGACTTGGAAGGAGGAAGGGGAAAGAGGGGGTGGGGGAAGCGGTATCCGTTTGGGAAAGGCTTCTTCCTGATGGGGTTTCTAACAAACAGGGTCAGGTCCCAGCGCATGCCCCCTTCTTCTGTAGCACTAGATCTACCTGGCTACCTAGTCTTCTACCTTACCTATCTTATCCTACCTCCCTCCGCAGGCTTCCTACATAGCCAGCTGCGTTCCTCCTTCCAACTTAATTCCATCTGTCCCAGCTACTCGCGATCAATCATTTCTCTCATCAGTTGCAACCAGACAAAACCCTAGCCCCCTTCAACAGGCTTACCCCGCAGCAACTGGAGGCCAGAGAAGGACACGCTGATCCAAGAAATCCAGGCAGGAAGGCAGAGAAGCGCTACCACGCACCCAACCGTGCCAACCCAACCCAATCGAACCTGCCGACTCAGCAGCCCGCAAATCGTTACAGCGCTTGATCCAGGCCCACACCTGCCGCTAACACGAAGAGATCGAGATCCGCCGCGGAAATCCCCAAGCAAATCCTGCCTTGCCTGCTTCGACCCAACTGCCAGCAAAATCGCCTCTCTTTCCTCTCTTTACTTTCTACAGTTTCGCGATCCCTCGACAGCTACCCATACTCATCCTCGTTTTTTCTTCCAAACCACGAGAATCAATATAGATACAGAAAGCCGTTGTACAATCTTTGAACGCAGGAGGCCCATCAGCAATATCACGTAAGTCACGCCAAACTCCCTCTCTGCCTCGAGGGATGCTCCCGATCTTGCCTCGTCAATTCCTTTCCGGCAGTGTGCCAAGTCCCTGCGATTCGTCCAAGATGCCCAATGGTGCCAATCTTTCCCGACAAGAGTTTTTGGTCATGAACGCTCCTGGTGGGCGGACCATTGCGACTCGAGGGGAAGACATACATGATGGCCGACTCGAGTGATTCGCATCAGCTTGCCACTGGGCCACTAGGTCGCAATCACTAAAAGTGCGCCGTTGTGATCGGGTGTTGCTTGGTCGCTCACTGGCTAGGCTGGACTGTCGAGGCTAATTCACCGACTTTCCAGTGCCCTCTCAACCCCCTACCTACTTGAACTCACCAAACCCCGGGGCCCTCAACGCCTCTTCAACCTCGATTCCGGAGCCCCGCCCTCTACAACTCGTTGGCCCCGACTCACACAACGCCCAAAAGCTGTTGTCTCGTCTCCTGCGGAAACCCAATATCCAATAGTCTTCTGGATTTCTTCGGACCTGACTAGCGTCACGCCGCCTATTAAACTGCCTGCCCGTTGCACAACATCGAGGTAGCCCTCACGCAATTCCTGGCTTAATTACCCCGCCGATCTGGCCATCCCACCTCCTGAACGTGCCTGTGCCGCTCTAGCAATTTTCCTCGCCTCACCTCCTGCACAGATCAAAACACCTCCATCATGGCTGAATTCGTGCGAGCCCAGATCTTCGGGACCACCTTCGAGATCACCTCCAGGTACTCAGACCTCCAGCCTGTCGGCATGGGAGCGTTTGGTCTGGTCTGCTCGGCTAGAGACCAACTCACCAACCAGAATGTTGCCATCAAGAAGATCATGAAGCCCTTCAGCACCCCCGTTCTGGCAAAGAGGACCTACCGTGAGCTGAAGCTGCTTAAGCATCTCAGACACGAGAACATCATCTCGCTCAGCGACATCTTCATCTCGCCGCTGGAGGATATCTATTTCGTCACTGAGCTGCTGGGCACCGATCTACACCGCCTGCTTACCTCCAGACCTCTGGAGAAGCAGTTCATCCAGTACTTCCTGTATCAGATCATGCGTGGCCTGAAGTACGTCCACTCCGCTGGTGTCGTGCACCGTGACCTAAAGCCTAGCAACATCCTGGTAAACGAGAACTGCGATCTCAAGATTTGCGACTTCGGTTTGGCCCGTATCCAGGACCCCCAGATGACGGGTTACGTGTCGACCAGGTACTACCGCGCTCCCGAAATCATGCTCACATGGCAAAAGTATGACGTGGAGGTCGATATTTGGAGTGCAGGCTGCATTTTCGCCGAGATGCTCGAGGGCAAGCCTCTTTTCCCGGGCAAGGACCACGTCAACCAGTTCTCCATCATCACTGAGCTCCTTGGAACCCCACCTGATGATGTTATCAACACGATTGCGAGCGAAAATGTGAGTCTGATCTGTCTGGCAAGAAATGCTCATGGTTCGGTTTTACTAACTCTTTTCCCCCTAGACTCTGAGATTCGTCAAGTCCCTACCCAAGCGAGAGCGGCAACCTCTGGCGAGCAAGTTCAAGAATGCTGATGAGCAAGGTTTGTACCCATTTTCAAGGAGAGTCTGGATTTGTGCATACCGTTCTGACCAGAAGTAGCTGTTGATCTGCTGGAGCGTATGCTGGTGTTCGACCCCAAGAAGCGGATAACGGCCTCGGATGCACTGGCCCACGAGTACCTCGCTCCCTACCATGACCCCACGGACGAGCCCGTTGCCGAGGAGAAATTTGACTGGAGCTTCAACGATGCTGACCTCCCCGTCGACACGTGGAAGATCATGATGTGAGTGACCACAGGTCTTGCCATCACATTGAGGTTTCCCCCTCCGGTCGACCAGCCGAAACTAATGAGATGATGATTCTAGGTACTCGGAGATTCTCGACTACCATAACGTGGACGCGAGTGGTGCTTCAGCTGCCATGGGGGAGTTCAACGGCCAATAATAGAGACAATCAGTCGAGGCGGCTCAAAGGCGTTTTTGGAAGTTACTAGTGGCGCACAGTACCTGGCGATGACATTCACCATTGATACCAGAAGAAAGAACAAGGAAAGGTGTATATTTGAGGGCCGAGGGATGCAAGAGAAATACATGAATAAATGCATCAGGTGCAAGAACATGATTTGTGGATTGCGCAGATCCATCGAGGAGCTGGCAGTGCTCTGTCAGTCCACATCATGGATGGGGCAGCCCATATTTCCTTTGCCGATTCGTTTCGCGCGAGATTCAGAAGAAAGCGAAGGCAGAGATGCGGCAGAGGATGAGTACCGCCCGTCAGTCGCAACAGCATATACTTTCAACACAAGAGGTACGGCGTTTTTCCAGACGAGAAGAGGCGGAGTCTTCACTTGCAATGAGCCTAGTGATTGGATAAAAAAAAGTATCGAGTCAACTATTCGCTTGGGACGCATGCAAGACTCACATATTCAAGTCTGGTGCATCATTGCTTTGTGCCAGCGGACGCGGGGGGACAAGAATATAGAAAGTTTTGGACATGACAAGCCTCCAGAGTATTACTGGCCAAGGCACAAAGTAAGGTGGACAAATGACCGTTGTATGAATGGGGAATCATGAAGATGCTGTTTGCCAACATCTCACTTGTCTCCAGAAAGCAATATTCGCGATTTCGGGGCAAAGCAAAAAAAAAGAAAAAGGAAAAGAAGGAAGAAAAAAAAGGAAATCCTCCCCAGAAGCAATTGGTCAGGAGGGAGGCAAGAGACGGAGAAGAAGTCCAATGAATAGACTAGTCAACCGATGCTCTCTGTTTTCTTTGCTTGCGTTATCGTCATATCATTTCTTCTTCTTTTTTGATGGGTTTTTTCTTTCTTTGGTTGTGGATTTGCCGTCAATGCAACCTTGAACCAGTCTGCGATGGCGTTCCGTGTGCTATGCTTTCTGTGGGATATTATTGATAACAAACTTCAATGTTGGAAACACGCCCTGTATTTGTCCTCTTCGAATACCCGTCCAGGGGCGACGCTGCTTTTGCTGATCGATGCAACAATTTCCCGCTTGACCCCATGCATGCATGCTTTCTCTTGTCTCTCCATCCAATGTTGCGCGATTCCTTAGGCCCTTGCTTTCTCACTCCTTCTCGCATGATGATTCTTGCCCTGCGCGGTGCTCACGCTCAAGATGTTCTTCCGTCGGCCCATGGTGGGCGGCAGGAGAGGCATTCTCCTCCTCCTCCCTCCTTTTGTCGTTGGCGAACCCCGCGTGATGGTCCGCCTATCGTCCGACGAGCAATCAGCATCCTACGCCAGCTTTTGCTCGCGAGACACGGTCGGCGAGAGGTCGTCGTTCCAGACGCCGTTCTCGTGCTGCATGAAGTCGAGTTTCGACTTGGCGGGCGACGACTGCTCGGGCGACGAGGAGATTGTGCCGCCCTCGGAGCCCAGTATGCTTTCGCTGTACGAGTTGTGCATCTCGTGCCGCGACATGTCCTCGGGCAGTGACACTGCTGCTGGCGCTGGCGCTGGCGCTAGCACCTCTTTATCACTGCCAAAGCTGCGGAATATGGACGATGAGGTTGACATTCGCGGGCTCTTGGGCTCCTTCTCTGAGATCGAACGCAGCGACGTGGGTGTGCTGCTCCCGTCCTTCTTGCTCTTGCTCCGGCCGAGGCTGATACCCCAGCCGCTACCGCCACTCCCGCCGCCGCCACTTCCGTTGCTGATCCCTGATGACCGTGAGCCCGCGAGCGCTTTGCGCTTCTCGCCCGCCCAGGATGTCCAGCTGCTCAGGTAGGACTGCTGCGCGCTACCGTTCTTGACGGAGGGGCTGGCGGGTTCGGAGCTCAGCGACAGCCTGTTCTCTTCTGCCTTCTTTCGCTGGGCCTCCCGGTAGGCCTCGAGTTCGGTATAGAACTTATTGATCACAGACCCGCCCTTCTCCCTGGCGACAGCCCAGTTCCTGGCAGCTGCCTCCCTGCCTGAGGCAATCTTCTCGTCGAGGTGCAGGTCCTGGACCTGTTGTGACACGCGCCTCGACACGTCCTCTATGCTCAATCCGCCGGCGCAGAGGTGTCTCGGCTCGACGATGTCGAAGAGGTGGTTGTCCGTCTTGCTGTTCCATATGCGGTAGTTCTCGGTCCTCGTCCAGGCCTCCACCCAGTCCATGTTGAAGTCCGAGGCTGGGTCGCCTTCTACGTGTGGGAGCAGCATCTTTGGGTTGTTGGCGTGCTTGAGCATGAAGTTGTGGTACTTTACAGATGCCAGCAGCGCGTTGATGTAATCCTCAAATTGCAGTCGGATGAATTCCTCACTTCCCATGAAGCCCATCGTCTTTGGTCGGCTCGGATTGGCTTCGTCCCAGGTTTCGTTGACGGTCTGCGTGATAAAGTCGATCCACCGTCTGTCTGGAGTAGAGAGCTGTAATGCTTGTTTGAGAGAGGGCGAGGTAATATTTATGAAGTCTTCGTCTAGGTTGATGAGTATATCGCTGTACCTGTCTTTCTGTTGAAGCAAGAGTGAATTTGTGCTCCCGACGATGTATGATTTTGTGCCAACATCTGCCAGCAGATCGAGCTGTTGCAACGGCGTATACGGCCCGAATAAGCTCCCCTGCGCAATCTGTCAGAATACAGACCTCCCACACCGTTTGAGAAAGAGAGAAGCATACCTTTCCAAAGATCTGAAGGGGAAGGCCCATGTAAGCCTGTAATGATCTTCGGTCGCTGGTTCGTAGATTCGTGGGGACAGTCAGCTGCTTCTCGTAGCTGTTCAGCTCTGGATCCGCGCAATCCTGAAGTTTCTGGATGAGACCGGGAACCAATGATATCAAGGAGAACTGCATCATGCAGAGTCGCTCGCAACGAGAGCCGAAGAACAGCATCTATTGTTAGGAGCATGCGTTAGTCTGAATGCTTTATTCTTCTTGGATGGACATGATCGCTCAGCACTTGGAAGCATGCGGTCGGTCCATACCTTTGGCTGGAGCAGACAGCACTTCAGGAGAACTAGAGTCTGCCACCGGAACTCGTGGATCATCTCCCTCAGGCTCATGCCCAGGTAGGCATCCCGGTTATCTTCTCCCGTCAGCAGACCTCGCTCTTTCTCGTCCGCCAAGCTCTCCTGGAACCTCCGTAGAATCTCCGTCTCGGTAAACTCCCGCTGGTCGAACCACGCGTGCGTCACGACGCTCAGCCGCTCCTTTAGCGTCCCAAAGCTCTGTGGGTTGTCCGCAATGACGACTACCGCCTTTTGTACGGTCGACCGTGTCACCTCCGGAGGTCGGTGCAGGAGTTGTGACGCGTCCATCTGCCTGGTACAAGCTATTCCGAAGAGAGAGGTCGCCGGCTCGGTTTCCGTCGCAGGCCGTAGGAGTGTGAAGTAGGAGAAGTCCTCGGTCGACCTGTCAAGAGGGTAAACGTCAGCCGGGCTTGTTGTTCTGGCGGTGAGGGCCACGCACCGCCGTAGCAGAACAGCCATGATGGGAAGAAAGAGAAGAAAAAAAAGCAAAACACCACATCTGGGTGGGAGTAGACGTCGAGACTCACGCGTGCGCACCATCGCTGAGGGCCATGAACGGCAGGAGAGACCATCCGTAGTCCACAGCAGGATCTGTGCCTTCAGCGGTGCCAAACCACGACTCAACCTCCGGCCCTCTCTGGTGGTGGAAGTCAATGACCGAGACCAAGGGGACGAAGCTGCCCCTGGTTGCGCTCCCGGGCGTGGACATGCCTGAGCCTGCGCGCGGCGTGGCATCGCCGGTTGATGTGGGCGTATCCATGGCGCTGGTGTTCCGGGGCTCTGCCCGCCCCTACCTCCTGCCCCTACCGAGAAGACGAGTGCAACGAACGCAATGGTGACACTCCCATTGGAGGGGAGGGCCTTGAGGTGGGACTTTGGAAGGAGAAAGAAACACTCGCGAAGACGACCCGGTATTGCAGCGCGGAAGAAGGGTCGGACGGCCGATTTCGCAATAAACGTTCAGCGAGATGTTGTCAGATAGCCATGGATCGCAAGTACAGGGGGGCTTGGGTTTGTGGTCGATTGGGTGGCAATGACTCGGGGTGATGATGGCAGACGCTTGGTCGGACGGTGGTTGGTTGAGCTCGCGGCGGAGGATATAACGAGAACGAAACTTGTTGGGAAACGGGCGGACCTCGAGGATCGAAAGACTCGAAGCTTGCGTGTATAGCTAAAGGAAGATGTGGCCGTGACTATGCGACGATCCACACCGAGAGTCTCACCTCGAGGTGAGGAAGGAGAACGTGGGTCCCGGTTCGCTGGGGCCGAGATGAGATGAAGACGGAGTAGAGCAATGCACTGCGCTGAGCTGCGGCTCGTTGTCAACGAGAGAGAAAGAAAGAGAGAGATATATATTCTGGTGTCTTTTTGGGTCGCACGTCACAGCTTGTGAGCCGAGAGCCAACCCTATCTCTACCTCTCTTTCTTTCTCTCTCTTCTCAGCTGAGAAGGCGGCAAAAGGCGGGGAGATCGAGAGAGGTGAGCGCGTGCAGGTATCCAATCCGCCCAGCGGGAAGAGCGCCGTGGTGGAGCAGCTGAGAGCCTCGAGTCGGAGTTACAGTTGGGTCTCGAATCTTTTGCCTACCTGGGAGGAATGAAGGGACGTTCGTCTGTGGAGTTGGTCAGATCAAATGGAAAGAGAGAGAGAACACCACCAAGCAGGCTAATGAAGAGTAAAACTTGGTATGGTATTGGTATTGTGGCTAGCGATGGACGAATTGTTCTTTTTCTTTCTTTCTGTGAGAGTGAGAAACCAAAGAGGGGCTTTTTGTCCTGCCGTCAGAAAAAAGGTGCCCCATCCTCGGGTACTAGAATGTCAATTGGCTGCTTGACTGTCGTCATATAAGCTTTCGAGGTAAGGTGCGACTGGGAAGCTGGAGAGGACCCTAAAGATGAAATCGTCGTCCGACCTAAAGGATATTTGGTAGCGATGGAAAGACGTTGGAGAGGACAATAATCCTCTACTAAATGTACAGTTGATGTACCAAAAGTGGCAGGCGGTACTGATAGTGAGGTACACAGCCACAGACCCTGAAGTACCAACTTTCAATGGTCTCTGGCTAGCAGTCTCGTCCTGTTTGCTCGATGATACCCAAACAGAACAAACATCTAACCATGTATGTACGAGACAGAGTTACCTGGTACGATGATAACAAGGGTCTGGGAAAATGTTTCCTTCAGGCGCAACATCGATCATCCAACATTCAGTTCACCTCGGACGATACACACTCACGCACACACACACACACAGTCTTGTCTTCCAGTTTGGCTCCTGTGCTTCGCCATATGGATTTACTGGCTTATCAAAGAGATCCCTTAATCGAGACTGGATCAACCAATAACTCCTCCACCTTCCCGGGGCCCTTTCCCTTCCTCCCTTCCTCCCTACCTCCCTTCCTTCTCTTCATGCTACATCAGTTCCAAGATGGGAAAGCATTTCTTCCATTCAGACCGCAGGAAGATCATCTGGCTCGCCCGTATCATCGGTCACGCTGGGTACGCCCTCTGCGCCTTCACCCTCAATCTTCTTGCCCGCCTCATAGGTGACGCGCCTCCAGCCGCACTCGACAGCCGGGTCCTTGATCCATTCCACAGTCGGAAAGTAGTGCTCGTTCTTCTTCATCGTCACCACCCACGGGACGCTGTCGAATGTTACCGCTTTCAGTCGGAAGTAGGTGTTGTCGGGGATCTCGATCACGGCCTGCAGGAACGACTCGAGGTCCGGCGTAGGCTTGTTGTTGACATGCGTGATGAAATTCGTGGGCGCCAGGCCGTACTGATACGCAGGGGACCCCCGCGTCCTGGCCGATACGTACACCTCGCTGAACAGCTTGCTGATTTGCTGCCGCACGGCGTGGTGTGGCCTGTGGAGGATGGCGCCGCAAAAACTGACAGCCCGGTCCGTTTCCACATCGTCTGCAGCAACCGTCGGCAGTCGCACGTGCATCTCCTGGCAGTCGCGAATAACCACAGCGTCCAGGAACTCGTTGTCGTACATGACGTCGAGCTCGGATATGCGGGTAATGAGCTTGCCGTTCAGCGTGAGCAGGATGTCACCCTCGAGGAGCGCCTCCTTGGTCTCGTTCCGCTCAAAGGTCCTCTTCGTCACCATGAAGAGCTGGTGGTGCGACGTGTTCACCTTGGACACCTGCTGGATCCACTCCTCCGACACGCCCATCAACCGTGCTTGCGACATGGCAATCGACCGGAACTCGACCGAAAGCATGCGCAGCTTAGGGACGATCCCCTTTTGTATCTGTGAAACTACCGGCAACAACGTCGGGGTGGCGAGGCCGAGATGATACTCCTCGTCCCGGTGCGTCGATGGAGATCGCTCGCCGAGGTATGTGAGCCAAAGCGCCTGGACAGTCCCGTCAGGGGCGACGAGGACACCGCTCCCACACTGCCCGCTCAGACTCGTATCTACTGTGATCGCATCAACATTGACCGCCCGGTAGCGTGGCGCCCCAGAGTTCGCAGGGATAGCGACGGCAAAGATCTCAGTAACGCTGGTGGCCGTGTGGACGACGCGTCCGATGCGGTTGTATCCAATAAAGTAGGTTGACGCGCCCTGGGTGATCTGCTCGGTCGAAAGCCTTGCGCTCTGCACCGGAGCCTCGACCAGCTTTGGGTCGTACTGTATGATGGCATAATTCTGCAAGGGGTGCAGAAACACTACCTTGCCTTCGACGACGATGGAGTCGGCAATGGTGATGGAGATGTCACAGAGATCATCTGATGGTCGTCAGCGTCAGCACCTCTGTACACACATAAAGAGAGGAAAACAGAGAAAAAGAATGTAAGATACGTACAAGGCACAATAGCCCTTGAGATGACCACCAGCCCTTTGTCGGCATCGATGACCAGCCCCATACCCCACTTCCGATTCTTAGGAAATCCGTCCAGCTTGACGGGCATGGTGCAGTTGACATGGACGAAGCTCTTGACGAGCTCGGCCACAGCCGGGTGAGACGTGTGCTCGAGCTGGATGAAGGATGCCTTTCTCGGCACTGGGGCCACCGGTGGTAGCGGGTCGGCCAGGTCGCAGAAATCCCAAAGCCCTGTGCTATCGTTCCGCACGGCGAGCTTCATCTTGGAGGACCAGTGCCTGTCGATGTAGATGATGGTGGTGTTGAGCGTATGCAAATCCCTAAGATGCTTGTACGTCACGACAACCCTCGCCTTGTCGGGGATGGTCTTGGCCACCTCGATGAAGGTCTCCAAGTCCGGCACCTTCTTGTGGTCCAGGGTCTGGATCAATATGCCGTTCTCGGTATTATCGAAACGGAAAGAGCCAGTGCCTTCACAGAGGTATACGCCGCTGCAGGCCACGCCATATAGGCGGGCTTGCTGGTAGGAGAGGGTGTGGAAGCTTCCGCCGGCCACCGACACAAAACGATCAGGAGTGATCTCGTGCAGGTCGCCGACAGCAATCTCTACCTCCACATCCTCGCCGCCCCTCTGCAGAAGCAGCTTGACGGTCTTGCCAACGCTCGAGTCCATAATGTCGTCAAGGACCGTGAACTGCGTGATCAGCTGGTTGTTCACCTTGACGAGGACGTCACCCTCCTCAATCTTGTTGTGGGAAGGGCCCTGCGGAAGGACGATCTCGGCCACCAGCATGTTGGTCTCCTTGGGGAACTGCTTGCGCATCTGCGCCTCCCACTGCGAGGAGAGGCCGAGCCGCCTGCACTCGTCGAAGGGCTTCAGGAGGAACTGGCATTGTATGTCGCCTCTCGTGATGGGCTTGCCCTCTTGGAGGCATTTCAGCGCTCGTAACGGCCGGTCCAGGGGAAGGAAGTAGTCCGTCGAGGCTCCATCCGCCCGACCACCGGCCTGGAGGGCAACGGCGTATCCGTCAATGTCGACAACTGGACTGCCAGACGAGCCTCCGCTGGCAGCAGCACTGGCCTGGTAGTAGGAAGTGTTGAAGTCGCTGTAGCCTTCGCCGTACTCGGGGGCATTGCGGTCCAGACGGCTGATGACGCCAGAAAGAATGCTGAGCTTCTCACCAGCATCGTTACCAACGACGCGAATCTCGATCCCAACTGGAGCAAATCCGTCAGCATGACCTACACAGTCGAAACATAAAGGAAACAACGAGGCGAGACACCGAACATACCTTTGGCCAGGTCAGGCCGCAGAGGGAGGGCCCTGACGGGCATGTATTTGATGGCCTTGGGATCGAACTTGAGGATGCCAAAATCGTGGACGGGGTCTCTGTACACGGGATAGGCGTCCACCTCCTCATGGTTGTCGAAGATGCAGTAGCCCCAAAACGGTCCCGAACCCACCACGTGCCTGTTGGTGAGGATGTAACCTCGCTCGGCATCGACGACAAAGCCCGTGGCCTCGGAGTTCAGGGCCGGGTCAGTGTCGAAGCTGCAAGTCTGGCAGAAGCGTATGGAGACGACGTTGCGCACAACGCTCTCGATGGTCGCCTGCCATTCCTGGCTGTCGGGCCCGAGAGCGGGCAGGGCCTGCAAGGCGGCGTCGTCGATGAAGTCGTGCTCACGCATGTCAAAGTCCTCGGCCTCGACATCGGGGGTGTTGTCGCCGGCGGACTGCTTGCCGTTCAGCGAGGAACGAAGGTGCTTCGGAGGCCGGCCGCTCTCGATCATCTCGAAGGGGGAGGGCTTGCGCTTGGCGCGTGGGGAGGTGTTGGATCCGTTCATCGTGGTCGCGGAGGGCGAGGAGGGGGAGGGGGAGGGTGAACAGCTGCCCGCTCCAGGAGGTTCGGACTGGCGGGACGTGGGAGACTGCACGTGTTCGGTGGTTGGTCGTGCAGCCGAGCTTGATGCTGTGGTGGCAGCGGTAGCGGGAGCAGCAGCAGCAGCAGCACCAGGGGACGCTGCTGTCGAGTGCGAGGAGATGGCCCGGATGAGGCAGGCCCGAGGTGTGACTGTGACGGTCGAGCTGCGAGAAGCTGTGTGCCAGTAAGAGCCGAACAAGAGCGTGGGACAACTATACTGTCTTGCAGTGTAGCAAGAGACAGCACAGCGCAAGAAGCTCGTGGCTGGTCGTGGTGCTGATGATGATGTTACAAGTCTGCCAACTCCGTTGCGTAACGAAGAGGCCGAGACTGTCTGCATTCAGCAATCACTCCTCCGCCTCATTCGACGTGCTGAGGTCAAGCTCTGGGAGAGAGAATCGTCTTCAAGAGGATGGGGTGACAATTAAGGGGCGTGGGAAGACACATGAAAAAGAAGAAAAGAAGAAGAGGAAGGGAAAAAAAAAATTCCTAAAGAAAGGATTGTACCGAAGGCGGCAGGGCTGAGAGACAAGGCGCAAACTCGGTTTGTAGGCAGAGAGGTCTACAATAGCAGGTTTGACCTGGCCTCGAAGCTGACTTGACCAAGAACAGTGAATTGACCCACTGGAGCCAGCCCACTATGAAGACCCAATTTTCCTCCCGTTCTGCCGGTGACACCCCTGCATAGGGTTTCTCATGCGGGTCCCCAATTCATTATTACGTATCCTTGTATGAATGAAAAGAAATCCTATAATACATTACCTATTATGTATTCAATTATACTAGCATGGCTACTTGGATAAACAATGTGTTGTTAATAGAGGATTGTATAGGAGAAGTCACACCTCATTATGCCTCAGAGCCACTTGATTTAGATCATTTCAGTCCAGTCATAAAAAGTCAACTCAAACCACCAGAGACGGTGACAAAACATTGGACCATATAGCTTGAGTGAACTCTCAACATGTCCATGTGTGCTGGCGATTGTTCTCCACCAGCCCCTACGTCCTCGCTACCAATGCGATGTTGGCATTACATAGAAAGAAAAAGAACAAGGATTAATGAAATGGGCAGCTAAACTAGGGCATGATAGGGTAGGGTATGACTTGTACTGTTTTGTCCATTATTTCATCGTGTTCTATTCATTCCCTCCACCAACCCCCTGCTGTCCCAGTCTCCTCCTCGACATACTCGTAGGCAATATATTCTCCGAAACATGGCCCCGTGCCCTGCTGCTCACCAGTCTCGCTCATCTTCGCACCCTCCCCCTCCGCCTCCCTCTTTTTCCGCTCCTCCGCCTCCTCCTGCTTCTTGGTCTCCACAGCAGCAGCAGCCTTCTTCTTCTGCACGGCCTTGGCCTGGGCCGCTTCCTCCTCCATCCTCTTGGCCTCCTTCGCCCTCTCCTCTCCCACAACCCTCTCACCCCACCACCTAGCCACAAACGTAGCCAGCACCATCTCCAACAGGCTCCGCCGCTCCTCCTCGTCCCCCATCTCAGGAACATCCACCTCCATATCCCCCAGCTTCCCCTGCCAGAACCAGGGCCCCGCCACCCGCGCCACCACCCGCCCGTCCCTGTCTCTCTTCAGCAGGGCCTTCCCGCTCCATGTGTACCCTTCCTCCCGGAACGTGACGGCGTGCCTGTCCCCGCCCGCCAGTGGCACCCACGACGACGTCTTTTTGATCTGCAGCCTCGTCGACGCCGGCTCTGTGCCGTGGCTGCTGCTCCCGTCCAGCTTTACGTGGTGCATCTCGAGCGTCTCGTCCCTGCCGGCGCTGTCGCTTGCCGGCTCGTCCAGCGTGGCCACGCATGCGCCCCCGTCCTTCTCGCTGGGCGGCCCGCGGAAGAGCTGTTTCTTGTTCTTCTTGGCGCCCATCGTCAATAGACCGCCGGATGTCGTTGTCGCCGTGCTGTAGATGATTGCGTGCGATGACGGTTCCTTGAAGATCAGCTCGTTGCTGTTCTTGCCGTAGATTTTGCCTGGGGCGTTTTCGATGGTATAGGTGAGTTTTGGCATGTTGAAGGTATTGACTGAGGACTTTGAATGGCAGGAAAAGAGAGAGAGAGAGAGAGAGAGAGAGAGAGAGAAAATATAGAGAATGAGGGTAAAGATGAGCAAGGGGTTTGTAGTATAAGAAAAATAAAAATGAAAAATAAAGACACATAGAAGTGGGAAGGGGCCCTTAAACATGTTGGTATAGACTTACCTGCAAGAAGCCCAATGACATGGTGACGGGTGATGTCATGGTGTGCGAATTTGCGAACCACAAAGCCAAGATACACACTCACATAGTCACATCGTCACATCGTCACAATGCCCCCAAGAACCTAGTGAAACTCATCATCATCATTAGGAACTGCGAAATCCATTGCGAATCACAGTTCGTGGTACTTAGACGGCCAGAAGGTTGTGTCATGTCAATGATTTCTTGTTAAAAAAGCTGATTGATCAATGGTAGCACCCAACGCAGTCAAAATTTGAGCCTCCTCATCATCCTTAAAATTGAATCTTAGGCGGAACAGGCACAACGAATGGGTAATCTTCCCCATAATCACGCTATAATTCTATCCCATGGTGTGGAAGAGTATGTACTATCAAACAATCCACGCTTGCCATAATGAACACCAGGCCATGCGAGTTTATCCCAATCCTCCCGTTCCCTTCCCTTCCCTTCCCTTCCCTTTTCTTTCCTTTCCCTCCAAGATCCCAGCCCATCGTTAGCTCGTGAAATGCTGCACGTACAAATCCCACCCCAAAACACATCGTGGACCCGTTGACAATCAAGAAATCTCGAAAGTCAGATATCATCACACGTTGAGAATAGCAGAGATGTTTTTGAATCGAATATGGCAAAGGGACGGTGTTTTTCGATAGTGTTCGACTACCGTCTGTCATGCATGGCGACGAGACCCACGTAGGTAATCATGGCCATTTGACAAGACGTCTCCTCTCCGAGCGAGGAAATTCACTTGACACGGGATGATCAAGAAGAAGCAGACGAGCCAGGCGAATACCCAAACTAGAGAACCAACAGCAGTCTCTCTCCCTGCAAGGCAAACCAAGCCAATGACAATCCCTCGCATTGTTGGATCCGTGGCAGAAAGCCGCAAATGATCATAAGAACGCTCCCCAAATAAAGGAGCCCTTCCAGTACCAAGAGCCACAAGTAAGAGGCCCCCTTCTTTCACACAAGGTGGGATCCGCTCACTTCATCATCTTCTCTCGATGAGCGGCAAATAGCCGAACGTGCATTTCGTGTTCGTCACAGGCATCAGTCCACTTCTTCCGAACCTCGCGGTCCTCCTCAGCCCAGGTCATGTATTCCTGGACACCGCCGCCATCCCGCAACTCAAGCCAGGCAGATGTGCCAAGTTTCTGGTGAATCTGAACTCTGCGAGCCGAGAAGTGGTCGATGAACTTGGTGTTATAGGTGTGGAATTCTCCTAAGTACGTGTAGAACGCCTCCACATACTGCTTCCAGGCGACCGGAGAGGGCTTGAGGCCTGGAACTGCCAGCACTGGTGGTGGATTGGGCGGTCTGGGCGGCTCTGGTAGAGCTTCCTGAATGTTCTGCGATCTCGGCACGGGCTTTCGGATGGGAACGTGACCCGCTGCGACGCTTGGGAATGGGAGATTCGACTTCAGGTCGCCGAAGGACTCGAGGCCTGAGGCGCGTTCGGAAAAGGGCTCGACGTTCCTGATGTCGGAAAAGCTGGCTCGGAACTCCTCGCTGTCTTCCGATCCACCAGCAGCTACTGCTGCTGCTGCTGCTGCTGGCGCAAAGGAGGGCTGTGGGGGCGGCTTCGCATCACCCTTGATGCCTAAGCCCACATCACCGGCTCGCCACTCGGGACGCGACGGCGTGACAGGAATATTCCGCGCCCCATTACCGCCCGATTGCGCCGCAGGAGGATCGACGTCCATAGCCATCGGACTAGAAGTCCCATCGACGCTTGGTCCCCGCCCAGCGGTTGCTGAGCCCTTGGAGACCTCCTCCAGACCACTGCTGCTCTCGTCCGACTCGACCATTCCGGCCGTTCCCGCCGTCATACGAACAGGTTTCGGCTTCTTGCTAGAAGTGCGAATCGTGCGACTACCGGCTACGGGTGTCTTGTGCGCCACGGGTGCCTCGAAAATCTGGGAATTAATCTTCTCAGACCACTCTTCAGGATTGAAGGCGCCAGAGTGGGGCGACTTCTCTCCCACGGGAGGACCGGTGAAGTGTGGCTGTTGTGAGGCATCTGTTGTGAAGGGGGATTTGCGACCTATGCGACTGCCTGACTTGGACCGAGGCATGGCCGGCCGGCCAGCCTCATCGACTGGAGATCCCGCATTGAACTGCCAGCTGGTAGCATCCTCCTCAGCAACAAATCTAGTGTTGATGTTGTCAGTGCTATTCCGCGTAAATCGATGCGAGTCGGCGACGAACTGCTCGCCCGTAAATTGCGAGCCGAAGCTAGTGTTGAAGTTAGCATGATCTGTGCTGTTACGAACCTGCTGAGGGTTCACTGGTGGGGGGTGGGTTTCGTCCTGCTTAGGCTTGGACTGTTGTTGCTGCTGCTGCTGCTGCTGCTGCTGCCGCCCATACTTTTTGGCAGAAAGCTGTCTGAGGAGCTGGGACATCTTCTGCTCGAAAGCATTCAAGCCGCCGCCCTTTTGTGGAGGAGGCTTGTCTTCACTCGAAGACTTTGTGTACTGCTGAGTACGCGGCTGCTCTGGCCTCGAGGGCTGATTTCGTGTGCTCTTGTTGTTGTAGAAGTCCCCATCGCCCGCACGGCCAGTCGCTTGCTGGGCTTGGTGAGGAACTTCGTGGTGCTGGGGAGGAGTTGACTTGGAATGAGACTGATCGTCATACAATTTGGAGCCATTTTTGCCGTTGTCACCACCAGCCCGGTCCTTGGGACCTTCCGAAGAAGATCGATAGTCGCTGCTAGCCGACGTGGTGCCTGAACTTCGCTGACCGTTGAGCCCTGCTCTTCCATTTTGCCCTTCCCGTGGTACATTGTCCGAGTCATCGGGTACACTGGAGCTTCTCTGACGGGGACTACCGGTAGAAGGGGCGTTGTCATCATCTTTATAAGGCCTGCGCTTGGGCTCTCGCGTGCTACGGGATCGCCCGATGTTACTTGCGCCATTCCAGGGATCGAATTTTTCGCCGCCGCGTGTTTGATATGGGGTACTTTGACGTGGGTCCATGAACGTGCTGTCGCGGTCGCTGTCGCGGTCGGGATCAGGGTTAGACGGTGCTCGGCGCCTGGCTCGTGCCGCAGAAGAAGTCTCGTTGAACAGATTAGAATGAGACCTAGTGGTGAAGTAGTTATTGCCAGATACCGCTGGCTCATCGCCTGGGGACTCAGGCACATAGCCTCCTCGCTGGACACGGGCGCCAAAGGAGCCCTTAGGCTGCTTCTGAGGCGGGGCACGCGGAGGTACAGGAGGCGGCTGCTGCGGCGGCTGCTGCTGCTGCTGCTGCTGTTGGTAGCTCGACGGTCTGCTGGCGCTGGGAGTCCTACTCGACGCGCCGCTTGCAGTAGGGCCTCGGGCTGGTCCCTTGCCCTTTGAGCCATTTTTCATGTCCTCCCATGCTTGCCAATGTTGCCATGTATTCGTGGAGTCGGTCTTCTTTGCCTGCGTCCGACGAGGTGCACCTGCCGTGAACTCAGAGTACTTGTCTGCATTCGTCGAGGCCGACTGGCGTTTCTGCGTGGACGCGGCGGGCCTCTGGGGGAAGTTGGGCGGTCGAGGAGGAGGAGCCCACTCCTTGCCGGCATTCGCCCAAGGGTTTCCTCTTACTCCAGAGGCATACGTTGCCCGGGTACGGCGGGCCTCGGAATCGTACTTGCGCTTCTTCTCGGGATCGGTCAGGATGGCGTGGGCATGGTTGATGATGTTGAAGGCTTCATTTGATCCGCCAGGGCGATCGGGGTGTTTCTTGAGCGCTGCACGACAGCTTCTGTTAGCTCTTGACCACGACGACGATATGAGACCTGACCCGACATACAAAGCTTCCTGTACTGCTTCCTGACGAGATCGATGTCCTCCGTAGGCCCAGCTAGCTCGAGATCTGCATACAAGTCGCGTCGAGGTTCCTTCTCCATGATGGGCCTATTTCGAAGGCAGAGGGTGCCTCTAGCGCGCTGGGAAACAGGTCAAGAATGAAGAGTTGGAGAACGTGTCGAGGAGTCAACAGTGACTACATCTGAGTAGGGAGGCCAGTGCTTTTCTCAGGGCGCAAATGATGTTGGGCAAAGGACGCGTCTCTCCGGAGGGAATAACGGAGCGCAGGGCGGGGCAGTTGGCAGGAGAAGGGAGACGAAGAAAGGGTCACCCCACGGAGTCTTTGAGAAGGAGATAAATTGTCTGCTTATCAGTAAGATACCCTTCAAGTAGAAAGAAAGAAGCAGTAAACGTCAACAAGGGGAAGGGTAGGCTTACCAGAGTAGTAGTCGTTGTGGTCTGCTGAGCTAGGGATCAGCCGCAGGATCAGGGTAGGTAGTGATGCTGAGGATCACAGAGAGGACAAGCCTGGGAACAAGTGATGCCTAGAATTGCGACAAATATTACTGTGCTGTGCTGTGCAGGAAAAAGATCAAAAAAAAAATAAAAATGTGCTCCACAAGAAGCAAAAGCAACTTGGTGCACAAGGGTGCTGCTGGTGACTGTCGCGATGGTGGGTGGGCGGGCGTGTGAACTTTGGGCTCCGTTGGAGATGGTTGACTTGTGACGTGTTGTGATTGGACACTGGTCCTAAGTAGGCAGAGAAGAAGAAAAAGAAGGTAAAAGCTGGGTGGAACAATGCTGCTGTTCACAGAACGTGACAGAAGTCAAGTTTTGGTAACAAGAACTTCTACAGAAAAAGGCCTGAAGCCTAAAGACTGCCAGTTGCTGTGGTGGTCAGGCTGGTTGCCAATCCGGAATGAAATGGGAGGTTGGAATGTGAGCATCTTCAGTGGGGCAATGTGGGTTTGGGTGACCGGTAGTGCCAAGGCGTAGTCAGGGTCCCGAATCCAAGGGTTTTGTCTAGTACTCTACTATTCATCTGATCTTCTCTCAAGTCGGAGCCTGACATCTGACTAGGCTGTTGACTGGCTGTCCGGGTGAAATAGTTCCTAATGACGTAAGAGAGGGTGCAGGCCACCCCAGCGCACATTGACTTGCTCCCCACAAGGCTGAGAGAGGGTCACACCTGTGGCCATCAAGCCAACAGCAGTCCAGACTTGTTCCTGTAGTATTATACTGGACAGTAAATCATCAATATAAATTTGGAAATCATTTTCTTAGCTCATATTTTGCATCATGACTGCTATGGACCAAGGAGTTAAATCTCAACATCACATCTAAATAAATAAAAATTGGCCGTTCTGGACTGCAGCCTTACAGTGCACAAGAGAGGACACAGCCACTCTAAGTGTGCGTGGCCTTGTCGTCACTTGACACTGAGGGTCATCTGTGGTGGAGACATGATTGTCACTTTCCAGGAGATCTCCCCTTTCAGCCGTGTAGATACCATAGCAGCATCAAAGAAAGTCTTTTTCTTCTTTTCCTGAACTCCAATTACTGTGGCTAGCAGTTCCCAGCAAACCTTGGTTGGTACTTGTACACTCTGAAAACAACAAAATTTTCTGCAAGTATTCAAATACCGATCCAGAATACCCATGCAGCTTCCGTTCCCATTCCGATCATGTCCCCGGAACTCCAGATGGCAATGTATAAACATACCAAGCCAGCTACAGCACCCAGACCCCCAAAACAATGCTATACATAATTGCATCCGCTATCCAGGGAGGCATTGGCCCATCACAAGACCATCACTGGATGTCCTTGCTGAGCTCGTACGACCATCCTCCGTCACGCCTCATTTTCTCTCGCGCTGCAAGATCCTTGCGGATTTCGTCTTCTGTGAGCCGGTCGCCTCCGTTCCAGTTGGCACTGCTCCCCCGGGCGCGGAACTTGCTCCATCTGTCCTTGTTCTTGAACACCTCCTCCAGCCGCAGGGGCGCAGGAGGGCCAAAAACCTGGAGAGGGTCAATAGACTCCTGCTTCATAAGTTCACGCCGGAGTTCAGGCGTGTCTGCCCATGATGCTATCCCCAGTCCCTTGGCCTCATCATCGTCATCATCGTCATCATCGTCATCGTCATCATCTGTCTGGATTTCAGGGAGCTCAATATTATCGCCGTTCTGGAAGCGTGGTGAGGACCTTGTCGCTGATTTGGCAGCAGATTTGGCAGTCATGACGCCAGCAGGTCTGGCCGGAGTCTTGTGAGAGGGCCCAGCGCCATGTTGACTGGACGCAAAAGGAATATGACCCTTCGAGACCTGGGCCATATCCAGAGGATGGCCATTCTTGCTGTGATGCGGCGCGACTGATGGTGCCTTGAAAATATCCCTCGTAGCTCCTGAGGGACCAGGTGCATACCCGCTGGAGAAGAGTGACTTGTTTGTTTGATCCTGAGAGAAAATTAGCAAGTATATCGAGAGGGCGAGCCATACAGAGGTCTACGGCTTGCAACCTACCTTCTTGAGCCCAGCTGATGATCCAACGTGGGGACCCTTGATGCCCGTTCCGTACGACTGGATCTCCATCTCCTCCTCGGCGTCAAACTCATCGTCCGAGGTTCGCATGCGCTTCATCTCTTTCTGGGGAGGCGGGCCATTTCGGGTTGCAGTTGGTCGTTGCGTCGTGTCCTCTGCGCCCTCTTGCTGGAGCGGCCGCTTCATCGACATTTTGGCGGTGCTCGACAAGACTGCGTTGACAGGGCGGCCGATGTCTTCTTGCGATCGATACATGGTGGACTGCTGCAAGCGAGATGGAGGTCTCGGTATAGCTGCCTTCTCCCGGACAGAGTTGTAATCAGGCGCGCCACTTGGCTGAGACCGAATTGCTGGAGGCGGGGCTTTTGTTTTCTTGGCCTTTTCGATCGCAGCTTGACGGGCTGCTTGCTTCTTGGCCTCTTCCTCGGCGGCAACTCGCAGGCGTTCCTTCTCTCGCCGCTCCGCCTCCAGTCGTTGCTCTTTCTCGCGCTTCCGCTCCAACTCTGCCTTGAATTCACGCTTCCGCTGAGTTTTCTTCTCCTCTTCTTGTCGTCGCTTCTCTGCAAGTTCAAGTGCCTTGGGGCGACCGGTTGTTGAGCTGACGGAACTCTTGAGATTCTGCAGCGATGACTTCGTCTGCAGTGAGGGTTGGCTGGCCTTGCCCTTGACCTGCTGTTGAGAGCTGCCGAGAGTGTCTTGGAGGCTTGATGCAAGTGTACTGTTGGCAGGATACAGTCCAGTGTGTTGCGAAGACGTGTTGACGCGGATCAAAGTCGGCGCTTGTTTCGGTTTGACAGCAGTTTCTCTCGTTGGTTTAGTTGGCCGCTTGATCTCACGATTCTTCAGCCTTTGACCAGGTGTAAGCCGGGGAATCGAAGGAGGCACGGGCCTTATCGCTGGGGCATCAGCCATTTCCATGTCCTGATCAGCGGTATCGAGCTTATCTATGTCGGCGACTGCCCTGCCTGCAGTCTCAATCTGTGGCTTTTCCTTGCGTGGACTTGTCCGTGTCGGCCTGTTGATCTCTTTTGGAGCTGGGGTGCGCATGGTCTGTTTTTGTTCTTGCTGCATGCCATGGGGTTCCTCGGGAGATGCCTTCTCCTGTTTTTCCTTGCTGAGTGCGCTCGCCTTCTCCCTCTCCTTCTCTCTCACCTTCTGTAGCTTTTCCATCTGCTCGGCAAGGCGTTGGGCTTCTTTGTCCTCCTTGTCTTTTTGCTTCTGATCCCTCCTTTCTCGCTCAGCGGACGCTCGGGTCTTGCGGCTATTTGACTTCAACGGACTGGGAGCCCTGGGAGCGTGGTTAGACTCAGACATGTGCTTTGTCAGATCCGGGTAGAGAGGTTGACCCTCCTGCTCTGGCTGGAGAGACTCAGTAGACACGTTCTGTTGCTTTCGTAATTTGGCAGATGGCGAGTTCACCAACGACGCCTTGCCATCCGCACTGAGCGCAGCACTGCTTGCTAGGAGACCCTTCGACCCCTTCAGTATCGAAGAAAACTTGTTCTTGACCTGTTTCAAGGTATTCTGCCTGAAGGGGCTTTCGCGGAAGCTTCTGGATGGTGACTTTGGGGGCTCGTCTCCTTGAGGATCCTTGTTGTAGTCCACCAATGGATTGGATGCAGAGACGACCTTGTTGAGCTCTTGCCCAGCAGTATCTCCGAAGATATTATGCTGGCCGAAATCAGGTACTGAGATCGATTTGCCATGACCAAAGACGGGTTTGACGGGGCTAGATAGCGCTCCTTTCCGAGGCGAGTAATGTGTGAGATCGGGGCTCGACTCTTGCAACTGGTGCTCGGGCAGATTCGAATCGATACCGCTGACCGTGTCACTGCGATGAACGCCCTCCATGATATCCGCAGTGTAACTCTTCTCTAGCACGGGACGAGGACTTTGGGTGACGGCTTGTTCTGCAGGAGGCGAAGCGATCCAGTCGTCTTCATCATCCTCGGGGAACGCACCTGGTGTTCTTGCTGACTGCTGAGGTTTGGAAGGCGATCGAGGCTTCTCTTCCGCGCTCGCTTGAGCCTGTTGTGAGATCTGCGGGTGAGAGCTGTGCAGTGGCTGTTGAGTGCCAGAAAGGTTCGCAATCGACTTTGACGGCCTTGGCCCACCTGCTTGTGACTTGCCGAGCATACTGATCTGATCCTGCAGCCTCTGCGTGTAGGATTTACTGTGAGTAGCGAAAGCGCTGTCTGTCTTCTCCTTCACAGCATCGGCGGCGGCGTCATCGTCGTCAATGTCCATGACATCGTCATCGGCCTCCAGGACATCTTGCCGCGCACCAAGACTTTTGCCTCCGGTTGGTCTCGGGTAGTAACTTGTTCGGGTCGGTTCGATGTGGCTGGTTCTCGACATCCGCGCACCAATACTCTTGTTAGAAGTCAAGGGTTCGCGCGCGGGCAGCGATGCAAAGTTGAGGCTGCTCTTGCGCACCAGGGGGCGCATGGGGCTCGATCCATCGGATGGCGACCGCGTCACATCTGCAGCATCATCGTCATCCGGAGTGTCGACCGCAGGTATGGATTCGGCAAGGACTTGTTGAGGAGCAAGTGGTGACTCTGGCTGCTGTGACTGTGACTGTGACTGTGGCTGTGGCTGTGGCTGTGGCTGTGGTGTCGGGGATTTGGCCGGCGATTTCTGCGGACTATCGTGACCGAGTAATTGGACTGGAGATGAAGCTTGCACAATCGGCGTATCAAAGTCGTCAAGCGCCGATGGTCCGGCTGACGCTGACAAGGCGCTCGATGCCTCGACGCCTTGATGTTCTGCTGAGGTCTGCAAGCAATCCTCCAGAGACCCAACGGCCAGAGCCGGATTCTGGTGGCCCGTTTGCTCCACCGTCTCAGCTAGTCGTTCCTTGGACTCCTCGGCTTCGGGCTCAGGTTCTTGTGGCTGTATTGGTTCGGCATCCTCCATGACCTCATCAAAGTCTATCGCGACATCCTGGCTCTGGCTCCCATAATAACCAGAATCAGCAAGGACACGCTGTTCTGAAGGCGCAGGCTCGGCAGGGACAGGTTTTCGTGTTATCGATGTGGGCCTTGCTGGGCTGCCCGGTTCGTCCTCGGCGATCTTGAAGTTCGGCGTCCTAGCCTGAAGCAAATTCGATGTTGTGAAAGGATTAGGAGCTCCCTTGGGCGTTGCGGAAAAGATGTCAGATAGTGGCTATCACCCATATTAGTCTGGTCAAGACGACCGGCCACACGGCAGAGGGAGAGAGAGACGGGGAGAGGGGGCTGTAACCTCACCACTCTGTTTTCATTGTGATATAGCTTGCGGGTGGTGTGAGGGGTCTTGCCACGAAGCTTTCCTGGGGTTTTGAAAATCTCGGCCACGTTGCTAGGGGCAGAGTCAGCAATCATGGGAACCCAAGTCAGAAAGTTAGACGCGCCCGACACGTACATCTGGTTCTCAGAGAAGATATCGGCCATGTGCTCATTTAGCCACTCGACCTCGTTTCTTGCCGAATAGCTAAACTCTTCTACCTCGGATTGTGTGATGTCAAGGGCGGAGGACCTCTCATCAGCGCACCATGCCGAGGAGCCGACAGGCGGACGCGACGTAGGACGCATCGCCATGACCAGTTCGCGCGAGGTCGGGATGAAGATAGACGTGACAAGAGAAGGCAGGGTGTCGCGTCGCGGGGAAGAAGAGATATCAATTCGAACAACGCGTTCGTCAAGGTATAAAAAGCATGTCTGGGCGCTGATGATAGCCGATTCGAGGGGGGGGCAAAATAGTTGTAGAACGCAGAATCAGAACCGCGGTGCTTGGTGTGGGGTTGGTTGCAATGCTGACTGAGGTGTGCAGCGAGAAGGCGGCTGGCTACGTGCTTTCCCAGTTCTGGCGTGAAGTAAACAAAAGGCTAGCGAATACCTCAGACGTGCCTTCATTGGCCCAGACTGCTCCCGGAAGCCCCACCCCTTTTTAGTCTCATATCCCCTGCTGAAGTGACGGCGTCAGCCGCTCCGGCTACGAAATTCGGATCCGATAATCAAAGACAATTCCGGAGGTCAGGCGGGCAGTATTTAATTTCGTCGACTACCAAGTACATGAATTTTGGGGCACAGTAAAAACCTGTCACTATCGACTGAGACAACTTGAAACAATCAGATAGACAACTTGTCAGGAGAGACGGGTGGGGGTTGGTAGATATGCCTCTACCGTTGTTCGCTATGGCGTGTTGTCTCCATGGTTCCCCTCCCTTCTACTGTTTTGTCTTCTCCCATAATGCAACTCGATCCCAATCAATACGAAGGTGCATTCCCCTCCCTTCTCGCTGCCCCTCTTCCTACAGACAACCTGGTCAGTGTCGCTCACCCGGACGCCGATCATGGTGGATCGCGCCATGCAAATTTCTTGCTAGGGAGTGTTATTTTCCATCTCTTGCTCACTCTTGCATCCCCTACCTCTATCCACGAGCTGAGTCTTGCGACAGCGACTGTTCCATACGTCTCGAAATGCAAGTTGATAAGGCTACCTAGGCATGAATGTCTCGAGACTGAGCAGTCTTGAGGCGGCGAACAGATGGCCAGAAACCTCTCTCAGGTTGCAGACGATTCGTCTGTTTGGAGCAGCCGGTGACTGGTGGCACCATCAAAGCCAATATTCTTCCCCTCTTTGCGCAATTATCTTGTCCCACCTACCTCTTTCTCCCAGCATGAGGGTGTGCTGGACAGCAGTCCGAATTCCGCACAGCTCTAATGGCTGCTGCCATCGCTGATCTGACCCTGTTTCGAGGTCGCCTCGTACTCGTCCTCAGGATACATACATACACCCTTGGTTATGCAGGTCAGGGCACAGTGACGAATTGGTTGCCTTACCCTGACCGATTACCCTGACCGACGAATCAACGGCATGCCATGGTTCCAGGTCTGATGGATCATGGAAGGGTTGGGTGGGCTGATCCGGTCCCATCTCCTATCCAGATCACCAAATGGTTCGCACCGCCTGCAGTGGACCGCCTTCCTCGCATGGCCAGCCTGCATCGGGATATGGCACGGCCGGCAGCTGGCGGAGGGCACAGCGCTCACTGTGAGCATCCTGCTACCCCGAGATCACATGCTGGTCAGTCGTCTGGCAAATCACACCCAGGAAGGAGCCGCGACAGACAGGTCACAGCAATGTCCTATGATGTGTCCTGTGATGTGTCCTGTGGAGCCCAAAGGAGCAAAGAATAAGCTATCAGAGGATGGATAGCGCATTCTTCCACCTCACAGGCCAGCAAGGGATCACGATCCCAGACCAGAACAAAATTCCAGGATGATAAAGTCGGCGACCCGCCGTCCAGCCTATCCTGCTGGCCAGGCAGGCTCTGTAATCGTCAGGCTCTGTAATCGTCTCAGCGTTCCGTGTACTTTCGTGACTGTGTGATATGGTTCTGGAAAACCCTTCTATTGGTCGTGGCCGTTTCGACGGGATGCTCGGGAGTCTTAATGGGAAATGCTGTTCCGACTAGATCACAAGTGGAAAGATAGCCGGTCGTGCAGACCGCCATCTCGATTAGCACGCGGGATCCGTGGACGACCCATGCTGGAGGTATCAATTGATGCATGCTCGGCGAGAGGCATACTTTTTTGAAGTTGTTAGCCCCGAAATCGGGAAGCCGAGAGATCGACCCTGCCGACAAGGGCGCGGAGCTACCATCAAAGAACAGCAGCCGCACGCCCCAACAACGCCAATGGCATCCCCTGGACCTTGTAATGGGTCTCAAACGCTAGAGATGTTCAAGTCGCCGCTGCGGCCCACCTCGAAACCCCCCGAACCGTATCTGCCGATATGAGGGTTGTTGCCCGTTCATTCTCGAATTCGCCGTTGAGGTGAACTCAACAATAGGCCGTCCGGACCTTGGTTTGTGCTTCAAGGCTTCACTGACGATGTCTGTTAGCTCTCAGGGGGATGTACTACTGAGAACAAATCAAAGCACATGTGCCGGTCTCGGATGCAACTATTATCCGCACGTTGGGCGGCCAGTACGTCCCATGGCGCTGTGACCTTGACTTCGTTCCTATCCAGTAGCCAAAGGGTCTGGATGCGTCATTCCGACTCCGGGGTCTCCTGATGGCCAGGCCAATGCGAGGTTCCTAATTAGCCCAACCAAGGGCGCGCCCGCATGAGGGAGAGAGTGAGTGTGTATATGGCGGTATATAAGGCACACAAGATGATGATGAGGTCTCGCGGTCCTTCTGGCTTCTTTGCCCAGGACATTTCACTTCTCAGCCTTTCTGACCATTTCCTGCATAACAATTCCAGAGAGCAAGAACAGCCATGGCCATCTTCCAGGAGACCGATGGCGTTAAGGGTGTCAACCGCACCGAGAAAGCTGACGGCGCGCAGCATGCAGACGCCATCCAAAAGTCTGCTGTCCTTCACCGTGACCTTCGCCATAATTTTCTCGAGTTATCCAAAGGTGAAGGCCACTATCTCGTCCTGAACGATGGTCGAAGGATTTTCGATGCCTCGGGCGGTGCGGCTGTTGCATGTGTGGGTGTGAGCTCGTCCTCTTTCCTTCTTGTCATGTCAAGCATCCCTTAACACGTCCCGGTTTGGACATATGAGGTTAAATTGGATGTACAGCATGGAAACGACAAGGTCAACCAGGCCATGGTAGACCAGATCAGCAAGGTGAGCTATTGCGCATCAGCCTTCTTCAAGACGCCTATCGTGGAGGAGGCTGCAAGGATTCTGGTCGACAGTACCGATGGAAACATGACACGAGTGTACTTTGTCCAGTCTGGTTCGTCGAAATTCTCAATGTCATTGGCGAGACCAATGTTGACATGCAGCAGGATCTGAGGCTATGGAGGCGGCGATGAAACTGGCTCGTCAGTACTACCTCGAGAAGGAGATGCCTGAGCCCCAGAGGGTCCGCTTCATCGCTCGAGAGCAGTCTTATCATGGAACGACGCTCGGGTCCCTCGCCATGGGTGGGCATGTGGCTCGACGGGCTAAGTTTGAGCCCATACTCATGAACAATATCTCGAAGGTCTCGCCGTGCTTCTCGTATCGAGGCAAGGTCAAGAATGAGACCGACGAGCAGTACGTCCAGAGGCTGGCTGCTGAGCTCGACAGTGAATTTCAAAGGGTCGACCCCAAGACAGTCTGCGCCTTCGTCGCCGAACCAGTCGTTGGTGCTGCTCTGGGGTGCGTGCCAGCCGTCCCCGGCTACTTCAGAGCCGTACAGGCGGTTTGCCGCAAGTATGGTGCTCTTCTAATTTTGGATGAGGTCATGTCCGGAATGGGTCGTACCGGGAGCTACCATGCCTGGCAGCAGGAAGGAATCATCCCTGATATTCAGACTCTCGGAAAGGGGCTAGGTGGAGGATATCAGCCCGTGGCTGCAGTTCTCATCCACAAGGACATCGTGGAGACACTCCAGAAAGGCACTGCGTAGGTTGTCCATGCCATGTCTCTCTAATGTTGCCTATTAACCTCGTTGTTGTAGGGCTTTCATGCATGGTCACACGTACCAGGCACACGCTGTTGGCTGCGCCGCGGCAGTGGCTGTCCAGAAGATCATCCAAGAGGATAACCTCATCATGAATGTTCGTACCATGGGGCAACTTCTCGAGAGGAGGCTGAACGAGAGCATTGGCGGCCACCCCAATGTAGGCAATATCAGGGGCCGCGGCTTGTTCTGGGCTGTCGAATTCGTCGAGGACAAACTGACAAAGGCACCTTTCTCTGCAAGCGAGCGAGTGGCAGCGAACCTCAACAATCTCGGGTTGACGGCGCCCTACTCAATCGTGGTATACCCGGGCAGTGGTACTGCCGACGGGCTCTCCGGAGACCACATCATTCTCGCACCTCCGTATACCGTGACTGCTGTTGAGGTCGAGGACCTTGTCCAGACGTTCAAGAGCTTGGTCGAGGACTTCTTTGCAGCTCGGTCGGTCTCCAGTGGACACTCGGGCTGAAAGAAGGTATAAATTAGGTGTGTGTTCCAGCGCAATAGCAAAAGTAGTGACGTCAAACTGGGTACCAGGATAGTGCGATTGCTGCAGGAAGCAGTTGCGAACTCCAGAGCTCCTGCCGTGGTTGGGGTTGGTGGCCAAGGGAGAGGGAGAGTAATTACTTGGATACTTGATTACAGACTTGTTTAGGTAGCATGAAGAGAGGTAAACACGCACACACACACACACACAAAGTCCAAGTATCTACGTAGCGTGCCCAGAGGCCAAAAGATACAGCAGTTTTCGGGATGACGAGCCCACCAAGGAGAGCCATGTCCATCCTTAAACTATATGGCGCCGAAAGACGGCCTGATCTGTCCGCTTTTGCTGCCTTGTTATACCACATTTAGGGTCAACAAAACGTAAGGAGGGAAAGCTAGACTGTGTGATAATTACCATAGATGGACCGCGCAGTCGCTCGCGATGTCTCCTTTACTTATCACACAAATTTAGCATGGCCAACTTTGGATAGAAAACATTCCTAGCTTCTGTTGTTCTTTTTCTCCCTAACTTATATCGAGCAGGACATAACTTTTTGTCTACAGTCGGGTGGTCGTTTTGGCTGAAGGAGATTGCCCGCATCTTCTTCTTCTCTTTTTTTGTCTCTTGCTTTTCTTTCTTTCCTTTTCTTTCTGATTGTCTTCCTATAAAAAGTTAAGGGTGTAGAAAAGGGTAGAGAGGAGGGAAATAAAAGGAAGGGGTGATGTTACATTGGAACAGATAATCGAATCGATTCAAACTTACCAAAATTACTTTTCTTTCCACAAAGAGAAGGGAGGACTAGCCCCGAAGCATGCACGTCGAGATTGAGGCTCTTAGGGGGAAAAGTAGGCTTACGTCAGACCCTTGACGGTGCTGCACCTCCTGGACCCGTAACCCCCGGAACGCTTCGTCCACCCACCGCAATGTGCTTGCGTCCCACCTCTCTCCTCCCTGGGATCTTGTCCGGCACTCTAGTTTGTCGTAGTGGTGTAGATCCGCCTAGCAGCTCTCCTCCCCCCTTTCTATCCAACATTGCACATTTTCACATGGTCCATTGCTACCTTCCTGTCGTCCACTGGCCCCTGTCCTCGCCTCGCATCCACACGGCCTCGCCGTCCTTCTCAGAGTTTTTGTTAACGTTCCTCGAGCTTCGGCCGCACAGCTCTCGTCATGGCTGTACGCAGCAATCTCAGCCGGCAGGCTGCTGAGGAGGAGGCCGAAGTCGACGTGATCAGGTCTCATCTAGAGACAAGGGCGCAGATGACCAAAAAGATCGAGGCAGCCCTGGTCAAGGTGGTGAACAACGGAAACACCCTCGATGGCGCTGTGCAGTCGCTGGGAACGGAGACCAAGAAGCTGCAGGAACTGATCCAGAGTGCGTGATTCGGCACAAGACGAGACGATCGGCAACTTGGACTTCCCCGTTCCGGCTGACAACCTCTCTCCCTACAGACATCAGGTCCACGCGTGCCGAACTCGAGAGGATCTCCCAACAGGCCGACAGCAAGAACGATGACGAGAAGATCATCCGCATGGGCCCGGAGAAGGCCGGGCTGACACAGTATATCAACGCGCTGAAGCGGCTGTACAAGACCTTGAACGCCTCCAAGACATCGAGCCTGCGAACCACACAGGACGCGGTAGCAGATCTGCAGAGGCTGATCAAGTCCGGGAATACGCAACTCGAGGCTTACTTTGACAAGCTCCTGCGAAGCGACACGCCGCGGTCCATCGAGCCGCTCCGCTACATCACCAAGAACGAGCCTTTCCCTGTCCTCTCCGAAGATAAGAACTCCAAGCTGGGCGTGCTGAACGACTACATCGCCAGGACACACCGAGAAAGCGGTGTCAGCGAGGAGTCACCAGCAGCCAAGATCTACGCCGAAGTCCGAGGGCCTTACATCCAATTCACATTAGCGAACCTGGCATCTGCTAGTATCACCACTGTGAAGAAGAAAAATCCGACGGATATCTATCGGGCTGGACCAATGAGCGGCATTGCCATGTATGCCCAGGCGATCGAGGGCCTCTTGCGCGCCGAGTATGAGAGTATCTGCCGAGTCTTCTCGCGCGAGGACTGGGGTCCAGTCTTTTTGTCGACCAGTCAAGGCTCCATCGCGGAACTGGCCAGGACGTTACGGGAACTGAACATGCACATTAAACAGCACTTGGCCGTGGACTGTTTCCTCGCGTATGAAATAGTGGAGGCTGTCTCAACCGTCTCCAACAACCTGGAGCAGGCAACTGGAGAGCTGAAGATGCCGCTCACGTCGGCGCTCAAACCTATCAAGGAGACCGCAAAGTCATCTCTGTCTGAGCTGCTGGAGCTTATGAAACAGAGGGTCAACGGTCTGCAGGCCTTACCTGCGGACGGCGCCCCAATTCCGATCGTTTCCGAGTCTATACGGTCACTTCAAGGCATGGTTGCCTTCATACGTCCCGTGTCGAACATCATGATATCTCTGGGCGACGGTGGCTGGAAGTCTGCGACAGCGGCCAGGGGCGGAGTGGACAATACGCCGAATCTTTCCTCGTTCGACGTGACTGCAGACGGTCAACAGATATTCGGAAATTACTGTATCGACACGATCGAGACGCTCTTCTCCTCGCTGGACGCCAAGGCAAGGATGCTGTTTGGCAAGAAACCAGTGGTCGGCGTCTTCATGGCCAACAACATTACCATCATTGACCGAATGGTTCGCGAATCCGACCTCTGGCCACTACTGGAGCAGAAGATGCCATTTGTCATCGACACCTGGCGCAAGAAGTCCAAGGGCTTGTACCTGGACATGTGCAAGGATGTATCGGTGCACCTGCTCGACACAATCCACACGTCGAGGGCGCAGCGGCCAACCTCGGGCCAAGGCGCTGTCGACTCGGCGTCCATCATGAAGGCCCTATCATCCAAGGACCGCGACAACATCAAGGGCAAGTTTGTGGCCTTCAACGCCAGCTTCGACGAGATGGTCAGGAGCCACAAGTCGTTCAATATGGAACCTGAGGTGCGGCGCATGTTTGCGCGGGACGTGCAGCAGACGGTCGAACCGCTGTATAACCGGTTTTTTGACAGGTATCATGAGGTCGACAAGGGCAAGGGCAAGTATGTCAAGTACGACAAGTCGACCATGTCCGGTGTCTTCCATTCACTATACTAGCTTGTCCCGGCAGCATGGCGCACACTAGTCCCCCGTCTTCCCCCTTTTTTCTTTTTCTTCTTTTTTTTCCCCTTTTACGAGATACCCTCTGTCCTTTGGACCATTAGCTGTGCATCATTTTATCATCAGTCCCCAGAACGGAACCTACCTGTCTGCAGTGTAGTATATCTTCGAACTATGTGCCCAGCACTCACCTTTGCTTTGAAATTCAATGCGTATACCACGTGGAGAAGTGTCTGGATCAAGTAGTCGGGGAGCCACAGTAAAGTGGGCGGTGGCGTGGTGGACGGAGGGAGGTAGGGCAAGAATAGCCGTGTTCTCACATCTTGACGATGACTGCAGACGGACACCCACAGCATGATGGCGGTCAGGTGGTCTCCCCAGCCTGGGCTATCTCGTTTTCCTCTCCCTTCAACACTAATCAAAAAGGTACGCCTGGCCATGCCGTCAGCTTACTGTGGCACTTGATCACGGTTCAATACTTCATCGTACAACTCGTCAAGCGTAGAGATCTGATTACCCATGCTCGCAACCGTGCCTCGGCCTCTCTCCCTTTCTCTCCAGGGGACACATAAACCCTCCAGGGGGAAGAGGAAGAATAAGAGGCCGCACGCGACCCCCCCCGGAGTGCTTCCCCCTACCACCCCTTGCTGGCCAAGCCCCCTCCTCTTCTAAATCTCCTCCTTGTCCCTGTTGGCTTTTGGGAGAGGACAAACACAAGAGAAAGAAGGGCGGAAAGTTCCGTTTGGGTCTGCCAATATCGTAGGAGTAGAAACCCTTCCAATTGCTGAACCGAATTTGTGCAGTTCGCGTCTGGGCGCTCGAGATTGCATAGATGACGGAAGGATGCAGACTGCCCGTCCTTGTGACCCTCCATTCATTCATGCAAGGCTTCTGGGGCGGACCCGCCCCAAGAGCTCCAGAAGTACTCCCCCCCCCCTGGGCACGCATGCACACACACAGGTTCGACACGTTGCTGCCGTCGTCGCCCGATGAGGAATGGTTTGTTTCCCAGGACCCTGGGTCGCCCTCCACCCGCATGGATCGGACATAATAGCCCCTCCCTTTCCCTCCCACCTTACCATAGTACTATTACTATGGTAGATGATGCATCTGAGAGGAGCCCTTTTCTTTCCTTCCTCTCCATGATCTACAGTGCTGCTTCCCCACTGGGGAATATATTGAATAGTTCTCTCTTTTTTTCCCTTGCTTCTTACAACAATTCATCTTTGGTGGGGGAGGCTTTGTATACTGTACTGTGTTGCTAGCGTTGAACAAGTAGTTTGACTTAACCCCCCCTCCTTATGGTAACATGCTATCACAAGTCAATGGTTCCCCCGCTAGAGAGTTTCAACAGAGTAGAACAGAACTGAAAGTCGATCAAAGGTACCAAAGTACAAGCAAGTGTCCCAGACCCAATTGATGCGAGATGCTGTACTGCACTCATCTGGTGACCCAATGTTGTAGGAGGTACCTTGATGGCCTGCGTCCAGACAATGTCCCTTGCACTTGGGGGGGCTTGAGACCTCGAAAAAGCTTGTTGATCAATTGGGATATGTGTACTACGGTACAATGTCCGACGGACTCTGTGCTACCTCAAAGGAGACCAGCGAGCAGAAATCTTGCTGGTACCGTACTCGTAGTACCAAAGTAGGAATACTCTTGGATGGACGTGACATGAGAACAAAAAAAAGAGAGACGAATAGAAAACAAAAAACAGCACAGCTGTGTATGCTAAGCCTCAGCGTTGTATACAGTAAGTGTGGGGGTGATTCCCAAGGGGGGTTGTGTTTCCTGAGGAGGGGTGGGTGGAGGGATGGGTGGCTTATGCATGATTTCGGCGTTCGTAGGTACGGTAGCAGTGAGGGCGAGCAGGGGTGGGAGGGACAACAAGTCGCTACTATGCCAGACTGGAAATGGTCAGCGCCTCGTTGGATCGTTGACTGCATGAGATGAATTGTGGACGTGAGGCGCATCCCTCGTCGTGCTGGTGCTTGGCCATGCAGCCTGCAGAGGGCCGTTCCCGTGACATGTTTGGACAGTGGATTTTGTTAGACAAGCTCACAGACCAGCTACTATTACACATACTATCACACTCTTTCCCGCACGAGCATTCAAACAGTCAAAGAGACATATCAGATTTGCTAAAGACCGTTGTCATGATGATCTCTTCCTGATGTATGCTCAAGTTCCTTTCGTGTGTACAGTACATTCCAATCCTCCCAGCTCGGATTCTGCCCGAGCGACCGTTCCCCCTCCTTTGACTACTGCACCTTTTCCTGGTTCCCTCAGCATCTTGAGTCAATTCGTGATGTCTAGGTACCATGGTGTTTGTCCCGTCGCTTTCGCTAAGAGAGGGGAAAATGAAGACAAGAAAATAGTTAGAATGAGGCGGGGGAAGATAACACTTGACCCACCCCCACGATGTGGTCATGACCCTTCTCACACAAGACTCCCAGCGCCCAATACCCATTCAATAAAGATAATCAGAAATAGAAACTCCAGTCGTGTTGTGGTGCCCACATGACTTAGGTACATGCACACACACAAACATGCGCACACAAAAGCCGCCCAGGCCGAGAAACTCCGCGCCAAGCGATGGTAATTGTACAAAGCGTACAAGCCAATGAAAAAGAATGAAAGGAGAGGGAAGGGAAAGGGAAAAGAAGGAAAAAAAAGCATCCTCGGCTACTACAGTTGGGCAGTAAAGCAAAAATCAGACGCTCGTGGGGCGGCAACCCACCCCCTGGCTCCCCCTGGTGCCGCCGTGTCTGCAGTCGTATCTGCATGCGGCGGGCTAGTAGTACATGGGACCATAGTAGGTAGCATGGGGGCCGGGGCCCCGTGTAAGTCCAGAACTGCAAGCCCGGCGCCCGAGACGGCATAGTGCAGTGAAAATAATGCTGCCTCCAGGACGGGTTGACAAGACGAAGAGCGGCGGTGAGCCGGTTCTGGCCTCCAAAAGAAGCTGATGGAAAGGAAAGTTACAAGGGAAAAAGTCATTCCAAAAAAGATGGCGACTGGAGAGAAGAGGAGAGAACGTATCCTCGTGTACCGACGGTGGTGGGGCCGTGGGGGGGGGGGGGGGGGCACAGAGAGCGACACCTTCCCCCCAATCCCAAGCCACTTGCCTCTATTCCACTGTGACGACTTGTCGCCGCATCACGATGGAAGGGAGGGGTAAGGTGGGCACATAGAGAAAGGGCTGTCCACAGATCGACGAACTCGCAGATGCAGCGAGCATGGCCGGGAAGATCGGGACCGGTCAAGAGGCTCAGGAACCAGATGCAGGCTAATGTATGTAGGTGAGCATGGCTGTGAGGATGCGGCTGGCCCAAAAAGTGTGGAATTCGTGCGGCGCTGAACGTGGGTGTTGTGACCAGGGGGGGAGGGCGTGGTTGGGTGGTTGTACAGAGGGGGTTGCTTTTGCTTCGTTATGAGTCCGGGCAGCGAGGACAGTAGTAGGAACTGCCAGAGCAGTAATCATGGGTACCTGAGCCGATTTTGGCAGTCAGTCTATTGCTCTCGGGGAGCACAAGATCGAGGGGGCAGGATAAGGCAGAGCAGGGCGAGACAAGGGCTACGTACCAAAGTCGGCCGCCTTGCAGCAAGTCGAGCAGCACTCATTGACGAGGGGCTGGCGATCCTTGACGCACATTTTTGCGACGGGGACGTTGTTTCCGTGTGTAATTTGGGTATTGAGCGAAATGCAAGTATGTAGGCAAGGTGGAAGGACCTTTGAGAGACAAGACACTGAGGAGTGGTGTGGGGAGACTTCCACTTCTAAGGCAGAGGTGCTAAGAAGAGGGCAAAGTGTCAGGGCTTGAGAGGTGAGGGCTGGTGCTTGCGTAAGTAAGTGATTTTGATATGGTAAGTGTAGTAGTAGTAGTAGTAACAGTCGCAGTTCAAGTGAGGATGGACGAAGAAACAAAGGAGGATCGAGGGGTAGAAGACGGGGTCTGGAGGAGAGGTAGGCCTATTATATACAATTCCTTAGAAATGAGACGAGGCGTGACGATCTCCAGTTGATAGCTGATGCCAGCACGCCCGATCAGAGAGGGAGAGAGAGACGGAGGAGAAAAATCGAGAAGAGCCAGGGCTGACCGGGGAACCGATTTAGTGAATACAAAAAATTTGGTGCAACGTTGACGGTGAGGAGCGTATCTTATTTGGAGAGATGTACTATTGTACAGTCCAGTACTATGTACATGCAGTACTTATTGTAATGTACAGGTTCGGCCAGGGCCGGGGGTCAGGCTCTAGGGGGATAGGTCAACGTCTAAAATTACATAAGTACATTGGGACGAGAGAAGAGAAGAAAAAAGACGGTAAAAAATACAATGCCAAAGGAGGGATAGGGAGGGAGGGCGAGAAAGGACAAGAAAAAAGCAGGGGGGGGGGAATCAGAGCACATACACACACAATGCATGGCCTGGACGTACAAGGACAAAAATGCTACAATACCTGGCCCTGCTGCACTTGGTCACTGCTGCTGCTATTGCTACTGCTACTGCTACCACCATAGTAACTAAGGTACGTACTACTGCGGCATCGTTGACGGACGGAGCCGGGGCTAGGGACCCATAGGCAACAACCTTGACCTATTTTGCTGCTCCTGAGCCGGTCTATCCCGTTTTTGTCGTTCATTGTTGTGGGCACTATGGTAGCTGCTGCTGTTCGTCGTTCCCGTCTGTGCCTGAGCCTCTCTCTATATGCCTGGGCCCTGTGGCTGGGCCCCTGGCACCCTGTGCCCTGTACCCCTTGTGTGCCCTGTGCCTTTTGTGCCCTGTGCCCGGTATGCCCTGTCACGGACCAACAACGAGGGGAGTTTTCACACCAGAAGAGATTGCAACCGGGTTGTGGGCGACTAGAGCCATCAGCCGATCCAGATTACCTTGATACCCCCCCAAGCCCCTCCGTACTCGGAATTTGCTTTTAAAATAGGGCGCTGAAACCTTGGCGGCAGATACCGTCAATACGACCCGAAAATCTCCAGGTAATGCATACATGCCTGCTGCTGCTGCTGGCCTGCTGCGCAAGGGCTCGTCAGAATCGGCTCAGCCTGTTGTAGCACCGACTGACGCGGTGACCAACCAACCCCCTGATGATCTGAACCAACCCGAACATATGATCTTTTTTGGTTTCTTTTCTTTTCTTGCCTGCTCCTCGCCTCCTCGCGCTCACCGGTGCGGCACATTCAACACCTGAGGCTCAAGCCACATTGAGGACCAAGCACGGCCATTGGTCAGGCGACGAGACAAGGCAACTTTTCTTGTGTCATCTTAATCTCATCTCATCTCATCTCGTCCTATCCCCCCTCTCTTTTTTTCTTTTTTTCTCTCTGTTGCTGCTGCTGTTTCTAGGATCGTAAGATGGAGGATGTGGGATGGGAAATTGAACACGGCAGTACGGCGGTGAAGAAGGGACAGACGAGGAAGCGCTGGCTTGGGTGATTGATGATCACAAGACCCAATGCAGCTTTACTGGTAGCAGCAGTAAGAATGGTCAGCCAGCCTCCCATCTCCTCCTCTCCTCCCTGTGCCCCCCTTCCCTTCTGGGGCCACGCATCCCGGGGTATAGCTACTCTCTGGTACAATTAATACTGCGGGATGCGGTCAGCTTTGCAATATAGGCCAACAAGCCGCCACTGCAGGTGACGGGATGCGTTGACTGGGTCGACTGGATCAAATCAGCCTGAGCACGTCGCCGACTTACCATAGTAGCCCTAGCCTTCATATACTATGTACAAGGAAGCGAGCAGCGAGGCCTGACAGATCATCTTGACGACAGCACAAATATGTTTCCTTCTTCCCCTTCTCATCATTCACACCCTGCTTCAACGTTCTCCAGTTTCCGTGCCTGTGCCTAATATATCTGTCTTGTGCCTGTGCCAGTGCCAGCAGGACCTTGAAGGTCTTTCGCCCCGTCTTACGCAATCCTCCGTTACGACCTCGTGCCGGCTTCATCTGGTCTTTCGATTATCATGTACAATGGCGTCAACTCGATAGTTTCAGTGTGACGATCCTCGGCGACCGATCTATCCACTTCTCTGCAGCAGTTTCACAGGTCCCTCTAGTTGGGGGGCGCCCGCCCTTTTCCTCCGGCGGGCTCTTTCTCTGTGCATTTGGCCTTCAAGGGCTTAGAGAGGCTTGTCTTTGAGGCGTAGTACATGGTAAGATTTTTGCCATAGTACATACTATTTACTACGCACTACGTATGTGGCAGTCTTGTAAATGTTGAGAGATCATACGTAGGGTACTATGCCTGTAGATCATCGCTCCTCTGCCGAGCATCGGAACAAATAAAGTTGGCGGTCCAGTTTGCACTTTAATGTTTCCCTAAGGTTAATTATTTATCATCCTGAGGCTTGTTTACTGGACCTGCAGCGCCCTTCACACACACACACACACAATCTTCGCACTGCAGTTTACATGGCTTATTTCGCCGTTCACGTTCAGCCTACGGCATCATGTAAAATCCCTCTTAGCTCCGAATCCTCTACATCCTCGACTAGGTCCCCGGTAGCCATGTTCCCAATGCACCTGGTTTTGTCTGTGGTGCAAAGAAGTCACTGCACAAAGCCATGCTTACTACGGTGAATAGCTCGAGCATAACCAAGCTAAAAGCCCGCAACAGGTACTCGTCTCGCTTAAGGCAGGAACAACGCAAACCCCCCCACCTCCCTTTCCTTCTCAAACAGCTCTTTCTTACACAAGCACATGGCCCCATCGGTCTTTTCTTTATCAGCCTTTCGCGAATAGCACCTGCAGGAACTCGGTGCGTGTGATCCATCACGTAGCCCTCCTCTTCTCTGGTCGCCGCCTCCTCCTCCCTCCTTCTTCCTACCCGGTGTCATGATGATGATGCCGACACCATCCCACCTCGAACGGCAATGCTGCTCCGGCCAAGTCGTCCATCCAGACATTTCCCTTCCTCCACCCCACCTCTCTTACTCTCCTTCTCCCTGCCACTTCCCCCCCTCCTTCTTCGATTTCAATCATGTCTTGGTCTCTCTATCGGCGCCTTCCCTCCTCCTCCCCCCCAACCCTCCACAGGACTTCATCCGCTTCCAATGCGGCTGTGATCGGCCGTGGCCAGCCCGTTCGAACGCCCGCTACTGCAGTGCTCCTGCGGCTCCACTCCGGGTTCCAATGATCGGGCATCTCTCGTTCTGCCTAGGACGAGGGTATCACGGAGGGGGGGAAAAGCGAGGACCCCTATGAAACGAAGAACGAAGATCCTGCCCGTACTCTACGATACATAGCTGATCTTTTTCTCCTTCTTTGTTTTCTTTCTTTCTTCCTGAGGGATCACCCCAGAAGGAGACAGCCTTGGGACCCCGGGCCTCCTCTATCGAAGCACCTTGTCCTCGTTCAGTATAATCAACCAGAAACGGACTAACTTTAGTTACCATCTCACGGGCTTCGATCTATCACAAATCGAGACGGAGACAGCGGTGCAGTGCAGTGCAGTGCAGTGCAGTGCCAGTACCTTCGCCCCCCCCCCCCTCTCCCCTCCCCTTTCTTTCTCTTCCTACTGTCTCCAAAGCTCTCGCCCCGTCTGTGAGGGGCCAGTCTTCAGTCATAGACATCTCACCAGCCAGGGTCGTAAAGAGTTCGTCGAGAGCCGAGCCAGCGCGTACCCTCCGCGAAAAGAAAAAAATTAACAAACATAACGTCCCAGGATATGGAAATGTGCTCATCATGCATGCAACTCTTGTACACCTGTGCCACACTGGCGCTTTGCATGCGCTGATCATTCTTTTCTCTTAAGACTCCACTCATCCAAATCGCGCCCTGGCCAGCCTTAGAACCCAAAGTCTGGAAGCAGATGCATGCATTCCCCCCTCCCCTTCTCCCTCCCCCTCTTTTCATCTCCTCCAAGAAATGTTATGCTCGGGTGGTTGGATGGCTGATCGACCGATCTCAGGGTAATTCCTTGATGATCGGGTACAGGTCGATATTCATGGAGGTTGAACAGGAGGCACGCACTGAAAGGATTGAGATCGGCTCACACGTGGTCTGTGGCTAGTGGCCATGGCGATGACTCTCTCTCAAACACGACGGCATATCCCGCGGACCAGAGTGAGCCATCGAGATTCGCAATATCAGGAGACTTGTCTTGCATGGTACGGTAACGCTGAGACGTGAGTCTACGGTGCCAGCAGCTGGTCAGGGAGGCCCCCCTTGGAGGTTTTCTGTGCTGGCTCCGAACCTCTCTGCCTTCTTCACTCAATGAGCCATGCCTGCAGCTGCACAAGTCGAAATTTATCCCAAAAGGACCTCAAATCATCATTGCCCGCGGCGCCCCGGCAGATTTATCCATCGCTCGACTTGTGTGGGGTGGCCCCCAAACCATCCGAGGCGTGGGGGAAGGGGGGGCTCTGAGCCTACCCGTCTTGGCCATCATTCGTCCATCTTGTCGTCTCCGACTGAGCGAGTTGGAGCATGTACAGGTTTGGCTCTCTTTCTCTCTCTTTTAGTATTAATCCTCCCCCCCGAGGGGTGGCGGCCCCCTACATAATTTGTTATTCCACACGTGGCAGAAGGTTCCTATCTTGGTCACGCACCGGCCTAAGAAGCCATTCGAAAGTGGCGATGTTCCGTCTCACAAGTAGTACTTCGTCTGGACGTTCCATGTACTTCCTCTTACACTCCTTCTTTTCGGAGCCATACGTAACGCGATTCCCAAAGAGGGGTCCGCGATCAGAAGGTTTCTGGATAGAATCACGAGGGGAGAAGGTCAAAAGTTTCCCTAAGCACCGTATGATCCACCTCTCGAGTGGCAATGCGTGGTATTGGGAATCTCCTCTCTGTACGGTTATAGACCGATGGGTCATAGGACCGCCTCAGGTTCGGGAATCGCTCGAGACATCAGACACCGGTGCTTGGCTAGGTCGTCATAGTTGGGCACGATGGTTTCCCCCCACCCCCCCAAGCTCCAGAGGCCTTCCAGATGACTTCTCTTAGGTATCCAGTGTTTACAGGCAAGGGATCAACGTCTCATTCGCTTCTTGTCTTCCTTTCTGGCGCAGTGAGGTAAGCTGACCGTGCCCACTTGGCTTGATGTCTATCTCGTCAAATTACTTAGCTCTCTACAAGCCTCTTCCCCTCTTGGTCGTCTCTGGCCCATATGGTAGTGGCAGGGCCAGTATAATCGGCAGATCTCTGCTTCGAAATTCTGAGAAGGGTTTTGAGGGGAGTTTACCAGCGACCTGGGCAGTGTAGTTTGGAATAGCAAGGCCCTAATTATTAGAGCAGGCAAGCTATGATCTCGAACTATTGTATTCTTCCGACCCCCTCTTGGGGGGGGGGGGGGGGGTTTCCTGCTTAGACTATACATGCTCAGTTGACGACAGCATCTGAATCTATGGTCTCTGAATCTATGCTCTCCTCAAGATGACTTTCAAAGCGGGCAAAGATTTATGAAAAGTATATTGCCGGGTGAGTTCTCCGTCTGGCCTTTGAACATATCACTGGCCAGCACAAATCATTCACAATCCCAGCTTACTATTTAAGTACTTAGTACTCTCTGTCCCTTTTGTGTAAAGCCATGCTTCTATTTGAATATCTCGTGGCTGGCTGAGAGAGACAAAATGAATATATATACACACTGTGCAGCTTGTCTATAATTATTGTACAGTTACCCCATTTTCATGCCATGAGAACTCCATCTTATACCTGGCCACTTCTATTGCGAAGAGGTCTGTGAAGACACTTATTTGTTCTCAGCTCGTGAAGGCCGTCCAGATAAGTTTCCTGGGAAGTTAAAAGCACTCCTGACGGAGGCCTGGACTAGATATGGACACAAATTGATTCGCTATAGTGATCAGACAATGGAACTCCCAAGTTTTTACCAAGTCTTAGACTTATCTCAACTGATCAGTTCCAATTGACATACACCTATGACCAAGTGGTATGAGAAGCGTCTTGGCCATCAGAGACAGCAAGGCGCCTATACATTGAACTCTCGGATTTCCACCGCCGGATTTGCGGAGCGGACAACGGACCGGGCTACGGTGAGAACTAGGACTTACGGGAAGCAGAAAGCCCCGCATGCTGGGACATCCCTCTCTGGTGGCCACCCTCCTCCTTTTTCGCGAGTCCATTATAAGCCCCCTCCTTTGGATGGTGTCACGGCATATTGCCCATGTCTAAGATACAGTAAGCAAGCAAGAGAAGCTAGAGCTTTTCGTAAGCCTGTCGTGTGTGTGCGTTGCGTTGCAGTCTGACCTGCCTGCCTGTGGGTTGCATACGATGGCAGCACGTGAAGAAGGTGAAACAGGCCCGAAAAGCCCTTACAAGCTCGTGTCGTGCAACACGAACCCGGAGGGGGCGAGAAGACTGGTTGGGCAGGTGATTGGCGGATTGTCGGACGAGTATGCCGTCGAACACGTTGCGAATATTACAAGTGAGTTCCAGAGATTATCAACGAATGCGTTCTTGTTTTTTTTCCCTTGCTTCTCTTTCTCTCCAAAGACTGAAATGAGTCTAGAAATCGACGAGGTCAGGGGCATTGTGGAGGTGTATAAGCCAGACATTCTAGTGAGAACAAACATCTTCCCAGTTCTTCTCTTTGTTGTTGAATCAACAGAATAATTGGCTAAGAGTTCTCAGATCACGGCATCAATGTGGTCGCCGGATGAAGCACATCGTATCGTCGCGATTGCAAAAGAGGTAGTTCCAGATCTAAAGACGATGTCTGTTCCGCAGGGTCTACGTGTTGAACAGGGACCGGACGCAGTTGTGGAATATGCGAAGGATCATTTGCGCAAAATTCTCGGCCAGAACGGATAGGCCTGAGGATGCCTGGATTTATGCTCTGTCAGTTGATGAGAGGGGCGAGTTACGACGATGCTTTTTGTCAGTAGTCACAGGCGATAGCCATTCTGCCGCGCTGAGGAGGCTCAACGCATAGAGGACATGCGTAGAATAGACCCAGAAGGGTGTTGTTGTAACTCTTGTGTATAGAGATCTTGTCTAGATAGTACCATTGGCGTGAATACGTTGCGAGGATCAGAGCCCATCCACAAGACGAAATCACTTTTCTTCCTCCATCACGTTGTGCAGACTCCCAATGTGAGGCAGTATCTCCACGACAAACTCGTCACCGCCGTGCAGTGTCAACTTAGGATTGCGGCCCCAGCCGATACCCGCAGGTGTGCCGGTAATTCTGCGTCAAAGAGACAGAGCTGTGAGACCTTTGTCCTCCAAAACGTAATATGTAATCGGGTATCTATTGTGGGAAGGAAGTTGGGAACTCACATGATGGTTCCGGGAGGCAGTGTAGTTCCCTGCGAGCAATAACTGACCAGGGTAGGTACGTCAAAGATGAGATCGCTGTTTGTTTTGGCAAAGAATCGATCAGTTAATACGTGCTTCAGCCTCTGAGAACCCCCGATGCGTGTTCTTTGTGTTCATGTCACTTACTCAAGCCCGCTCTCCTGCACGACCTTGCCGTTCAGGAGACCCCTCATCTTCAACTTGGACGGGTCCTTGATCAGCTTGGACGACACCAATGTCGGACCGATGGGGCACGCCTTGTCGAAGCCCTTGGAGAAACACCATTGGCTTTGGTTGAGCTGGCTCACGCGGCTCGAGATGTCATTGGAGGCCGTATAGCCGAGCACATAGTCCATGGCCTCCTCCTTGCTGACGTTCTTGCATGTCTTCCCGATGACCACGGCAAGCTCGGATTCGTAATCAGCGCAGTCGTCCTTGAGCGTGTGCTTGGGGATCACAGTCGGGGCAGGCCAGGGGTCGGCTAGAGATGTATGAGGTTTTCTGTGATAAATGTGAAAAAATATCTCATCAGAATATCATATACCTCAAAGAGAGACAAAGAGGAGAGTGAGGATGACTAAAAAGAAAAGATGAGAAAAAAGAATTTTTGCACAAACAGAAAGATGATGGGTATATCAGGCAATGCCATGCCGACCTCCTGTGCATGGCCCTTGTAGTTCAGACCGATACATCGAATCGTGCCCACCTCCTCCTCGGTGAGGGGGGACAACACCCGGTCAATGATATCAACTTTGTCCGTCGGGGAGCCTGGGTCAAGAACGGACGAGCCGCTGAAGACCTTGACCTTGACCTCCTGCCCCAGACGAAGGGCTGCGCCGACGTCTACGTTGGAGTCCAGGGGCTCGCCAATAACGACGGCATCACTGCTGCCCTTGGCAATAAACCGGACAACTACATGAAGCGTCAGCTGGGACAATGGAGGAGCACGATGAGATACCGAGAGTGTTTGATACTAACGTCGCTCAAAAGACATTTTCTCTTATCTATATTTGTTGCCAGTAAAAAGAAAGACAAAAGCAGCACAGAGTTGAGGTGGCTGATGAGCAAGACTTGAGGGGCTGGATGAAGCAGACGGTGGGAACGATGGTTGTAGTTTAACGTCACAAGGCCTTGGATGGTGTCAAGATATATATTTATGATGAGTCCCTCCGCGCCAGGGGTGACGATATTTCCCTCAAGTCACAGAGGATAAAAGTCCAGCCCAGTGTACACGGTAAAAAAAAGGAGTGAGGGAACGGCTTGGCAGAGGATGTCAAATCATTGACCGATACTTTAATCTTTCTCAGTCAGATCTGCAGGAGATTACCCCGCGCGAGAGAAAACCCCACGAAGACATATTACCGTGGCGGATATCCGGATCGGAATTGTGTCGACGGGCCGGCCCCCGCGTCAGACGGATTGCTTACTTAAGTATTTTACTTGGTGCTGTAGGTACCTCGTTGGTCATTGCTGTGCGGCGTCAGTGATTTCTTGCAGGATGCATCGATCTGCATAGTCTTTTGAGCATTCATTTGTTTGTAACTAATATAGTGTTGGTGAGGTTGCGTGTTTCATGTACTAGAGGGCTTGTTGAGGCTGTCGTCAATCACTGAGCAATAATGATAATTTAAAAATTAGACATGGTATTTCCAACACGTCAGAAATTCTACATGTATGTAAGTAATCTCGCCCGTTAGGAGAAAGGGAAAATTAAAGAAGAGGAAGAAGAGAGAGAGAGAAAGAAAAAAAAGAAAAAAAGGAAAAAAAAGAGGAGAAGCTGGGAAGCGAGCGCGAAATATAGTTGATATTCAATATTGATAAGGTGAGCAACTTCCAAGACAAGACCCGGATCTTTCTTATTATGCCCGTCTTCTACAGGAACCCGGGGAAAAAGATGATTGCGTCTTCAAAGTGATCTTTTCTTTTACATGAGAAATTCACCAGTCCTTGGCATAGATCTTCAGTAAAGGTGTCTTTCTCATGCCAATGTGGCTGAAAGGGTCAATTGGGAGAGCAGGTACTGGGTGAGCGAACTTCAGGCTGGACTTTCATGTGATATTGCTGAACCCTCGACCTGCAAAATTCGGTTGTCGCATTATTGTAGCAGCGAATTTCATGAAATAGGAGAGATCCAGTGCGTCAATTGAGTCATCACATCAAAACAGCATGAGTGAATCCACTCAGGCACTATATATATCAAAGATCAGGACTCAGCAAATAAAGTATTCAGTCGCCATTTACAGCAATTAGATCATGACAGCCTATTTTCATTTTGTTTTAGTCATCCTTCTGTGGCACGCCTCAGACTTGGGAGCGAACGAGCCCAGCAACCAGTAACCAACTGCAAACCTGGCAAGTAAAAAAGACCTAAGCTTTGCACCAATGCTCTCAGAACATTAAACGGCGTTCTAGTTGTGGGTACAAAAGTTAAATACACATGCTGATTTGCAGGTAAATGCATCATGAGTCTTAATCGATTGGCCCTTTGTAATAAATAGGTAATGAAGGTAAAGATAGACGTTGGAACCTATCAAGGCACATACATGAGCTGCCAGGATGGTTTTGAGGGGACCAAGGTTTACAGGACACCTGCAGAGATCGACATGGCAGAGAGACAACTCCCGCGGGCATGGCGACTCTGGAAATCGGATTGTTGAAAGGCTTCCCTGTTTTCTTTTCCACAATTTGGCATAAATGAAAGACTGTACTCAATGGAATTGTTTAGAGACGCGTTTACAGATTTCGCAACCTTTTGCCATTCGATATTCTCTTCCGGATATCCGACTATAGGAGGAGGAGGAGATCGCACGCCTGGCTAGGCGTGTGCTCATAGATCGGCTTCTGCATATTACAAGCAACCCCGGCTAGGAACCGGCGATGGACCGAGAGGCTATACCCAAGCTGGTCGTATCCGCGCTCGACCATAGGCCAGCAGCGCACGCTAATCCACCACTCATGTAGTTCAAGCGGCGCTGGCGTTCCTCACTGGTTCCCTGCCCGCATGTGAGTGTGACTGGTCGTGTCAGGCGACAGCAGACCGCCTTGTGCAGGCTGGTTTCCTTGCACCGGCACGTTACGGTAGCTTGCTCCGGTGCATTAGAATTGCTAGCAGAGCATTGGCCCGTGTTGAGAAGTATACGTCGCGCAGGTGTGAGGAATACCGAATAGAAAGAGAGGAAGAATCCCAATGACATGGTTGGTGAACAGTAGGCGCGGGCGAGACCAGGATTGCATCACCGAGATGGCAGGACCTATTGGGGTGGGTGGGTGAAGGCATCGTGAGTGTGGAAAGTGTGGTTGTTTGGTTGAAAGGAACCGGAAACCTAAGGTTACGTTGGCGGCTATTCAGAACATGCCAGGCCCTCCAGGGCCCCTGCCAGGTGCACCCTAGCAGCACAAGGGAAGTCCCGAGCAGGCTGCTGATAGCGCTGTCCCTCGTCACCACGTGAGCTCGTCGTTTCGTGGCACCGTTGGGCGGCTATGGGACCTTGATGCCTTCTGCTGAGAGTCGTGAGTCGTTCTGGGATGGCCGACTGACTGACTCTTATTTTGCAGGCCACGCATGCCGAATTCGACGAATCGCGTTACAATAGACGGAGTGTCGCAAGCAGCTTATCACAGCCAGTCGCGGTCCGGCTACTGTAGTAGGTGCCTAAGCCTTGTGTCTCCACACTCAGCTTGCTGCTGCCAGGGGTACAGAGGCACAAGCTTCCTTGCACACACACCACACACCATAGGTACGTACTCACGTACTTTATACTGGTGACCCTACTAACGTTGCTGCCAAGCAGTCAGCGGGCGGTGGATTGCGTACTGGAGCTACATCATCAACAGCATCCCACAATCTCCTGGCCGCCCACCCCCCCAGCCACAAACACCAACAATCTCGTCGCCGTGATGAGCTGGAACACAGCACCCTCTCCCGACGACTATCTGGGCTGAAGCCTCTCTCCATCCATCCTCGAAGCTGCGACTATTGCCTCACATCTCGACCAACCCCTACAAGCTGCGTCTCGCCGACGACCCCGCCTACAGTACCCTTTCCTAACCCAGCTTTCGGGCTGAAAAAGAGCAGTGCCATCATGGCCCAGATTCCCATGATATCCGTGCCGCTCAAGGCCACCAACGAGATCGACTGGATTACCCCTCTGAAATACTACATTCAGAATACATATGGCGACGATCCGGAGAGGTACGCCGAAGAATGTGCGACCTTGAACCGCCTCAGACAGGACATGCGAGGAGCTGGCAAGGACAGCACAGCTGGGCGGGACCTCCTCTACAGGTACTATGGCCAGCTGGAGCTCCTCGACCTGCGTTTCCCGGTCGACGAGCAACATATCAAAATCTCATTTACATGGTGCGTTTGGCGACAACTAGAAAAATATCCACCTCGGCCTCATGACGAAGTGTCTGATGAGGACAACTGCTGACATACCGTCACAGGTTCGACGCCTTCACCCACAAACCGACCTCGCAATACTCACTTGCCTTCGAGAAAGCTTCCATCATTTTCAACATCTCTGCCGTCCTCTCCTGTCATGCAGCAAACCAACCGAGGTCTGCAGAAACAGGTCTCAAGACCGCCTACCACTCCTTCCAGGCATCGGCCGGCATGTTTACCTATATAAACGAGAACTTCCTCCATGCACCATCCGTAGATCTGAGTCGCGATACTGTCAAGACACTCATAAGTATAACGCTCGCCCAGGCGCAGGAAGTCTTCCTCGAGAAGCAGGTTGCGGACCAGAAAAAGGTCGCCTTGTTGGCGAAGCTCGCCAGCCAGGCCGGCACTCTCTACAGCCAAGCCATTGAGGGCGTCCAGGAGAATGTTACCAAGGCTATCTTTGAGAAAGTATGGCTGCTGATGGTTCAGGTAGGCCTTGTTTTTCCTTTCTGTTTCCCTCTCTTCCGGCATCCCAAAGGGGACCCGCCGGTGCCATGAGTTGTGGTCTCTAACTTTCAGGGCACAGATCAAGGCAAATTACTTGAATTCCATGGCTCAGTACTACCAGGCCCTGGCAGATGAAGAGGCAAACGCTCACGGCACAGCTGTTGGTAGGTTGCAGGCGGCGGAGACTCTCGCCAGGGAGGCGAACAAGGGCGCATCTAGCTTTCCTGGGTTTGTGCCGCCAAGCTCAAATCTTCAGGCAGATTGCGGTAGCGTTCTTGCCGAATACACAAAACGCCATCTTGCTACCGTTTCAGAGAAGCTAAAGGAGCTGGCCAAGGACAATGACTATATCTACCACCAGACTGTCCCACCAGAAGCCAGTCTTGCTCCCGTGGCAAAATTGCCAGCTGCCAAGCCGATACCGGTCAGTGAGCTCTATGCGGGTCAGGATATCCAGCGGATCACCGGCCCCGATCTGTTCTCCAAGATTGTTCCCCTGGCGGTGACGGAATCTGCAAGTCTTTACGACGAGGAGAAGGCGAAGCTCATCCGGGCCGAGACTGAGCGGGTCGAGCTGGCCAACAGCGAGATGGCTGCGAGCCTGGACTATCTGAGACTCCCTGGCGCATTGCAGGTATTGAAAGGCGGTTTTGATCAGGATATCCTGCCCGACGAAGACTTTAGGACGTGGTGTGATGATGTTGCAGGGCACGAGGACCCCGGCATCATATTCGACTCGCTACGATCCCAGAGAGACAGGATCATCTCGTCATTGGATAAGAGCTCGCAGCAGTTGGATATGGAAGAAGGTGTCTGCGAGAAGATGCGGTCCAAGTACGAAGGAGATTGGACACAACAACCTAGTGCACGGCTCACCACGACTTTACGAGGCGATATCAGGAATTACCGCGAGGCATTGGCCGAGGCATCAAAGAGCGATGGGCAGCTTTCCTCCAAGCTCCATCAGAACCAGGACGTGTTTGACGAGATGCGAAATGCAGCCCAGAATGGTGGCGTGGATGCACTGTTCCAGGGGGCAGTGAGCAAGTTAAGAGGTAGAGGCAGCGGAGTGGGAAGTCCTGGCATGGAACCAAATCTCTTGGACGCAGATTTCGAAGAAAGCGGTCCTAGCGTCATGGACCAGATCAAGAAGGTCGAAGACACACTGAAGAAGCTAAATCTCATCAAGAGAGAGCGGAATCAGGTTCTCAAGGACCTGAAAGACAAGGTATTTTCTCTCCCTCGTTCTTCCTTTGCGAGACGCTGCCCCTGGTTACCGGAACTTACTGACCCGGCCAATAGGTTCACAATGACGACATCTCCCAGATTTTGATCCTAAACAAGAAGTCTATCGCCAACTACGAGCAGCAACTCTTCCAGCAGGAGCTAGAGAAGTTCCGGCCTCATACGACCAGGATACTACAAGCCAACCATAAGCAGTCAGCCCTGATGAAAGAGCTGACCATCTTGTTCAACAATCTCCTACAAGACAAACGAGTCAGATCAGAACAGAGCAAATACGAGGCAATCCAACGCCAGCGTGGCTCCGCCATCAGCAAGTATAAGCGCGCATACCAGGAGTTCTTAGATCTCGAGGCTGGGCTCCAGAGCGCCAAGAGGTGGTACGCGGAAATGAAAGAGACTGTCGAGAGCCTTGAGATGAACGTGGAGACCTTTGTAAACAACCGCCGTTCTGAAGGGGCCCAGCTGTTGAATCAGATCGAGCAGGACAGGGCCGCAGAAAAGAGTGCGAGAGCCGCGCTCGAGCAGGAACGGCTCCGAGGGCTGATGGAACGCATGTCGATGGAGCCGCCTGCGACGTCGCCGAAGCCTACCAACACACAACGCACCACGCCAGCGCCTCTGGACTTCCAAAACTCGGTGCCCAGATACCCGCAGACCAACTTCGCAGGCCAATACCGAGTGCCAACCTCGCCTCCGCCCAACCAGGCCCAGATGCCACAGTATCAGGCCGCGTACAACCCTAGCACATACGGACGCAACCCTGGACCAACCTCGCCTCCTCCAACACGAACCAGTTTCAGCGGACAATCTGGATTCAGACCCGGACCCGCCTCACCTCCTCCCACGCAAACAACATTCGGGCAACAATCCTCTCGTCCCCATAGCACCTATGGTAATCCCCACGCTGCACCCACAACCGTCCCCCAGACATACGTCCCGCCTGGGTTCGTCCCCCCTCCTCCACCGCCAGGGCCCCCTCCTTTGGGCCCTCAGCAGACTGTGCACTACGGCAATGATTACTACTCAGGCCAGCAACAACAGCAGAGATCTCCTTCTACGCATCAACAGCCTCCTAACGCTGCTGACCCTTGGGCTGGGCTTAATGCCTGGAAATGAGACTTCAAGTAGCAAACATGAATAGGCAGGGCATTTCGGCTGACACAAACAGGGAGGCACGCAATCTAGAAAAGAAGAAGAAAAAGCTGTGGTCTGCCCGAGGACAGGATACGATGATTAGTCGGGAATTTGCAAAGTGAAACAAGTCAACAAGGATGCAATGAGATAAGAGTATTAAGTACTCGATCAACGGTGAAGGGGTTGGGGGGGGGGGAGTCTTCTTTCTACTTTGCAATGACGGGTCAGGTGTTGATGCGAGGTGATAGAGTCGATTCAGCCCAAAACTATCTGAATGCGATGGGCGTGCAGGAGGATGTGCAACTCGATCCGTTCAGATGTCCAGTACAAGGTAGATTTTGCATCTTCACAGAGCGCAGCGAAATAATCCGACGTTTTCTTCGGGGAAAAGAACGTCAAATTATCTCTCAGCCCAACAAGAATCATCAAAACACTAGCACTTATCATGAACACGGACGGGGTCCTTAGCCTTCGTCCGTGATTAGGAACCCATTAAGATCCCTGCAAGCTAGTGTCAGATGATTGGCCGGTTAGTGTTCAGGCGCGACCCACGACGCGTCGAATCTCCCACTTCCAATTTACGCGTGTCTTGGAAGCTTTCTCGCGTTGACTTTACCTCATGTCAACTCTGCTGCAGCCTTTTTTCCCCACCCTTCTGGAAACACACCTCAATTCGCCTTCTCGTATCCTTGTCTGCCATTTTTTGACAGAAAATCCAACTGTATCTGGGTACCAACCTCATAGACGGTATCATGGATACTTTAATGCTGCGCGACGAAGCCACGCGCGAGCGTGTGCGCAAGGCCCAGGAATTCCTTGACCCCCGTTCGTGAAGATCTTCCCTGCGAGCCTGCCACCGCCTGCTCGCCAAAGACAGGACAAGACTGACACGGCGTGCAACAGATGACCAGAGTGTCCGCAGCTACAGGTCCGACATCATTCTTATGCTCCAGAGGAACAATCGGCGCCTCGTAGTCAACCTCGACCATGTGCGCGACCACGATCCCGAGATGGCGGAGGGACTCCTCCTCACGCCCTTCGACTACACGCTCGCCTTCAACCAGGCCCTAAAGGAGGTCGTCCGCGCACTCCCACCAAACCAGGTGCGGCCCGACCAGACAGACGATGAGGTCATGTACTACTGCGCATGGGCGGGCAGCTTTGGTCTGCATGCGTGCAACCCCCGCACGCTGTCGGCGCAGAACCTGAATCATATGGTTTCCGTCGAGGGTATCGTCACACGGTGCTCGCTCATCAGACCCAAGATCATCAAGAGCGTGCATTACAATGAAGCCGAAAACAAGTTCCACTTCCGGGAGTATCGGGACCAGACCATGACGAATGGACAGACGACGAATAGCGTGTACCCGCAGGAGGACGACAAGGGGAACTCGCTTGTGACCGAGTACGGGTGGTGCACGTACAGAGACCACCAGACCATCTCAATACAGGAGATGCCTGAGCGGGCGCCGGCAGGACAGCTGCCGCGAGGTGTCGACGTCATCCTCGACGATGATCTGGTGGACAAAGTCAAGCCTGGTGACCGCATACAGATGGTGGGCATCTATAGGACTCTGGGAAACAGGAATACCAACCACAACAGTGCACTGTTCAAGACAGTCATCCTCGCCAACAACGTGGTCCTCCTCTCCTCCAAGTCGGGCGGTGGCGTGGCCACTGCCACAATTACCGACACGGATCTGCGGAATATCAACAAAGTTGCCAAGAAGAGGAACCTGTTTGAGCTGCTCTCGCAGTCTCTAGCTCCTAGTATATACGGTCATGACTATATCAAGAAGGCCATCCTGCTGATGCTTCTTGGAGGCATGGAGAAGAATTTGGAGAATGGCACGCACTTGCGTGGTGACATCAACATCCTCATGGTTGGTGATCCCTCGACTGCCAAGTCGCAGCTCCTGCGGTTCGTCCTCAATACCGCTCCTCTGGCTATTGCTACAACTGGTCGTGGCTCTTCCGGTGTCGGTCTGACGGCTGCTGTCACCTCTGACAAAGAGACGGGCGAGAGGCGCCTGGAGGCAGGTGCCATGGTCATGGCTGACCGTGGTGTGGTTTGTATCGACGAATTCGACAAGATGTCCGACATTGACCGTGTGGCCATCCACGAAGTCATGGAGCAGCAGACCGTCACCATTGCCAAAGCAGGCATCCACACCTCGCTCAACGCCCGTTGCAGCGTTGTGGCAGCCGCCAACCCCATTTTTGGCCAGTACGACCCGCACAAGGACCCCCACAAGAACATCGCTCTGCCGGACTCCCTGCTCTCGCGTTTCGATCTTCTCTTTGTCGTCACTGACGACATCGAGGACACCCGTGACCGACAGGTTTCAGAACACGTCCTGCGCATGCACAGGTACCGCCGACCAGGGACCGAGGAGGGCGCGCCAGTGCGCGAAAATACCCAGCAATCTCTCAGCGTCGGCGGCCAAACACGCAGCGAGGCCGAGAAGCCCACCGAGATGTTCGAGAAGTACGACGCCATGCTCCACGCCGGCGTGACGCGGCGAAGTGGCTCCTCCAGCACGCCCAAGGTCCTCAGTATTCCCTTCATGAAGAAGTACATCCAGTATGCCAAGAACCGTATCAAGCCTGTCCTGACGCAGGATGCTGCAGACCGGATAGCAGATATCTATGTTGGCCTGCGCAACGATGACCTGGAGGGCAACCAGCGCAGAACGTCACCCATGACGGTGCGTACTCTTGAGACGCTCATTCGTCTGGCCACTGCGCATGCCAAGTCCCGCCTGTCGAACCGCATCGATGAGCGTGATGCCCTGGCAGCCGAGTCCATCCTGCGCTTCGCCCTCTTCAAGGAGGTTGTTGAAGATGAGTCTCGCAAGAAGAGGCGGCGCACGACCGCGCAACCTACACTGAGCTCAGATGAGGACAGCGATGACTCCAGTGATGAAGATGGTGGCGAGGCTGCCTACCGTGCGTCTGCGGCGAGAAACAGCCGGTCGGCGAGAGCGTCGGCACGTGCCAACCGGAGCAACGGACGGCGGAGTGGCGTTAATGGCACCAGTGGTGCTGGGAACGGGGCCAACGGTACGCGTCACTCCGACGACGAGGAGGAGGAAGAGGATGAGGACGAGGATGCGCCGGCCGACATTGACAACTTGGCACCTCGTCGGTCCAACCGCACAGGAGGGTCATCAGGACATGGCCAGACGCAAGAGTCGTTCGCCTCGTCTCTGCCCGCGTCGCAACTCGAGTCGCAGAGCGCGGGCGAGTCGCAGCAAGACTCACAGCTGGCCAGCAGCGCGGCTGGCCTCAGTCTGGAAAACCCGATTAGCGACCAGAGGCTGGCGGCGTTCAGGTCTGCTCTGGGCCCGCTGATGAACACCAACTTGTTCGAGGAGGATGCTGCCGAGGTGGACCAGCTGATCGAGCGCGTCAACGGACGGCTGGGTTCGAGAAGCGGTGGTGCTTTTGGCAGAGAAGAGGCGCTGAAGGCGTTGAAGAAGATGGATCAACTTAATGAAATTATGTGAGTACCGTGCCCACCATCCCTTCTGATATGCGGGATAAAGGGAAAGAGACTAGTAGCTGACGATTTGCTTTAGGTATGCTGATGGCAACCTTGTCTACAAGATCTGATCTCTTATCAGAAAGATGGGTTTTTCTTGTTCCTCTGTCTTTTTTCTCTTGTTTGACTCTAATCGGTCCAAGACTGAAAGGGCTGGCTGTTCGATGAACACTGTCTGATATTACTGGCGTTCGGGCGGGAATCGACACGACTTGTTGTCTTTATGTAACGATTGAACTCAGAGCCCAATCGGCTATTCACCTTACAAAATGCTCATCGTGAAATAGCAAATGCATTCTATCGTGACGAGTCCTCGTAACAATGCTTTTTAACCCCTCTGGTTCCAAAGCGGGTTTCTATCCACACCGAGAGAAGACCAAGCCGGTCTATGCCTTCAAATCATTATGCTCTTCAACCCAGGCTAACGATTTTTTGTTTGTATCGCAAAATGTTTCCCATGTCATAATGCATCTCAAAGTGAACAACATCTGCTTCATCTTAGTCCTCAGTCCATCCAATCCTCTCATGAAGCTCTCTCAACCTGGCCTCTACCTGGACGTCATTCCACGTCTCCTCGCCCTCTTCGGTCTTGCCCAGCGAAGGCACACCAACCTGTTCAATGGCGAAACTTGCCGCGACGGTGCCCCAGCACGCAGCCTCCTCGAGACTTTTCCCTCTGGCGAGCGCGACGGCTAACCCTCCGAGGAACGTGTTCCCTCCCCCCGTAGGATCGACGACCTTCTCGGCGAGCTCCTTGGTCCAGTATGCCGGAATCCACCGGTCCAGGCCCGGGTCGATTTCGACCTCGTTGTCTTCCTCGTGTATGAAGCTGTACGTCTCGCCGCCGCCGCCCTCGCCCTCGCCCTCGCCATCACCAGGGCCAGAAGGGGACTGCTGCAGCAAGCCTGCAAACAGGCTCATCATGTCGGTGTCGGGCTGTAATCCACCGTGATGTCCAATCTCCTTCCGCCGCCTCCGCCGGCCGTTGCCAGCACCACCTTTCCCCTCCTTGGCTGGGGTCTTGCGCCGGCCGCCGTTCTTGGCGAGGTAGCAGCCCTTCTCGCCGGCGCGGATGACAAGGGTAAAGCTGGACAGCGGCATACTCCCAAGGAGCTGCTCACAGGCCCTCTCGACGGCGGCGGTGCTGATTTCGCCTGTGTCCGGATCGACGGCTGTATCGCCCATGAAGGAAGCGAGCTCGGAGTGATTGGGGCTGCACACGTCGACAAGTGGGAGGCAGTTGGTCAGGTTCAGCAGCTCCTCGGGCGTGCACAGATCGGGCACAGGCTCCCAGATGATGGTGGGGCGCGTGTACCCACCGCCGCCGCCGCCTTCGGCCTCACCCTCTGGGCTCTCGGGTTCTTCGGGTGGTGCCTGTTCCTTGCGCAGGGTGAGAAGCTCCGTGACGAGCTCACGGCACCGCGAGGGGCTGCAGATGATGTGGAAGGCCTTGGCCTGCAGGAGCGGGGTACCGGAGAGGTCGGACGCAACGAGGCGCTTCTTGGGTGTGGTGTACTTGAAGGCGCGGGTCTCTTTGTCGTCCACATAGCCATTCCAGCCCCTAGTGGTGAGGCGGTCCAGGTCGTGTCGGACCAGTGCTGAGGTCGTCCAGGAGTCGATGAGGGTGGAGACGGAGGGCGGAAAATCTGAGCCCTTGTCGACGACCCAGCCGACTGTTTGGGATTCGGTCGGGGCTGGTGAGAACAGGCGGGCACCTAGTGCGGCGTATGAGCCTGCGCCTCCGAGAACGTCCCTTTCTGCGGGACGAGGTGGGCGGTATTCAATGTCATCTTGGGTCAGAGTATCAGCATGGCCGGTGTTCTCAGCTGCTCTAGGTCTTCTGTCCCTGCGGAGGAAGAAGGAATGTGCAAGCCAAGCTAGTAGTGACAACAACTTGGACTGGTGGAGATAAATGATGGAGAAGGCTGCCAAACCCAACAGTGCATGTAACAAGACCCTCTCGATCATGAGGAGTGAGAAGATGAGTGGTTTAAGGCAACAAGAAGAACATTGGTAAAAAGGGGGGCAAAGAGTATATGCTGAAAATAATGCTTGAGTCTCAAGCAACATAAACAAGGTTTAGAGATAATGGGTAAATGACATGAAGACTTGGCAAGCATGTGATAACAGTCCAACGTGTCAATATGTGAGATACAACAGATAGATTATGATATCGAAGAAACGAAGTGTGATCTTCCCTTGTGTGGTGGTGAGAAGGGAGGAAGGGGGGGAAACATGAAACACATCAGACCTACCGATTATGAACATTCCAAGCGTGACAAAATCGATCTCCTGTGCCAGCTCCACCACCCCATGAGCAGCAGCAGCAGTGGTGGTGGTGGTGGTAGTGGGCTGCTCATCAGGCTCAGGTTCAGACGCCATAATTTGGATGGAGGTCGTGGTCAGGTTGCAATCCTTTGCAGATCAGAGCTGCTTGGGTAAATTTACAGGCCAGTCCGTCCTCTTTCTGCACTCTGGCAAAGTTAGTGCTTCATGCATGCAGGTCCAGGCCTGGTTTTTCTTTCTTTTTTCTTTCTTTTTTATGTGGCCATCTTATTGGATTGATTGGGGCAGGGGGGCGGGATTCACCAAGGGAATGAATGTATGCTACTGTGGTACACACCAAACAGAACCAGGTGGACATAAGAGAGGAAAACAGCAAGCAACGTAAGGGCTAGATTTCTGCTAGCACCAGCCTCCAAGCCTGCTCTGCAGGTGGTGGTGATGATGATGATGTCCTCGACCTTGAAGGTTGAATAAGAAGGAAGGGGAGAGACAGAAGCAAGAAAACCAAAAGGGCTGCTTGAGTAGTAGTTCGCAACGTTGTTGTGGTGGTAACTGCCGCCGATAACGTATCGCTGGAAGGAGGTGTCCAGCCTGCCAGCCTTACCTGCTGGGATAGTGCCTGTCTCAGCCTCTGGGCAGCCACACCAAGCAGTTGCCGCTAGTGCCGCTAGTGCCGCTAGTGCGCCTAGCTGTAGAGCATGGGCCCCCGGTCACTACTGCCTGCTTCTTTTCACATCAACCTCATCTTCTATCCATTTTGGTGACTCTTCGGACAAGTGCTTTTGCCGGCTTACCGATGGGTCTTGTCTGATGAGCTCTGTTCATTCCTCCAGAAAGGGAGAGTGGTCCCTGGTCTGCGGACAAATACTCCAAAAGCCTGAAGCTAGCATTGATAATGAAGGGGTCGTTAACCTAGGGCTGAAAACAAGAGCCATGAAATTCATAGTCACTCTTCCCTCAAGACTCCCTCGTCCCTCAAGACTCCCTCGTCCCTTACCTTCTTACAGTCTCGTTTGATATGAGACGTTTTATGGAGATGGGTGGACGGCCGTGGCAAACGTGATAGGCAGTGGATCTGCTTCCCGGTTATGGCTAGACAGGATTGTCCCTGCGGTTGCGATTTGATATACATTATCGAAGACTAAATACTATGTAGCAATTTGGTTTGAAGGCCGGTAGCATAGGCTGAAATTGTGAGCCTGAATTTATACAAGGCTTGCCTCACACCTTCAAAAGGGCCAGAGACGCCAGACGTTCTACTACGTCCAAATATTTCCGCAGGTCCAACCCCCTCGTTGCATGCCTCACTCAGCCACCTCTCCTTTCGTGCCAGGCTCTCTCCTACCTCCACAGTAGCTCGTCTTGTACAGTGAGTCTTCTCGCTGCTCATATATGCCAAAAGATTGCTCGGCAAACTGTTCGTCACATGTATTGGGCAGCCTAGATCTATAGAGCTACTCGCAGCTCCAGATCGTAAAGAGGAAGGTTCTGGGAGTGAATGTTATGCCGTGATGAACCGACTCCGCCAGGTAGCGCACGCGTCAGACCTTGCCCCCCTCCCCCTCCCCCCCCCCAAAAAAGGCCCCCCTCGCGTGTAAGGGTAAAACTGGTATTATGATTATAGTCGAATTCACGGGGAAAACCGCTAAGCAGAAGAAGAAGGGAAAAAAGGTAGAATACACGGGGTGTGGAGGTTGCCGGGGTGTCAATTTTCATGTCTGCAATGACCTCTCACACCCCGTGTGCTCAGCTGAATCCAGAGAGAGATGGACCTGCTCGGGGATGAGGCGGAGGAGGGTGAAGTGAGGGTTGCGTTAAAGTGATTGAAGCTTTATGCTGTGCATAAATTTCTTGGTCGTATGCTGCGGCCTGACGAAACACTCTCGTTCTTTCTCTCTTCTCTTGTGCACCTGTGCTTCACTCCCCGCGGCTGCGATCCACAGTGGTGTCATGTAATCGCAGATCCACCACCGCGTCGAAGACTTCTTCCATCGCTGTCCGATGCTCTCGTTGCCTTGATGCGTCACTTCTATTCCGCTCGTCTGCAAATGCTCTGACGCTTTGCAGTATGGGGGTGAAGCCCCGGTCGTTAGGAAGCCACCAACGCATGATCGTCTCGTCTTCGAAAAGCTGCGTCATGCGGGCTCGGAATGGTGCGGGGAAGATATAGCTATAGCAGGCCAGGATAGCAATTAGCACACATGATCATTCCCACGGTTCTTTAATCTCGAAAACTGCTGCATCGTGATTGGGCCATAATCCATCTTCCCCGGTCCAACAAACGTTTATGAAACAGTACTAAACAATTTGACGCAGAAAATAAAGCTACAAGCAGTACTTACCCGCAGTGCTCAAGATAAGAGAGCTTTTCCCTCAACCACGCATAACGGCGGGGGCTCTTCATGAGGTACATCGCAGCGATGGCAAGGGAAGGGTGAAGCATTGTGAGCAGGCCACTGGGGATGGTTGTCCACTGCTCAGCCGCCTCGATGATCTGGCAGATAGCCTCTGCATGTTGTGCCATGTCTCCAAGGATAGCTGAGGCGTTTGCTAGGAGGTCGTTTGAGATCTGTGTCATGTGCATCAGAATCATCGAGTGCCACTCGGTGAGCAAGACAGTTGTGTGCGCTAGCGGTCCTTCGTATAGCGGCGCGCCATCTGGGAAGTAGTGAAAAAGCCGAGTCTGGTCACTTTGCGTGAGTGGCTTGAAACGCCGAGAAGGATCTGTCAGCATAGGATCCAAGTGCTCTCTCCATGACTTCAGTCGGAGAGAGAGCCTGCTGTGCTCAACGCCGAACTCTTCCTCTGTGAGCTCGCCCGTCTTTCGTCTCGAGGTAATACAACACATATCCATAGACAAGAGCCGTAGGTGACTCTCTGCGTTTTCACAGAGCCATTCTAAGTTCTGGGGGTCAATGGAGAGTTGTGCTTGACATTGCGCACTGAGATTCTCTTCCCATTGGCGTGGGAGGCTTGGTTCGATGCTGCCCATTGATGCCACGAAGATGTCGAAGCGCAGATACCATACTAACAGTATACGGCCGACAGGTGTCTGAGGGATTGTATCAGCTTGGAATAAGTTTTTAAATATGGCGAGGGCTGCTTTCTGATGGCCCATCAGATTGACCCAGTCGCCAAAATACTCCTAGTGATATCATTGGGTTAGCTCATTCTTTTCATTTAACAACATCAAGTACAAGAGAAGAATGTATTCGAACACAACAACACACCTCGATGGTAGCCAATTGGAAAATCGTCAAAAGGGTTGCTAGGTCATGTTGGCCATCCCTCTTCTTCAAGAACCCGAGCAGCAGCGTCACGGCATGAGTATAATACTTCAGGAAGTCTTCGATTTTGCCGTTTGGGTCCCTGATTGTTCGTTGGTATGCGGAGAAGCCAACTACTGCATTGAGCAAAGCCTCGTGTCGAAGTGCCAGGTTCAAGAACGTGGTTTGGAAGAAGTTACTGAAGTCTTTGTGAACGCCATAACTCCAGTGGGTAATGTTTGCTTTAAAATAGTCGAGCGCCGCGCGAAGATCAATAGGGAGATGCGACCAGTCTGGCTCGGCCGTCGATAAAAGGTCAGGTATCGAAGCGCTTGTAGGGGTGGAAGTAACTGAAGTGCAGTTAGAAACAATCGGAGACGGGCTCTGAAAATCGTCTAGCGAAGGTGTCTCTGATGACTGTCGAGTGCGGTTGATCATCCGCTGCTTCAGGCTCAATGATGAACTGGTGTTGATGCGTCGAAGGCTCCTCTTGGGCTGAGTAGGCTGTTGGGAGGTGTTCACGGGTATTTCGTAGTCCTCGTCGGGTATAGGAGTCAAGCCAGAATCGTCTGTATCTTCTTCCTCCTCACTGGGCCCAACATTCTTCGCGTCTTGTGACGAAGCGGACTTGCTGAGGGGCGTCGGATCCGGATAGACGCAATCCCTCTTTCCTTTCCGACATCGTTCACATGTAGGCCGTGCCTCATCGCACTTGACCCGCCGGCTGCGACAAGTAAAGCACCCACTCCGCGTTCGACGGTGTTTGATGTGATCTGGGGTTGGCGCGGACTTGCGCCTGTGTCGCGAGCTGGAGCTCTTGGGCGTCTGATAGTCGATAAGGTGTTCCGACAATCCGCTATAGTACAGCGCACTCTGTGAGGTATCTGATTTGATGTTCTCACCGAGATTGGGAGTGCTGGACGAAGATCCTGAGAGAATTGTTGCCTGTTGATATGGTCCAGGATTGCTACCAGAACCTGGCCTGGAGGGTGGAAAGTTATAGTAATCGCTCATGACTAAATCCTTGGGCGAAGTTGCTTCCGAATCGCTCTTGTTCCGAATAGATTTTGTTCAGAAATAGCTGGCGTCGTCCGAGATGGGGAAGAAGTAGAAGAAGAAAGACTGCTTTTCTCCTAAAAGCTGGACATGAATTAGAATAGGTATCGTGACATTTGTTCGTAAAGTTTGCCAGTCGGGTGGACGAGCAGTCACAGCTGGCCTCGTATTCAGGCTGAAGAGGTTCGTCTTTTGAGGATAGGTGCATGTGACGATGTGGGTTCCATGAAAAGAAAAGCGTCAGTCTGAGGGGGGAGAGGTCGGGGTTGCGGATCCGAAGGTGGCCGTCAATGCCCTTCGAATGGACGGCGTCGTGACCTTCGCAGAACCTGTTGGATATGGCGCTTGCCAGGATCCTCGACAGCTCGACGGTACCACCGGGTGGTTGCGCTCAGGCTCTTGATCTGCTGGTCAAGCATTTTGGGACATTTCGAAGTGTGCTCAGGATCTTGTCTTATGTCAAGGAGAAAGTGTGGTGAGGGGTCCAGGCCTTCTTCGACTTGATATCAGCCTGTCTGCGGGGCTTGCGTACCAAATAGGGATACTCTCCGGTTCGACCTTCTGTCCCCGGAGGATTACGCAGTACGGGAGGGCTGCTGCAAGGAAGTAAGAACTCGAGATCAGGCGGGGTCCTCTACACCATCCAAGAGCCCAACGGGATGACCCAGCGGCTACAAATGTCAGCTGTATAGCCCCAACCGGTGTGATAGCACGTCGTCAAAAAGCTGGTCGTTCCTGTTCTGCCATCATTTGGCTCGATCTTTACCAAGCTGCAGAAGACTGGCTTTGCGAAAAGGGATTCATACCTGGACAAAGATAACTGTAGTCTCAAGCCCGAAAGGAGCAAGGGCTTCCACCCTGGCAGATAGCGGAAGAGTCCCAGGCTATAGAATACTATGGCACTTGTCGTTTCCGTAAGCTGTAGCAAAAACCAATGGATGTTGAAGAATGTGTGCCTACCGTAGTGTTGCGATTCGCTGCCAGTGCGCAAGGCTCAGTGAGCATATAGGCGTTTCGAAGACACGATAGGGTCTTGCAACCTCCACAGTGCTATCTGAGGTCTCGGAAGGAGTTTTTGGGTCTAATCACCTGAATGATCTCCAAGTCGATGAGATGTTCTCTGCAGAACTCGACGTTCAAAATTCCGAAAAGATGGCTTCGGTATTATCAAGCCCGACACGAATCACACCGCGCAAGCTTAATCTGTGCAGATCCTAGACTGTCGTATCTGTCTCTGGGGGATACATGAAAGAAAAGAATGTGCTGATTGAATCAGTGCGTGGGCGAGAAGAAATCTCTGTGGTGGTCAACAAAGGTGGCAGTACAGTCCTAGCAAACGGACATCACAGCCGTGAGATACGGCGCCGGGTGACTTGGATACCACAGTGAAGGTTGAGCCGGGAAAGGTTGTGACAAGAGATATTCTTCCAGGCTTATGACGATACCCATGACCTTGTCTGTTCCATCGTGGGGTAAAGACTTGAAATAGCTGTGGGCTTCAGGGATGACCGGGTTCGTGAGGGTCTACAAACACTGTACGGTACAGGGTCAGCACGAGGACCTAGAATCTGTATTGGCCGAGGCCTCCACACTGTGATTAAGGTTGTTCAGGTACATAGGACGTATCGTCTGCCGTTGCAGATCGCCTCGAGTCTTTGCAGGGCACACAGCCTAGCTAGTCGTCGAGATTTCTGAAATGACCACGACTTTGCTGATCCGGTGTTCATGATCTACTCCAGGGAAAGGAACAAATATGCGGGCATCATCCCAAGGGAAGGAAAGGAGGTCATATAGGCGATGCCAAATTTGTGTAAGTGGATGTTTAGGATTGTGACTGAGAGTGTGTCGGGATGGTGTGAGGGCTTCGAGGACAAAGTACACCCGAGGGGCATGTAGTGAAGCGCTAGCATGTGCTGCAGCTTGAGAGAAGGCTGTACCTGAGGATGTTATTATTGTCGAGTGATGTCAATGCCATAAACCCAGGGGAAAATTTTCGGAACGGAATGGCAGAGAGCATGGCTCGGCGCTTTGTGAAGACGGTGGCCAGGGCTGAACGCGCGCAGCATGCCTTCTCGGGCCACCAATGACCGTTGGCCGTGCGAGTGTCTGTACTACTGTACATATTGGCCATCGTAATATCGAGATCACAGTGCAGCCAGCAAAAGGTCACCCCGGGGTGGGGATCTACTATGGTACTGAAATGACATGCCGGGGCGGCTGAAGGCGTGACTTGGATCCTTGCGGCCCGGTCCAGGTACGTAAAACTTAGGGAGGGGTCCTCAAGCGGGAACCATTCCTGTCATCTGGTCGTGTTGAATGGTGTGCTGAAGTGGGACCCACGCACCCTGTCATGGAGATATGGGTAAGCAAGCAGTCTTGAGGCGATGCCGGACCTGACGCCAGCACAAGCACAGCTTTTTGTTTCCCCAAAGCTGGCCGGCCGGGACACTATCACCCACCTTGCCTCGTCGCATATCATGATGATGCGGTCTAGATGCTGCAAGGAGTCACGCCGGCCGTCCCGAGGGCCCAGAGCTTGTGTGTGTGTGTGTTTGTTGGGAAGCCCACCGCAGCCGCCCGGTTCATGGCAATGGCGAGACACCGCCACGCCTGGAGCTCACAGAAAGTTGATGTGGCCAAGGCCAGGCCGGTCAGTAGCCACACATCCTGGTCATATCCAGTGTGCAGAGTTCAGAAGACGGATCCTTTGCCAAGGAAGAAAGGGGCGTGGCCATCTCTCCCTAGCACCACCACCTCCGGGGCCATCCCCAAGGTCATTGGGCCCAGTCGCACGCGATGAGACGTGGGTCATTAGAACGTGATTGATATAGGTTCATCGGCTCCTGATACTTATAGGATGTCTCATGAATCTCCCGAGGAGGGCTATGTTGGGATATGAGGGAAGCTGGAGCTCGACTCGAGGAGAGCAGCTTGTCGTCAATGCTTTCTCTCATATGGCGATTGGCGCCGTCGACAGGGTCCTTTGGCTCTAGACCCTGGTTGGAAAAGGGCAAAACCATGTCAAGGACGTCGTGGTGGTGTTGTCGGTACCATAGTATGCGCAAGAATAGTGCTGTAGGATGAAGAGAGGGCAGAGGGACCGCCAACGCAGGGACCGGAATGCGACGTGGGCGCGTGGATCAAGCCTCTGGAGTGTGTTAGCGAGGGGTCAAGTTGGGACGGTCAGTCAAGGGCCTCCCAGGCCTGGACACGCTTTCGGACGACTGTGGGGTTCCTTGTTGACGGGGGGGGTTGGATTTTTGTGGGCGGGAGCAAGGCTGGCCATGTCGACAGGCTCGTGTCGAGTGGGTTGTTAGAGGTTGTCGAGTGCGAAGAAAGGACCTTGCCCTACCATGCGATGTGGTTACCAAGTGCGTTCCAGAAAGGGGAACGGTCGTTCTGGATCCTGGAGGCAAACCCTCTCTTTGGGACCTGGAACCTGGATCTGGAACCTGGGTTCATAGACCTTGTGGGGCATGGCAGGAACCTAGATACCTGCAGCGAGTGAGTAGTAGTTGCAGTGAAAGTTAGTACGGATCCGTACCGTGCCCCTTCCATGTACAAGCTATATTGCCCTGTACTAAGGGTACATGATGATCGACGCCCCAGTCAGCCACGTCCTGGCGCGCCCCGGAGCTAACCGGCGTCTTTTGATTGGTTCTATAATGATATGGGTGGGTTCTGTAGTAGTTTCTCGACGACTTCCCCCATAGTATCGCAATACGTACTACTGTACTATAGTATACTATGGTAGTAGTACTAATCCCAGGACGCTGGCACCTGCTGGGAAGTAGCCAAGCCACTCGGTCTCCCCCCCCTCCTTGCTCCCCTACACCATTACGCAGACTCGTCCCTCTTTTATCTCTCCCAGCCCATCGACGATCTGGACAGGACAAGAAAAAAGAAGGAAAATTCTTTTACTTCAAGGACCACTGCAATTCGGTAAGGGGTCAAGCCTGTGGAGTTTGTGCAATCTTGCTGACGACGTTGGACATTACACGACGATGCCTTCGCCACCCCTTTAATCTCTCTTTACTTACCCATCTTGCCTGCCCTTTTTTTTTTTTTTTTGAAGCACCTTGAGTCTCATGACCACAATCACTAGGGTCTGGCGCCTGCATTTGGGCCTGGCTTTGAATCTGGACCTGGCTCTGGGCCTGGCATGCATCCTTGGAGGACGGGCATCCTGTCATTCCTGCGGCTGACCGGATGCCTCTTACAGAAACCCTCCTTCTCAGTCGATTGATAACGTTGCCTTCTTCGGAAAGTCCAGTGTCGTCTTATTCTGAACAAACTTCCACACACACACACACACACGCACACACACACGCACACACATCAGACGAACTCATCGTGACCTAGCGTTAAATCCCACACACCTCTTCTCGCCCCCCCCCCCCCCTTCAAGCCCGATCCGGTCCAGTCGATCCCAACTTCTGAGCTGGATATCATGACCGAGCTTTCGCCGCGGCTTATCCTGGTGGTGATGGAGGGCCCCGACGCTGCGTGACGTGACTTTCTGCTGCAAGATACATGGTCAGCTACGAGGCATTTTATGAAGGACATGGTTGGTTCCCCTCATTCCCCTACCGCTCTTTGGAAATAGACTGCCGGGTTTCTCGAGGAGATCCTGCTGGAAAGGTTTGAGGTCCCTAATCACCGAGGCCTCTTCACGGATCTTGGCCATTGAAACCTATTATCCATGTCATTCCTGATTCTGCAATAGAGAATGGTATTCGAACTTGATATACAGTACTCAGCTAGGCTCAGGCCTTGTCGGAAACTGTACTATGTACAGTAACTAACTGCTCCAGGGACCACTTCCGATCCGATCCACTAGTAAATCGTACGATACCTGCAGATCTGGCAGCCATTGGCGTGGCGTCAATCAATTAGCCTGTATCGGGACGGCGGGGGAGGACCACACACGCTCTCTGCGGCAAGATCTGGAATCAAAC